CGGAAGACACAACTGCAACGCTACAGCCAGCCAGTCCAATATGGCGTCCAAACCATGAAATTTTATGGCATCGGAAAATCGCGGGACATAAACCCGCGGGAATGACCCGATTAGTATGCGTTCTCCTATCGTCGAACGCAAAAAGGAATGTTACTCAAAGACAACTTATTTTTTAATAAGCAGCTTTAAGGACAAGGTGAAAAGCCTGAAAAAAAAATGGTAGAAAAAGAGTTCAGCATAACAGTCAGCAGTAGATAAATAAATAACGAGAAAATAAACTATCGATGAGACGCTTATTATTTCTAGACGTCGCAAGAAATTTTTTGAATCAAGATAGATGCATGTTTGTAAAAACTTCACAATGCGTAGTACCCAGTACAGTTATTTTTTCTCCCAGGTCCAGGAGGTGGGCGCGCAGTGAAGTTAACTCCTAGTAAAGACTTTGAAAGCTTATGCGAAAAAAGTGTACAGCAACCTCTGTAAATCGACGTCACTACAAAAACGTCAAATTTGTTTCACTCTATAAATTACACTCAAGTTTTGCATTTCAGGCTTGTGGAAATGGACGCTGATAAAGACGATTCCAGATCATTTGCCACTCAACCAAAAGGCCTGGGGCCCCCAGACAAGGTGCTGACACAGGATTCAGGGAAAATGGTGTTCTTGGTGTGCCTGTTGGACAACCACAAGGCTCAGGGCCACAGGTGTCTGGTGTTCCATCAATCAAGAAATATGCTGAACGTTATTCAACGGGTTATTACTCATAGGGTTGGTCGGGAAAATTGCTGTGCATGTTTTTCGTTAGTTCAGTTTTCTTGAACTAAAGTGGCCACTCAAGTTAGAAAAAAAAAAAAGTGGATACATAGTATATTTAAGCTATTTCATATCTTTTTTTTTTTTTTTTTTTTTTTGGTTTCTATTTTATTCTGCTTTGATAAGAGGACCTGTCAACTAAATTTGACGTTGGCGAACTAGCTCAATCTTTCCTAATTCTACCTGTTCCTGTTGAAGTTAAATTAACTCTGCTGATGTTTTTTCATCTTGGCTGTCAATCGCTCTTTTAGTTAATATTTTTGAAGTTCAAAACGTTATGGATTTACTGTGGGATCAGAGTGCAGCAAACCTCTTTCACACAATCACCATCGGGCCGCACAAAGTTTATTGCATGAGGCAACTTTACATTCTTTACAAATACGACTACGAAATCTATATTTCCCAGCTGGGAAAGAGTAATCGTGCGCGAATCTGCGTTGGCGGAAAGAACACGGGAACCCTCAACATCATAGGTCAAATTTTGCGAAATACCAACATGTTCTCAGTTAATTCCGCTGACAATAACTTTGCAAACTGTGTTTGTCGTTAAGTCTGTAATAAAGCTTTACGAGATATGTGCGTCATAAATATTTCCTTGAAAATTAGAATTCAATAGCATTTGTAATGAAACTTATCCCCAAGGTCGAGATACTTAAAATGATAACATATGCAATCTCAGTTACTTACACTGAGGTATTTTATCCTTAGGGTAACAAGGTTATTCGTATCGACGGCACGATATCAAGTACAGCTGAACGACAGCATCTTATCAACACATTCCAGACTGATTCGTCTCATACATGCTTCCTTCTCACAATACAGCTCTGTAGAGTATGCTCAGATTTCAGATACCTGCATCACTTCTCGGACGGGGACGCCAATTCCGGATACTTGCGTCTGTTTTTGAACACTTCTGGTCAATGCAATTCTAAACACCGTTGTCCGATTTTAGACAAATTTTAGATACAAGTGTCCAGTTCTGGACACTAGCGCCCGATTTGAAGAATAGTACCCGATTTTGGACAGTACTCTCCGTTTTTAGACACTAGTGTCCGAGTTTAGACATAAGTGTCCGATTTAATTCACAAGTATCCGATTTCGGACACTAGTATCCGGTTTTTTAGACACTAGGTCCGATTTTTAGATTTTAGTGTCATATTTTGGATGCAAGTTTCCATTTTGGAACGTAAAGCTTCGTCGGAGCCAAATCGACTAACGTTTTAAGGGTCCGCTTTTTAAACTTTTCTTTATCAACTTTTATTCATAACCTTAAATATTTAGAATATTTCAAATGCCCCTATTCTACAGGTCGGTGGCGTTGGAATAACACTGTACTCTGTAGATCGTGTGTGTATTTGTGAGTATTCACGTTTGTACCAAGACTTCTAAGAAATTCCGAATCGATTATCCGCCAAATAGTTCGGTGTCAAAATGTTTAGATGTAACAGATCCAGTTTCGACATTTTGAAATTCAGCGTAAGACAGAGGAATTAACCCGCTCAAACTCTAGGGTTACTTTTCGGACTCGCTTTGACATTGTAATTGTTTCACGCCAAACTTTTAAAATCTTCAAATTCAGAGACACATGATATTCAAAAAAATAAATCCGTTCAAACATGGCGCATTAAAAAAAAAATAATTCTTGTTTCCTCAGTTGACCTGAGCTGGAATCCCGCTTCAGGTGCCCAAGCCGTAGACAGGTACAACAATACCATGAAGGTTTTTTTTTAAGAGAGAGGGTGGTGGGGAAGCGATTTATCGAGGAAATGAGGCGATTCGTTAAGACATATTTCTACCTCAGGGAGGTGTCTGTTTGAGAGGGCGAATGATCAAAGAGTTACTGTTATGAAGGGAATTGCGTTATATTTGAACCGGGGAACCTGATTTATTCCGTTGTCCAAACGCATTGTAAAAAAAAAAAAAACCTGAAATGCATCAAGATAGGGACTTAGTCAACCACAAACTTTTGATAAGTTTTAATATTCAGTGGAAACTTCAGTGTCCTAAATAGTGTATAGATTGTCAAGGTTTCATGCAACCTAATATGTTGCAGTACTCAGTGTTTAGGCCGAAAGACAAGATTAAAAGATAAGAACTAATGTATATTTGTAAACAGAGTGTACAGAATTGGACAGAAAAAGACTGTTGTTATTTACCGGCTCATCACACGTGGAACACTTGAAGAGAAGACTTACCGCAAGCAGATCCTCAAAGACGCTCTGATGAAGTAGACCACAAGCTTGTCCAAGAATTCTTTCAAGTAAAACCAAAGAGATAGTTTTGTGTTCTGCTTGATCATTGTTACGAAAAATTGTCTAAGTAAATTCCCAGAACATTCTAGAACCCGAAGTCATCTAGACGTGACCTTCTAGTAAAAAGAACATTCTGGAACGTTCTATTTCTTACATAATTGTTCAAATTTAGAAACCGTGTTAATCTACTAAATTTAGTTCTTTAGAGAAGTTTCTAGATCCTTATACTTTATGTATAAAAGAGCGACAGTTCCATCGAGCAGAGAGAGAGATTTGCGAGGAAGCTTAGTGCTATAAAAACAAGAAGTCAACTACGTGGAAATAAAACAGTTTGTTGTTGTTACCGACGATCCTGAGTTTTGTCCAGGAACAACCCTGCTCTACATCGACACTCGTAACAATCATTAGTTGACATACTGTTTAGCGCTCTTTTCGGGCTCTGTTTCTTCTGCGTTCTGTTTGATTGTTTGTTACGTTAGGCTCGGTTCAAACGTCGAACTTTACATGTGCCGAACCAAATACCAATTTAGGTCGATCCAAATAATTAAGTTCAGCAGTTGATTCAAACGTTGAACTTAGTTAAGTCGAACTTAATTGCATAGAAAAGTGAAGATGACTCTATTGCGGTCAGCGGTAATCGCTTGCCAAAATGGTGGGAAAAATGCGGGAAAGACAAATTGTGGAAATGAAGAGCTTATTTTCCTTGCAAGTGCGAAGAAGGAGGGTTGAAGAAGGCGACTCAAAATGCAGTTATGAATAAATAACTTCGCTGCCAGGAGGGGACGAGTTTTGAATTTGGCTTGCCCTCTATTATTGCTCATTTCCTACAGGAACATCACCGTTCCTCGTTCAGTTCGTATTTGTCGTCGGCTAAAAAGAAATACTGGCTGTTGATTAAATGTTTACAACGCCTATTCGGAGGTAAGGTTCAAGAAAACCTTCAGAGTGTCCCGGAAACATTTAATTTCATCCTAATTTTTTCTTCACACCGGTCTGATTTGGAAAATCTGTCTCCTGATCATTGCCTTCGCTTTCCCCAAGATTAATTTCTGTTGTCATTTTCTCTCGAAAACATGACTCGCAGTACGCCACCGAACTGTCTGCTTTCCACCCCGCTGCATTCTCATCGTTTTCATACATGGAACACCGCATACAAAGGTAGTTCACGCACCTCAGGCATGTATGTTTCGTGCTCTCGAAGCAAGAGGAACAAATATTTTCCGCTCTTCCCGCCATTTTGTAGCAAAAAAAAAAGTTGTGTGCGTATGACAAATATACGAAACGTGCAGAACTCTGGGTAGTTTAATTAAAGTACATTAGATTTGGCACATGCAATGGCTCGACGCATGAAATGAAGTCGATCTTTTGGTGATCTATTCGACAATCCCGGTCAAATAGAACGACAGATCGACCCAAATACAAATCTGTCCTAATTGATGCCTCACCTTATCATTAGATTCGGCACATTGAAAGTTTGACGTTTGAACCGGGCCTTTAGTCTCGATCACTGATTTGTATGTGTTGGCGGTACCAGATCAGTTTTGCAGAACTAATCTGACTGAAACGCTAATTCTATACTACTGACTTGCTAATGGAAAATAATTTTACTTCATAATTTTTATTCAAACTATATGTTTTTAAAATGAAAATGCGTTTGAATATTTGCATAATAAAAAAAGGGAAGGATTATCATAGCTTGACATTCTCAGAAAAACAGGAAGACATGATTCTCGGTAAAACAAAGAAGTCTAATAGGGACTTTCCCGATGAGCCATAAAACTGTTATTGTTTTCAGGTCATGAGACAGTCGTATGATCTCTCTCAACCAATCAGCAATGTTTTAACTTCGGTTATAATATATTATAGTTTTCATGCTCTATCGCAATTCACCAAGAGTTTTGAGCAAAAATTCATGTGATTTGTGATAACCTTAAAATGGAAAGCGGTTCATCTAAATCAACGTCTGCTCCCAAGGTAGAGACGGATGATTTTCTAAAATGGTTTTGGGAAGGAACTAATGGAAATGACTTAATCAAACGGCTGAACAGTTATGCTCGTCAAGAGGAGATGTCCGATCGTATTCGCCGAGAGAAATTTAGTCCCCATATTTATGGCGTACTCCTGAAAAATTCTCCAAGTGAAATAGAGGGTCACTGTAAGGCAGTTAAAGTTGGTTTTACTCAGCAGTCTATCAAAAAGGGTGGCAACAATCGAATAGAGCAAATAGAAGCGAAGCTTGAAAAGGAGAAATTTGATTCAACACCACTGTTTGTAGTTCCAATCGGATGCGTTGACACCACCAAGTTTCACGATACAGAAGTTCGAATACGAAAAAAGGTTGGTAGACCACTAATGAAAGACAAGGCAGAGAAATGGAAACTGCCTGTACCTACGGAGTGGGTTCTAACAACCCAAAACCACATTGACAAAATCAAAGAAAGGATAAAATCTAAGAAGGAGGATGTAGAAAAGTCGGAAGATTTGATTGATATCTTTAAGGGTATCGATGCACCAACTGATCTACCCAGCAAGTGTCAAAATTTGGTGATACAAGAAGAGAAAAAGAGAGAAGAAAAAAAGAGAGAAGAGAAAAAGAGAGAAGAGAAAAAGAGAGAAGAGAAAAAGAGAGAAGAGACAAAGAGAGAAGAGAAAAAGAGAGAAGAGAAAAAGAGAGAAGAGACAAAGAGAGAAGAGAAAAAGAGAGAAGAGACAAAGAGAGAAGAGAAAAAGAGAGAAGAGAAAAAGAGAGAAGAGAAAAAGAGAGAAGAGAAAAAGAGAGAAGAGACAAAGAGAGAAGAGAAAAAGAGAGAAGAGACAGAGAGAAGAGAAAAAGAGAGAAGAGAAAAATAGAGAAGAGACAAAGAGAGAAGAGAAAAAGAGAGAAGAGAAAAAGAGAGAAGAGAAGAGAAAAAAATGAACTTAATGTACTGTCATGAACAAATTAGGCTGTAACATTGGCATCACTTGAAGCATGTTATGACGTCACTAAACACTAGTGTTGGTACGCCTTATTATATATTCATATAACTACCTTTAATATACTTTGAACTTGACTGTACTTGCTGTACTTGTATGTAGACTGCTATAGCTGTGGTGTGACGTCACATCTTTTCAGATTTTGTAATAACCATAAACATATGAATTTATACCAACCAATATATACCTTTTATCATCAACATAGCTGAGTGACAATTTGTTGATTTCATAACTTCCAAGCTGATGATATTGACTTCTTATTGTTTTCATTGTATGATGAATTTGTTTGTTTCATTAAATTAATTGAATTAAATTAATTAACCATTTAGTTAGGATGTTTTGTTTTCAAGAGGTTCACTTGTGTTTTTTGGGCGGTTGTGCTCGTTGACAAACAATTGTTTTAAAAAAAATTGTTATCACAAAAAATTCTGACCTAGGATGCTCCATCAGTCATAACAATAAGGATATCCCTGACTCCCTGCCTTTCACTGATTTCAAACAGTCCAGTACGCACCAGATCAAGGCCTATTCCAGTGTATGTGCTTTTTGCCTTTTTTTGCTTTACGGAATCTTGTCAATAGCGTCCATCATCAAATTTGAATCAAAATATTTCTCGAAATTTAAGGCGGGGGTAAACCTGAAAAAATGCCCATTTTTCACTCATTTTTCACTCATTTTTCACAGCTAGGACTTACTTCAAAACTTAGGCAAACTATATATCCCTGGAAAGCTTAAGACTTGAAGATCATGAAAAAAAATATTTCAGACTCAACATGTCAATTGTAATAGGATACCACTCATTTAATTGAGCCACCTGCTGGGTTCTACCAGGGGTTACTTAAGAAAAGATAACTCCTTCTGGAATTAATGAAAAATAACGTTTTTAGTATCAATTCAAAGAAGACATGTTGCTTATTGTTATAAGCAGAGGGATTTCTAATATGTTGAAAACATTTTAAATGATGATCAATTAAATTTGACATGGAAAATCAGAGGGGTGTTTCACTTCATAACTTTAAGTACATACATCATATGGAAAATTGCTCTGCTTATAACACAAAACTTATCAAAAGGAACAAATGCTGAAAATTTCAGATCAATTGGATAAATTGTTGTCAAGATATCTTTTCTTGAAGACAAAATTATTGCGTAATGAGAAAATGGCCTTTAAACTTACTGATAGCAATCAAACTTAATTTTTTACAATATGTAACCACTATAGTGGCCCAAGTGTCCATATTTTGTCCACAGGAGTATCTAAAAGTAATTTAAAAACATCCTGGTTCATAAGTAACTCCTTCAGCTTCTCGAAGGGCTTCCTCTCGACGAGTCCTCAGAAGTCGCTCCCCTTGACGCCGTCTCTTTTCCTTCTGCATAACCTGCAAATCGGACTTAGCCAATCTTTTACTGTCTTTTGCATGTGTTGCCACTCTTGTAAAAACACCACTAGGGATACAAAGCCTCTCCATGATTTTTAGCTTACTAGAAGCTCCATTATGGTAGTGGCAGACTGCTGATGCCGCAGCACACCGAATTACTTTTACACCATGGTGTTTATGTTTAGGACACCGTACCCACACTATTGAGTTAACACACTCATTGGGATTTTGTGTTGTTCCCAACACACACCTCTCTAGCAATTTCGAGTCACTTAGAGTCATAAAAGTGGGTTTCAAGACATCAAGAAAGACCTCTGGCAAACAGTTACCACTACTGTATGCAGATGTTCCTGTTGCTTTGTCTTGCTTCCATTTACACCAGGAGGATTCCCCTGGTGGATAAAATCGATGCTGTTTGGCTGGGTCATTTGACTCAACATTGTGATGGAGTATTGCAATAATGTTTTTTTTCATTCCATAAACTGCAACCTCCACCTCCCTTCTTCCTGGATTGGATTTCCTGATGGTATTTTGCCGAATTGCAAGTCCATAATCTTTCTGGAACTTCTTTATTCTTGTGTAAGACAGTCTCCCTATACCACCAATAGGTTTGCCATCAGCTAGTTTCCCTTTAGTTCTAGCCTTCAGGTTCAACAGATGTTTGGATAAATTCTAAAGGAACCAACGGTTTCTTTAGAGTCCGAGTCGGAGAGCTGATTTTCATCCCGCGAAGTGCTCGGAGTTGAGGCGGCGATTTCGTCAACATCAGGAGCTGTTTCTTCAGACTCTTCTTTCTGTTTTCGCCTTCCAGAAAAATTTCTCTTTCTTTTCTTCCTGTAGACAGATCTACTTTTCTCTCCGAACATTTTCGATACAACTTTTCCTTTGATTATAACTTTTCCTTTGATTGCTCCGAGTACACTGAGTGTCACATTCGACCAAAACTGCCTCTAAATCTATCCCATAATGGTTTTGACCCTAGAAAACCTTTCAGATAAGACTAAATAAAGTATCTCTCGTCAAATCCTGCCCGTTTGGAGCTTGGTTGCCGGAAAAACACGTCATAAACAACTGAAAAATTAAAAAATGCTCTTCTCGTTGCCATGGTAACCACGCCATTAGTCAGAGCGGGAATTTTAAAATCGCTCAAAAAGGCAAAAATAGTGAAAATAAGTGGAAAATTATTTTTCCATAGCAAAGTTTAATACCCAAAGCTGCAAATTCCGAGGAAAACAAAAAACTCAATTTTTGAGCAAATTTCAGGTTTACCCCCGCCTTAACATGACCTCGGCTGTGCTCGAGAGTCCATGATGGGGAGGAAGCTTGATAACGACACTGCAAGTATGAGGTAACGCCAGTTTGGTATTAAATAAGCAAGTAAAGCGAGAAAACATCCACCAACGGTTAGAAAGAGGAAGTCGATCATGCCCATGTACGAGCGACGAGCTGTGACAACCATTTAAACACAATACACGAACCGCACCAATAAACAACCGACGGTCCCAGCCCCGGCAAAGAAGCGAAACAGAGAGAACAGCGACAGACAGTCCGCGACAGCAGAGGCCGAGGCGAAGGTAGGTAGCCTGTGGATAGGAAAAAACAATCAAACCTGTATTAAGCGGCATTCCCACTTCCCACAGGGAATGGCGGGGTGGCCGTTTCTGCAGGTTCCACAGATTTAGGGTTTTGTAAAAATTGATAAACGCTGCCACTCAATACCATAAATGACCATTTAATGTACAGAATATTGCTCAAAAACACTACCTACTTTGACTTTGGGAGGGAAATATGGAATTAAAATTATTTGAAAGATTATTCTTAACTTTATTTAAATAGTCCCGCTTTCAAGAACCGTTCAATACCGGTGGAAAACAACAAAAACAGGCCGTTGGGAACGCTTAATAGAGGTGAAAATTACAATGATTATGGGAAAACAAATTCGGAACTTTTTTTTTTTTTTTTTAATTAAATTTTTTTACTTTAATTACAGCTATATTACTTACATCACGGCTAGAGAAAATAACTTACAGTACAGTTACATCTATAGCTACATTACTTACGTTTTTTGTTGTTTACAAATACGTACGTTACAGTGCAATACAATATTTAAAACAATACTGGTTGAAGAGCGACTAAACAAAATAACTATATATTTTAAAAGAAAACAAAAAACAAAAAACAAAAACGTTTACAGTGTATAGAGTGCACTACTTACAATTTATAGAAAAAAGGTAGTTTTCTCATCTACCTATTTTCGAGTTGCGGTATATCCAACCGTTTCTGGCAAGGTCTTAAACAATGGATAATTAACCTTGGAGAACCTTTCGTGGAAATTTTCAATCTATCGCCATTTATAGTACTAGGGTTTAAGCCACACAAAAACAAGAAACTAAACTTCTTTTTTTGGTCGCTAGATATTTTGTATGGATATGCAGAATGCGCAACATTTCTCCGGAATTAAAAAAAACTTCCCCTCTTCTTCTCGCATTATAATGCATAAATCATTATTATAAAGAAAAACCATGCTTAAAACAAGCACAACACACATTTACTTAGTGTTTTCTTTAATTCTGTTTACATATAATTTGATGTTTGTATCCTTTTTTCCTGCACTTTTTTGTTTTCTTTTAAATTCGGGACTTTGACAGCTGACCGCTTAATACAGGGTGACCGCTGAAGACGGTGCCCCTTTACACAGGTACTGTACTTGTTACTTACCAGAACCCCAACGCTCAAGAAGAACGAGAACTTCCTTCCAAAGTGATCTGAGATGCTACCAAATGTGATTGCACCAACGAAGAGACCAGCCATAAAAACAGCTTGAGTCATGGCTTTCAGGTGTCGGCGGTCACAGATTAGATTCCACTGAAAATATAACAAACATGACATATAAGAGAAGAAAAAAAACTGAGGCCTTTTGTTTTATTACCACAGTTATCTTGAGTGCACTACAAACATTTTTGGTTCTCTACCTGCCAGTCTCAATAGCACTTCGCCTGCACTTTGCTGTCTTTTACAAATACTGCAAATATAAAAATTAAGCTCTGCAGCAAAGGAATTTGGCTTCAATATGAACAGTCGATTGACATGTGTACTGATGTTTTTAGCACCCTACAGAAACCTTTCATGCCGAAATTAGCCTCGTCTTTATCCTATTGCAAGTTACGTCGCAGATTACGTTGATTTTTTCAACCATCACTATGGGTTAGTTTAAAACAATTCATCGACACTGCTGCAAATTGCGCCATGAAATCAGCAATATGGCCAAGTTTGAGAGCAATTTGTCGAGAACCGATGGAAAAAGGACCACATGGCGAAATTTTGCGAACGTCTACACACGGTGAATGTGAAGTTTGTGTCCCCGCCTATACAAATGTTGGTTCGAGTTGTGAAGTTTTCCGACTTTTCAGAGTTATATAGTCGTTAGTTCCCAACATGTCATTCTCAAACTCGGTAATTTTTACTTATTTTATGTAACTGGTCCGTACAGTGTCGAGGGATTCACGCTAACTGATCCACGTCAAAAGGTTGATAATGCCACGAAAGGGTTTATTTACTCAGTAGAGAATCATTAAAAACACTTCGACGCAAATTCAAGAACACTTCCTCGTAAATACCGCAAATACTCAAAGTCATGGAGCTAAATCAAGTAAAAGTGTCTCGGCAAACTTCGGTAAACAAAACATGTATAAACATTACAATTTCTTACTTGAGAGACAGCGCTGGTAAAAGGGTCACGGAATTCATACTCATGGCAACTTGAACAGCAACCAGAGGCACATGTTTCATTTCTCGACGTCGACTGACACAGACGAAGGGAGGCGAAGCGCCGTAAAACACCTGAATTAAGAGTTGAGCACCAGTAGGAATAGAAACCGGGCACATAAAAGCATAGAGAACCATTTGATAGCGACCGAAACCGCCGGTTATTTTGAGAAGGTCATCCAACTCGTGGATTTTGATTTCCTTTGTAGATCGATTCTCTGCTGATTCCTCGGGATTTTCTACTTCATCCATTTCCATCTCGTTTAAAGGAATGTTGTCTGCACCCTGGGATCTAAAATAATGTATATTAACGCAATAACTATGGCGAGAAAGAGGCAGATATCAAAGCAGTCATCATGGGTTCGTAACGTGACTTGCCAAATGTAAACAGTACCCAGGTCACGCAACAAGCTCGGCTGGCCTGGGCCTTTAGTCCCATCACACAACGCAAGGAACAGAAGAGCTGCGTGACGGGACCAAACAACCTCTTTGAAGGCGACTGCGGCTGCTCTGGAGAAAGACTGTGGTTCACATCTAACTGTAGCGGGTTTACCTCGAAATCCTTACTCAACATCATTTTACACGGTCTAGTAAATTATGTTTCAAAGGCAACTTCGCATTCTTCTTTCTTTCTTATTTATGGAGATCAACACCCTCTATGGGAAAGAAGACTGCGTGACACAACTACTCATTGCACATCACGCTAGCTTGCAGAGTGACATTCGGTCAGACTATGAGTTTCTGAAGTTTAAGAAAGTCTCCCTTCCTATTATAGGATCAATTCTGTTTAAGGTTGAACTTGGCCTATTTATTTGTAAAATAAAAGAAGGCGAGATAGCATAGAATACTGGGATGGAAAGCTGAGCGCCGGTGGGAAATGAAACCAAACAAACTAAAGCAAACAGAGTCAGTTGATAACGACCAAAACCTCCGGTCATTCTCAAAAGATCGTCAACATGATACTTAATGTTAATCGACTTTTCTTCCCCAATATGCATTAACAAACGCGAAATGAAAGTCTTTTACCCCTGGGTATAAGCCAACTTACGCGAATATGATTGTTAGTCACGTCGAATCCGTCGACGTGCAACGTCAGGTTCATCACTTAACTCTTTACACCCTGACTGACATCAGTACCCATATTCCCCAAGCTGTTCTCCATAAATTTTCTAAGCTGACAAGGAGAAATATTTTGAACACTCAAGAGGTTCTTTAGTTGGTGATCATTTCCTTTATTCTTTTGACCTTAATATGTGATTCAGGGGTGATAATGTGAGGAGAAACTGGATCCTAGTCACTCTCAGGGGTCATAGGGTTATGTAGGCCGCTCTTCTCGACTGTATTGTTTTATTTAGCAAAATATTGCCTTCAATGATAAACGATTGTTTCTTGAATAAGGATATCAGGGAAGATTCGATAGGAGTGACATTTGATCAAACCATAAGTCTTAAACTTTACATACCCATCACAGGGTGTCATGTGTCGTTTGTGGTAGTTAGCCTCACGGCCTTTAGGCTCTTAGCTCTGACTTGTTATATTTCTCCTGTCCCTTAAGATTCGAAGTAACTGACTAGTGTTTAACTTGTATAGGCTTTGGTGAGGACGTTAGACTTCAATTTCTCTATAGATATCAGTGGTTCGTTTATTGTGTGATTATATTGAAGATGATGAGATGAACTAAAATGCCATAGACTGTGTCTAACTTATACAGGGATTTTAGCTCATGTTTTTCAGTAATAGCACACGTGGGGCTTTTTAGGGTTTTTGATAACTTATTTTTTTTTTTCTGTTGCCTGGTATAAATTTTGCAATTATTAATTGCATCATCAATCTGCTTTGAAGTAAGAGCTCTATCATAAATTTGTAAACAGGCGATGCGTCCGCGATAGTTTCTTTTATCTCCGACTCGAGCTCCCATTCTGATTGGATAGTTAGTAGCCAGTCTAATACGGCCTATGTGCTTAAAATCTTCGAACTTTCCATTAATCCACAGGCCAGCATATCCGTTTTTGATCATATGTTGCACCGATAAAATTCCATCGATTTGGTGCAATCTTAGTGCTTTTCAATGGCTGTATGGATTTTTGATTTTCTCTGTCTACAAAGTGAGCAAACAGTTTTCTCGGTTTTGCTAACCAAAGATTTGTTCCCCACCCGTCCCTCTTAAAGTTAAAGATGGGTCCCGCCTTTTCAGGGAATATCCAGGCCAGTATTGTCAATGAATCCTTTGTATCCAGTTTACCATTGTTTGGAAACTCGATAAAACTGTCTGGTGCTCCAAGAAATGACAGAGAGCCACCTTCTTTATTATAAGGCCCTTGAGCAGTTGTGACGTAGCTTTTCACGCCAGCAAGATTTCCGCCAATCACATCTGTTGCCCCGTACCTCTCGTTCAATGGGAACAGCGCAACTGGTCGGACGTTAGCTAAAGTATACGAGACAGATAAAGAGTATGATTCAAGTGTAACATGTTAAAGCAGCTAGAAGGGAAAACTCCAAGTGCCAGAATGTTTTGATTACTATCACGGCTTAGTTACCACATTTTTAACTAGGTAGGCTGTCAAAAAGCCATCACTCACTGAGCTAGGGTCACAACTATATGAATGATTAATAAATAAAGTTTAAGGCGTAGCAATGAGTTTTGATCTCGTATCTTAAGCTTTCTTGTCAAGGTGAACCTTTCATTTTAGTACCTCAAAATCTTTAAAATACTTTCTCTGATATAAAAAACTTACCTGAAGTGTTACCGGAAATAACATCTTTAACAAGATTATCTTCCGTACCCCATACATCTGTGCCTTGCTTCGGCGTCAGAACAACTTTTCCGATCTTTACCATCTTCTTTCCACTTGAGATAACTTTGCTTCCCGAGCTTGAGCTTCCACCTTTCGCGGTTATTATTCTAGAAGAACTACTTCCTGAACTAGAACTGCTACCTCCACCTTTCATTGATATCGGGGAGCTACCGCCTACAATGGAACCGCTACTTCTACCTTTAATTGACATCGAGGAGCTTCCTCCCGAACTAGAACTGCTACTTCCAGCGCTGGAGGAAGTCCCGCCAACTTTTAATGTGCTTCCTCCTCCAGTAAAGCTGCTCCCTCCACCTGTAATCACACTGGATCCTCCTGTGGTTGATCCAACAGTTACAGCTTGTGAGGAGCTTCCCCTTTCACTGGAGCCTCCTGTGCTTGATCCACCTGTTACTCCTTGTGAGTAGCCACCGCCTCCAGTAGAAATGCTCCCTCTGCCTACCGTTTCCATGAAGGTTCATGGAAAAGAGGAAAAATAGAAGCATATGTCCGTCTTATCTTTCCCATACTTGCTAACTGAATTTGTTTCTCCATGCAGCAACAAAGACATACTTCATGCACACTAAAAAAGTTCAAGCCAACTGAGAATCTTTGATGGGGTCGTGTTTTATAACGTTTTTTCTTTTCGCCGTCATAGATATCATACTTTAAATATCAGGAGAATACACTGAGGGAGATAAGAAATGGCGGTATAGGGAAGTCAGTGCAACTGAAAGACGTTGTATCTTAACGTTCGAAGACAGGAAATATGTCGGCTATTTATGTTTACGCAGAAACCATAACTATGTTCTACTTAAACTTACGTGAGGCCTGAACTGTTCCTCCTGCCGCTGATGGATTAAATTATAGATCATTATTTATAATAATGTTATATTTATAATAATGTAATATAAGACGAAGGTATACGAGAGAATAACTTGTTAATTTGAGAAAAATCCAAAATACAAGTCACAAAGAAAACAAATACTTAAGCAAATCTTTTCGTAACTCATGTTCGATTCCTTGAATGCAGCGAAAGCTTTTGGTTTCTAGCAAGGCTACCTTTTTAGCTAAACAGCCCAATTATCGAAAAAAATCTTGGCTATGATAAAGAATGGCCGAAATCAGCTTGAACATCTAAGAAACTTTATAGACTGCGGTTAGGTTGATGTTGACAAATAATACACCAAATAGACACTGTTTTAACGCTCAGTTGAAGTCCTAACATTAACATGAGAAGATGTTTATGCAGAGATTGACTTTAAGCTGAAGATGTATTTATGCGAATATCTTCTTAAAACAGTTACTGAAAAAAAATGTTGATCAAACTAAGCCAAAGACTCACCTTTACAACAAGTGTCTACGACGGAACCCACCAGGGATCCCAGCGCATCAAACTCCGCTTTGAACATGTGCCGTGAATTTGGGTCGGTAGCTATATTCCCTAGCTGTTTACTACAGTATCTATTACCCATTCCTATGGTAATGACTGTGACTCCTGAGTCTCTGAGCTCCTGAGCAGGAGCAGAAAATCTATCTGTTGACTTGCTGCCAGCCAAAAGACAAGCTATATTAGGAACACCAGGACGTGCGCTGGTATCAAAGAGAGCATTCTTAGCTTTCAAGAGAGCTTTCCCAATCATTGTTCCACCGCCTGGATACTGGATTCCATCAATTGCTGAAATCACCTCTGATTGGGTGTAATGCTGGTCGAATCCTGACACAACCTGCCAACAACAGTTTAATCTAAGCAGTGTTAGCATTGTATAATGCCATACCACACTTGTAAAAATACAATCTCTCTTTCTGACCAGTGACGCAGACCTTTCTAAGGTTCGTTCCAAAAATATACGCGTAATATGTGAAAAGCTAAGGTTTCCATGTTTTTGGCCTCGGAGCCTGTTTGTTTTGAAAGCTACTGTAAAGTGTTTTACAACCGCTTTGATTGTTCAAGAAATACATGAACTGGTAAAATTATTCTCTGGTATTTTCTTCCAGTAGAATCGGGTGGATGGCTTCGTGCAAATCAGATTTGATACAAAAAATGTAAAACAATTTGCAGGGATTTAAAAGAAACTCATGACGATGGAAAGATTCTACCTTCGCGTTATCGTCAAAAACAATGACACCAACATGTGTTCCTTCACTAGAGACAGCAAAACGTCTGGTAAGATCTTTGACAAAATTCAGGATATTTTGAAACGTTCCTTGCCCGTTTCTTTCTATGCTTCCTGATCCATCGATAATGAAAGCAAGGTCAGCCTTTGCGTTACATTCTACAAAAAGAGAAAGAAAGTATGATTTTGATGTTTGCTTGCGTCACAAGTCACTGGGATGCTGTAGAAAGAGAGGCTTATTAGTTGTTAGCGTTTTTGAGCGATTTTTCTCTGCTCATCTATCATGAACTAAGAAGGCATTTTCATTTTTTGTCTGCTTCCGAATTCAACTGCGAAATTTCCTCAGGAACTACCACTTGGTTTTAATTGAAGCCCTGAGTATAAGTTTTGAAGGGCTACCATCTAAAATAAAATTGAAATAAACTAAAATAGAACTGACTGGTTTCGGAAAAATTGTCATCGTTGATAACAGTCTGAATATCTTGCGACGGCCTACCTCCTCTAGATGAGCTGCTTCCTCTACCTGTAATCACAGCTGATCCTCCTGTGCTGGACCCGCCAGTTATACCTACACCTTCCGTGTCCAGAAAGGTTGAAACAAAGAATCACTCTCAGCATATGATCAGAACATGAAACACCTCAGTCGGTGTCATGCAGTTTGGGTATTTACAACTATAGAATACTTGACTGTAGTAAGAGAGAGGCCCACTAAATTAGCCAGATCCCAGATACAGCAACCGTCAGCAAGGGTATGACCTTTATCAATACTTAAGGGGCCCCGTACCTCCTCCAGTAGAGCTGCCTCCTCCAGTAGAGCTACCTCCTCCTGTAGAGCTACCTCCTCCAGTAGAGATGCCTCCTCCAATAGAGATGCCTCCTCCAGTAGAGATGCCTCCCCCAGTAGAGATGCCTCCCCCAGTAGAGATGCCTCCTCCAGTAGAGATGCCTCCTCCTGTAGAGATGCCTCCTCCAGCAGAGCTGCTTCCCCCACCTGTAATCATACCGGCTCCTCCTGTGCTCGATCCACTCGTGATCCCGACACCTATCGACGTTCATTGAAAAACCTCATCCGTTTATGAGTAATATATTATGACTCTGATGATGACGCTCAGTTTATTGAAACGTCAGGCACCATATACCGACGACAGTCCTTCTCAGGAATGCACTCACTGGGACTATTACATGTTGAACATCATCAGAGATTTTTTGAGCACTAACAATTATGCATTAATCATTAATGGCAGGAAAAAAAAAGTTCCGATGGTAGGGAATGATCGAAGGCAGCTAGAAGTTTTAATTGCAATCATTTCCAAGCAATTGTGGGGTGGCATCCTGCTAAAATATTACTGCTTCATTCGGAGGAATTCTCTCATACCTTGTGAGGAGCTACCGCCCCCCGCTGAGCTGCTTCCTCCGCTTGTAATCACACCAGATCCTCCTATGCTTGACCCGCCAGTTATGCCTAAACGTGAACCATGATGAATAAGACTCACTTTCACTTTCAAAAAGAACACTACAAACTGTCTTCGCAAGTTTGAGTATTTGCAATTGTGGAGCAATCAGCGACTGTTAGATAAGGACTGCTGACTCTTTTATCAGATAAAGCAAAGACATAATAGCTAATCGCACATGCAGACTCAAATTTTGCTTTTGATATTAGTTTGTTCTTACGAACAAAAAGGTGTTTGTCATGCAAACCCTTACGAAAATGTATTTCATTTATTAATATCTAATTTCCATACCCTTTCCTATATATAGGGATATAGAACATGGTGAAAATGCGTAGACAATCTTGAGAGTTGACGTTACAAACGAGACCAAATTTTTTTATAACGCTTAGCTACGCTTGACATATGGGACAATTATGATCGACCTAAAGTCTAACAAGAGGAGGTGATAAGACTGCGAGTTATACGTGTTTAATGAACGAATTGAAGTAACTTGCGCGGGGCATTCTCTGTGATCAAACTGAGGCATTACCTTTCGATGGATTTTGTGTTAACGATCCTCCCGCTCCTGCAAGAGGACAAATTTATAATTAATCCTTATCTATCATGTACTTACTGTGACGTAGGGCTCTCACTCGTTACTACTTGAGAAGTGATTATAATATTAAGGAATATTTTTCATGTCAGATAAAAAGCATGAAAATATCTAAGGATAAGTAATGTCTTTGATGCTTGAAAAATGTTGAGAAACGTTGAGAAATATTGATACTTAAATGAGTCTCATCACTTCATGTTGCTTTATTTATGACTGATACCACTTGAAAACTTAAACTGAATGCGGTTTAAGGCAGCACTGAGACCTTCCTTAGCTCCCCCTCAAACAAAATCAAGGAAAGTGGGTGGTTATGTCGTTGATGTGCTAATTTATCCAGTAAATAGGATACCCATAATGCCCTAACTGACAGATTTTTAAATCTGATATTTTTTTTGAGACTAACGGCCTTGTCAACTGTTATTAGCCACCTAAATCGAAAATACTTCGAGGATGTAAAGCCAATTTAAGGACACTTATAGCCGGTTTAAGGAAATTTTACGAGACGAGTTTCTCACTTACCGTCGCATGCCATCTTTTTAATTTTCGGGAGTATCTGATCCAAATCATCAAAATCGCCTGTTATAACATGTGTAGCATCTGGGTCGGTTGCCATGGCGTCTAACTGGTCCTTGTCGTACCGGGTTCCAACTCCAAAACAAAAGATCGTCACTCCCATGTCTCGGAGCTTCTTAGAGGGTTCGTCCACATAGTCCTGTTTGTTCAATTGACAGACTTATTGATCTGTTTCATGGTTCAAACCAGTGAACATAAAAACAAAGAGAACGAGAACAAAAAGCTCTTAAAAGAAAAGATTCTTTAAGTTAGGCTTGAGTTCTTGTGAAGGGGTCAGATTATTCTAAATCTTATGACAAACGAATAAGATATTTCTTTATCAAAAAGGAATGTTACTCGAAGACAACTTAAGTAGCTTTAAGGACAAGCTGGCTATCGGGAGGCACCTCACTATTGACTTACATAAAATTAGTATTCGTTGTTTTCAAGAAGTTTGCTGGTGTTTTTCTTTTTCTTTTTCTTTTTTTTTTGGGGGGGGGTTGCACGTTCAGAAACATAATTACTTTAGATACAATTTTATTATCAAAAATTCTGACCTGAGATGCTCCATCAGTCATAACAATAAGGACATCTCTGACTCCCTGTCTTTCACTGATTTCAAACAGTCCAGTTCGCACTAGATCGAGGCCTCTTCCAGTGTATGTGCTTTTTGACGGATACGGAATCTTGTCAATGGCGTCTATTATTGAATTTGAATCAAAATATTTCTCGAAATTGAACACCACCTCGGCTGTGCTCGAAAAAAGTACCACTCCTACATGTGAACCATCTTCTGCGATGTTGAAGGATTGAACAAAGTTTCTGAGGAATCTCAAACACTTTTTGAAATTTCCTTTCCCAATACTTCCAGAGCCGTCCAACAAGAAAGCTATATCTACTTTGGCTTGGCACTCTTAGGATGGAATGAAAAACAATGTTAAAAGGCTTTGATATATGATACGGTGGCGATACGATGAAGTGATATTAAGTTAAATTAGGATGCCACGTGGCCTGAGATTGTAAAGAGTGATATCACACCACATCTACAGAACGATTTACCATGTTAATTTTACTTCCTTCTCCAAATTTCACTGACAAATGAGTAATCTCTAGGCGTTAAGTCTCCAGTACATGTCACAAATGTGTTGTATTCGTAGGTTAAAGTTTAACTATCCTCCCATGTGATCTTATGGTTTGGTTGATGACGCTGTACTTACTTGTGCCTGAGCTGGGAGCCGGAGGTCGTGCAAGACCCGTAACAGTGCCTGAGGATGCTGTAGGGATAAAAATTTAGGAGTCCATTTGACTTAGCCTTATAACTCGCCACCTATGAGTGAAATACATCTCCACAATCAAAGAGTTGATACTCCTGCCTATCTATGACGATAAGGAAATTCCTGCTGATTTTACTCTATTTAATCTCATATGGTTCCTGAATTATTTCATCAGAGATTAAGGGATGAAACCAAAGATCTTTAAGTTCGAATTGTTATACAGAGCAAATTTCGGTTCAGCTCAATGAACAACAGATAAACTTCAGCCGCAGTTGAATGGCTTCAGTCAGTATGGACATCTGACACTCGCGACCGACCTGAGGCAGATATTGAGAAATAATACGGTGGGGAAATACTGGAGTGTTTGTAATGCAAAGTCAGGGCCCCAGATTAAGCAAGAAAAAACTTTCTGAGGTTCTGAGGTTACCAACGAAGATTGATCACCAAAATACGTAGAAAGCTTACCCTTACGACAAGTGGCCACGACGGGACTCACTAAGGACCCCAGGGCATTGAAATCTGCTCGAAACATGTGCTGTGAATATGGGTCGGTGGCCATCGCTCGAAGCTGTCCAAGGTCGTAATATTTACCCATTCCTATACTAATACAAGTGGCTCCTGAGCCCTTGAGCATCTGAGCAGAAGAACCAACGTCATCTGTTGACCTGCCGGCAGTTAAGACACAGGCAATGTTGGGAACACCGGACCTTGCACTTGCAGCGAAGAGCGAGTCTTTCGCTAACATGAGAGCTTTTCCGGTCATTGTTCCTCCTCCTAGATACTGGATTCCATCAATTGCTGCAATCACTTCTGCTTGGGTGTAATACTGGTCGAGTCCCGCCACAACCTGCCAAAATTCAAGTTAAGAATCAGTGTCAACTACTTTAAGTAACCAGTGACTTCAGCCTTGGCTAAATTTATTCACTGTTAAGGGAACGTTGATAAGTTGTTCTACAAATTTAAGTTAGAGCCTTTGAAAAGTGGAACTGATCATACAGTGACACAAAAATTTCCAAAGTGTGACTTAATCTGGAGTGTTACGTAAGTTTAACATAACATGTTGTCCAACATTTATGCAATGGCTTGCATTGCTTTAGGAGACTTTTCTTTGCGGTGAATTTTGCTCACTTTCTTTAATCTAATCGGATACATGACTTGATACAGATAAAATTCAAATAAAAGTTCGAGACAATAAACTTGCAAATTTAATTGATAAAAAACATTGACGAGAGATCCAACCTTTGCCTCATCGCTATAAGTAATGATGCCGATATGAATTCCTTCTTTGGAGACATCAAAACTTCTGGCAAGATCTTTGACAAATTTCAATACTTTTGCGAACGTTCCTGGTCCGTTTCTTTCTATGCTTGAAGAACATTCGATGATGAATCCAATATTTAGCTTTGCGTTAAGCCCTAGGAAAAAGAAGAAATCCATATGATTATACTTTTTCACTGTTTACTTAGTTGGTGACATGCAGAGCATGCTGAGTTTCATAGTGTTAGACGTCGTTACAGACTACAGGCATGAGTCAGATAATTCAAGATGTACAATTTCTTCAACTCCGATGCCGTTGTGTTTTAGAGTAACTGGTGTAAAGAGATAGTGTGTTTGTTATATATCTCTGCCTTCAGTTGTGAAGATCTTCAAGGAATTCCTCGTATCCGAATGAATTTAAATAACTTAAATGGACCGTCTGCTCGCAGAGCTTGGGGAGAGTCGATCTGTTATGCTGGAAGTGCGTCGATCATAACATGAAATTAATGAGGTTAGCGATCTGAGCAGGTGCTAGCAACGTATGGTCCGCTAGGATTGGATCGTTCTCCGGTTTCTGTGGCGTGACTTGTTTAGCTTGCTAGTGAAGAAGGAAAGTTGATGAACAAAGACTACGTCTGAACACATTATGATCTCATTCTCGAGGATCACCTTTATACTGATGGAGAATAGGAAGAGATATTTATTGGTTACAATCCAATTTCACCATCAAATCTGTGTTACCTGTTAAAGAACACAAACCGTTAGCTTGGTGGGTGGTGAAGTCATATACAAAGGTCTTAATGCAGGTATAACGTAATAGGTCTTAAGGGCAAATCGGCGTGTGAATCATCAGTGACCCTAGATGTAGATTCAAGGCAGCACCTCGTGTTGAGTTCTGATCTCGTTATAAAGAACCTTGAGAGACGTTCACTTTCCTTCATGGTTTTGCAACGTTTCAGGCCACTAGCGGATGAGATGATCTTTGACTGTTCATTTCGATACATTTTCCTAACTCTGGGCACCAGTGGCTTTGAAATGATCGTGATCTTCACTGTAAAATACGCAAAGGTAAGAGAGGAATCACAGAAGTCTTCGCCCTAACTACATCAACACGGATAGAGGGATGACAATTCCGGTAACGTGAAATGCCATAACAAATGCCAAATGCCAAAATGACGCAAGCCGTATCAGAGCGAACCGCCGAGCAAAAAACCAAAGATCAAAATTCATCATTCATTGTCATCGAAAACCAACCAATGTCAACGAAACGTTATGGTTCATAAGGTGAAAGGCAACCAGTAAAATCCAACACCTGAAACGTGGCGAATTTTATCAGAAAGGATTACATGGTATAGCAAACCATAAAATATCATATTTCATGTATTCAAACGCGAGAAACCACCACCTTTTTTTCACGACAAATGCTTTATGTCTTTATTTCATTGGACGCTATTTCGTTAGCGTGGGATTGAAAGCGATCTCAACCACTTGTTTATTCGGAGAAGTCAACGTAGTAAACGGGGCGTGGAGCACGGTGAGTAAATGTGTGCGGAGCTTAAGTATTTGATCGTATCTGAACGAGTGACAACGGACCGGCGCAAGAAAATGGACTCATTTTATTACTTGCGCGCTTCTATTGAAACATTTTTTCTGGGTTCATTTTACAACTGCCGAGGACAAAGGGTGATATTTCAGCGTTTCACATGAATAAAGGTCTCTTTGTGGACTGATTTACCTCATTTACCGATTGAAAATCATCAGCGACTTATTCATAACTACTGTTACCTGATACTATCACAAGAAATAATAATCAGTCAAGAATATCCCTACATTTAAGTACAGTAGGTAACAAGTGATTAAGTAAGTAAAGACAAATATTTAATTACATTTGATTCGTTTGTACGTTATGGTACAAACATGTTTAATGCAATGACCTCATGACTCTGTTATGTAATGAATGCGTTTACAGCCCCCTTTTGTAACGTTTACAATTGTTTTTAGCATTATTCATCTGCTCTGAAGTAAGAGCTCTATCGTAAATTTGTAAACAGGCAATACGCCCGCGATAGTTTCTTTTGTCTCCGACTCGAGCTCCCATTCTGATTGGATAGTTAGTAGCAAGTCTAATACGGCCTATGTGCTTAAAATCTTCGAACTTTCCATTAATCCACAGGCCAGCATTTCCCGTTATTTGATCATATGTTGCACCGATAAAATTCCATCGATTTGGTGCAATCTTAGTGCTTTTCAATGGCTGCATGGATTTTTGATTATCTCTGTCTACAAAGTGTGCAAACAGTTTTCTCGGTTTTGCTAACCAAAGATTTGTTCCCCACCCGTCCCTCTTAAAGTTAAAGATGGGTCCCGCCCTTTCAGGGAATATCCAGGCCAGTATTGTCAATGAATCCTTTTTATCCAGTTTACCATTGTTTGGAAACTCAATAAAGCTGTCTGGTGTTCCAAGAAATAACAGAGAACCACCCTCTTCCTTTTCAGGCCCCGGTGCTGTTGCGACGAAACTTTTTACACCAGCAAGGTTTCCACCGATCACATCTGTTGCCCCGTACCTCTCGTTCAATGGGAACAGCGCTACTGGTCCGACGTTAGCTGACAGGAACGAAAAAGATAATGTGACACAATTCAATTGTTAACAGAAATGTTTTCCTCTAGGCAATAGTTCACCGTTTATTGCCATGTGTCACATGCGGCGTGCGGTTATCAACAGAAATATCAGTGTAAACTGGCTGAAACATTTTCATGAAATGATTCTTTATAAGTTGTTGCCAAAATCTCTCTAACTCACGCCCCAATACTCAAAAAGTTTATAAGTTATGTTGAAAATCCCAATGAGTCATGCCTCTGCCCTCATCGCCCTCGCTATATTCCCTTCAACAATGACGAACTTACAAAATGACCAGCTCCCCCTGTTGGCTTGTTAGCCAAGCTGATAGAGCACTACACCGGTATCGTACAGGTCATGAGTTCAATTCCCGTACAAGTCCAATTTTTTTTCAGCTCTCATCCTCGACAATCAGTGCACTTCAGACCTTTTACGTGCACGGGTTTCATCTGTCGTAACATACTTTCTGAGAGCGTCGATAATTTTTTTTAAATTTTGCAATTGAGATTGAATTAGCATAGTTGTTTACCTTGGCATATTATCCTCCTAATTTCCCTAATCGTCTTGCCAAGCTTTGTGACATCACCGGTAAGCACGTGACCAGCATCCGGGCTTGTGGATATGTCATTAAGTTCTTTCTTATCGTACCTGTTTCCAATTCCAATACACAAAACATTAACTCCAGAGTCTTTGAGCACCTTTGAAGGCGCAAGTACATCTTCAGTTGATTTCCCTGATGTTAATACGATCAAAATATGCGGCACGTTTGGTCTTGAGGTGATATCAAACAGTTGGCTCTTCGCAAGTTTGAGTCCAGCGCCAATGTTGGTGCTCGCACCTGTATACTTTATGCTATCTATGGCATTTTCCACGCTTTTTATATCGAGATATGTTTTGAAACTTAGAGCAACTTGAGAGTTTGTAGAGAATACAACAAAACCAATGTGAGTCTGCAGAGGATTGATGACAAACATGCTGGAAATGGCTTTGGCGATGGCCAACGCTGTTTCGAAGTTTCGTTGTCCCTTCTCGTTTTTGTTTCCAGAGGCATCGACGAGAAAAGCTAAGTCAACTTTGTCCCTGCATGTCCCAAAATCTGTTGAAATAGACAATTGCCCACAGCGCTTATATGAATGAAACGTTTCCACTCAAACTGTTAAGCTACCTTATCTGGCATCAGAGGAAAACAGCGAATGCCAGTAAACTAGGCTGTCCTGCAATAATGAAGTGTTAAATTCATTGTCACAAGTGAAGGATTCTAAACAAAACTTCATTCTTTAAAAGTAACCAGCTGAATTGGTCACCACACCAGCACTCATACTTTTCTTGACTAGCTGACCGCTTCGTTATCCTTACAAACAATTAATTTTATTATAGCTTACCTACAATACTGTTGGAAATGTCGTCATTCTTAGCAAGATCATCTTCTGTACCCCACACATCTGTGATGTCAATCGGGTCTCCTTGTTCCGGTGTAAGAACGAGTTTTCCGATCTTTATAGGCTTCTTTTCATTAGAGATAACTTGGCTTCTCGAGCTTGAACTTCCACCTTTAGCTATCATTACTTTTGAGGAATTTCCACCCGAAGTAGAAATGTTACCTCTGCCTTTAATTGATATTGAGGAGCTTCCACCGGAAATAGCACTGCTTCCATCAGAGCTCGAAGAGCTACCACCTGAACTAGGACCACTGCTTCCACCTTTGATTGATTTTGAGGAGCTTCCACCGGAAATAGAATTGCTTCCTCCAGAGCTCGAGGAGCTACCACCTGAACTTGAACCACTATTTCCATCTTTGGTTGACATTGAGGAGCTTCCTCCGGAAGTAGAATTGCTTCCCCCAGAGCTCAAGGAGCTACCATTTGAACCGGAACCGCTACTTCCACCTTTGATCGACGACAAAGAACCTCCAACTATGGTAGAGTTACTACTTCCAGTACTCGAGGAACTACTACTTGAGCTCGAACCGCTTTTACCACCTTGGATTGATGTTAAAGAGGCCCCTCCTGAAATGGAACCGCTACTTGCCGAATTCGAGGAACCAGTTCCATCTCCAACAGAACTTCCTCCACCATGGATTACACTAAGACCGGCCATGCCCGGTCTACCACTCGCTGCACTTGATCCTGAAATGCCCTCACCTACTGTTTCCATAAAGAATCACTTTCCTCTTCGATTATTTCGTGAAACAACGTCTGTGTCAGTCTTGGTAAATACAGTAACGAAGTCATCGTCGACGGATGAAAAAGAGCTCGCTGAGTCGATCGGTTTTCGATACAAGAGCAGTTGACGTGTTATGATTACGAATAGAATTAAAACTTGTTCTGTTCAAAATTCAGGAATTTTACCGTGGGTACTGTAAGTACTGTACTGTGATGAGAAATCACAACGTAAAGTGTTTAAAGCAAGACTAAGTTGTACAAATGCAGATTCAAACTTTTAGAACTAAACCTGAAATTAAAATTGTATCTCGTGGGAGTATAAGGTAAAACGTGAACATTGCAGTTTTTTCTGTTAATATTGTAAAACGTGAGGTTGTTAGGATTATGAAGAATGATCAAGAACTAAAATCCTTCAAAATGTCATTTAAAAGGTAATAAATATGGTTCGTGTAATAACATCTAATTGTGATACTGTATCTGCTTAATATATAGCATAAACGCAAGAAATATAACGCAAAAAGTTTTTAAAATACATTGTAAGCGATATAAAATAGTTTAAATAAAAGTAACGGACATACTGTACATAAGATTTTTGTTACATGAAGTACTTCATGTGAAATTTCTAACTTGAAGAAACTAAAAAATTTACCTCTCGAAGGACTTTGCGATAAAGATCCTCCAGCTCCTGCAGAAGAACACATTTATAAACTTAAGTTAATTTGTCTCACAGTAGGTAACTAGAAACGGCAGCTCAGTCTCCTTGAAATCCAATAAGTGAGTTCGCATGTTATCAAAAGGCGTAGTAAGTAGACAAATTAGAATCGATATGGAAGCAGTGCGTAATAAGTAGAACTTCTAGGGTTAAGAGACTAACCGTCACATGCCATCTTTTTAATTTTCGGGAGTATTTGATCGAGATCATCAAAACCGCCTGTTACAACATGTTTAGAGTCTGGATCGGTTGCCATTTCATCTAACTGGTCCTTCTTGTACTGTGCACCAACTCCGAAACAAAATATCGTCACTCCCATGTCACGGAGTTTCTTGGAAGGGTCCTGTATGTCATCCTGTTTGGTTGAGCAAGAAATTATCTTGAAAGACTGTTCTTTCTCTTTTGTATATTTGACGCATGTTATGAGCTAGAAGAAAAATGCTTCGAAACGACAACTTACAAGTTTAAAAACTACAACTGAGTCAGGAAAAGATTGTCTGCTTCATCAGATCATGAACTTAATAAAAAAATTCTTCGTACAAATTTGATCTCAGGGACGACCTCACTAACCACTCAATTCCGGGTGAGCCGGCATGTTTTTCCAATACTCCTGTTTTTTATTCCTTTTCTTTTTCTGACGGCTGGGTGTACTTACAGATGTGTAATCAAAACAAAACTATTGTAAGTGAAAAATTCTGACCTGAGATGCTCCATCGGTCAGGACAATGAGGATGTCCCTGACCCCCTGCCTGACGCTGTTTTCAAACAGTCCAGTACGCACCAGATCAAGGCCTGCTCCAGTGAATGTGTTTTTAGCCGGGTATGGAATCTTGTCGATAGCGTCCATCATTGATTTTGAATCAAGATATTTCTCAAAATTGAACATGACCTCGGCAGTTTTAGAAAAAAGTACCACTCCTACATGTGTGCCATCTTTGGCGATGTTGAATGATTTAACGAAGTTTTTAAGGAACCTTAGGCATTTTTTGAAATTCCCAGGTTGCTGGTAATCAATACTTCCGGAGCCGTCCAACAGGAATGCTATGTCTACTTTGGCCTTGCACTCTTAGGGAAAGCAAAAAATTCAAAAAGCTTAAAATGCTAAGTTTAAGTTATGGCGGTGAATTATTTTATGGAGAGAAAATTAGCCTTAGCCCTCGGCTTTTGCCATTAATTGGGATCTGGTCGAAATACAGTATTAAGAAGAGACCACCATTCTGAGGCGGTCATTTGTAACCTCACGTGGCTCTAAGCCATTGACAAGGAAGGTTCCCTAAGAAAACATCTTTGATAAGATGAGAGTAAACGAATTAAGATTTTGTTGTTCGACGTATCAAAATCAATCTTATATCTTTTCATATCATATATAACATAGGATTCGACGTGACACCATAGTTTGTGCTAAGTTGAATATTAAAAGTTACATTGATTTTAAAGCTAGATGCCGTTGGTTGTGTTTATGGAAAAACTTTAATGTAAACGCATTCAGTAGTAGATCCACTTACTTGTTTCCACAGTGGAAGGAGGTGGACGGCCTTTACTCGCGCCTAGGGGTGCTGTGAAAAAGTAATTTGTTAATATCATCCGCAAAAATTGTAGATCTCTTGGTATATAACGAGTGCAAGACTGAACAGTCTCGCCTTAAAGTCCTGTCTTATATTACAAGGTATATGTACCGTCGAATATGTAGGATTTCCCAATTCAGTCAAGAGATTTTTCTCAAGCTCAGGTTAGATAAATACAAAAATAATTCCCATATTATGATTGGGAAATAGCTGTCTTGATATAGGACCGACAGCTAAGTGTGATTATTAGCAACAATATGCATTTTTTTTAGTCAATCGCTCAATCACGGTTCTCGTTTTTAGTCTCACACGTTCGTGGCATTTCTTCCATAACTGCCGTTGAAAGGTAAAACTTGATGATTTTTCAGTGGAGATGCGGAAACACCATTTCCTCAATGAGGAGTTTATACGTCAAAGTTATCATGTGCCCCACCGTTCGCCCATTTGAGAGAAGTTGTAGTTGAAGTTTATGGCCAAAGTAGCTCTCTACTATCAATAATGGCGCTGAAACTTACCCGGTGCCTGAATTGTTCCTCCAGCAGCTGTAGGATAAAAATAATTTTTTTTTTGAAAGACAAGTGTTAAAGTTCATCATGTCTTTGAAATACGCAGAAAAATAACGATGAATTTTCGCATGTAAATTGTGATTTGAACAGCTGAATTATCAAAACGTAGTGTAGATTGAACAGATTAACACTTTAGATTGTCTTATGAGAGAAAACGTATCATTGGTAAAATCAAGGTGGAGAAAAGTTTGCTTTGTAGGTGGTTCAGTTTAAGTTATCAGCTAAAAAACTTGGGTGTAAGCTTAGGGTTAATGGCTAAAAATTAGTGTAGACGTATGAGAAAACTTGCAGACCAGCACTTCAGGCAGATCACAAATAATACAGGAAGGAAACAGTATTTCAATGGACAGTGAGAGAGAATACGGTCAACAGCTTACGTCAGCTACTTATAACGAATTATGACCAAAGTACAAGAACTGAGAAACAGAACACCTACCCTTACACCCAGTGTCTACTATGGAATCTACCAGGGAACCCAGTGAGTCAAATTCTGCTTTAAACATGTGCTGTGAATCTGGGTCAGTAGCTATCTCTCGAAGCTGTTCAAGATCATAGTCTGTACCCATTCCTATGCTAATGACAGTGACACCTGAATCTCGGAGTTTTTGAGCCGGAGTTCCAATGTTATCTTTTGACTTCCCGTCGGTTAACACACAAGCGATGTTGGGGACACCGGACCGAGCGCTGACTGCGAACAGAGCTTCATTAGCTTTCAAGAGAGCTTTTCCAGTGTTTGTTCCTTCATTTGGATACTTGATTCCATCAACTTCTGCCATCACTTCTGCTAGGGTGTAATGCTGGTCGAATCCCGACACAACCTGCAAAGGTTATGAATAAAAAGCCATGTTTTTTTTATTTGCAAATTATGTAAATTGACCACCGTAAAAAATTTATAGGGCTAATTTTTCGAGCGTTAGCCCTTCGTCAGAGCAAATGTTTCATTCTCCTCTCGAGACTTTCCGGGCCTATAGCAGTAAATCCATTGGACTCTTCCCCGGTCATTGTGTTATGTTTTTATGTAAGACTTTCCACTCCCACAGTGCTTTGCTCCACCCACAGGCGTAGATGAGTATCGATAATAGCCTGGTAAACCAGATGGGATACTTGGGGGTAATAAGATCTTATAAGCCAGAGGCTGACTGGCATGTGTACTGAGGTGAGTGGCGGCAATGGGATATTGAGCTTCAGCGTCAATTATCTCGTTTCATCATATTCAAAGCTAAGTCCTTAAGATATCGTAACCAGGCAGCAAGAGCACTATGGGTAATGAGTAACAACCCTAACACAAGTCTTATAACTGACGAGCTAAATGAAGACTTCCAACATGAGATCCCACCTTTGGTTCACTACTGTATACAATGATACCAATATGTGTTCCGTCTTTGGAGACATCAAAACTTCTAATGATATCTTTGACAAAGTTCAAGACTTTTTTAAACGTTCCTGGTCCATTTTTTTCTATACTCCCTGATCCATCGATAATAAATCCGAGGTCGGCCTTGGCTTTACATTCTACGACGAGAGAAGAGGAATGGAATCATGGCGTTCAACTACGAAATATGTTATTGATGCTAGTGGATACAGATTTCCTTTACCGATCAACAATTTACAATTTTCTTTTCCAAATTTGATAAATTTTTTAAAATTAGCTGAATGTGCATTGTCAATTGATTCAGAGTGCTATAAAATCTATTGTTTGATGTCTGATTTTTTTTTGCTCCATACAGTTGCTTCTTGGTTACTCCAGAGACCTTAGTATTAACCAATCCTTTTCATTTCAGTTTACAAATTATTTAGGGTAACTCCTTTATATTTTAAGGAAAAGCTGAGAAAACGAATCCATTTTACTTACCTGGAGCACTAAGACGAAGATTGCTACCAATTCGTCCGGATACGGTACCATTGGAGGGTTTTACACCGTTGGGTCCACTGGGTCCAACCCCGCCAGGTCCACTGGATCCAACTCCACCAGGTCCACTGGGTCCAACCCCACCAGGGATAACACCGCCGCACCCTCCAGTGGCATTCCCGGAGGGCTGGCATGGGTTTCCACAGGCGGTGGCATTAGTGATGTTAGGACATCCTTCTGTAAGCTTCCCCTCAATCACACACCCAGCTCCCATGTCAATACAGCCTCCAGGAGCCACTCCTTGTGCTGGTGCAGGGCAGGGTGCTCCCGCAATCTGCATACACCCGCTGTCAATGGTTATGCCCTGACTTCCGCAGAGTGCTCCTCCCATAGTACCTCCTCCTCCACAAACCGAGTTTCCCATGGGCATACCTTGAGGTGGACAGAGAGTTCCTCCTCCTCCTCCCATGCTGGCACACCCGGCTGGTATTGTCTGGTTCACTTTTCCTTGGGCTCCAGTCCCTTAAAATAAAATAACATTACTTACTTGCTTGTCATTATTGATAGGAAATATAAGTAAGTCTAGCTGCGATGGATCTTGTGGGTAAGGGTTTCCAAGCATATTTAATAGATACTGTAATTTATTTGCGGATGTGGTTAACAACTTGAAGCACAGCAAGTATAAATGATTGACAATCGTTTTAGCTCAGCCCTCCTTCCCCCACCCCCTCCCTCTCTAATGGCGACCGCTTTTGATTTTTGTTCGAATCCCCTCTTTACAAATCGTGGATACGCCTCAGCTTCGTAGCTTGTGTTAACACGTCTGAAGAGTTCAAGAATCTTCACACTGCATCAGCTTTACCAAAGGCGAAAAACGATTAAAAATGATTTTGTAACTCACCATTTACCGTACTATTAGCTCCAGTGACTGCAAGAAATTAAAAAATTAGTATATCAACAAACAAACAAAAAGAATTTTGGAGCCTCATACAAATTGAAGATATACAAAAAGAAAACGAATACTGAAAAAAGAGTAGTGTGAGTAGTTGGGACATGCTAAATTGTGTCGTTACAGTTCTGTATCATTTTTAATTCCCCTTTGCGTTTGGTGGTTTTACCAGTAGTTAATGAACCGTTCAAAAGTTTAACTTTCGTTAAGGGTGTAGATAATAGCGCTTAGCGCGTCAGTTGACGAAAAAAACTGACTCTTAAGTCTCAGCTTTTTTTCAGCTGCGAAAGACTACCTATGGACGTGTTTTTTATAAACTTTAATTTAATTGTGCAACTTAATACAATTTTTTATGTCTGGCTTATTCTTATGTCCCTGTGTTACCTATTCTCTGTGTATAACTTAGATCTCCTGGCAGATCATCATTGGCTCATAACTCTCTTGAGCAAAGTAATGGGAATGTTTACTGAAACTAGCAATTACTTTGACGTCGACGATGGAGGCAACAATTACAACATATATACTAAATAACCCTACCATTGCAAGCTGGAATTGGAATTGGACATCCCCAGCCACACATTTGACCAGCACCAGTACTGTTAGGTGGCAGTATACTGCATGTAGTATTTGAAGATGGTGATGATGAATTTTTTGCACAGGGGTTGGGACAGGCTGTACTTGTGCCATTGCTGGATCCGTTTTTGTCGTCCATTATCTTTGGTGGTTTTACCAATGGTTGATCATCTTCATCTAAAAAGCTGTGACAGACAGAACAAGGAATCTTACATTTGATATTACTCAAAAAATGTTACTTGAAGAAAAGCTCGGTCCTTGTATATAAAAAAGTCATATGTGAGAAGAGAAAAGGCAGCGTTGCCAATGGCTTTGAAATTGATTTGTAGTTGTGAGGATCGCCAAGTTCCAGCTCTTACAGCTGGGACTGCATTTTGTATCAAAGTGAGTCACCCAATCATGAGGTACAAAGATGACGACAACGTCCCCTCATGAGGCGCCTTACGGTAGGATTAGCTTCTTCTCATCACCGATTTAGATTTTTGGAGTCATGATTCTAATCAACTTTAAGTATGATTGCCAAGATAGATATTTTAGCAGGGGGGCCACGTTACCGAGGTACTTTTCGATAAGTCCTGGTAATAGTAACAGTTAATCTCAGTTTAGTGCCATCGGCTTATCTTCGACTAATTGTTATTAGAGTCTACCTGTACACTTCGTTACTCCACGGACCTCCTTCGCCGTCACCTGGCAAGAAGAAACAAAAGTTTAAGCAGCTTTGGAAGAGCCTTGGATTTGTACTACAAAACAAGCGCACGAACTGCAATTCTGCAAGCTGCTATCCTGGAACCTACATTGAAGTGGTAAATGACATGAAGAATAACCTGCGATTTATGTCACCGTGAAGTCATAAACCATAACTTGGTTACCTGCGCATTCTGTGCTCTGTCCATACTCTCTGTATGTGTTCTCTGCATTTTTCCCTCCAAAACACTGCCCTCCATTTTGCAAACCAAATATCTTTAAGTTATGTTCATCCGCTACCTCTGCACACTTCATCAAGGCGTTCACTCTTGTCTTGTAAGGATGTTTAAGCTGGGAACTCTTTCCCTCTAAACTGTCCATTGCACGACGTTTAGTAGAATCTGCCCAACAGCCGATGCTCTTAAAAACTGCATCAAAAGATGACACAGTGAATGTTTCATTATTTTCTATTTTGTCTGAATCTGTATTTCCGTAATAGCCCAGACAGAAGCTATCATTAGGTCCAACAACTCCCCCCAACATCTTTAGTCTTGTCTCTGCCACTTAGGTTGGGTAAATGAGATTATCTTTCAAATTATTTTTACATTTTAAGGTTAAAATTTCTTTTCTCAGAAATCGACGAAATAAAAAGGAATGTGAACAAAATCCTTACATCGTCCTTTGATTTCAAATTTTTCTGTTCTATCGGGAGGTGTTGGTTTGACTTTGGGCTTCGTAGCGTCATTGCTTGGTTTTGCTTCTGATCCTGAGATTTTCAAGTGGGCAGCTGATTTTCCCATGGAAGCAGCTTTACCTGGGTTCACATGGGAGGGATACAATATCTGCTGTTGCTGGTATTGATCACTGGCATACGCATTTGATGAGGATGTAGAATACGTCAACTGTTGTGCCTGATTGCTGGATGGAAAGGAGCTCCCTGGTTCTGAAGATGAGTATGGTGATGAATAGAATGCAGGGGACGGATAAGATGAAGGAGGGTAACCGTATGGGGGAGAAGCGGGATATAAGGACGGTGGGGAATAAGAGAAAGAGGGCGGAGAAGGATAAGCTGAAGGGTAGAAGGACGGGGTTGCAGGGGGTAAAGAGGGGGCGTATGCAGCATACTGGTTTGAATATGGATACGAAGGTCCTTGAGAGCGACGACCAGCTCGAGCTTTCTTTAGGTTTCTCATGTTAGGAATGGTCCATCTTGGGAGACCTGGGGAAAAAAAATGAAAAGTAATAAACCTTAAAAGTGTGTAAAACCTACTCCAGAGATTTGATGAGGCAGTCGATAAGATTTCCTCGACTCTGATATTTATTACAGAGGCTAACTAGAGAAATTTCATTAAAAATTAAGAAAGAAAAACGGTAAATTTAAACTCGTCCAGCGCCCGATGAATCGTGTAAGCCTGATCCTAACAGTACGAAGAGGAATAATTTAAAACGCAGAAATGTCTAAACATAAAAATGGAATCGGACAAATCGGTGAAATAACTGAGATTCAGACGAATTACATTCCATTAGGCTTTTCTATGTTTGGCAAGATGGCCATGATTTTTCCGTTTCTGCTCGCCAATTTGTTTCTGCTCACGTAATTTGAAGACTATTCTTCATTTAAAATACTGCGTCCAAGCCTCTTGAGGTGATAAGTTTTAGTCAAGGATCTTTACCTGATCTTTTACCGGAGAAAACCTTCCTAATGGGCGAGTGCTGATGTTTTGTGGTCCTTGAGCCAGCCACGATTGCAGAAATCAAGCTCATCAGAAGCAGTAATACGTCCATTATTTTATCCTTAAGTGTCAGTGAACCTACCAAAAAAGACAAAGCTTCAAAGAGTTAGTCGACTTTCACTGGCGACGTTAATCAGTCGCTTCTTGTTTCGAAAAGACCCCTCTTTAATAGTTGTACGTCAGCCGCAGCAACGCTATACGCCAAGAAATGGCGAACTTTTTTGTGCCTCTTGTGAGACGCGTTTTTTTTCCGATCTACCTCAGCTTAACCTATATATTATTTTTATAAACAGGACTGGTTTGGTCAAACATAACATACGCTTTGATAAGATAACTTAAGTGCGGCCTTATCTACTATCGTTTACCCGGTCAAAAAACTCAGGAACACGTTATGTCAATGTGGTTATAAATGATGTGTCAGCTTTGGGGCTTGTCAGATACAAGACACGTTCGCTTTATAAACGATCGACATGAATAAATTTAAAGTGATTTATAGTCGTTAAAAGGACAAGAGAGCAGAAAATAAAAGCTTCAGTTTCTTCACTTGACCTGTAACCATAACATCATGTAACACCACCTGCATCCAGAGGTTTCTTCCACGGACTCCCCTAGGTGAGAGCTTCATCTCACGAAATGTGAATAAGATTTGGATATAAAATGAGTAGTTATCATTTTTAATCATCATAGACTGCGATTTCTACGCTTATCTCTTCTTTTTTGTTTCAAATATCTTCCTCTCATATCTACTTAGCGTAACGAGGTGACTGCGCATTGGAAAAAGTAGGGCCAAATTGCTCCAATGACCTCATGTATTCTGCGCTAAATAACCTAAGGAAAAATGTGCCAAATATATGAAAATACATTCCATAGTCTTAAGAGAGGAATGTAATTCACACTGGCACACCTCCTGTTGTCAATAGTCCATGGTCGTTACCATTTTGTACAACTTTAGCTCTCTGTTTTATGCCAACTTACCTGTTAAATTCACCAAAACCGAGTTAAATTGAACGAGAATCTTTGAAGTGTTCCTCGTACATTACCTGTTTGTCTAACTGGTCTTGCTGGCGGAAAGGTCAAGTACCGTTTTAACCCTGGCTCATGAAAACTAATTAAAAAGGATGTGTCAAACACAATATTTTGAACAAGTAAAGTATCTTTAAATCACCGTGGAGAAAAACATTGATGTCCCAAGAATTTGACTTATTCACAGCCGGCATCAGATCTTAAAATGGGGAGGAAAAAGTGTCCGTTCGTGAAAATTGAAAGTGTTTGATTTTTTTTTGTCTGGAAGGTCCTACCAGGTTGTTCATTGTTCTAAGGTTGTTCATAGTTGTAATGTCTGTACACAAAATTAGCTTCCCTATACCACGTACTGGTATCGTAGCCATGGTGAATACCGCTGAATAAAATTTACATTTCATGAATGGCTTCAATTTTAGCAGCCGACAATGAAGTGGAAGAGCTGGAACTGAGGGAAATCCCAAATTCTGAAGACGAAATGGGAAGCCAAGAAGGACTTGTATGTAGGAATGGCAATACCAGTGTTAGCAGGTACTAATTTAAATGCCTCAAGTCGTGAGTGATTGCATAACTGAAACCTCATTAGCTGACAATCTTTGAGGGATTCCATTACGATGTTTTGTACGATACGAAAGATGACTCATCGGATGCTCCTTCCTTCGAATACATCGCCGATAACTTTTATTTCTTCCCTGACTCAGCTAAGATATAATGATTTTAGGGCAAATTACGAAGGAGTGCTTTATGCTTTTGATGTGGAAATTGAATTTGAGGCGACCGAAACTATATATGTGACGTAACTTTGTTTGGCAGCGAAGTATGCCGCTACGCTACAAAGGTCGATCTTTATTTGAGATATATGCACATGAAGAATTCTCATTAACATACCGTGTGCACCAGCAAGTTATTTCCTGGTTGATTCAATTTCGTGAGATTGGTCATGACACGGCTTGTTTTGGTGCAAATAACGAGGAAGTTGAATGATATCTGTTGATGTACATTTCGCTATGTCACGCAATTTTGCTTAACAATTATCACGCTATTTGCTGTGGTGATCTTAGTAAACGATGAGTCTTCGAAAGATGAATACTGGATCAAATGCTTCAATGTGCTAGCTTTTGCCACTGACATAAAATAATCAAGGCTTTTTTTGCTAATAAAAGGCAATTAAATTGATAGAGCTCTATGAACTCTAATCTATCTTACCAACTCTTTGAATAAAACACTTTTGCTTTGAAAAATAAACTTGATTTCTCAATGATGTTGATGTTCCTGCCAGTTAAACAAAAAATATATGGTCTCTTACTTAGTTTTACATATGTATTCAGACTTTCTGTTTTGCAGTGAAAAAAGAGATTGTGTAAGATTATGTGGTGGAAGAAACTATTGTGGCAAAATAATGCAAATTATGTAAAACTGGATCATTGCGTAATGCAATTCAAGAATTTTCATTGTCTCACCCTTCATGGGTTATGAGCCAGTACACCACGTGCTCACATGACAAGGAGTTAAACTGGAGTTGTTTTTGTATATTGAAACATTCCTTTTGTTGTTACAAAATTAATTTGGGAAGATTAATTTATAGTTTTGGGCATTTTTAATAAAACAGTTATTCCACTTGTGCTTGTTGGATATGAGATGATTCAGCCAACTCAGCCATCTATTATCTCATATCCAATATACACTTGTGGAATAATTGTTTATGTTTAAAAATTCAGAGGAATCTACAGGGTATTAATTCAAATCAAGTAATTAACTTTTGTCCTATTATCTTTACTGAGATACTCAAATTGTAATGTTAGGGTGTAAAAAGTTAAAACTCCTGACATTTACTTGCATTCAGAGTGGGCAACATTGACTTTTTTTCCTTATGTGATCATTCGCAAACTTTGAATTTGCTGTGCTATGTTGCCTAGGATCAAGGGTTTGAAGAACTGTGTGTTTATTGGTTATATGAAAAATGAACACTTTTTTTATTAATCCTAGTGAGGTGCAACAGACTGAAAGTGACTCTGTGCAGTTTGATGACATCTTGAAGCGTATTGGTGAATTTGGGCCCTGGCAAAGAGCCATTTATATCCTTTCATGTGTTTTTGTCCTCATCCCCAGTGGACTTCACACAGCTGGGGTGCCATTTATTACTGGGACACCAAAGTTTCAATGTGTGACACCAGACGTGGAGTGTGAAGTAAACAAATGTTGCAAAAACTGTACAAATTATGCATTTATAGGACCTTATGCCTATAACAGCACAGTTACTGAGGTGTGTTTCTTTAATTAATTATCTTTGTATTTAGCTACAGTTGAGAAGATCTAGGGTACAACACTGACTCAAAATGTTAGGGCTACTATTTTGTTTTTACCATTTAACTCCCAGAAATCAACATGTAACTTTTCCCTATAATACCCATACATTATCCAGCAAACAAGTAATAAGAATACTCAAACTTATCAGGTAGCAGTTTTCTTCATCTAAGACCAAATTCTGTTTACTCATTTACAAAGAAATGTGGGACAGCCAGAGGGGAGAATTAATGATCAGATCTTAGGAGTTAAGGGGTTAAGGGTTTTGCAGTTCAGGTTACCCTACCAAACAGGGATTTCCTTCCCAAACTCATGCTTCCAGGCTTTGCATGGCAAGTGGTTAAGACTATTGACATATAACTACATATAACTGGGAGGGTCCAAGTGTGAGCCTTATTTAACCCTATAATACCCAGAAGTGATTGACATGTAACTTCTCCCTATAATATCCATACATTATCCAGCAAATGGATAATGAGAATACTCAAACTTATCAGGAAGAAGTTTTTATCTTGATCTAACACCAAATTCTCACAACTAATTTACAAGAGAGTGTGGAGCAGCTAGAGAGGAGAATTAACGATCAGATCCACTTACCAGCTGAAATTTTTTACCTTGGTTTCATTTGAATTACTTGAATGTTTCAGTTATTTGCTTGGCTGATCCGACCTCTCTTTAATAAGCACTGTCAGCAGAAGTTAGGGATTTTTATTTTCTTACTCTAGAGTCTGATTTTGGACACATGTGTCCAAAAATCATACACTAGTGTCAGATTTTGAACTCTGGTGCATTCAGTTTTTCAACGCTAGTCTCTGATTTTGGGCCAAAGTGTCCATTTTTTTAGACACTAGTGTCTGATTTTGTCCCAAATTGGACACTAAATGTCTATAATCTATTTCACTGGTTTATGAAATATAAATACCTTTTTTCCCCTTTAAGTAAGGAAGAATGCTTACACAATGTCAAAATTTGAGGTAAAAGTGCCCATTGGTGAAAGTTATTTATTGATAAAACATGACATTTTCTTTCTTTTTGTGGGAAAACAAATCCTGTAGTTCATTTAAAAGCCTGTACAAATGATAGATCCATGTTCAGTGACAAAGTCATGGCTTTTAAAGTGTCCAATGGCAATCAAGACATGCACACTGTCCTATTAGTGCTCAAATCTGGGTGCTGTTAAACTAATCGCATTTAAAAATTTTGTTATAAGGTTGACTAACACAGTACATATATGCATGAACTAAATCACCATTTTGATGTTAACCTTATATTTTCTTTCTCATTTCCATATTTAGTACAACCTTATTTGCAATAGAGCTTTCATTGGTGCCAATGTACAGGCAGTATTTGGTGCAGGAATGTTGCTTGGATCTTTCATCTTTGGAGCAGTCTCTGATAATTTTGGAAGACGGTCTTGTATGCTGATGTGTTCTGTGCTAATGGTATGCTTTTGATTGTAATTTTACCAATAGATTTTAGTTCATATTTGCCTTCTCTATGATTTGTTCCCTGCAGTTAGTGAGTCAATGGATTACATGACAAATGAAGTGCAATGAAAACACAGAAATAAGGAGGAGAGTTATGTTACTTTCCCTTTTCTATTACTAGCTTTGTTGTGCTATGCTGTCTCATTTGCTTGGTGCCTTGTTGACAAACTGAATGCATGGATTAGGTTACCCTCTATCATGACTACTTATAGTGAGAGCATGGAGATGAGTCTTGATTATGACCCTATGAAAATAGGAGGTAAAGTAAAGGACTAGAGAGAGTGAGGTTTATGAGTATAGAATCAACAATAACAACCAATCTTGTGACAGAAGGAAAACACAATGTCCATTGTTTTTGTTTCTGGCCTTTTCACCCAAAGATTGGATCCAGTTATAAATAACCGAGCAAGATATTTTCATTCTTTATGACTAATTTCTTGAGACTGCCATTAATCAATCTTTTATAAATGTAGGAAAATACTTTGTGTTGTTTTAGCTAACAGTTTCAGATTTTGATTATTACTTTTCAATAGTCATACCTTTACTTCTCTTCACAATATTAGGTAATTTTGACTATGAACAACTTCCCATGCTACATGTTTATTTTACTTCAGACGCTCTTCAGCCTGGGTGCAAGCTTTGCTAAATCCTTAGTCCTCTTCGCTGTCCTTCGATTTTGTACAGCAGCCTGTCTGACGGGTTTTTTCGTGGCTCATTATGTGTACGTCCTGGAGCTTGTGGGACCAACCTACCGCACTATGGCTTCAAAGTGTTGTGGTTTCTTTTGGGCCGCTGGTTCTGGCGCTATTGCTCTCATGGGTTATTACATTAGAGACTGGCGTACACTGCTCCTCGTTTCCAGCTGTCCTCCAGCTCTTTTCCTGCTTTTGTGGTTGTAAGTGTTCGAATAGCGCGGTTTCTATGGAGTGTTGTAAAACTTAAAGCAAAGCTATCACAAAAACCATTTATGCAAAAAGAAAAAAAAAATGTGCCAAGGTGCTGGACAAATTGCAGAGCGTATAGAAGCATATTCAATTACTTTCGACACCTAGTTGAAAACTCTTTCTATTGGACGGCTGGCTCCCTCCTCAAGTTTGACAGATAACGCGAATCCTAATGCGAATCGCTATTGATTGTCCGGCTGATTTGTTCCACTAAAAGAACAAACAAACATAAAACTTGAAAATACATGTACAAAGAAAGATGCTTTTTTTGTATTTTTGTTATGAGCTGCTGAGGCATCAAACCTCAAACCTCTTACGCTCTACCACTGAGCTACAGAGACTCTACGGTGAGTTAGGCCATAACCAGATTCAAAGATGACATGCTTCCCGCTTGAAAGCCTCGTTTGAGTCAATCGACCAAGACAGACGGTGAATTTTAGGCTTGGTAATAGAGGTACAGTTGTAGCTCGGAGGTTGTCACATTTGCTAATCATCTGCGAGCGAACCAATGAAAGTGCTATAAATGCTCCATTCACTCTTTTTATGAACATCATACCCCGTAGCCAAGGTGAAAATTAAGCTCTCAATATGTTATTATTGCAGAATAATCCCAGAGTCTGGTAGATGGCTCCTTGTCCGAGGTCGTGTAGATGAAGCTGGCCAAATTGTGAGGAAGTTTGCAAAGAAAAATTCTATAATGTCAGATTACTTAAACAGAGCACTGGCAAAATGCAGCCGGGGGGAAATTCTCGCGCGCACAAGAAAAATACGACATTCACCCCTCGACCTGTTCCGGACACCACGCATGCGTAAGAGAACTCTGATTCTCTGGTTTTGCTGGTGAGTTGTAGTTGCTTACCATAAAGGGAGAGAATTAAATAAAGAATTAATTACAGATAGCTTGTTGATTACGTCCTTTGGGAAGCTTTTTAGCTAAGCCTTTTCCTTCCTTAAATCCTTCTAGGAAGAGGCGGTACTCTGTTTCAAGTAATCTTGCACTCCACAGTAATAAATACCAAATCAATTGATTGTTTTCTGATTGACCTTCTCCAATTATTTGAATTGCTCACCCTAGACCCTCCCATCGGTACGGAGTATAAGTTAAACAGACAAAAAGTTCTAACTCTCTTTATTATATATTGGTTCTTCTCAGGTTGGTAGTGAACTTAATCTATTATGGTTTCCTGTTCTACGTATCAGACTTGCCTGGAAGTCCTTATCTCAACATGATTATAATATATGTTGTCATTGATACACCTGGAATATTCCTGTGTTGGGTAACAGTACAGAAGTAAGTCTAGTTCCAGTATAATGAGGTTATTAATCGTTTAAATGTGTAGCACTTTTTATTTTCATAACTTGAAACAGAGAGAAAAAACACTTCTAACTCAAATAGAGAAGTTTTCGCGCTCTTCGCACATGGGGTATACTCCGCGATGTTAGTGAATGTTAATGAATCGCGCACTCTTTAGTATTTAATTCTTTGTTACGTTAGTGTCTTTATATTTCCTCTATGTTCTGTTGTGTTGTTTACTACGAAAGTGTCTCACGCACTGTTTTCTTTCTTGTCTGACTGTTACGTTAATGTCTCGCGCACTGTTTTCTGTGTTCTGTTTATTTGTTACGTTAGTGTCTCTCGCACTGTTTTCTCTGCTCTCTTTGTTTGTCACATAAGTGAGTCTCGCCCACTGTTTTCTTTGTGTTCTGTTTGATTGTTTCTGACGTTGTCTCGCGCACTGTTTTCTCTGTGTTCTGTTTGATTGTTACGTTAGTGTCTCAGGCACCGTTTTCTCTGTGTTCTGTTTGATTGTTTGTTACGTTAGTGCCTCGAGCACGGTTTTCTATGTGTTCTGTTTAACTGTTCGCTAAGTTAGTGTCTCGTGCATTGTTTTCTTTTTTGTTCTGTTGGATTGTTTGTCGCGTTAGTGTCTCTTTTACTGTTTTGTTTGAGTTCTGTTTGATTGTTTGTTACATCTGTGCCTCGCGCACTGTTTCCTCTGTGTTTTATTTGATTATTTGTTGCGTTAGTGTCTCTTACACTGTTTCTTTGAGTTCTGTTTCATTGTTTGTAACGTTAGTGTCTCGCGCACTGTTTTCTGTGAGTTCTGTTGGGTTGTTTGTTACGTTAAAGCCTTGCGCACTGTTTTCTGTGACTTCTGATGCATTGTTTGTTACGTAAGTGTCTTGCGCACTGTGTTCTTTGAGTTCTGTTAGATTGTTTGTTACGTCAATGCCTTGCGAAGTGTTTTCTTTGAGTTCTGTTTGATTATTTGTTAAGTTAGTGCCTTCTGCACTGTTTTCTTTAAGTTCTGTTAGATTGTTACGTTAGTGCCTTGCACAGTTTTTTTTAGTTCTGACAGGTTGTTTGTTACGTTAGTGTCTTGAGCACTGTTTTCTGTGAGTTCTGTTTGATTGTTTGCTACGTTAGTGTCTTGCACAGGTTTCTGTGAGTTATGTTAGATTGTTTGTTACGTTAGTGCCTCGTGCACTGTTTTCTTTGAGTTCTGTTAGATTTTTGTAACGTGTTAGATTGTTTGTTACGCTAGTGCCTTGCACACTGGTTTTTTGAGTTGTTTTGGATTGTTTGTTACGTTAATGCCTTGCGCACTGTCTTTGTTGACTTCTGTTTGGTTGTTTGTTACATTACTGCCTTACGCACTGTTTTTTGTGAGTGCTGTTAGATTGTTTGTTACGTTAGTGTCTCGCGCGCTTTTTCCTTTGAGTTCTGCTAGATTGTTTGTTACGTTAGTGTCTTGCACACTGTTTTCTGTGAGTTTTGTTAGATTGTTTGTTACATTAGTGCCTTGCGCACTGTTTTCTGTAAGTTCTGTTAGATTGTTTGTTACGTTAGTGCCTTACGCACGGTTTTTTTTGAGGTCTGTTAGATTGCTTGTTACGTCAGTGCCTTGCGCACTGTTTTCTTTAAGTTCTGTTAAATTGTTTGGTGCGTCATTGTCTTGTGCACTGTTTTGTGTGAGTTCTGTTTGACTGTTTGTTACGTCAGTGCCTTGCGCACTGTTTTCTTTGAGTTCTGTTTGATTGTTAGTTACCTTAGGGCCTTACACACTGTTTTCTGTGAGTTCTGTTAGATTGTTTGTCGCGTTAATGCCTCGTGCACTGTTTTCTTTGCGTTCTGTTAGATTTTTTGTTGCGTGGGTGCCTTGCGAACTGTTTTCTTTGAATTCTCTTAGACTGTTTGTTACGTTAGTGCCTTGCGCACTGTCTTTTTGAGTTGTGTTGGAATGTTTGTCACGTTAGTACGTTGCGGACTGTCTTTGACTTCTGTTTGATTGTTTGTTACATTACTGCCTTGCGCACTCTTTTCTGTGAGTGCTGTTAGATTGTTTGTTACGTGTCTCGCGCGCTTTTTCATTTGAGTTCTGTTAGATTGTTTGTTACGTGAGTGCCTTGCGCTCTGTTTTCTTTAAGGTCTGTTAGATTGTTTCGTCAGTACCTTGTGCACTGTTTTCTTTGAGTTTTGTTCGATTTTTTTTTACGTAGGTGTCTTGCGCATTGTTTTATTTTAGTTGTGTTGGATTCTTTGTTAGGTGAGTGCCTTGCGCACTGTTTTCTTTGAGTTCTGTTAGATTGTTTCTTACGTTAGAGCCTTGCGCACTGTTGTTTTGAGTTGTGTTGGATTGTTTGTTACGTTAGTGCCTTGCGCACTGTCTTCTTTGACTTCTGTTTGATTGTTTGTTACATTACTGCCTTGCGCACTGTTTTCTGTAAGTTCTGTTAGATTGTTACGTTAGTGCCTTACGCACTGTTTTCTTTGAGTTCTGTGAAACCGTTTGGTGCGTTAGTGTCTTGCGGACTGTTTTTCGTAAGGTCTGTTAGATTGTTTGTTACGTCAGTACCTTGTGCACTGTTTTCTTTGAGTCTGTTAGATTGTTTCTTAGGTTAGTGTCTTGGGCACTGTTTTTTGTGAGTTCTGTTTGATTGTTGGTTACGTCAGTGCCTTGCGCACTGTTTTCTGTGAGTTCTGTGGGATTGTTACGTTAGTGCCTTGCGCACTGTTTTTTTGAGTTGTGTTGGATTGTTTGTCAGGTGAGTGCCTTGCGCACTGTTTTCTTTGAGTTCTGTTAGATTGTTTCTTACGTTAGTGCCTTGTGCACTGTCTTCTTTGACTTCTACTTGATCGTTTATTACATTACTCTGTGAGTTCTATTAGATTTTTACGTTAGTGCCTTGCGCACTGTTTTTTTGAGTTATGTTGGATTATTTGTTAGGTGAGTGCCTTGTGCACTGTTTTCTTTGAGTTCTGTTTGATTGTTTGGTACGTAAGTGCCTTGCGCACTGTTTTTTTTTTAGTTGTGTTGGATTGTTTGTTACGTTAGTGCCTTGCTCACTGTTTTCTGTGAGTTCTGTTTGATTGTTTGGTACGTTACTGCCTTGCGCACTGTTTTCTTTGAGTTCTGTTGGATTGGTTAATGCGTTAGTGCCTTGCGCACTGTTTTCTGTGAGTTCCGGTTGATTGTTTGCTACGTTAGTGCCTTGCGCACTGTTTTCTTTGAGTTCTGTTGGATTGTTTGTTATGTTAGTGTCTTGCACACTATTTTCTGTGAGTTTTGTTAGATTGTTTGTTGCATTAGTGCCTTGCGCACTATTTTATGTAAGTTCTGTTAGATTTTTTGTTACGTTAGTGTCTCGCGCGCTGTTTCCTTTGAGTTTTGCTAGATTGTTTGTTACGTTAGTGCCTTACGCACGGTTTTCTTTGAGGTCTGTTGGATTGTTTGTTACGTCAGTGCCTTGCGCACTGTTTTCTTTGAGTTCTGTTAAATTGTTTGGTGCGTCAGTGTCTTGTGCACTGTTTTTTGTGAGTTCTGTTTGACTGTTTGTTACGTTAGTGCCTTGCGCACTGTTTTTTTGAGTTGTGTTGGATTGTTTGTTTCGTTAGTGCGTTGCGCACTGTGTTCTTTGGCTTCTGTTTGATCGTTTATTACATTACTACCCTGCGCACTGTTTTCTGTGAGTGGTGTTAGTTTGTTTGTTACGTAAGTGTCTCGCGTTAGTGTCTTGCGCGCTGTTTTTTGTGAGCTCTGTTTGATTGTTTGTCACGTAAGTGCCTTGCGCACTGTTTTTTTTAGTTCTGTTGATTGTTTGTTACGTTAGTGTCTTACGTACTGTTTTCTTTGAGTTCTATTTGATTGTTTTGTACGTTAGTGCCTTGCGCACTGTTTGCTGTGAGTTCTTTTTGATTGTTTGCTACGTTAGTGCCTTCCGCGCTGTTTTTTGTGAGTTCTGTTTGATTGTTTGCTACGTTAGTGCCTTGCACATTGTTTTCCTTGAGTTTTGTTGCATTGTTTGGTACGTTGGTGCGTTTTGCACTGCTTTCTGTGAGTTTTGGTTGATTGTTCGCTATGTTAGAGCCTTGCGTACTGTTATCTTTGAGTTCTGTTAGATTGTTTGTTATGTTAGTATCTTGCACTTTTTTCAGTGAGTTGTGTTTGATTGTTTGGTACCTTAGTGCCTTGCGCACTGTTTTCTTTGAGTTCCTTTAGATTGTTACGCTAGTGCCTGTTTTCTGTGAGTTCTGTTTGATTGTTCGCTAGGTTAGTGTCTTGCGCACTGTTTTCCTTGAGTTGTCTTAGATTGTTTGTTACGTTAGTGCCTTGCGCACTTTTTTCTTTGAGATCTGTTAGATTATTTGGTGCGTTACTGTGTTGTGCACTGATTTCTGTGAGTTCTGTTTGATTGGTTGCTATGTTAGTGCCTTGCGCGCTGTATTCTGTGAGTTCTGTGTGACGTTTTGGTACATAAATTCCTTGCGCACTGTTTTCTGTGAGTTCTGTTTGATTGTTTCCTACGTTACCGCCTAGTGCACCGTTTTCTCTGAGTTCTGTTAGATTGTTTGTTACGTTTTCCTTGCGCACTGTTTTCTGTGAGTTGTAGTTGATTATTCGCTACGTTAGTGCCTTGCGCAAAGTTTTCTCTGAGTTCTGTTAGATTGTTTGTTTTGTTAGTATCTTGCACACTGTTTTCTGTGAGTTCTGTTTGATTGTTTGGTACGTTAGTGTCTTGCGCACTGTTTTCTTCGAGTTCTTTTAGATTGTTTGTTACGCTACTGTCTTGCGCACTGTTTTCTGTGAGTTCTGTGTGATTGTTTGCTACGTTAGTGTCTTGTGCACTGTTTTCCTTGAGTTGTCTTAGATTGTTTGTTACGTTAGTGCTTTGCGCACTCTTTTCTTTGAGTTCTCTTAGATTGTTTGGTACGTTAGTGCGTTGCGCACTGCTTTCTGTGAGTTCTGTTTGACTAATTGGTACGTTAGTTCCTTGCGCACTGTTTTCTGCGAGTTCTGTGAGACTGTTTCCTACGTTACTGGTTTGCGCATTGTTTTCTTTGAGTTCCGTTTGATTGTTTTTTGCGTTAATCTCTTGCGCACTTTCTTCTGTGAGTTCTAGTTGATTGTTCGCTACGTTAGTGCCTTGCGCAATGTTTTCTTTGAGTTCTGTTAGATTGCTTGTTTTGTTAGTATCTTGCGCACTGTTTTCTGTGAGTTCTGTTTGATTTTTTGGTACGTTAGTGCCTTGTGCACTGTTTTCTTCGAGTTCTTTTAGATTGTTTGTTATGCTACTGTCTTGCGCACTGTTTTCTGTAAGTTCTGCTTGATTTTTCGCTACGTTAGTGTCTTGTGCACTGTTTTCCTTGAGTTGTCTTTGATTGTTTGTTACGTTAGTGCTTTGCGCACTCTTTTCTTTGAGTTCTCTTAGATTGTTTGCTACGTTAGTGCGTTGCGCACTGCTTTCGGTGAGTTCTGTTTGACTATCATGTACGTTAGTTCCTTGCGCACTGTTTTCTGCGAGTTATATGAGACTGTTTCCTACGTTACTGGTTTGCGCATTGTTTTCTTTGAGTTTTGTTTGATTGTTTTTTGCGTTAATCTCTTGCGCACTTTTTTCTGTGAGTTTTGGTTGATTGTTCGCTACGTTAGTGCCTTACGCAATGTTTTCTTTGAGTTCTGTGAGATAGTTCGTTTTGTTAGTATCTTGCGCACTGTTTTCTGTGAGTTCTGTTTGATTGTTTGGTACGTTAGTGCCTTGCGCACTGTTTTTTTCGAGTTCTTTTAGATTGTTTGTTACACTACTGTCTTGCGCACTGTTTTCTGTGAGTTCTGGTTGATTGTTCGCTACGTTAGTGTCTTGTGCACTGTTTTCCTTGAGTTGTCTTAGATTGTTTGTTACGTTAGTGCTTTGCGCACTCTTTTCTTTGAGTTCTCTAAGATTGTTTGGTACGTTAGTGCGTTGCGCACTGCTTTCTGTGAGTTCTGTTTCATTGTTTGCTACGTTAGTGCCTTGCGAGCTATTTTCTGTGAGTTCTGTTTGACTATCTGGTACGTTAGTTCCTTGCGCACTGTTTTCTGCGAGTTCTGTGAGACTGTTTCCTACGTTACTGGTTTGCGCTTTGTTTTCTTTGAGTTCTGTTTGATTGGTTTTTGGGTTAATCTCTTGCGCACTTTTTTCTGTGATTTCTGGTTGATTGTTTGCCTCGTTACTGACTTGCGCACTGTATTCTTTGAGTTCTTTTTGATTTTTTGTCACGTTAGTGCCTTGCGCAATGTTTTATGTGAGTTCTGTTTGATTGTTTGGTACGTTAGTGCCTTGCGCTCTGTTTTCTTCGAGTTCTTTTAGATTGTTTGTTACGCTACTGTCTTACGCACTGTTTTCTGTAAGTTCTGTTTGATTGTTTGTTACGTTGGTGCCTTGCGCACGGTTTTCCTTGAGTTGTCTTAGATTTTTTGTTACGTTAGTGCCTTGCGCACTGTTTTTTTTGAGTTCTGTTAGATTGTTTGGTTTGTTAGTGCCTTGCGCACTGTGTTCCTTGAGTTCTTTTTGATTTTTTTCTACGTTAATGCCTTGCGCACTGTTTTCTGTGAATTCTGTTTGATTGTTTGCTATGTTACTGCCTTGCGTACTGTTTTCTTTGAGTTCTGTTTCATTGTTTGTTACGTTAGTGCTTTGCGCGCTTTTTTCTGTGAGTTATGTTTGATTGTTTGGTATGTTAGTGCCTTGTGTACTGTTTTTCGGTGAATTCTGTTAGATTGTTACGCTAGTGCCTTGCGCACTGTTTTCTGCGAGTTCTGTGAGATTGTTTCCTACGTTACTGGTTTGCGCATTGTTTTCTTTGAGTTCTGTTTGATTGTTTTTTGGTGAATCTCTTGCGCTCTTTTTTCTGTGAAATCTGGTTAATTGTTCGCTACGTTAGAGCCTTGCGCAATGTTTTCTTTGAGTTCTGTCAGATTGTTTGTGTTGTTAGTATCTTGCGCACTGTCTTCTGTGAGTTCTGTTTGATTGTTTGGTACGTTAGTGCCTTGCGCACTGTTTTCTTCGAGTTCTTTTAGATTGTTTGTTACACTACTGTCTTGCGCACTGTTTTCTGTGAGTTCTGTTTGATTGTTTGCTACGTTTGTGTCTTGTGTACTGTTTTCTTTGAGTTGTCTTAGATTGTTTGTTACGTTAGTGCTTTGCGCACTCTTTTCTTTGAGTTCTCTTAGACTGTTTGGTACGTTAGTGCGTTGCGCACTGCTTTCTGTGAGTTCTGTTTCATTGTTAGCTACGTTAGTGCCTTGCGCGCTATTTTCTGTGAGTTTTGTTTGACTATTTGGTACGTCAGTTCCTTGTGCACTGTTTTCTGCGAGTTCTGTGAGACTGTTTCCTACGTTAATGCCTGGCGCAATGTTTTCTTTGAGTTCTGTCAGATTGTTTGTTTTGTTAGTATCTTGCGCACTTTTTTCTGTGAGTTCTGTTTGATTGTTTGGTACGTAAGTACCTTGCGCACGGTTTTCCTTGAGTTGTCTTAGATTTTTTGTTACGTTAGTGCCTTGCGCACTGTTTTTTTTGAGTTCTTTTAGATTGTTTGTTACGCTGCTGTCTTGTGCACCGTTTTCTGTGAGTTCTGTTTGATTGTTTGTTACGTTAGTACCTTGCGCACGGTTTTGCTTGAGTTGTCTTAGATTTTTTGTTACGTTAGTGCCTTGCGCACTGTTTTTTTTTAGTTCTGCTAGATTGTTTGGTTTGTTAGTGCCTTGTGCACTGTGTTCCTTGAGTTCTTTTTGATTGTTTTCTACGTTAGTGCCTTGCGCACTGTTTTCTGTGAGTTGTGTTTGATTGTTTGGTATGTTAGTGCGTTGCGTATTGTTTTCTCTGAATTCTGTTTGTTTGTTTGCTACGTTACTGCCTTGCGTACTGTTTTCTTTGAGTTCTATTTGATTGTTTGTTACGTTAGTGCGTTGCGCACTTTTGTCTGTGAGTTATGTTTGATTGTTTGGTATGTTAGTGCCTTGTGTACTGTTTTCTGTGAATTTTGTTAGATTGTTACGCTAGTGCCTTGCGCACTGTTTTCTGCGAGCTCTGTGAGATTGTTTCCTACGTTACTGTTATGCGCATTGTTTTCTTTGAGTTCTGTTTGATTGTTTTTTGGGTTAATCTCTTGCGCACTTTTTTCTGTGCGTTCTGGTTGATTGTTTGCCTCGTTAGTGACTTGCGCACTGTATTCTTTGAGTTCTTTTTGATTTTTTGTCACGTTAGTGCCTTGCGCAATGTTTTCTTTGAGTTCTGTTTGATTGTTTGCTACGGTAGTGCCTTGCGCTCTGTTTTCTTCGAGGTTTTTTAGATTGTTTGTTACGCTACTGTCTTACGCACTGTTTTCTGTGAGTTCTGCTTGATTGTTTGTTACGTGCCTTGCGCACGGTTTTCCTTGAGTTGTCTTAGATTTTTTTGTTACGTTAGTGCCTTGCGCACTGTTTTTTTTAGATTGTTTGGTACGTTAGTGCCTTGCGCACTGTGCTCCTTGAGTTCTTTTTTATTGTTTCCTTTGTAGAGCCTTGTGCACTGTTTTCTGTGAGTTGTGTTTGATTGTTTGGTATGTTAGTGCGTTGTGCATTGTTTTCTGTGAATTCTGTTTGATTGTTTGCTACGTTACTGCCTTGCGTACTGTTTTCTTTGAGTTCTGTTTGATTGTTTGTTACGTAAGTGTGTTGGGCACTATTTTCTGTGAGTTATGTTTGATTGTTTGGTATGTTAGTGCCTTATGCACTGTTTTCTGTGAATTCTGTTAGATTGTTACGCTAGTGCCTTGCGCACTGTTTTCTGTGAATTCTGTTTTATTGTTTTCTACGGTAGTGCTTTGCGCACTGTTTTTCTTGAGTTCTGTTAGATTGTTTGTTACGTTAGTGCCTTCCGCACTGTTTTCTTTGAGTTTTGTTAGACTGTTTTGTACGTTAGTGCCTTGCGCACTTTTTTCTTTGAGTTCTATTTCATTGTTTGGTACGTTAGTGCGTTGCGCACTGTTTTCTGTGAGTTATGTTTGATTGCTTTGTACGTTAGTGTCTTGCGCACTGTTTTCTTTGAGTTCTGTTAGATTGTTTTCTACGCTAGTGCCTTGCGCACTGTTTTCTGTGAGTTCTGTTTTATTGTTCGCTACATTAGTACCTTGGGCACTTTTCCTTGTGTTCTGTTAGATTGCTCGGTACGTTAGTAACTTTCGCACTGATTTCTGTGAATTCTTTTTGATTTTTTGCTACGTTAGTGCCTTGTGCGCTGCTTTCTGTGAATTCTGTTTGATTGTTTGGTACGTTAAAGCCTTGCGCACTGTTTTTTGTGAGTTCTGTTTGATTGTTTGCTTCGTTACTGACCTGCGCACTGTTTTCTGCGAGTTCTATTAGATTGTTTGTTGCGTTAGTGCCTTACGCACTGTTTTCTGTGAGTTCTGTTTGATTGTTTGTTACGTTAGTGCCCTGTGCACTGTTTTCTGTGAGTTCTGTTTGATTGCTTGCTATGTTAGTGCGTTTTGCACTGTTTTCCGTGAGTTCTGTTTGATTATTTGCTACGGTAGTGCGTTGCGCACTGCTTTCTGTGAGTTCTGTTTCATTGTTTGCTACTTTAGTGCCTTGCGCGCTGTTTTCTAAGATTTCTGTTTGACTTTTTGGTACGTTCGTTCCTTGCGCACTGTTTTCTGCGAGTTCTATTTGATTGTTTTCTACGGTACTGCCTCGTGCACTGTTTTCTTTGAGTTCTGTTAGATGGTTTATTACGTTTGTACCTTGCACACTGTTTTGTTTGAGTTCTGTTAGTTTGTTTGATACGTCAGTGTCTTGCGCACTGTTTTCTGTGATTTGTTTTTGATTTTTTGCTACGTTATTGCCTTTTGCGGTTTTCTGTGAATTGTTTGATTGTTTGATACGTCGCGCACTGTTTTTTGTGAGTTTTGTTTGCCTCGTTACTGACTTGCGCACTGTATTCTTTGAGTTCTTTTTGATTTTTTGTCACGTTAGTGCTTTGTGCACTGTTTTCTGTGAGTTCTGTTTGATTGTTTGGTTCGGTAGTGCCCCTTTGTTTTCTGTGAGTTCTGTTTAATTGTTTGCTACGTTAGTTCGTTGCGCACTGTTTTCTGTGAGATCTGTGTGATTGTTTGCTACGTTAGTGCCTTGCGCACTGTTTTCTATGAGGTCTTTTTGATTGTTTGGTGCGTTAGTGCGTTGTGCAGTGCTTTCTGTGAGTTCTGTTTGATTGTTTGCTACGCTAGTGCCTTGTGCGCTGTTTTCTGTGAGTTGTATTTGATTGTTTGCTACGTTAGTGCCTTGCGCACTGTTTTCTGTGAGATCTGTTTGATTGTTTGTTGAATTTGTGTCTTGTGCACTGTTTTCTGTGAGTTCTGTGTGACTGTTTGCTACGTTAATTCCTTGCGGACCGTTTTTTTAGTTCTGGTAGATTTTTTGTTCCTTTTTTGCCTTGTGCACTGTTTTCTGTGAGTTCTGATTGATTATTTGGTACGTTAGTGCCTTGCGCACTGTTTTCTGTGAGTTCTGTTTGATTGTTTTGTACATTAGTGCCTTGCGCACTGTTTTCTGTGAGTTGTGTTTGATTGTTTACTTCGTTACTGACTTGCGCACTGTTTCCTTTGGGTTTTGTTAGATTTTCTGTTGCGTTAGTGCCTTGTGCACTGTTTTCTGTGAGTTCTGTTTGATTGTATGTTACGTTAGTGCCTTGCGCACTGTTTTCTGTGAGTTCTGTTTAATTGTTTGCTACGGTAGTGCGTTGTGCCTTGTTTTTTGTGAGTTCTGTTTGATTGTTTGCTTCGTTACTGACTTGGGCACTGTTTTCTTTTGGTTTTGTTAGACTGTTTGTTGCGTGAGTTCCTTGCGCACTGTTTTCTGTGAGTTCTGTTTGATTGTATGTTGCGTTAGTGCCTTGCACACTGTTTTCTGTGAGTTCTGTTTGATTGTGTGGTACGATAGTGCCTTGCGCACTGTTTTCTGTGAGTTCTGTTTAATTGTTTGCTACGTTATTGCCTTGCGCGCTGTTTTCTGTGAGTTCTGTTTGACTTTTTGGTACGTTTGTTCCTTGCGTACTGTTTTCTGTGAGTTCTGTTAGATGGTTTGTTACGTTATTGCCTTGCACACTGTTTTCTTTGAGTTCTGTTAGTCTGTTTGATACGTCAGTGCCTTGCGCATTGTTTTCTGTGAATTCGTTTTGAGTTTTTGCTACGTTAGTGCCTTGCGCGCTGTTCTCTGTGAGTTGTGTTTGATTGTTTTATACGTTGCGCACTGTTTTTTTTGAGTTCTGTTTCATTGTTTTCCTCGTGACTGACTTGCGCATTGTTTTCTTTGAGTTCTTTTTGATTTTTTGGTACGTTAGTGCCTTGCGCATGGTTTTTTGTGAGTTCTGTTTGTTTTTTTGCTACGGTAGTGCGTTGCGCACTGCTTTCTGTGAGTTCTGTTTCATTGTTTGCTACGTTAGTGCCTTGCGCGCTGTTTTCTGTGAGTTCTGTTTGACTTTTTGGTACGTTCGTTCCTTGCGCACTGTTTTCTTCGAGTTCTGTTTGATTGTTTTCTACGTTACTGCCTCGCGCACTGTTTTCTTTGAGTTCTATTAGATGGTTTATTACGTTAGTGTCTTGCACACTGTTTTCCTTGAGTTCTGTTAGTTTGTTTGTTACGTAAGTTCCTTGTACACTGTTTTCTGTGAGTTTTTTATTTTTTGCTACGTTAGTGCCTTGCGCGCTGTTTTCTGTGAATTGTGTTTGATTGTTTGATACGTTGTGCACTGTTTTTTGTGAGTTCTGTTTGATTGTTTGCTTCGTTACTGGCTTGCGCACTGTATTCTTTGAGTTTCTTTTTGATTTTTTGTTACGTTAGTGCCTTGCGCACTGTTTTCTGTGAGTTCTGTTTGATTGTTTGGTACGGTAGTGCCTTGCGCTCTGTTCCCTGAGAGTTCTGTTTAATTGTTTGCTACGTTAGTGTCTTGTGCACTGTTTTCTTTGAGTTCTGTTTGATTGTTTGTTACGTTAGTGCCTTGCGCACTGTTTTCTATGAGGTCTTTTGTATTGTTTGGTACGTTAGTGCGTTGCGCAGTGCTTTCTTTGAGTTCTGTTTGATTGTTTGCTACGCTAGTGCCTTGCGCGCTGTTTTCTGTGAGTTCTATTTGATTGTTTGCTACGTTAGTGCCTTGCGCACTGTTTTCTGTGAGTTCTGTTTGATTGTTTGTTGCGTTAGTGTCTTGTGCACTGTTTTCTTTGAGTTCTGTGTAATTGTTTGCTACGTTAATTCCTTGCGCACTGTTTTTTTTAGTTCTGGTAGATTTTTTGTTACGTTTTTGCCTTGCGCACTGTTTTTGTGAGTTCTGTTTGATTATTTGGTACGTTAGTGCCTTGCGCACTGTTTTCTGTGAGTTCTGTTTGATTGTTTTGTACGTTAGCGCCTTGCGCACTGTTTTCATTTAGTTCTTTTTTATTGTTTGCTACGTTAGTGCCTTGCGCACTGTTTTCTCAGAGTTCTGTTTGATTGTTTGCTAAGTTACTGCCCTGCGCACGGTTTTTTGTGAGTTTTGTTTGATTTTTTGGTACGTTACTGTATTGGGTACTGTTATTGTGAGGTATGTATGAATTTTTCTATGTTAGTGCCTTTTGCACTGTTTTCTGTGTATTCTGTTTATGTGTTTGTTACGTTAGGGTCTTGCACACTGTTTTCTGCGAGTTATGTTAGATTGTTTGTTACATTAGTGTCTTGTACTGTTTTCTTTGAGTTCTGTTTGATTGTTTCTTACTGGAGTGCGTTGTTCACTGTATTTTTGACTTGTGTTGGATTGTTTATTACGGTAGTGCCTTGCGCACTGTTTTGTTAGAGTTCTTTTAGATTGTTTTTTACGTTAGTGTCTTGGTCACAATTTTTGTGAGTTCGTTTTTATTGTTTGTTAAGTTAGTATCTTGCACAATGTTTTCTGTGACTTCTGATGGATTGTTTGTTAAGTTAGTGTCTTGGACACTTTTTTCTGTGAGTTCTGTTAGATTGTCTGTTACATTAGTGCCTTGCGCACTGTTTTCTTTGAGTTCTGTTGGATTGTTTGTTACGTTAGTTCCTCGCGCACTGTTTTCTTTGAGTTCTGTTAGATTTTTTGTTGCGTGAGTGCCTTGTGCACTGTTTTCTTTGAGTTCTGTCAGATTGTTTGTTACGTTAGGGGCGTGTGCACTGTTTTTTTTTAGTTGTATTGGATTGTTTGTTACGTTAGTGCCTTGCGCACTATCTTCTTTGACTTCTGTTTGGTTGTTTGTTACATTACTGCTTTGCGCACTGTTTTCTTTGAAATCTGCTAGATTTTTTGGTACGTCAGTGCCTTCGGCACTGTTTTCTTTGACTTCTGTTTGATTATTTGTTACAGTAGTACCTTGCGCAGTGTTTTCTTTAAGTTCTGTAGATTTTTTTGTTACGTTAGTGCCTTGCTCACTGTTTTCTTTGAGTTCTGTTAGATTGTTTGTTACGTTAGGGCCTTGCGCACTGGTTTTTTAGCTTTGTTGGATTGTTTGTTACGTTAGTGCCTCACGCGTTGTTTCCTTTGAGTTCTGTTAGATTTTTTGTTACGTTGGTGCCTTGCGCACAGTTTTCTTTGAGATCTGCTAGATTGTTTGTTACTTCAGTGCCTTGCGCACTGTTTTCTTTGAAATCTGCTAGAGGTTTTTGTGCGTTAGTGTCTTGCGCACTTATCTTCTGAGTTCTGTTTTATTGTTTGTTACGTTAGTGCCTTGCGCACTGTTTTCTTTGATTTCTGTTCGATTGTTTGTTACCTTAGAGTCTTGCACACTGTTTTCTGTGGGTTCTGTTAGATTGTTTGTTACGTTAGTGCCTTGCACACTTTGAGTTCTGGTAGTTTTATTGTTACGTGAGTGCCTTACGCACTGCTTTGTTTGAATTCTGTTAGACTGTTAATTACGTTTGTTCCTTGCATAAAGTTTTTTTTGTTGTGTTGGGTTGTTTGTTACGTTAGTGCTTTGCGCAGTGTCTTCTTTGACTTCAGTTTGATTGTTTGATACAGTACTGCCTTGTGCACTGTTTTCTGTGAGTGCTGTTAGATTGTTTGTTACGTTAGTGTCTTGCGCGCTTTTTTCTTTGCGTTCTGTTAGATTGTTTGTTAGGTTAGTGCCTTGCGCACTGTTTTCTTAGGGGTGGGTTAGATTGTTTGTTACGTCAGTACCTTGGGCATTGTTTTCTTTCAGTTCCGTTAGATCGTTTGTTACGTTAGTGTCTTGGGCATTGTTTCCTGTGAGTTCTGTTTGATTGTTTGTTACGTTAGTGCTCTGCGCACTGTGTTTTTGAATTGTGTTGGATTTTTTGTTACGTTAGTGCCTCGCGCAGTCTTCTTTGACTTCTGTTTGATCCTTTACATCACTGCCTTGCGCACTGTTTTCTGTGAATTCTGTTAGATTGTTGCGTTAGTATCTTGCACGCTGTTTCGTTTGAGTTCTGTTAGATTGTTAGGTTAGTGCCTTGTGCACGGTTTTCTTTGAAGTCTGTTAGATTGTGTGTTACGTGAGTTCCTTGGGCACTGTTTTCTTTTAGTTCTGTTAAATTGTTTGGTGCGCTAGTGTCTTGCGCACTGTTTTCTTTGAGTTGTGTTTGATTGTTTCTTACCTTAGTGTCTTGCACACTGTTTTCCGTGAATTCTGTTAGATTGTTTGTTACGTTAGTGCGTTGCGCACTGTTTTCCTTGAATTGTTTGATTGTTTGTTAGTTAGTGCCTCGAGCACTGTTTTCTTTGAGTTCTGTAAGATTTTTTGTACGTGAGTGCCTTGTGCACTATTTTTTTTGAGTTGTGTTGGATTGTTTGTAACGTTAGTGTCTTGTACATTGTTTTATGTGAGTTCTGTAAGATTTTTTGGTACGTGAGTGCCTTACGCACTGTTTTGTTTTAGTTCTGTTAGATTGTTTATTACGTTAGTGCCTTGCGTTTTTTTTTTTGAGTTGTGTTTTAGTGTTTGTTGCGTTCGTGTCTCACGCACTGTTTTCTGTGAGTTCTGTTTGACTGTTTGTTACGTTAGTGCCTTGCGCACTGTTTTCTGTGAGTGCTGTTAGATTGTCTGTTACATTAGTGCTTTGCGCACTATTTTCTGAGTTCTGTTTGATTGTTTGTTACATTAGTGCCTTGGGCACTTTCTTCTCTGTATTCTGTTTGATTGTTTGTTACGTTAGTGTCTCGTGCACTGTTTTCTCTGTGTTGTGTGTGATTGTTTGTTACGTTAGCGTCTCGCACACTGTTTTCTCTGTGTTCTGTTTAACTGTTTGTTACGTTGGTGCGTCGTGCACAGATTTTCATTACTCAATTTGATTGTTGGTTGCGTTCGTGTCTCGCGCACTGTTTTGCTTGTTTTGTTTTATTGTCTGTTACGTTAGTGTCTCGCGTACTGTTTTTCCTGTGTTCTGTTTGATTGTTTTGATTGTTTGTCACGTTAATGTCCCGCGCACTGTCTTTCCTATGTTCTGTTTGGTTGTTTACTACGTTCGTGTCTCGCGCACTGTTTTTCTTGTGTTCTGTGTGATTGTTTGTTACGTTGGTGCCTCGCGCAGTTTTCTCTGTGTTGTGTTTGATTGTTTGTGACGTTTATGTCTCGTGCACTGTTTTCTTTGTGTACTGTATGATTGGTTGTTACATTAGTGTTTCGCGCACTTTTTCGTGTGTATTCCGTTTGATTGTTTGTTACGTTAGTGCCTCGAGCACGGTTTTCTCTGTGTTCTGTTTAACTGTTCGCTACGTTGGTGCCTCGCGCAGTTTTGTCTGTGTTCTGTTTGATTGTTTGTTACGTTAGTGCCTCGCGCATTGTTTCTCTTTTTTCTGTTTGATCATTTATTTTGTTGGTGCCTCGCGCACAGTTTTTCCTGTGTTCACCAACGTAACAAATAGTCAAGCAGAACACAGAGAAAAACGTGCGCGACACACTAACGTAACAAACAGTCAAACAGAACACAGGACAAACTGTGCGCAAGGCACTAACGTACCAAACACTCAAACAGAACACAGAGAAAACAGTACACGAGACACTAATGTAACAAACAATCAAAAAGAACACAAAAAAAAACAGTGCGCGAGGAACTAACGCAACAAAAAGTCAACAGAACTCAGAAAAAAGTGCGCGTACACTAATGCGAAAAACAATCAAACAGAGCTAAAAGAAAACAATGCACGAGACACTAACTTAACAAACAATCGAACAGAACACAAAGAAAATAGTGCGCGAGACATAAACGTTACAAACAATCAAACAAAACAGACTAAACTGCGCGAAACACTAACGTAAAAACAATCAAGCAGAACATAGGAAAAAACTGTGCGCAAGGCACAAACGTAACAAACAGTCAAAGAGATCACAGGAAAAACAGTGCGCGAGACACTAACGAAACAAAGAATCAAACAGAACGCAGGAAAACCAGTGCACGGGACACTAACGCGACAAATAATCAAACATAACATAGGAAAACGGGTGCACGAGACATTAACGTAAAAACAATCCAACCGAACACCAGCAAAACAGTGCGCGAGACACTAACGTAACTAACAATCAAACAGAACACAGGAAAATCAGTACACGAGACACTAACGCGACAAACAATCGCACAGAACACAGAGAAAACAGTGCGCGAGACATTAACGTCACAAACAATCAAACAGAAAACAGGCAAAACTACGCGAAACACTAACGTAAAAACAATCAAGCAGAACACAGGAAAAAACTGTGCGCGAGACACTAACGTAACAAACAATTTTGCTGGTGTTCAAACAGAACACGGTTGGCAAACAATTGTTTTGCGAGGCACTAACGTAACGTTCAAATGTCTCGCGCACCCGTTTTCCTGTGCTCTGTTTGATTGTTTTGACGTTTAGTGTCGCGCCCACTGTTTGTTTATTTGTTCTTCCTCCTGATCTGTTTGATTGTTTGTTACGTTAGTGTCTCGCCCACTGTTCTTCCTGTGATCTCTTTGATTGTTTGCTACGTTCGTGTCTCTGTGCTCTATTTGATTACTTGTTACTTCTGCGTCCCGCGCACTGTTTTTCCTGTGTTCTGTTTCGACTCGCGCTATGATTTCTGTTTTTTTTTTCGCGCTTATGTCTCCCACGCATTTTTTTTATGTGTTTTGTTTAATTGTTAAGTTTCTAGTACGCAACTGTTTTGGTTTTTCATTATTCTGTTTGACTATTAATAGTATCCCGCCCATTCTCAGCATAGTTGTGTTCAGTCTGATTGTTATCTCAGTTGCGCTCTGTGTTGCCGTATGCTTTGTTTAGTAGATTCATGTGTTTTTATCATGTGTTTATATCTCGAAATCGCCTTATTTTACTCGTTTTTCTTTCCAATAACTTTACCTTTTTTTTTCAGATTTGGCCGTCGTGTGCCTTTTTGTGTCTTCATGATCATCGGTGGAGTTGCGTGTCTTCTTGTTCTTATTGTTCCTAAAGGTATGCTTCTAACTTATTGACTGAATTTGATTTCCAGTTCGCAACGTCATAGCATTCTCGACCTCTTTTTATTTGCTACTTTTGAAGTAGCTTTGTTATTGGTTAAAGCCATTTCGCGTCACGTGACTATTCCATAGTAGTTAACAGAGTAGTTAATTGTGTAATGAAGTATCCATTTTAGTCAACAGCTCAACATCAGTGCGTGTATTCTTCATACTGTTCTCTACACATTTCCTATCACACTGACAAGGAGAATTTATTTAACAATCAAAGGCTTCTTAAGGCGATGATTTCTTTTATTCTCATGACCTTAATGTGTGATTCAGTAGTGATTCTGTAAGGAGAAATTAGCTGTAAATCACTGTTAGGGATGAAAGGGTTAACTTTCTTTACTTCTACATGTAAGAAATATTGTACGCTTTCGACCCTGCGAGAGTCTTGATACACATCTAATGGTTGGGACGAATGATACATCATATGGTGATTGTATGGTGTGAGAGGGGTTATGTCAGAGAGGGGATTGGGGAGGAGTAAGATTTCGTCTCGGAGACGGTTACAGGGGGTGAAGTTAAAGATATTGAGGAATGAAAGTGATGTGAGTTTCAGTAGAAATTTATCATTTTATAATAATTAAATTTTTACAGACGAAGAACGATTCATCAGAATTCTCGCTTTTATTGGACGCGGCTTTGTTACGATGTCATTTTCAATCTTATATCTGTATAGCAGTGAACTGTACCCTACTTCCATTAGGTGAGACAAAAAAAGACTGATTCTCTTATTCTGATGAGATGCTTAGTGATCGAGTGAAATCCAATTCAGTTTATTTGGTTCATGGAAGCTATGTTATGTTGCTCTCTTCATTGCAGTTGTTTCTGTCTGTGTGCTTGTGTTTAGTTAGGTTGGTGCATTAGCGCAAATGGATCTATTCTTACTCTCACCCTGATATTTTCTTGATTGTCACGTTAGCAGTTTGCATTCGCTCCTTTCTCCTTTCTAATTTTTGCACAAGTAATTAACGTTATGTATGTGTTTATGTTTAAATGTTCGGTAGTTATGCACAACACATTGTTTCTTTTTGTTTCAGCAATGTGCATTCTCTTGCTTGATTAAGTTGGTTAAGATTTATGTTCTCCCTTGTTCCCTGCCCTGCCCGCTGTTTGAAATATCAAAAATAGCATCCGGCATATCTTTCCTGTGTGAATTACTCTCAATAGGAACCTTGCTGTTGGGACTTGTTCAACTATTGCTCGCCTTGGTTTTATTTTGGCCTCCTATATTGTTATGCTGGTAAGTAATATGTGCTTATGGACTACTTTGGGGAGCTGAATATCAATGGTAAAAATTACAATGATACACTGGCAAAGTCTAGAGAATGAAGGCTGGATCGAAAAAACGGACTCACCAAGTTCCTACCATGAATCTGTAGATGATTGAATTTTAAGTCATTTGCATCAAAGTGTATTTTAAACGTGTAATTTTTTTCCATCTCGCAGTCGCAGTTACCCGGACTCAGTGTTATTTTTCCGATGGTTGTCTTTGGAGTATTAGCTTTAACCGCTGGCCTAGTGATACTTTGGCTTCCAGAGACTCTCAACTCAAACATGTGTCAGACGTTGGACGAAACAAATCGACAAAATGAATATTATGGGTTTATATGGATGGAGAGACGTGTTAATATTCCATTTTCATTTTCAAGGTGAGACACCGGTTTGGCAATGGGGGGAGGGGTGGTCTGAGGATTTTTCCGGGGGGATCACATGGTTCTCAGCGAGGACAAAGGGGGGATCAATAGGTAACTACCAATAACGGGGGATCACTAGGATAACACAGAGCGTCAGTGGGGGATCAGGTAGATTTTATTCTGACACAGCCATAATCCTCTGACCTCATCGCCCCCCCTCCCGATGATAAATATTGACTGGTCCCTTAACCTTTTCACTCCCAAGATCGTATTAGTAATTCTCCTTACTGTCTGCTGTACAATTCTTATGATTTTAGTTCTGAGAATTTGTGACTGGATCAACTGTTAATCCTTAATTTATATTTCTCTCTATTCTTATCACCTGTTTGCTATAAATTGTATGGATATTGTAGGGAGAAATTCAGTCGTGGTCACTCATGGGAGTTAAAGCCTCATAGTGAGTGTCGCGTGTGATTCAGTGAGAATCAAGTGAAAACATAGCAAGAAAAAGTGAATGAATACTAAGAAGCGTTTTTCTGTTCAGACTCAGGTCTTCAGGCGCTGCACATGTGCGTGTTGTTTCCAACGAGGGGGTTCAAGTTGGGGAGGACAGTGACGGTGATGATGATGATACCGTGGACAATGCTCCATTGATTACTTGACAGAACATAGTCAATGTTTGATTTTAATTATATTTAATTTTAAAGGTAAAACAATTGTACAGGGTTTTGTAATTCAAGGTAACCTTTTCCAGGCCTTCAGCGGTTGTCGGCATGCAAGTGCGGAGGCTGGGGAGAGACAGGCTCTCTTACTTTGTTCGCATGCCATTGTTAACAATCCAGAGCTTGGAATGGGTTACTCTGGTCATTGGTTATCGTGTTTGGTTAAGTGCGATCTATAATGGTAATTTAATTGGGTGGAGGGGAATTAGACGAGCACGCAGCGCAAGTTTGATTTGAAATCACAACAATGATTTCAGACCAAAATTGCACTACATTTTACACTTTATTGTATACATTCTGAAATTGCAAAATTCATTATCATCAGTGATTTCAAAATGGATGTAATAGATGTATCAATCGCACTGCTTGAATTCAACAAATTGCATAGATCATCAGACTTGAAATTATGTAATGGAGCTAAAAATATCCTTTTTTTAGCCTTTATTTTGATGTTATGAGGTTTTTATGAGGTTATTTATTATACACTTTCTATAGTTCGCACAACGCATCAAGCCAAAGATATACAGTTAGATACATTATGAAGTAGTTGGCACAATTACACAACTAATTGTTTTGATATTGTGTTTTGCTAAAATTCTTCAAATTTTTTCTTACCTGTAATTTTGAATCTCTCAATTTTATATCTCTTTTTATTTGTAATTATATTTTAAGTATATCTTGTTTTTCAAATTAAGCGTTTAAATTGTTTTAAAATTATTAATTTTGACTATACCGTGGAATTGTACATCCCCATCGTTAGCTCAACTACTGTTAATGTGGAAGATATTTCACTTTTATCTTGGATGTTGTAGGGTATAAATTTTATTAGGGATCAATTTTATTTGTTTTCAACAGAAATGTCTTTTGTATAATTAAGACGACGAGACATTTCCAGAAGAGCAGAATACTTAATTCTGTATTGTGTAAAAAAATAAAAATAAAAAACCTGTGTGGGCTTTAAAGAGCACCTCTGTCTGTCGAAACAAAATAATTTAGAACAAACTCGACTGCAAGTAATTGGGTATGGACGTAAGCCTCCTAAAAGTCATCAACGAATGTCTATCGCTTAAATGTTCACGAGTTTATTTCACATCCGTTATGAGGACTTCCCGAACCTTTCATAGTGCGTTATAAATAGCTTTTTAACCTTTCGATTGTTAGCAAGTTTCAAAGTCACAGCCCTTTTTTTGGAAAGAGAAAATCCTCTCTGAATATTAAAACAAAAAAAAGTTTGTTTATAAGCAAATATAAAATTTGTTAAACCAGGGTTGACTTGAGGTCTCCAAATGCTCATTTACCAATTTCTATTGTTTAAATATTCGTGAGCTCGTATCTCTGGCAAAATGAAGATTTCACAAAAAATTCACATTGTGTTCGAAAGAGCTTGATTGCGTGTCGATTGTTTGCAAGTTTTAAAGTTAAAGCTCTTTTTTGGAACGAGAAAATCCCCGCTGAATATTAAAACAAAATAGTTTTGTTAATGAGCAAAAATAGACCTGTTAGACAAGGGCTTGCTCAAGGTCCTAATTAACCAATTTCCATTGTTTAAATATTCATGGACTGATATCCATGGTAAAATGAGAATTTCCCGGACAATTTATAGTGTATCAGAAAAAGCTTGATTAGCTGTTTATTGCGTGCAAGTCCTAAATTCACAGCTCTTTCTTGGAACGAGAAAATACTCGCCGAATATTAAGACAAAAGAATTTTGTTAATGAGTAAAAATAGACCTGTTGAAGAAGGGTTTGCTTAAGGTCCACAAAAACTAATTAACCAATTTCTATTGTTTAGATATATTCATGGACTGATATCTCTGGCAAAATGAGGATTTTCCGGATAATTTATAGTGTATCAGAAAAGGTTTGATTAGCTGTCGATTGCGAGCAAGTTTCAGAGTCGCAGCTTCTTTTTGGAACGAGAAAATCCATGCTAAATATTTAAACAAAAGAGTTATGTTAATAAGCAAATAAAGATTTTTAAAACAGGGTTACCTCAAGATCCCCAAACGTTCATCAGCCAATTTCTTTTGTTTAAATATTCATGGGCCGATATCTCTGGCAAAATGAGGATTTCCCGGACAGTTCATGGTGTATCAGAAAAAGCTCGATTAGCTGTCGATTGCGACCAAGTTTCAGAGTCACTGCTCTTGTTTTGGGAACGAGAAGATCCCTGCTGAATATTTAAACAAAAGAATTTTGTTAATAAGCAAATACAGGGTTAGCTCGAGGTCCCCAAATGCTCATCAACCAATTTCTAAATAGACCTGTTGAACTAGGGTTGGCTCAAGGTCGACAAAAGCTCCTAAACCAATTTATATGAAAGCTTGATTAGCTGTCGATTGTGTGCAAACAAAATAAAATAATTTTGTGATGATGAGCAAAATGGGACTCTTGAATCAGGGTTGGCACGATGTCCCTAAAAACTCATTAATCTGTACCCGTTATGATGTAAATGTTTAAAAAGGTAGGTAAAGAAATGAGCATACAGCTCAAAGTAAAGTGTCTTTGCGTCTCTTAAACTAAAGAACATACACTGTCATAACCAAAGACGAGGGCGAGAAATCAGGGCCCAGATTTTCATTGGGCAGATACAGTTAACCAACGGATAAATCGCTATGTAACGGAGGAGTGTTAACAAAACGTACTATGCCATTCACCGGATGGAGATTTATCCGGCAGATAGCGTTTTCCACCCTCATGAGCCACCAGTGTCAGATGGATTAAATAATACAAAGGCAAATCCTATGAGAACAATCCATGCGGATTTATGAAACATCGCTCATGTCATTTTTTCCATTTTCTTGGTGACTTGTAGGTGATAAGAAATCCATGAACGGCAGCAACTAGAGTACTACAACTTGCAAAACTGAGCCCACGATGTGGTTCACTCGACTATAGCATTGCTAGGCAACGCAAATCCCGTAATAGTTTCCGACTTGTCCATAGGGACCTGAACGCGTTTCGATTGCAGTACAGACAACAAGCGGCCTTTAGGTGTTTTCACTGTTCTCCATGGCTAAGTTCATTTGTTTAAAGAAGGTTTTTCTAGTCATAAATAAAGTTTAATCAGCTCATCACTGACAGCAGAAGGCGTTAGAACTCCAAGATCTGTGAACAGCAGGGTGATGTAGGATGGTGGAGTATAGTCAACTATTGGATGACTATCCCCACTGGAAGAACTTCCTGAGTACTAAAGCAACAAAACCAAGCACATCAATAAAAGGGTGACACACGGGGACAATCCAGGGAGTGTTACATCAAAAAATGTCCCTTGACACTTGTCTAAAAACGGTGCCACAAAATTTCGAGAAAAACAACCCAACCCAACCCATTTCTACTACAAACCGAATGCATCTCCCATGCTCGCTCTTTTAGCGCGCAGGTGCTTTCTCTCTTTTTGGTCGAAACCATCTTTTTTACGACAGACTTTATTGGAACGCTAGTGTCAATTCACGCTTACCAAGTTTGTGAGTCCACTTGCCTCTACATATCGTATTTCCTCGAACAAGTGGCCAAGCTTTAATGAGCTCCCTCCCCTGAGTAAGTCCCCACCCCCTGTGTCACAATGTCAAACAAGCGCCCCTCTCCAATAACCGCCCCCTTCGCCCTCACTTTCAAGGTCTAACAGATCAAGAGAAATGCGACAATCTGCGTATCCCTAACGAGGATGTAGAGTGTTTAATGGGACTTCTATACGCTTGGTTACCGACTATTGCCTTAACAAACGAAATACATTAATATTGAATTTACGTCTATATGGATAGTGTTGTTGATTTGTTTCTTATTAAAGATACTACGGCTAAAATAAAGCTACAATTCGTCAAAGGAAAAGCTAATAAAGTCCCCCCACCCCCTCAATTAAGCTTCCTTCTTTAGATAAGCCTAAATCACAAATAAACGCCTTGGCGTTTATGCGAGGAAATACGGTAAGTACCAACGATCATTCTTTAGCCTCCCCGGAAGTTTGAATAAGGAAAATTAAAGAGCAGAAACATTTTTTTCTCACACATTACTCAGAGAGGGTCCACAATAATAAATGTCCAAGTATTCTAAAAGAAAGTACTCACCTTAAAGTGGTTCGGTACGTCTTCTTGATTAAGTGGATAAAGTCGAACGAACTTGAAACTTTCTGCCACTACATAGAATGGTTTATTGACCGCTTTGGTCATAACTGCCATCTGATATGTGCCAACCTATGAATACAAACTTGTTCATTCAATACGTTACGAGTATCAGCAAGTAAATTTAAAATCACGAGCGAATAACTAAAAGAGCGGAACGGGCGACCGACGAAACGAATAAACGAACGAAGATCGATCGATTAATCAATAATGAACATTACGGTGTGTATACGTGAGTGCATGTAAGCTTATACTGACACACGACAGAACGTATGCGGTCGGATTTCGGTAATGTTGTACCAGTCAAATGCATGCTGAAGACTTCAAGACTTCGCCACACACGGATTTCACTGAATAATTCGTTTAAATCTAATGTTCACTGATCACTTAACTCATCTCAGTTTGTGAGAAAGAGGGAAACTCTAAACTGATGTCATCATGTAAACAACTGCACACCACCCCTCCCCTCCCCTCACGCAACATTGAGTCTGACTTGCTATCAGTTGAGTGTTGTTGAAAACTCTCATCATTCACTTACTGTAGCAACTCAATACTCACTTTATTAATAATTCCACCACTCTCTACCACACCTTCTGCACCCATAAGGACCAAGTCAACTTTTTCCATCATGTAACTTAAAATCAGACCAAATAAACATGTTGTTCATTAGAATAACAAATAAGAATTCACTAAGGGAATGAAACATACTGAAAAGACAATAAATGGAAAATACATCATAAATGGAGTGTTGACCTACAGTGAACTTGATCAGGAGAGTGGGGAGGTGTACAGCCTTATGTGAGCTACATTAACTTATAATTTATGGGGTCTTCTTTGTTGTGGGGGGGGTACGTTTTCCTGCATCCTCCTCAGCTGTATGGTGAAGCTATTAAAATAGTCTAAAACCACTGTTACCAGTCTAAAGCAGCATTTAACATATGTGATATAAATATCGATTTTGAGGTTTATATCTGGATACCAACAGAGCAACTGTAATAAATAAAATAAACCAGCACTCAAGGAAAAAAACACAATAGTATAAACTAGCAGATTTCTAGGTAAGTTTGTGTTCTACACTAATTGTAGCAAATCATCCCACTTTCAAACTCCCAATGAACAAAGAAAATATTGTTTAAAACTTAACGTCACCCAGAACATACAAGCAGACATGAGATGGCAATGTTCCTTGGATTGTTCTTGGAAAGGTTTATAGTCAAAATACCTTGGCTACAATGATCATATTAGCAACACTCACCCAACTGCTGCATCTAGGATCACTGTGGAGGGAATTCCAAACTGTTTTAACTGATCATGCATCTCATATCTGAGAGACAATAATTTACTTAAAGTAAATAGAAGATATATGAACAAAACCAAAAACAGGGAAACCAATTTTTAGCATAAGAATACTAAAAGGATATCCACATTAGTTATGTATTGAACACATCTCTTTTATCAGTTCCTTTATCCTTCACCAGTCCAGGCACTAAGAAGTAAGTGCTATAAAAACCTCCATGATCGCCACTTAAATCAAACACATACAGGTCCACTTAAGGGTAAAGGGTAATGTCTGTACTTGAGACAAGTAGCAATTAACCCAGTTTCCATAGCTGAAGCAGTTAGGAGTATCACTACTCCCCCTGGATGGGATACTGGTCCATTGCAAGGTTACCCCCCAGCATTTCATCAGGCTTCCCTGACAATTCACCAATACCCATTTATTCCCCTGGTTTAAGAGAGACACTGTGATAGAAAAAAAGGAACACAACACAACACAACACATTGACCTCGCAGCAACCCAGACTTCTCAACCCCAAGTCCAGTGTTCTAACCAATAGGCCACTACATCATCCACAGGTCCCCCCTGGGGAGCTATCTAATTTTATTTGGCTTCCAGACAAGGGCCTTCAACGATACTAAATGACCGCCAAAATACAAGTCAATATTTTCATTCTGAATTGTTTGTTCAAAATGGAAACTACAGTTAACTGTAATACATGTTTTAAAGTGCAATGTTCACCACAGAGACTCTGATCTCAACAAGGCTAATGCCTGTTACTACTATACTAAGTTCTTCCATTTTTGGCCACTTAAGCTCTATAGCAATTTTCAGGTCTTTTATATAATAAAAATAATTTCAAACTACACTGTACCCAGATTTATCAGGAGCTGACTCTGTTACATAAACATTAAAGCGCTTCTTCTGTTCAGTAGCCACTTTCAAAATTTCCAACACAACTCTGGATCGAGAGTGAGTAAGAATTGTCTGAAAAAATTTAAAGATCATGCAATCACACACTTTGAATAAAATCACTGAAAAGAAAACCAACTTTATGGTTTGGAGCCTCAGTGAAGAGTGGAGACATTCAATCAGTAACTTGCTGACCTAGCTGAAAGTTATACATCTCAGAAAAAATATGATTGATAGCAAAAATAATCCAAATGTTGTTTTGTTATTGTCAACAGAAATTAATACAACGTGATGCTTACAGCTCCATCTTTAATAAATGCATCACAAAGTTTGGCAATTCTATTCCTGGCTGAGGCAGCTCTTTTCAGGTACAGCTGACCTGGTTAGAAGAAAAAAAATCAAACTAATCCACACTGTGGTAAATGATACAAATGCATTGTTAAGTTAAAAAAAAAAAAAAAAAAAAACATTGAAGACCAGGGAAGGAATATTCCTTCTTATTTATGAGACATCACCTCTTTCAACCAGAACTCTTTTACATTCTTGAAAATCCTTATGAGGGAAAAAAAGAGAACAAAATCAGGAAAGTATAAGGACACTCTAAAAAAGGAATTTTTTCCCATGAAACACAAGAAAGCAGGAGTTTTCAAAGTACAATATTGCAACATTCTCACCATTTTAAATTTATAACTATATGAAAAAAAGATGGTTTGAAAAAATATTGCATCCATAAATAGACCAGTTCATCACTTTTCAAGGTTCCAGTTTTTTACTATTGCCATAACCCTTCCTTCCTACCCGGCAAACTGGCATTTTTTGTCAGATTTTCCTGACTATTTGTTTTTCCAAGCCCCCACTAAATTCTCCAATACAAATTCTGATGTACCAACATTCACTCAATCATCCAGTCAGATCACCCCTCCTAGAAGACAGTGCCACTGATAGAGAAAAATCACCGACTGATTTAGGAGAAATCTCCGATGGCAGAACAAGCTGCCATTAAAATTAATGAAAATGTCTTGTATCAGGTAGATTTCTTTGAGAAACTGGGAAACAATAGCTGTAAACAAATAAAAGCAAAAGTGATGCTTGTATTTCCTGGAAGGTGTCATTTTAAACTGTATGATTATCATAGTAAACAGTTGTCACTGTGATCATCAGACAATAGCTCTTCAGTTTGCATGGGTTCCCACAGGTTCATGCAGATACCAGTGGCAACCATAACATATCATACATTCAACAAGGTGACACACACAGAATTTCAGTTTGAAAACAGGTGATAACTGTTTTAGTTTTTTCTTGCACTAGATATTTCATTCTTATTTATGACAACAAATTTTAACAAACTATTAAGGTTACTGTTAATTTTTTTATAGTAACTTGTTCCACCAGTAAAGGTGGGCTTAGGGAAATAATCACTAGCAAAACCTTAATCAGGTGGAGGAAATAAAACTTACTGGGTTGTCCAGGGAGGCAAGTGTTATAAATCTGAGGAAGAGTTCACATCCTGAGGATATGGAAGCTACTGAGCCTTCTGTTTTGGTCAAAACATCAATGACTTGTTGAAGATTATCTCTGAGTTCAGAGAGTGTTTCAGCTGGAATGGAATAAAATAAAGTGATCTTGAGAAAAAACAAACATGCTCATGTCTAACAAGGCCTTATGGAAATGGAATGTTTTGTTAAATTTTGGAAGTTATGCAGAGTGCTCAGTACAGAGTCAGAATCCCACTCCTTGGGTGGGGTGAGTAAACAAATGTTTAGGGTAAAGGACATACTTACAGGCTGCTTTAAAGTGTTTTCTTCAATACAAAGAAGAGGAAATAAGATTTTAATAATATTATCAACCTTTTGAAGAAGCACTTCACCAGGATACTGAAGACTGGTGAGTTGAAAAAAGTTATGTTACCCAGCAGCATATACTTAGACGATACAAAAAATTAAATTTACAGTGGTGAAGTAATAACTTGTGATTCAGTAGTCTTAGAAATGTGGCCCTAAGAAAATATAATCCACAAAGTTTACAATAGCATAAATTTGTTATTTATCCCAGGAAGTTAGTGGCCAGACTGTTGGCTGTGCACAAAGTAGTCACGGCATTGATCTCAGAGCTACCAAGAACCAATCCAGTGAGTAACATGATAGAGAACTGGAAGCCAGGATGTATTAAATTTCACATGGCAACCAGGGCACAATCAGACATGGTTTGATGCTACTCTGGTTTACAGATTTAATGAATGTAACTGAAAAAGTTATAATTCATAGACCCAACATTTCAACACTCCTTCATCAGGGGTGATCTAAACACTGCAACAAGGTCCTTTTATACAGTCACTAATTAGTTGCCTTTTTTCTGACGAGCTTTTGTTTGGAAGCTTGGCATATTAACTCTGCTCATGCTCCTTTAAATTGTGATGATGGTGGCTTACTTCCTGATGCCTATTTACACCTCGTCAGAAAAAAGGCAGCTGATTAGTGATTGTATAGAAGGACCTCTTATTGCAGCGTTTAGATCACCCCTGATGAAGGCATTAGACAGGAGTGTCGAAACGTTGGGTCTAAGAATTGTAACTTTTTCGGTTACATTCATTAAATCTGTAAACAAGAGTAGCATCAAACCATGTCTGGAAGCCAGGAGTTCCCTCACGCACCCTCACATAACCACCCTGTCATATTGTCTCCACAGGAATTACTTATGTATCCCTTTGACTCCTAAGTTTTAAGAGAAAATTCTCCCAGCTGATTGCCATATCTCCTGAATATCATCCTCAGACCAATAACCTTATCTGATCGTACATGTACATCTTATGTGTGCAAACGAACATATTGGAATTACAAAGAGAAATTGCACGTTGATAACTTCTGAGACAAAGAGGAATAAATGACATTTCGGGGAAGCCCTTCCCCGCATATTCCCACTCTCATTCCCTTCCTCAATTGAAGAGTCACAATAATTAAACAGCATGGTAAAATTGAAAAGTCTTACCCGAGTTTTGATTCATAACTTCTAACAGAGTTTGTATAGCAGCTACAGCCGTCGACATGCCTGGGTCGTCCACCATACATTTTTTGAAGAACGCTACAGCCTCTGTGATTTAAAACCAAATTGATATTATGAATTACAATCAAGTTAGAACTGTGGAAAATTTTATTCAGTAAGCTTGACTATACCTTCGTTGTCCATCTTTCTCTTCGATACATACTTCATGTATGCGATACATAGTGCATTGCGAGTGTCTTTTCAAAAGTAGCGCCGCTGGTCAGTAGATAGCTCACTAATTAACAAATACATAGCAAAATGTTTTCATAAATACTTTATTTTAAAAACGATAATAGCGATAATAATAACAATAATATTATGAACAATAGTAATAATATTAATATTATTAATAATGGACGAAATTTTTATGTGATTCGGCCCCTTTATTAAAGCTTTGGTTTGCTACTAGTGATACATCTTTCAGCTGTAGCAAAATCTCGTACAAAGACCTTCCACGCCCAAGCATTTCAGTTACAGGTAACGATTGGATCTGGGTACGAGATTAGCTGTAGCCTTGCCATTATCCATAGACCCCTTTCTCTTACCGAGATTTAATTGTGTATTATGGCTAAAACCGCGGAATAAATCAATAAATGTAAAGCGTTGTACGATATACATAGTGTGCATGGGAAAGAGTCCACGTCCTCTTCCATGCTGCGTGTATTTGTTTATCTTTTAATAAAAATCTCGAAAATTGATTAAATGCAGCTAGATTTGGGTGTGGTTGAGATTTTTAGGAGCGTTGAGGCTTTACACAAGGTTAAGTTCAGAGATCATAAAATTAGTGTCGTTCCAGAAGCCCTTTTCTAATCACTCTAAGAAGATGGAATCAAACATTCTAATGGCAGTTGCTTGCAAATCGGTGACCGTTTAGGGAGCTCGAGAGTGCTCTTCACATGTTTATGAAGTGTTCCAACCAAGAGAAAAAACGTCTCCGATTTAAAAAATAAATCTATATCTATAAGACCTTACTAAATTTATTTGATAGCACCATATATGTGTTTCTATGTAGCTGACGGCATGCATTTTGCTGTGGTCGGTGAAAAAGAAATTGAAAATTTTCGTACCTAAGGTAGATCAGATTTATTTCTGGAGTTGAGGCGCATTTGATCGTTTTTAATCCCATCAAACGCATTGAATTATTATATACCATAGTGGTCGAGAAAAACTCCTTGCAAATGATGCAGTTTTCTAATATCTGCTTTGTGTTTCGTTTCAAGATTTAATAAGCCACAAGTTACATAAAATTATTACTTTGCCGATAACAACATCATTGTTCTCCTTTATCAAAGACTTAAAGCCGATACATGAAAAAGCTAGTATAGAGGATATGAATGAGATACACTACAGCTCGATAATCAGCTGAATTTCCTGTCAAATCCCGATTATCAGCGGATATATTAGCTGAATCTTAGCAGTAAATCTAACTCCCATCCATCTACTGCCTCAGGCACTCACTAACTATGTGATGATCTAAACAACCGTGTCGTATTTCTCCTTATAAGGCGGTGTTTCTGTCGTAATCGGGCTCTCATTTTCGTCTCCTTCTTTCTCGTCCATCAAACCAATGTTTCCATCTTCCATCCTTAAGCTATGACGCTTGCAGCAGTATATCTTGTAGTCCTCTTTCCAGGCCTCCACTTGTTCCACCGTCTGAGCCATGGGACAGTAACGTGTCTCTGGCAGCCAAAGAGCCATCACGCCCGCGATAACTCCAAAAACACCAAATATGACCAACGGAAGAGTCTTGCTCATGTTCGGAAGATCCGCCTGATTAAAGAGAAACAAATTAATCAATTCGGAGCATAATCGATATTCCTTCGTTCTTTCGGCAGTTTGTGCGTCATTTATGGTGCGTTGGTTCAACCTTTATTTCGCATTCGTTCGTCAGTTCTTTCATACTTTTTTTCGTTCGATCATTTTTTCGCCGTACAGCGAGAGTCTGTCACTGAGAAATGAATAAAGCATCAAAGAAAAGTTATTGTTATGAATTTCTTAACTCATCGGCTACATTACGTTGTTATACCCAAGGATTAGTTCCAACACGAATAAATTACGAACAAAATGCTGGTAACTACAATTGACAATGGAATACAAATACGAACCAGTAACACGATGTAAGGTGTTAAAATGCTGCCAACGCGAGCCATCATTGAACACACTCCAATGCCAGTGTTCCTGCAATGGAGAAAAATGATTATTATTAAACATTTTCCTTTTAGCCTTGCCTAACATTTGTTTGGTTTCTTGCACAAAGATAAGTTTGTAAAATCGAATTTCTGTTTGCACCATCATCGCCACTCATACCAACCTGATAATTGTGGGATAGAGTTCCACAGTGTAAATATAAATTCCAAGGAAAGTCGCCAAGATGCAAGCTTTACCAATAACAGCTAAGATTGTGATAACAACTTTATACTCTGGGGAGAAAAAAAATATCGATTTAAGATGCGATTCCAGACCACCATATAAAAAGCATTTTCCAGTCATTTTTGATCGCTCATTAAGAGCCAAAAATAAAGCTACTCCCCCCTCATGAGATGGTAGCTCACTGCAACTTCTCTCTCCCAGCCCCCTTTCGAGATCTTATTTGAGTTCCGCCAGGCAAATCGCCAGTGCTGTTTTATACTTTAGGGTAAAGAGAGGGAGACTATCAGTGTCAAATCTGAATCCCTAAATCCCGAGTCCAGCGTGCAGCCTAAACCCCTCAGGCCACTGGGTAGGTCATGTAAGCTTTCATAAAACATCCCATCGTTCACTCCGCATAAATGCAACATATAGTTTTGTAACAATATGAGTAGTTTCTGTTTGAAATCAGCACCACTTGAAAACTTAACTTACCATCACCAGATGGAACGGCCAGCACCAACATTTCTGCAGCGCCTCCAATGATCATGAACGAGGCGTAAGGAATACGCCGGCCAAATCTTAAAAGGATGAAGAATGTCACAGATATTCAATTATTGTAAATGGCTTGCCAATTGTTGATCACTATAAAGCATCTGACTAAGATCTGCTAACTTGGTTTCCAATAGTGAGGAAATCAGCCAGAAGTTTTACTAGTACTGTGTTTCAAAAGTGATAGTAACGAAAACTCAAAAACTGCTCTTACTGGTTTGTTAACAAGAGGATTACCGTGCATAGAAAAACCACAGTGCTAATGCTCCAGGAATTTCCACGATGCAGAGGAAAAAAAAGTTCAGGTACATGTTTCCCGCCAGATTCCCGACATTCAAACTGATCCCAAAGTAAACTAAAGCGTTCACAAACCTACAAGAAAAAGATTGTTACTGAAGTTGTGAGGACACTTTCGTTATTATGCCTAAACCGTTATATGAAATATGTGACTTGCGTATCATAGAGATTCTTATGAGAGCGATCCAAGAATTCCCCATCCCTTTTCTTCAGGAGTGTTGTGCTTTTCTGTGATTCTAATTCAGGGAGGGAAGTGCTAGTGTCTAAAGGCTTTAAATTGTATTCAGTTTCAACTGCTACGTCGTTAAAATCTCAAGCGATATTTTTTCAAGATTGTATCAACCACGTTAACTATCATGGTGAGGGGCCGGTAAATTTTCATCGACTGGAAGGGAGGGTTGTCTCAGAATAAAATATAGCAGATCACCCGGTTCCCTTAAGGCTCTACAGTATTCCATGACCCCCCCCCCCCACCTCATCGGCAGTTAATTTTCTATAATCCCCCTTTAGACTCTTTTAGCGACGACTGACACTCCCCCCTCCCTTCGTTCTCCCTGATAACCTTACGATCCCCCAAAATCTTCCGGGCCCCCTCCCCCAGCCCCAAGCGATAAAGAATGAGTAGCCTACGTGTAGCCGTACCCTCCCCTCCCCTCCCCCCCCCCCAAGGGGAAACGGAGGCAAGGGAATGCGATTAGAGTCAGGTTTGCGTAGACGTTCCCTCGCTGCCGTTTCACCTTGGGGGGGGGGGGGGTACGGCTACACGTAGGCTAAAGAATAACTTACCCTTAAGCTGTCTCAGCTCGTGAAATGCAAGGCAATATCTCTCATTGCAATTATCATCATCGTGCAAATGAAACTCACCAATTAAATCCACAGATTATGGTTCTCTTCCTCAGCTTTGGTGTTCTAACCATGTCTAGGATTCCGTAGGTCTTCTTGCTCTCATTCCTGTTTCTTTCTTCTTCCTTCTTAAATTCTTGTATGACATGTTTGAGTTGGGTGGATTCAACAGTGACACGATTCCTCTCGGCATACTTCATGAGCAACTCGTGAGCCTCGTCAAGGCGATCTTTGGCAACCAACCACCGGGGAGACTCTGGGATTATCCTCCGAACAAAATTTACGAAACAGATTTAACAACTAGATTATCAGCTCGCGATTTCTATCGCGTGATTGTAGATGAGAGTGTGGCCCGAATCAATTACTGTATCACGCATAGAAATCGAGATTAAGTCCAAAAAAGTTTTTTTTTTGGTTTGCAGCCGCACCCTTTTGGGCTTCTCTGTCCATTTTCTATCTATCACAGAACAGATGGCGATTAGCACAGCTAATCAGATTGGATTATAGCATTAACGGTCATGGAACGTTGGTAGATTTCATCTGACTGAAGTGGAGGTAACTTGAACGTTCAAACTAATGACCCTTAACATCAACACGTAACTGATTGCGAAGACCGTAAAGACTAGACCAAAGGGCGAATGTAGGAATGACGCTGTTGCAATCGGGATGACTAATTCCACTACTGTTATAATTCGAATTGGTAAAAAACGAAAGTCAGTCCAAAATCTTCAACAAACACTAAGTCAGATACATCGCGAAAAACGTTAAATCTTTCTTACCAGTAACAGAGCAGTAATGGTGCTGCAGGCAGAGAGACAATCAGCATTAGATGTCTCCAGTCACGAATTAAGTAACCAAGCAGAGAAAGCGTAGAAAAACCAATGCTAACGAAAATGTTATTCACCATTCCTGCTGCGGTGCGATTGTTTATGTGAATGATCTCCATACAGTAGACAAACCGAACGAGAAGACAGCCTGCTGTGGCCGCTCCAGCTCCAAACCGAAACAAGGCGAACAAGGAGAGACAGTCGGAGACAGCAGATACTGTTCCACAAGCAGCCTGAAGGACAACTTTCTGGTTAGATTTAATTGGAACGGGCTAAGACTAAATTTCATTTGACTACTCGCTAAGTAAATGAGTCCAGGCAAGAAGTGGTGACCCAAAGGTTACCGTGCTGGGTTGTAGGCCGAGAGGCTTGGGTTCGAGTGTTACGTTGTGCTCTTGGGTAAGACATTTCATAGTCACAGTTCCTCTCTCCATCCAGAAGCATGAAAGGGTACCAGCAAACTGAGGGTCTTTTTGGGGTTAACCGTTAGCCGTAAAACTGCCAAAACATTTATCCCTTAGGCGTAAAATTTGCCAAATTTGAACGGTTAGTCGTAAACTAAAATTAACCGTAAACCTCTGTTCTCGTGACCACCGTGGAAAGATGTTTACCGTGAGCGCAAATTGGCCAAAACATTTTAACCGTTAACCGAAAAAGCCATCACCACATTGACACCCTCCAAACTGTCAGGCAAGCCCGACAGACTGCTGGGGTGGGGTGGGGTGGGGTGGGGTGGGGGGTAACCTGCGACAGAGGAGCATCACATCCATGGGGTGGGTAGCAGTACTCTCCTTAATCGCGCCATGCTGCGGAAACCGGGATAAGCTCCGCATTAATGGCACGTGACTTGAAGAAGACTTAACCGTTAAGTTATATGCGTTCCACTTCGGTAAAATCTCACTTTACTCACCATGAGAAAAATACTGAGGAAGACGCTGATTTTACGGCCAAAGTGGTCGGACAGGCTACTAAAGGCAACAGAACCCACCAACAGACCTGCCATGTAAACTGACTGTGTCATGGCCTTGAGAGGACGTCTGTCACATATCAGGTTCCACTGTGACAAGATGAATCAGGAAAAAAAGAGAGAAAAAAATACAGAACCCATTAACCACTCGAATGAGAAACGCTTCAGTCTAAGAGGAGTTTATTTGAGCATTCCTGTAATAATCCAAAATGACACTAGTAAAAAAAAATTAAAACTCATCAAGCAACCACAGACAGACCACAGTATGTGTTTGTGGTTAATAATTGTTTACACGGGACGAACATAATTTCTGACGGTTATTGATGAAGCTCTGAAAATTGCATATCTATATTTATATTACATCTCGGTCTGAATATCTCAGTAAGGTTAAATGAAATGTTACTCGACGCGTTTGTGATATTTTTTAGCCCTCATAGGCCGTTTACGAAATTACTTTTGGCCAGAGGCATCATTTCAGCATCGATTTTCTCGGAAAATGTCGAAGGGATGAATCTCAAATTTGCCGAAGAGATGGAGTAAGATCTCATCGATAAACAAACGTTGCCAGTTTGGAGAGACTTTTAGTAGTTTGGCGTTAATTCCAGTTTGAAGTGGAGGCGGTCACGGCTGGCGGACACCAAATTGCGAGCATTGTCTCCCTTTCCTCTCTAACGGCCTCAGGCTAAAAGTAATTTCGTAAAAAAGACGCTTCAAACGGCTAATGAGGGCGAAAAAATGCGACAGATGAGTTGATTAACATTTTGTTTAACTTAATTGAGATATTCAGACTGAGATGTAATTTAGATATGTAATTTTCAGAGCTTTATTCATAACCCTCAACGATTTTGTTCGTCTCATGTCAACAATATTGTCAACCACGAACACATAGAGTCGTCTGCCCGTGAAGCAATAAGTTAGGACTCGACAATATTCAAATGCAGATAACATCTTAATTACCGAGGGACGGAAAGATCAACGTCTAGAAATTGTGGATTTTTCTCCTAATCGTTTCCGTAGGATGGCACCGCACGTTATCACGGAATAAAGGTTTTTTTTTCGGTTCTTTGTTTTGCTGCTAATTTAAAAATTCATGCAAATTACGTAATGGGCTGTTCAATTGGTATTGATGAATAACAAATCCTTGCAATGCAAACTTTAAAGAGGACGTGTCAATAAACAGAGACCTCAATGGGTCCATGGGAGTCCGGAAAGTGATAAGGACTGAAGAAAGTGATGAAATTGTCTAGCAGCCAGCCTCTAGGAAAATTTGAAAAAGTAAAATTTACTTTTTTAGGTCATTGCTTATTATTCACACAAGATTTTCTATTTATGGAGGAACAATCACTTTTTCTAAATAATTATTACCTCTGTCACAGCACTCGTCAGCCCTGCCTGAAACTCATATTTTTCGCAGTTGTTGCAGCATTCCGAACATGTATTGTTGCTCGGCGACGAATACGAAACACAGGAATATTTCGGAGTTGCTGCATAGAAGACTTGTACAAGTTGCTGGAGGCCGATTGGCACAGACATGATGCACATGAAAGCATATAGCGCTAAGCTGTAACGGCCAAATCCGCCAACCATGTCTAAAATATCGTCAAACTCGCATGATTTCTTTGATTTTGATCTTTCCATCTTTGAATTCACATTCGGACCAGACATAATGTCACCGAACGCTTTTGGACGACAAGCAGAAACTCTCGAATCTTTCACAACTTGGAAAGCAGTTTAGACAAGATCCAGTTTGTTTTCGTGTAAACAACGTCAAACCGCTTATAAATATGCATTGTACGTGAGATATGCAGATGAAAGATGACCTCACCTTTGACAGAATATTCAGTTACAAGAAAAAAACTAAAGTTAAATCTTAAGTTTTTGTGACTCAGCCAAAGGAAATAACGTATGAGTGACAGCTTATAACCACTCCTTTGCATTGCGTGGTATACGAAAAGATATTTCCCAAACGTTCCTAGCCCGAAAGATTGTCTAAGATAAAAGAGAAGCGAAACTTTGTTATTAAATTTCAATAAATTCTTCATATTCTGAATATATCTGGGAATTCATGCGCCCTTTCTACCTGGGGTGAGTATTTCCTGCATTTAGTGCTCAGTGACAGACCCTCGATAAACGTCGGGAAAAAAATCAAAGAAAGAAATAAATAAATGAATAAATGAAGGAAAGAATCAACACGAATCAAGCCAAAGAACCGAACGAAGACGCGCACGGACTGACGAAAGAACGACGGGGTATATTATTATTATTTATTTTCCATATGGATTCATTCAGACGGATCTTTCAAGCATGAACAAGTTCTTGCGTCTGGTCATGTTTGGTGACTGTTTTTTTGACTGTTTTGGAGAATAAAATTTCATTGAATCGATTGGTCAGTTCAATTTGATTGATGATTTGCCGTAGCGCTAAACAGGCTTCCCAGATAAAAATAGACTGCGCGCGTGATTTTCCTTCGTATAAATTTTGCCCTTTATTGATAAACAAGTAATCCCATGAGACCTCGTACTATTAAGGATTAATTGCACTTGAGTTTTCAAAATTTTGGAAAATTTTGAAAACTCTCGTGCAATTAATCCTTAATAGTACTTGGCCTCATGTGATTACATATACTTATCGCGTGATGGCTCTTTGGCTGACAGAGACACGTCGAAAACGTGAAAGAGTTGTATCACGCTTCCCTATTAACTCACGATTTATTCACTTGATTTGACGATTTTATTACAACGTTTCGGTTAACTCCCACTCACAACTCTCGGTTTATTCGAAAGGAAACACACACTCAACGTCCCGTTGTAAGCACGTGGAACAGTGCCATATATGAGGCGATAAAACACGTGCCGCATACATGTCGTTTGGTTATGTATAGATAAACGAAACCACTTTTTAATGTCAATTAAATAGGAATAATTAACGTATTGTACAGTTTTCAACAACGTCACAGTCCTATGACTCAGACAATGGAACCAGCGAAGGACTGGAAAGAGGGCTACAAAATATACTTGGAGGGGGGGGGGGCGGGGCGGCGAGCCGTTTGTAAGAGGAAAGAACAATGTAATGCTATGATTCAGTATAATTTTATAGCGTGCTATGTTTCGTTATAGATTTTCAAAAACCTCGTAATCATCCTTAGAACGTACAACACAGCACAGCACAACGCAAATCTGTACGATTTCGTCCTAGCCACCATGATATGTTAAAATTCAGGGCGTGTGGTAAGGTTAAGTCGAACAAATGCACCTCAACTCCAGACATAAATCTGATTTATTCTTACTTCAGCATATTTCAATTTCCTTTCATTAACCGTTACAAGTGCATATTTCTAGCTAACTATTACAGATTCAAAAGAAACGTGGTGCAATAAATGCAGTTAGGCCTAGGAGCCCATTGGTGTATTGTAATGGGCTATGTTAGGCCTTATTCCAAAATATAGGGATATATTTCTTAGAGGGGATATCTTTTCTCCTTGCTAAAAATATTGTTGGGATATATGCGATTAAATTTCAAAGGACTAAGAAAATTCTGATATGTGGTTATAACTGTATTGAAATTGCTAACTACTTGCTTTTACTTCTAATTTACGGCACCATTCGTGATGCTTCATGGCAATTGTTTTGGTATTAACGACAACCGTTGAAGACTTCATTCCAACAACACCTCCATTTTACGCTTTAGATGTTTTCCTGGTCATCTTCGTTGTCCATTGGAACCTTCAAGGGTGCTGAGCTAGCCTCGTTATCAGGCCCTTCAGAGCTGAAAGATAAGAAAAAGGTTTGCTTGTAAAATGTTAAATAGTCTGCATGATGAACGTAAATTGTCATCCCGAAATTTGAATTTCTGTTTTTAACGACCATCGCAGGCTTTGTTTAAATTCCCTTAAAAAATTGACATTTAAAGCTTGATTACGATGTGTTGCTCTCTTGCATCGAAATTTTTTTGGGGAGAGGGGAGGGGGATGGGAATGCAAACCTCGACGATTTTCCTTTTCCACAAACCGCATAAGGCAACTCGTTCCTTCATTCATCTGCTGACCACGAGGTGCGTATGGGAGAATATTGAACAGGCTCTCTCTGGAGATACTCTTGAGAACTGAAAAACTTCATACTTCTAAGAAACCTTAACCACACCTCACTTTGAATCTGACAATTTTTAAGAACTGTAAAGGAGATGGATAAATACCTGCAGCAAGGACAAGGAAGAGGACATGGACGAGGTTTCCCCATGCACACCATACCGTAGAACTCTTTATCTTTTTCGATCTCTTCCACGGTTTGAGCCATGTTGCACATCAAAGTCTCGGGAAGAAGCAGTGACAGGAGGCCGGCGGCTACAGTCAGCGAGCCAAAAATGACCATGGGAAGGGTAGCGCTCAATCCTGGCAACTGTGCCTGGGATTTTAAAGATGAATTTGTTCGTTATTATTTTAGTAAATGTGCTATGAAATATCGCTAGAGAGTAAAGATATCCTTTTTCAACCATTTAATACCATTCTACTGAAAGTTATCCAAAATCCTGAGAAGGAATGAAAAGATTAGTTTCCAAAGAAACTGTCGTACTTGGAAAGAATTACCCAACTTTACTACCTATCATGTAAATGAAGCTAACCTTTAATTAAGAATTCTGTATAAGATTGGAATTGAGTCATGGAAACCTACCAGCATTACAATGTAAGGTGCGATAATGGATCCCACACGAGCACTAGTGGAACATACACCAATTCCTTGGTTCCTGTTGATGGGACACAAAAATGGCTCATAATCAGGACACACTTCGAATTAGAAGCAGGCTAACCCGCAACTCTCAGCGGTAAGGGACCGGTAAAAGGGGGGATGGGGTGGGCAAGGGGGGGATGGGGTGGGCAAGGAGAGGGGGGATGGGGTGGGCAAAGAGGGGCAGGGGGATGTTGGTTGCGTCACGATAAATGAAATTAGTAGTCCTTGAGTGCATTGTATTGTTTCTGACTGTTCTGTAAATTTTTATAAATTTGGCTTAAGATAAAAATTTTTCTGTTCCAAACTCGATGCAATCAGTTAGCTTATCAGTAAGAGAACGTTAGTTTCTCCGAGTGAAGAAATGTATGGCACACATTGAGGGAAATTGAAATACAGATCTTGGAAGGAAAGTGTAACATAATTGACAAGACTAAAAGAATACTTTACTTCCCAGCTAAAACTGTTCTCATGGCTCTTACCTCAGTATGGTGGGATAGAGTTCAGTCGAAAACAGGTAAATGTTGGAGAATGATCCACTTGCCATGAAACGACCGATGAACGCCAAAGCTGTTACAGCACCTTTCTGTTCTAAAAAAATATTGAACGCTTTTCCTTTAAAAAAGGTTAATAATTGTCGGGAGTACCAAAATATTACACTTGTTATGAAGGTCTGTGAAGTGGCTAAAATGACAAAGAATCGTTCAGTGAAAAATTGTGCTTGGATGGAACATTCGAACGCAATTTTCGCCCGGGGGGGGGGTGCGTAGTATGAATTTGAACGACTCAATTTTCAAAAGTTCAAATGCCGGGGGGTTGCCCGAGGGGAGATGTTGAAGCTTCGAATTGATCGACGCATAAATCGGCCTTTAAGTCTTAAGTAGCGAGGTTTAAAGTGTATTTAGTTACCTTCAGGAACAGCCAGGACAAAAAGGCAGAATAAACCTCCAGTCACCATTATCACCGAATGAGGAACGCGGCGTCCAAATCTATTAATGGCAAGGAAACAAAATAAGACGATCAATTCAAAGTGGCCTGATATATATTTCAATCTGTTTTTTTAGGTTTATTCCAAGAAGATTCTTTATGAAGAAGTCTGTCCCTGTTTTCCGAGTTGTTAGTTCAAGTGCTCTACCCATACCAAGTGAAAGTTGACAAGAGATCACTCAAGATATGTACTAAGCGGCGAAGGCACCTTAGAGAACAATTCGACGAATTGATCAACTTAAAACAATCTAAATTGACTTAGAGAACAAAACGATATGGTTAACTTTATCATCAGATCTGATAACACGATCACTTCGGACAGAATGCAGTTGATTCGCACAGCCAACTTAAACATCGCGATTACAATTGACCAATTAGTTTCAATTTCTTGAAAAACCTTGCTACACTTGTCGGTAACAATAACAAAAATTCATTAACACAGAGTTCGGGTCAAAGTATTAGAGGCTTACTTCTGCACGATCACCCAGTTGATAAGGTGTGTTGGCACGTCTGAGAGGTACATAAGGAACAAGTTCAGATATGGACTACCGGCCAAACGAGTGACGTACAGCAAGAATCCATAGTACACCATGCTTATAACCATCCTGGATAAAAAAGCACCAAAAGGTTTAATTTTTTTTTTTCGAAAGCATCTCCACGGATCGAAATCTTAAGTCCTCGAATAGGATTAGCTTATCAATCACGATACGGACCACTGTTCAGACTTTTTTTTTCGCGCTAGCAGAAAAATGAAAGTCGCTCCGTGCGAGAGCAACAAACTTATCTATTATCCTCCCAACAACATAAGGGGGTTATTAGGCCGGTGAACCGATAAGAAATGCAGTCTACTGCTTACAATTGAATCTGCTCGTAGTTAGTTGAAATTTTCTCTCAATGTCGAATTTGCGTCAGGTAAAATACTTCGCGATGCCCAATTTTTGCGTTGCTGCACATAATTCCGCAATTGCTTACAACGAATATACACTGGTACGATTACCAGTGTCTTCTCGTATAATGATCTGGTGAGATGCCTTCAACTTCTACTACTTCCAATTAAATATGTTTCTGCAACTTACCAGTTGAAGCTAAGGATGATGGTCCTCTTCCTCAACCGGGGGGAACGAATCAGCTCCAGATAGGACTGATTCTTAGTCAAGTAAGCAATCGTTTTTGACTCCACCTCACCCTGGTGATACTCATTCAGCTTGTGTTTCAAGGCATCTGAGTCTACTGGTGAGGACTTTTTGCTAGCGAACTTCATCAAAACATCATGCGCTTGAGTCAGATGACCTTTTGCCGCCAACCATCGCGCAGATTCTGGGAGGATACTGTGGAGTCAAGCAAATTATGATGTTCTCAGGTCTGTATTTAAAGAAATGTTTGTATTTGTATGTTTTTTACCAAATGGCTAATCGGTCAGCGGTTCATTCTGAAAATAACAGCACCAAGTCAAGGTGGGAATTCGTAGCACTGTTTTTATGTCAAGGCTTTCCTTAGTTAAAACTAAGTCTCTGGGTAGCTGTGTGGTTGTTGTGTTATTTTGCAGTTGTATTGTTTACATAAGCTACGTGTCAGGGTGATACTATTTGTAAGGGGATTCACGTGTCCTGCTCGGGGGAACTACACGTGTTTTGAAGTTCGGAATAAAAGTTGGTCTCTTTTGAACACAGGACTGGAGTTTGCTTCAATTCTCATCAGCCAAGTTATTCGATAGGGCTCATTAACTTGTCCTACTTTTGTTTCTTTGAAAACAAAAGCTTTTTGTCATCGTTATCATTGTCATCATTATTCCAGAGAAGAGTACGAAGTTTGTGTGACAGGCAAAATATCTCTGTGAGCAATTCTATGCAATGAAAATAACTGCTCAGTTAGAGTTAAAAGTTGTTGCAGTTAAAAAGCAAATGATTTAAATTGCCTACTAGAATCTATCTGACAATCTGATCATTTTTTCACGAGTAGGTTGATAACCGGAAAACAATGATACCGTAGTTTATACGTGTAACTCACGTGCAAATCGAAAAGATCAGAAGTGGCGGGAAACTGCAGATAATCAGCAGGGTTCTCCAGTGCGGTATAAGGTAACCAAGTAATGCGATCAACCCCGCCCCTATACACCAAAACAAACTCTGGACTTTGTCAGAAAGAGTCCGGTGACGAGGGCCAACCAGTTCAAGAACATAGATGTAGTGGGCGACGAAGAAGCCAACGGCAAAAGCTGCAGCGAAGAAACGGAGAAAGGCAAAGAATGATAGACAGTCGACGACTCCTGACCCAAGGCTGGAAATGGCCTGTGGAGGGAGAGTAAGGCAGATGAGTTATATCTGAGCAGAAATCAAATGGCACACCTTGCCAGAACTATGATCCAGGTTTTCGCTACATGAAGTAATTCCTTGAATTTCTAACTCCCCTTGACTGGATGCAACCCAGGACTGGGTTACCAAAAGTATAGTTTCCCTAACAGTTTGGTCATAAATAGTAGACTTCCGTGGGGAGAGAGGCCTGGTGAGACCAAATTGCCGTGTCGGTAAGCTCAACTAAGAACCTGGAACCCAAACCTTTTCACGCGTAAGGCCACAACTTATCCGCCTGCGAAATAAATATTAAGTTTACCAAATGAGCGCAGGACCATTATGGATGAGGCAATTGATAAAAGAAGGGAATCATACCAATAATGCAGCACATATATATATACAGAACCGACGCCCAAAGAAATCCGAAGTTACTCCGAACACGAGAGAGCCGACGAGCATTCCAGCTGAGAAGACCGCCTGGACATTGGCGCCAACATAAGCCTTGTCACAAATCAGGTTCCACTGGAAAAAGAAACATTTTGAAGATAGATAAATTCGATAGACAGACAATTTTCTTTCGTTCGGTATAGAACACAAGCTTTAAGAAGAAAAATGGTTTCAAATGCGATCATGCGATTCTACGTAGGTAAATAAATATATTTATCACATCCATTTTGAAATCACTGGTGGTCCCTATAATCTGATTGGCTCTAATTGGTGCGATTTATTCACGAATCGCACCATTTTTTGCTTTAAATCGCATTTTTTTCCCAGCCAATGAGGAGGCTACACTAAAAACAAAACAACCAATCAGATTTCAAGGCTTTTTTAAAGTAACATGGATTAATTTAATTTCAAACCGGCTACGTACTGCATCAATAAAATATTTGAACTGACCAAGTCCTGTATTTGGGCGATTTCAAAATGGATGTAATTTTAAATTGTTTGCAATCTTCAGCTTTTATTGGTTGGTAACGAACTGGTTATTTTCGCAATCAATCACCGCTTTACGGAATAGATGCCCCTTTCTAACAGTGATCGAGGTCCACACTGAAGCAATAAATCTAATTGTACTAAAATGCTTACGAGGTCATCATCTATATCCGAGCCAGAGGCTCTTGTTTTAAATACATGACAATAAATAGAAATTATCATTAATTGACAAAAAAATATATTTTATCAAGGATAAAAAAAATTCAGGTATATGACCAAGGAAAATGTGACTTAACCATATCACAGAAGACATACATCATTCCAAGCTCACCTCACTGACGCTACTTGTGAAAGGACCATCAAACACATAATCAGTACAGTTCGTGCAACATTTGCTGTCTGCGCATGTCACGTTGGGAGTTACACAATGGAACCTCGGTGTACCAGCAAAGAACACAAGTCCTATCACTTGTAACGTGGAAGGAATAATCACAAGACAACAAGTCGCCACGTAAATTATTTTCTGCCAGTATCCAAAGGAACTCACACTTGTCAGGACGTCGTCAAAATTTGAAATCGATGGTCTTTCTCCAGACATGGCTGATTGATTCCGCGTCTGAAATTCAGTGAAAGAGCTTTGATTACACAAATATTTTCAAAGAAGCGAGTAACCGCAAAAACGAATTCATAAGAACAAAAATTCACATCGTAATTAGTTTAATCTTGTAGTCTGGTCATCCGGGCTAGAGTGGTTTTAGATAAATACTACCCGTTTAACGCCACAAAATGAATACACGGTTAAAATTATTTGCTAGATAGACGTTTATTTAAATGTAAAGATGTGTAGATGAGATTCGACTGAAAATAAATACAAATATCTAAGTACAAAGGTAAGCTACACGAAATAGAAACGAACTTACAATTTGTGGCGTAACCAGGTCTGGCAGTTGATTCTTAAACAAAAGCTAAACGGCGCTAACAAAAGCTCACGAGCGGCTGACTTCATTGAAATCAGACAACGCCTCTACTGGCGAGAAATTAATAAATCATCACAGGCGTTACGTTACATAACCGTTGCATAATACTTACCGTTATCTATTATCTACATAACTTCACGCGAACACGCGAACTTATAGAAACAAAACTACACAATAGTGGTACAATTGAAAGAAAATAATATAAAATCATTTCGCAGTTGCTTGACAGTAAATAGAAATGTAAATCCTAGTTGCTACAGTGATCCTGAGAAGTATTGTTGTCGGTATAAGTGACTCAAGTGATGCTTCGACAACGTGAGCGGAAGTCATCATCAGAGTCAAACGGAGTCAGTTTCATCAAAGTCACTTCCGCTGATAAGTGACTTCCGTTAGGCTGACGAAACGTCAGTCACTATAATTGATAACAGTGCTTCTCAAGAGCACTTAATGCGGACAAGCACATTGCATTGTAAAATACAAAAAGTTATTTTTCAAAGTAAAGCGTTGCTGAATAGAATTGTTGGATAAAATGCATGCTTTAGACAATTTTTCACCGTTCGTGATTCAAATCTGCCGCTAGTTTTTTACAACTTCATGATTCAAACCGTTTCGACCTCGTATAGTCATAGTTCAATCGATATGGATTGAGAAGGGAGGCCGAAAACTTTTTTAAAAGATTTTTTTAAAACCAAAGAATGCTTTTTAACGAAATGTTTTACACAAAAACAGTCCGCTGCCAATATGTATCACATCAATATGTATCACATCAATATGTATCACATCAATATGTATCACATCAATATGTATCACATCAATATGTATCATCACATCAGTCTACTCACCGTAAAGTGAAATGGTTAAGCGTGACGACAAATGGTTTAGTAAAAAACCGAAATGGTTTAGTGCTACAGCAGTTGGTTTACGCCGTAACCGCCAAAAATACAAAAGTGAAATGGACAATTCAAGCTGGAAATGGAACAGTCTATGTGGGGCCACAACCCTATAGTTTTTATAGTTTTTAGATGCCCTTTAGTTGTAGTTTCGTCGTCTTAAAACAATGAATCGCTTTATCACGTTTCCTAGCAATGGTTCTGACTGTCTAGACCATAAGTGTGCTATCGCATAAAATGATGCATTTTATCAGTATTTTTGTCATTCCTTTTGTTTCAGGTTCTTATTTTATCTTGAGGTAGTAAAATGAGGAATTCTTACCATGGTCACGCGTGACCATGGTAAGAATTCTCCATTTAAAGTACAGCAGTTTTCACTATAAACTATTTATAACTATATAGTTTTTAACTATATAATTTTTATAGTTTTTAGGCGCCCTTTAGTTGTAGTTTCGTCGTCTTAGAACAATGAATCGCTTTATCACGTTTCCAAGCAATGGTTCTGACTGTCTAGACTGTAAGTGTGCTATCGCGTGCATTTTTCAAAGTGTCAATCCTTCTGTTTCGGGTTCCTATTTTATCTTGAGGTAGTAAAATGGAGAATTCTTACCATGGCTAGGCGTAACCATCGTAAGAATTCTCCATTTAAAGAGCAGCAGTTTTCACTGTAAGAAACTGAAAAGAACAAAAGAACAATTTGAAACTGGCTAATAGCAATTTGAACTCCCAACATGGTTAAGCCACAACAATTAGAAATTTTACGACCTCAAGATAAAATTTCTAATAGTTGCGGCTTAACTTAGTTTTAACAAACTATTTAAATTGGAGATTAAAAAATATATGGTTTGAAACGATCGGAAAATAAATTATTGTGAAATATAAGCTTATGACTAACTGAATATTAAGCTACTGAACGTTCAGCTGCTCGATAAAAACGGTTTCATCTGAAATGTCATTTACTTAATTGCGGCAAGATGATAAGGGTATAAATTTATTCGCTAACGAGCGAAAATAGGCAAAGATAAATAATGATTATTACTGGAATAAGGCTTGCTGAGTCTAGTAGACGAGACTACAGAAATAATTTCTTCCTGTGTTTAACGTCGAGTGGAAGAAGTGGCGAATACCTCGTGAACGCGATCGTCCTGGCGAATTTCGCGTCAAATTCGATCTGAACGAAGTAAGGGTTGTGACGTAACACCCCACATAGATTGTTCCATTTCAAGCTTGACTTGTACATTTCACTTTTGTATTTTTGGCGGTTACAGCGTAGACCAACTGCTGTAACACTCAGCTATTTCGGTTTTTACTAAACCATTTGTGGTCACGCTTAACCATTTCACTTTACGGTGAGTAGATTGATGCGATAGTATACCATTGCGGCTTACGATTAACTATTTGCCGATAACTTAAGCCATTTCAAACTACTCTGAATCGTTTATCATTTAAACCAAAGTACAGTTAGCTGAACCGTTTGTCATTTCGACACTGAACCATTTCAGTTAACACTTAGCCAATCATGTTTTTATTGAATCAGTTCAACAAGGGTGGCAACACAGCTTCTGAATTGTATAAACTATTTTTTGTTTGAATATTTCATTTCACCAAAGGCGACTTGTCCATTTGTATTTTAAATACGGTGGTGACAGCTGCTCATACATAACCTCACGCGAAAACGCGAATTTCATTGAATAGAAACAAAACTTCAAAATTGTGGTACAATTGAAAGAAAATAATATAAAATCATTTCGCAGTTGCTTGACAATAAATAAAAACGTAAATCCTAGTTCCCACAATGATCCTGAGAAGTACTGTTGTCGGTAGAACTCAAGTGATGCTTCGACGACGTGAGCGGAAGTCATCACCAGAGTCAAGCGAAGTTTTCATCAAAGTCACTTCCGCTGATAAGTGACTTCCGTCAGGTTGTTGAAACGTCAGTTACTCTTGTTGACAACAGTCCTTCTCAAGAATACTTTAATGCAGACAAGCAAATTACACGGTAAAATTAAAAAAAGTTATCTTTCAAAGTAAAGAGTCGCTGAATAGAATTACTGAATAAGATGCATGCTTTAGACAATTTTTCATTGTTCGTGATTCAAATATGCCGCCAATTTTTCACTACTCACGATTCAAACATTTTCGACCTCGTATAGTCACAAAGGTAATCTATTGTTTGCACTATTGTTTTCTTCTAACAAAGGACTGTATGCATAATGAAGTATGGGGCTGTGCGGAAACTTTGCCCCGAAAACTTTAGAAGATTTTTTTTTTTTAACCAAAGAATGCTTTTTAACGATTTTGTCACAGAAACAGTCCGCTGTCAATATGTTTTGACTCTCTTACCAGAGAATCAAAACATGAACATAAAATCTTCAAGGAACCAATCACCGTAACAAAGGAACAACTTGATTATAAAACATTTGAAAATGTTAAACATAAAACATTTTGATATCCATAGTAATATTCGAGATGAAATTAGAGCAGTCTATTCTAAGTGAAATTAGCCATGGTCCAGTATTTGCAACCAAACAAAATTATATTTGTTCCTCACCTATAAGTAATAAGATAACATGTTTACAATTCCTCCATCTCATTAAAAAAAGGGAGAGGTCTTTGCGAAAGCTTATATTAAAGGATGTTCGTTGACTGTTGTTCGTCGGTGGCAATTTAGATAATTAAACTGAAAGATTAAATAAGGCCTTAAACAGCTGTAACATTGATAATAAAATCTTTTTAAAAAAAGAAGCTTTTGCCAATCAATGGAATCATCAGGGACGAGAAGAAATATTCAGCGTAAGCAGGAATTAATTATTTAATAGTAATTAATAGTAATGGGGCTCCTGGCGTTAATGCTTGGAGGGAGTCTGGCTACATTTTGAGCACATATTTGTGGAAGATTGCAAAGCACATTAAACTCCAGCGATTTAATTTATCTTCATAAAATTGTGTGTGCACATAGACTAACTCACAACCTAATGTGGCATATAGTTTGCATACCATAATATGCAAATTTATGGTTAAACATCAACCAATTTCTTTCTGGAGGCATTTTTTGATTAATTTTAACCCCACCTATTTTTTTCCAATACAAATGTAAATTAAAAACGTGTGAAAAGCCAAAGAATGCAGGGAGTAGAATGTATAAATAATGAGGCACACATCTTTTTTGATATTATCACGCCAAGCTAAAGTTCGTGAAAATTTCAATAATGGGTCGCATTGCAAGATGAATAAAGCTACCGAGCTAAATATTTGCGAAAGGTTATCTTTTAATAACCTGGTTTGGATAAAGTTTTAGATTTCGAAAGATTTCATTCCGATACCGAGTGCTTCAAATGCCCAGCGGCATCTATGAAGGTAAATAATCTGTTGAGAGGTTTTTTTCTATTAAAACTGCTCTTCTTGTAAAACTGAGGTTTTAAAAATAAGTTGACAGCGACTGACAACTTAACTTCTTCAAAGGAAATAAATATCACTTCGCAAACTACAAATATTATAATAATATATAATAATACAATCCATCCAAGAATCTAGACTTCTACCAGCCATCTTTCCTACTCAGGATAGAATAAGAGCACCCTTTCCAGTTTTTCAAACCTGGAGTGTGGCGTGATTTAAAATAATAATAATAATAATAATAATAATAATAATAATGATAATAACGAAAAGAAAATAAATAGCTGTCGCGCCAGTTGGACAATTTGAACAAACTCACGCGACATGCAAGCGAAGCGTATGTTTTCCTAGGTCGCTACACGTAGTGACTTAAATGTGTGAGCGCCGCGCAAATGAATTGAGAGGGCGAGCCTTTATAACGGTCCCAAACGACTGTAAAATACCGAAAAATAGATCAAAGAACATAAATTGATACCTGATACTTTGCTCAACTTTCTTTCCACCGCACACCCAAACAGGCTAGCTTCCCCAACTCCGCGCAGCTACAAAGTGAACATCAAACTTATGTAAGACCTATTTCATAAGCTCTAGCCAAATGGCAATTATTCAAATGCAAATGCCCAGCGGCATCTATGAAGGAAAACAACCTGTTGGGACTTTTTTTTCTTTTATAAACTGCTCTTAAGTTGACGAGCGACTGCAACTTAAGTTCTTTAAAGGTAATAGACATCAATTCGCAAACTACAAATATTTTCCATTCGAGAATTTGGACTCCTACCAGCCATCTTTACTACACAGGATAGAATAAGAGCACTCTTTCCGACTTTTCAGACTTGGAGTGTGGCGTGATTTAAAAAAATAATAATGATAACGAAAATAAAATAAATAGCTGTCACGCCAGTTGGACAATTTGAACAAACTCACGCGACATGCAAGCGAAGCGGATGATTTCCTAGGTCGCTACAGGTAGTGACTTAAATGTGTGAGCGAAGCGCAAATGAATTGAGAGGGCGAGCCTTTATAACGGTCCCAAACGACTGTAAAATACCGAAAAATAGATCATAGAACATAAACTGATACCTGATACTTTGCTCAACTTTCTTTCCACAGCACACCCAAACAAGTTAGCTTCCCCAACTCCGCGCAGCTACAAAGTGAACATCAAACTTATGCAAGACCTATTTCATAAGTTCTAGCCAAATGGCAGTTATTCAAATGCAAATGCCCGGCGGCATCTATGAAGGAAAACAACCTGTTGGGACTTTTTTTTCTTTTATAAACTGCTCTTAAGTTGACGAGCGACTGCAACTTAAGTTCTTTAAAGGTAATAGACATCAATTCGCAAACTACAAATATTTTCCATTCGAGAATTTGGACTCCTACCAGCCATCTTTACTACACAGGATAGAATAAGAGCACCCTTTCCGACTTTTCAGACTTGGAGTGTGGCGTGATTTAAAAAAATAATAATGATAACGAAAATAAAATAAATAGCTGTCACGCCAGTTGGACAATTTGAACAAACTCACGCGACATGCAAGCGAAGCGGATGATTTCCTAGGTCGCTACACGTAGTGACTTAAATGTGTGAGCGAAGCGCAAATGAATTGAGAGGGCGAGCCTTTATAACGGTCCCAAACGACTGTAAAATACCGAAAAATAGATCATAGAACATAAACTGATACCTGATACTTTGCTCAACTTTCTTTCCACCGCACACCCAAACAAGTTAGCTTCCTCGACTCCGTGCAGCTACAAAGTGAACATCAAACTTATGTAAGACCTATTGCATAAGCACAAGACAAATAGCAGTTGTTCAAATGCAAATTTTGAATAAAAGAGTTCGTAATGTAAACAATACGGGAGTAAACGACGTCTTCATACATTTCTAATGCGTCGTGTTGCAAATCATCCTCTTCGGCCCCAACACGTCCTTCAAAGAGGATTAGTTTTCAAAAATGTTTGTGAATTCCACTTGAGGGCAATTACAGGTCACATGAAAAGTGCAAGGAATCAGACACAAATAAAAATTAAACTATCAAATTTGATTTCTAATTCAACCCACAGATGCGCATAAAAAATCACCAATCAGTGCGTGACAAAGGAAAATAATGCTAGCTGATAATCACTGTATTCCTTAAGGTACTTCTTTACATGAGAATAGCTCGCGTCATATCTGATCCTCTGTCTGTTCTGAGTAATGCCACGATAATTGGAACTTCACAATTCCGCGCATGGATTCGCAAGAAGACCTTTCTAGAAAGAATCTTACACTTAACAAAGACTCCTTCCGAAGGATACGCTCAAATTCAAATATTAAAAATTGTGGAATATTCAGGAAAATGTTATGACGGTATTTTGAAGTAACTGTGGGATATATGATACTTGCAGGATGTTGTGCATAGGCAAAGCACGAAATTGCGATACGACCCAAACTAGAACAGCATGGGTCTGAGTTAGAAAAATTTCACAACATCTAGCCCCTGGGTTAGTCGAAGTAAAACAGAAAAGACTAATAAAGAAAAAAATCCGTTTTAGCTGATCGCGACAGAGAAAAATAAGCAAAGGAGCTTATCTCGCATTTTACGAGGTAAAATTTTGACATAGCCCCATCCTACATTATGCGTTCAGTTCTTGGATAGAGAAAACAATGACAAACACAATACATTGCTATTAGGAAAACAGATTTGTTTTACAATAGTATGGGGCTGTGAGGAAATTTTACTTTTTGCGATCGATGACTTCATTTGTGTTTAGTCTGTAAACACTAAAGAACAGGAAACTGGCGAGACCTAGTAATTCACAAAGAAGAAGCCATCTTTAGGTCGAGCACTGAGAACCAAAACGACGACGTTCAAGGAGCCTCCAACGTTCTCCAAAGTTTTCTAACGAGTTTAACCCGGTTTATCATAACTGAAGAATAAATAATTTACATTACCTTCGCCTTACTCAGCACGCCTTGTTTTCCACTGCGATCTCCAGACCATACAGGTCAGACTGATCAGTTGCAATGCTCAGCGACGCTTATCTTCGTATTGCGGTCGGAAGGTAAACAATAAAAGACCTGAAATGAAAGATGGGTGGAAAAGACAACTCATTAATGATCATTTTCAAAACTACAGAATAATTAAACAAGGTCAGTAGGGGGATCATGACAAAACTCATCACGGAAAAGCCTCTAACAACAGCTCTTACCGGCCGAACACTTTCAGAGTGTCACTGTTTTCTTAATATATTAACCTTCTTCCATAACGGATTATTTTATTTTTTGGCAAGACTTTACCCGAGGAAGCGGGTTGTGGGGTGCAATTCACGGTATAAGCTATGTAGGTGTTTGCCATCCTAAAGGGTGTGTTTTTTTTTAAGCTGGTTTTTCAATGAATATTTTAATCATAGTGGCACTAAACTGGGAACGGTTTCAAAGAAACTGCTTTGATAAGTTTGAAAAGGCCACGACTTAAGTGAAATCCTACAAATGAAGTAAACATCTAAAATCATCCAAACTCTAAATTTAAAAAGAGGCGTATAGGGAAGCTCATGGCCAAGAGAAGGCGGTCCAAAATTGCCTCCATTTTGCTGCAAGGTAATATGTAATTTGCAGCAAGGAAATAGAACGGGTGTTCTCGAACTAATCAGTTAGGGACGTAATCAGTCTATATGTAACCTAATCCGTTCTGAGCACACGGAGGTTAGGAGAATGTACAACAGCTAACCCAGACGCAAGACGCTCTCTTGCTATTGCATCTGTGAGATGTTTTACGAATATACAAGCGAATCTGGAACGACAGAAACCGTGTTCACATATCCGCATCTAGGCACATCCATCCACCGATGAGAGCGCTCGTAAGTATCGCAGTTATTTTATAAATTCGGTTGACAGTCGCCTCTTCACCCTTCAATCACAGCCTTTGTTTGTTTGTCGGAGAGGCTCATATTTCTGGGCCTGGAGCCGTGTCCTATTTGAAAGGCAAGGGTCGTTGGATCAGCGGAAGGAAACCGATTTGTGAGTTTTTGTGCAGCTGTAGCTTGGAGTCGTTTTCTTCTCCTGTAACGGGTACGTGAACTACAAAGTTTTTTGTAATTCCGTTCGGGCAAGGGTGTAAACAAGCAGAACAAACCGCATAACCATCGTACCATGCAGATCGCTTCAATATCGTGACCTTGGATTGTGGATAGCTTTGTATCTAATAATTTTTTGGGATTGTGAATAGTGTAGTCTCTTTTTCCGCTGAATCTTCGCTTGATTTACCTACTCTATGAGTAAGGAAACAAGAGATCCCGCATAGGAAACCTCTGGGAATAACTCAGCCGCGCGTGGCGATCCACATTCATGGAACTCGATATTACAAGGGTCAAATGGCTTTGATTTATTTCAGGTGAATTTTGAAGCTTTTTTGAATTTGCAAAATTCTTTTAGAATTAAAAAAAAAAATTAATTAGTCTTTAAACAGGAGTCAAATTTACAGTAAGCTTCAGTTTAGGTTTTTAATTAAATCGAACCTCAATCTTCGCTAAGCGGACTCTGCAAACCGTCTGCAAAATGGCTAATATGGTCAGCTCAGACTGATAACAAACACTGCAGTTGGGATCTCGTGACGTTCGTTCATACTATTTTATTGCGTGTGAGCCATTAAGGGGATCTTCGCTGCGAGCTAGCCTACGCTCGAACACGCAACAGCGAATTGTGGACACGATATAGTAATGAGGCAAAAAAAATAAACAATTGCTCTTCGTCGCCCGATCATCGCTCGTATTTTTTTAGCGAGTTGAGGTTAATATTTCACTCTGCTAATATCAATGGTTGATTTACCGATAGATAAATCCATTAAAACTGTTTTCCCGAGAAAAGTTCATCAATCTGTCCGGCTGTGTAAGATGCTTTAGCTTCAACTTTGTCGAACATGAGACTTTCCGATTTGAGTTTCACATTTTAGCCACTGTCGCTAGCCTTTGTAACATTCAGAAGGTTTACACAGCCTAAATAATATTCACTCAGCAAGATTCCCTGTTTAGCATTCGCACTTGGAAAGTTTTATTGTTATTTTACACAAAAGCATTCTTTCCGTCGATCTTTGTTGCACAATTGGTTCGAATTTCAAGCGCGGTGAGCTTATAGAAGAGATAAGGAAGAAAATCGGGCGCTCAGTGTCTGTTGTCTGTTGCGCAATTGTTACCAATCAGCTTTTATCATTATGCAAAGATACAATCCATCAAACCGAGGAGGCGGATAGCTTCAAATTGATCAGTAGTTACGCTGATTACTAGTAGAGTAACATTGGTAGTAATAAACTTATAAAAATAAACCAAAGCACTTATCCTGGGGGAGTTTGCGTATCAGTTGCACTATTATGAGTGGTGTGTCTACGTGTCCGTAAGTAATTATTGTGAGCCAGTGTTTGCACTATTTTAGACACATTGTCTGACAAGCAGAATTTTGATCGCTGAGTGAATTCATTTTCTAAGCAACTGATCAAAATCTAAGTTTGACTCCAAATTGTTTATGTTTATCTTTGCTTTACGTCGAAAGCGTTTGAGTAGGTGAACGCACAGCAAGGTTTTTTCAGAACTCAATCTTCATCGGTCAACTCTCATTTTCCTTCCCTTTCCCTTCCTTTTCTCTTTCCTTTCTTTTACTTTGCTTTTTTCCCTTTGCTTTTCTCATCTATTCTTGTCTTTTCTTTCCTTCTTTCCTTTCCTTTTCTTCTGTTTTCTCATTATTCTTACACCAAAATGATGTCCTTACCTGGACGTTAACACAGCACGAACGGCTGTTGCCTGTGGGCTCAAATCATTTACTTCATTCATTCTGTTTTGTCGCATATTACTAGGGAGCGAGACAATGGAGAAAGAGACTGATTTAATCGCAGCCAACCACAATGAAGAGCATCTGACGCCTGAGCAACGAAAGAGAGAGAAACGAAAGATCACCAAGAATGTTTACATCATCAGTCTCGGGTTTTTGTTCCTCTTTACCGCCTTTCAGTCACTTCAGAACTTGCAGAGCAGTTTGAACAAGGTTGAAGGACTGGGTTTCTGGTCGCTATGCGTCATATACGCTTCCTTGATACTGTCCTGTATTTTAGTCCCTCCCTTCATGATTGGAAGACTCGGCTGTAAGTGGACGTTGGTGTTCTCAATGACAGGCTACGTGCTGTATACAGTGGCTAACTATTACGCGCGATGGTGGACTTTGATTCCTGCCTCTTTTATTATCGGTAAATGGATTGTTCTTTTGCAATCTTGATTTTTGACTCAGTTTACAAGGACCAACATGGAGTGACCGTAGTTTTGAAAGCTTCTCTATGTCGAGTTTAAAGTATCGCCGATCGGGACGTTAAACAATACATAGTCCTATGTCGTGAATCAACACGCTGCAAATTTAGTATCTATCTTTTACCGTTAACCAACGTTTCAATTCTCTTTTTAAAGGAATGTGTGCAGCACCTCTTTGGTCTTCAAAATGCGCTTACTTGACCACCACAGGAATCCGTTACGCTGAGCTTAACCATGAAACCCAGGACGCGGTCGTGACGCGCTATTTTGGAATATTTTTCCTGATCTTTCAGAGCGGCCAGATCATCGGGAACCTCATCTCTTCGCTTGTCCTTCAGCAAGGAATGGGAGACACCTTCCGTGAAAACGCCCGAGACGTCTGTGGCGTGAACTTCTGCAAGCCATTGCCAGCGACCGGAAATAAAACAGACGAGTACGATCACAAGCTTGTTATCAGACTTCTTAGTATTTATGTTGGTACAGGAGTATTAGCTGTCGTGCTGGTGATCGTACTTCTCGACCGGCTTACCGGAAGCCTGGACCGGCGAAAGAAGCAGGAATCTGGCCTTAATCTATTGGTTGCCACTGTGAAACACTTGAAGGACTGGCGCATGCTTCTGGTGTTACCGCTGACCATGTTCAGCGGGCTAGAACAGGCCTTCACGTTTGGAGATTTTACACAGGTAAAATTTGTTCTCATCTGTCAAAATCAGGTTAATACAATATCTCTAACGGGTTTCCTTTTGGATCCTAAACTGCATTAATTTCCATGCTTACTGTTTTTAGAAAATAGTTTTCGCTGAGTAGATGGGGGGGGGGAAGTCGTCGCACAGAGTTTAAAGGGGGGGACTATTGAACATTGATTGTCGATGAGGGGGATCATTAGACTACTACAGAGCCTTTGGAGGGGATCAGTTAAATATCATTTTGATACATCCAAAATCTCCTCTTCCCCCTTAGGCGATGTATAACAACCGGTTCCTTAGCGCCTTTATTACTGATATATTACACAGGCATTCGTCACTTGTTCGCTCGGAATCCATCGTGTTGGTTTTGTTATGATCTGCTTCGGTGCCACCGACGCGTTCTTCTCGCTGACTCTGGGCCGTCTTACTAAGTACACTGGGAGAATTCCAATTTTCATCAGTGGTGCGGTAATACACTATGCTACCATTATAGTTATGCTGATTTGGAAGCCCGACTATCATATGGTGTGGGTGTTTTATGTCATTGCTGCTCTATTGGGATACTGTGACGCAGTTTGGCAAACCCAGATTAATGGTAAGGCATCACAGGGACACCAAACGTGATCGTAATGAGGCTGGCTAAGTTTGGTTTTGCGTTAGATAGATTGAAAGCGTAAAGGAAATCATTGAGTAATATACGGAACGATAGACTGACGGGCGGCAGGACGGACGGACTAAGAGGTCAACTGACAGTCTAACTGGCCAACTGTCGGAAAGAATGTCGGTCTGACAGAGGGACTAATGGGCTAACGGACGACTGATGGACTTACCGACGCACCGACTGGCTTGCTCAACTTACCTACTGATGAATTGATGTATTGAGTCTGCTGTTATTTACTTTATTTGATCTTTGTGGTCAGTTTATTCAAATTTGTTTCATTAATACTTGAAAAAGAATCATGAACTTGATCCTTTGTTTTTTAGGTTCAATCACAATGTTTCCAATTCTATTTGATCCCCTGTTTTATCTCTGTTATTACACTGGGAAATTCAATCACGTTTTTGTTTAAAAAAAAAATAGCTTAACCAGGCTGAGTTATTTTTTTTCACTACAACAGCAACAGAATCCTCTAAAGTATTGGCATGTTATGTCTCAGTTAAGGTCCAAGTTTGATAACTTTGAATGTCATTTTTCTCAATACAGCCATGTACGGCGTGTTCTTTCACGACAACCAGGAGCCAGCGTTTTCTAATTACCGTCTGTGGGAATCACTTGGCTTCGTGATTGCTTTTGCATACGCCAACTACCTGTGTATCATTAGCAAGTTAATCATCCTCTTGGTAGTTTTAACCCTCAGCTTGGTCGGGTATTTCCTCGCCGAGTATGTGCATAAGATTCAAATCGACCAAGAATACTCTCTCGCAGACGGCATGGTGTTAGAAGAAGCCAGCCAAACGAGATCTTAACTGAAGAAGGAATCAGTACTATGCTGTTTTTTTATGAAGCAGCTTAAACTTTGGCCAGTCATTATCATGGTTTTGTATGTGATTCATCTATTATGGTGTTTAGGTTGATATGTATAGAGGGTTTCACTCAAAAAAGGAATAATTTCCTCTGGTTTCAGCCCTTTTCAAGTTCACTTTTCTACAGGCGAACACAAAGTCAAACTTTTGTTCAGAAAAATCACCCTTTTTGTCTTAAGACTGGGGAAAAAATCGTTCCTATACTTTCTTTGATTTCTATGACAGATACCGCTGTTGTCAATTTATCGACCACAGAACGCAATAGAATCCTGCTTTTAGCGCCGTACTTCTTCATACATACTCTAAGGAAATTCAGCAAACAAATGTTTCCCTTCATCATACCGACGGTAAAAAATTTAGTTATGTGAAATTTATGTGAACGGAGAATTGAAATACTAATAAGGTAGAAATTAGTCTCTTACCCAGATCTTCCACGGCCAGCGGATCCTACAATGCAGTTACATGGTAAGATCTGGGTATGAGATCAGATGGAACTGATCAACATGTTATATATATATATATTTTTTTTTTTTTTTGGCAAGGTATTGAATTGAGAAACTCATATATTGGAGGCTCATTGAAGTTTTAACATTGGAGAGTCCATAAATAAAGATATACTTATCGACGTTGATCGTGTTGGACCTGCATTTAGCGAACAACATATTAAGTGGAAACTCTGTGTTAAGTGGACACCGACTGAGGTTTCTATTTTGTCCTCTCACTATTATAAAAGGAACCTTTATTCAGCGGACACACCTCAATAGACCCTTAAACTCCCAGAGTAATGAACATGTAATTTTTACCTACAGTATCCATAGATTATCCAGCAAACAGGTAATGAGAATACTCAAACTCGTTATCTTGATCTAACACCAAATTCTCCTAACTAGGTTACAAGGAAATGTACAGCAGCTAGAAGGGTGAATTAAAAACCAGATCTTGGGAGTCAAAGGGTTAAGCAAACTCGGTCACTACCATTGAGCCTTTTTGTGACCCACAGCGAAGTAGAAAAAGCCAGAGGAGTATAACCGGAATTCACAACATACAAAATTTCTTCATTATCCTTAATTATTTCTGATTTAAAAGGGAAGAAATACACTCTACGAGAAAAGGAAATGATGACTCTTTGCACGGAAGTAGCGAGAGTCTATTTCGCGATGTCTGACCTAACTATCCTGTAATATTTTCACTTCAAACGTATGAGGCTCAGCAGTTTTCATCACTGCTTGTGCAGGTGATTCGTTGGTTGTTAACTTGATCATTTAATCGGAGGGTAAATCATCAAAGTCTTCACACTCAGCCAGACTAGGCACACTCTCTGATCTTTCCATACTACCGGGTCTATTCCAGGACGCTTGAAGATGTTCCTGATCAGAAGGGACGTCATTCGTTGGCGCGAACTTGACCTCGCTGGGTTCTTGGCTTTTTCTCAGACAAACCCCGCTCTCAGGATTATATTCGTATTCACCAAATGTGAAAGTAAAAACCTCGTTATTGTCTTCTTTTGCCTCAAGAGGTGCCTTGATACCCTCGATATCTAAGTCTTCTGCGTCAATTGGACAGGTGTACTGTTCTTTACCCTTTTGGAGATATTTCCAAAATCTCTCTTCTACACAAATATCTTGCGCCATCTTGAGGACTTTGGGTGATTTGGGCGGCCGTATTGGTATCACCTCAATTACATTTTCAACATGTGACTCGGTAACAGTTTCCACCCGACCAGTTTTTAAACTTTGAACTTTCTCTAGGAAATTTGACGGTGCCCAACCTACAGAATGACTTGAAGTGCGCACTAGCCACCAGCCCCCCTCCGATTCTTCTAGAAGTTCAACCTCAGCATTCTCTTGCAGATTTACTTCCTGTTCGCCCTCTTTTTCGTAGGATCCCATGGCTAAGAATCTGTTATTCACCAGCTCCGGCATATTTTCGGTATATTCTTCGCCTTCTTCCTCGTCTTCGTCTTGCACATCAGGTTGTTGGTTTTCATCACTATGGGAATCGATGACAGGGTTTTCAGGGCTAGATCCGTGTACGGTTTCCTCGTCCTCAACCGGAAACTCCAAATCCTCTTTTGTTTCCTCCTTTGGGAGTTTAATCGGGCGGAAGTGATAACGTTCGTCGGAAGAGGGAGGTGGGGTATTTGAGTTGTTGGAACTCTGAGCTAGCAACGGGCTCGGGATGGGACTCGTCCCGCGGGAAACAGTTTCCAGATCCTCTTCTTCCACCATTGATAAAGGCCTGGGCTTCAATAAGCCATTAATCTGCACATCGTTAACTGAATTTTCAGAGTTGACCTTAAGGATGCTCTTTGATTCTCCGTTTAATCTGCATCCTGTTCTTACTTCATTGGGGTCTTGTTTCTGCCGCGGATTCCGTCTTCCTTGAGGCTTCTTCGTGACTTGATGAAACTCCAGATTTACGTAGGATCTCGCAGGCTTTGTGGTGAAACTGTTCTCTTTTCTAGCAGAGCTGGATACGGCTTGGTTTTCGTTCCTCCTCTTCGGGTGAAATAAAGATTTTAAGAAGAAACAAAATTAATAAAGATGGTCATTTCATATTCTTTAAAAGGTGTCAAAAACAAAATTCGTACCACACTCTTTTTCCTGGCTGGTGGGTCCCATGTTTGTCTTCTTCCTGGAGGAAAGGAAACAAAAAGATTTTGTAAACAGCCAGATGGGGACCAAAGAGTTTAAAAGAAGTATATGGGGATGGACAGCCCGACAGACGGACCAGAGAATTGTGACTTAAGTGAATCTACTCGTGTGGGAATTCTATTTTTCTTACCAGCAAGGACAGAAATGCTATTCAAACGTGTATCTCTGAGCATAGCTCTGACTGCAGCATGTTTTCCTTTCTGTCTTGCGTTGTACTGGGACGAGGCCACCTCTCTCAGATACATTGATGGTGCCCAGCCTTCTTTCTCTTCAAACCTGTCGCGAGTAAAGTAATCTTGTTGCGAATTATGTTGCTGGTAGATATCAGTCAATATACTTTCGAAATTTCCAGTTGTTAGACTTAAATCCAAGCAATAATCATTTAAGTTTGGTTCCTATAAAACTATCACAACTTACTTGACAAACCACCATCCGTCCAGATTTTTCTGAATGACCTTGACGACTTTTCCCATTTCAAACCCAACCTCGTCGTCAAGTTGAGGCTCATAGGCAGCCATGGAAATGTATGTTTCCTCTGTATGTCAAGAAGGACGAAATCAGAGCACGGCAGTTTTTTTTCAATTTTTATTTTTGTAACAATTTCGTACAAAATAAATCCTTAGAACAATCTGAAAGTGAGCAATGAGCCCGCAAACAACCCTTATCTGATCGGAACAAATTTAGGCATGTCAAATTGGCATCATAAGCGGGGGAGGGGGGGTGATGAGACCGTACATTGGCCGCATTTAGGGGAATGGGAGCCTATATTTGCCGTCACCCAAGTTTATAATTCACCGGCTTGTTTACACAGAAAGTGACTAATTCAACAGAAATGTGTGAATTCTCGACCGAAGGGAGGGTTCATGGGAAAAAAAGGTCAATAAGCTGGCTATTGGGGAGCGACAGTGTACTTCATACATACATTAAAGAGGTGACTGGATCGCACGTAGCAGAGTACCTTACCCTCTCCTTCCTCAAAAGTCTCCAACACCTGATCATCCATGCTGCCGTCCCGGGGTTCAAGGTAAGATGCTGGTACCCAGCCCACCTCACTGTCGAGGTCCACAAACCACCAACCTTCAATGAGAAGCGTAAACAAAAAATATTTCAGAGAAAGTTGAAAGACACAATTTATTGAAATGTAATCAGCTCAAGATCTGAAGCTAATTGCGTAGTGAAAGTAACCTAATCCTGATGCAGTGAAACGAAGATGAAAATCACGCTATGAAAAAGTAAACTTCAATAGTTTGCAATTTACAAATAGCTGCCGCTCTGGTTATCGTGGAAAGAATTCATTACATCGTGATGGAAAAAGGGAATTTAGTTGTGTCAAAGCAAATGTAATCGGTCAGGTTGCTAAGCAAGATTCAAAATGGCGGCGTACGCAGTAAGGTTACGTTACGTCACTCTTTGGATTTCGGTATCCTACCAAAAAAATCATGGCGGAGCTTGCTGCGAGCGCAGGGATACCAATACTTATACAAAAAATGTTAATAACAATAACCCATCAAGCCGAGAAAATTAAGTTTATCATAAATTATTGTCGATAGAGAATGAGCTCACGAGGCTGCGACGCCTTTAACAAGCTGGGCATCACATCACTCACCGTGTTCATTTTTCTGGATAACTTCCACAACGTTCCCTGCTGTGAGACTTATGTCATTTACTTCTCTACTTGTGTAATCTGCGATTGCCACGTACTGCTCCAGCAGAAATGGCTCCGATATGTGCTGAAGGTCTGATACAGGAAATAATTAAATTGCTTTTGAAAAATGAACTTCTCATTATTTATGCCGTTATCTATCTACCAATTTATGAACTGACCTGAAAAAAAAAATCAGCAACAGCAAAAAGCTAGATTTGCACAAAATTTTGTTTGCATAATCACTTTCAATGAACTCTCAACGTGGGTATCGAACCCACGACCCCGAGATTAATAGTTTTATGCTCTACCGACTGAGCCAACTAGGCGAGACACAGGTGCCTGTGAACAGGAATTTTGAAAGAAGATTTTTACTGTTTATTAAAAGAGTATGTGCATACAACAACAACAACAACAACAACGTAACTTGCAAAGTGAAGCTTAATTAATTGAAAATTTATGAAGAATATTTTTAACCTTAGGATACAAGAGTTCATGTTGGATACTGTAGGATTGTAATGTTGGCTTACATTTTCCTTTTGATGCGCCTTTATCCATATTTCGATTTTTTCTAAAGAAAAATAAAAGACAGGAATATTTCATTGAACATTTTCCTTGCAGCGGAGTGCTGTTGTGTGAACTGAAATAATGTTAGAATAAACCAGAGTCACCCATTTGCTCTAATGATATGATAATGTTGTTTTTGATCCACGGAATGCGCGCCTAGGTGCAAACTGTGGACAAAAGTTTCAACCCCACTTAATATCATCGGGATGGATTCCCTCATAAAAACATAAAGAGACACAAGTGTACTACACTTGTTCACTTACTCTGCTTGATCATGGTCTAACTCGATAAGATCTTCGGGAAGAGGGTGAAAAAAGTTTATTACAGGATCTGATCCAGAAATATGCGGAGGTTGATGAACTACAGACTGTAAAAGGGAGAAAACAAATCTGTCATTCGAATTTAAGGTAAATGGCCAATCAGCTTTATCCAAAAAAAAAATTTAAAAATGGAGGAAAAAGTTAGAAATTAGTTTCGTTGGCAATTTTCCATTTAATACTCCCTTCGCTCTAACAAAGGGCTCACGCTTGAGACGCCAGCCTGAGAAACTCTCTGCGGTGGCCATTATATTATCAACTTAGCAGGCTGATGAAACCACATTATTCTGTAATACCCTCTCCCCCCCCATGAAGCACCACAGTTTCTTTGGAAAATTGTTATACCCCCTTTTGTAGTATTGTGTCAGCGGCAAACTTTAAAAAAGTATCACTGCTATGACTACAAAAAATGAGCTTCGTTGTGTCAACATGACATGGCTGCATTTTTACTTTCTGTAACTTACTTTGAGGAATTCTTCGACAGCAGGCATTCTTTTTAGTGCTTTGGCGCGTTTTTTGATAGTAAACCTTCCAGAAAATGACTTTCCTGTGGAGAAAAGTTTGGAGACCATAAGAGATAGCGAACATAAACTTATGCTTACTAGAAATTGTCATGTGGACCAAACATTTTTAAAACTTCTTGGGCAGCTTTTAAGTTACCTTTGAGCAGTGTTCTAGAAGCTGGGTCGTTCTGGTTCAAGATGAAGTCTTCTATTTTTAGTAACCTTTCCTGCGAAATAACCACACTACATAAGCTCTCTTGTGTTCTCATTGGCTGTTCAACTGACAGGAAACTCCCCTCAAAGGGGCACCAATTTGCTGTAAGAATTTTTTTTTTGATCATAGTTGATGAAATCTCGGCGATAAAATGCAATAGTTGGGAGGCCAGAATGATTTCTTTGTTTAAGATTTTATATCAATTTTTTTTGTACCTGAGCGTGAATAATATTCGATTGCATTCAAATGATGTTGTACTAACTTCCTATCGATTCATTTAGCCACCGTGTGCGCATGCGTTGACATCCAAATAAATGATTACGTCAACTGAAGAGCTCCCAACAAAAACTCAGGCACCGTGGTTTTTAATTTTGATAATTTCCGATTTTTATAACCAGTCTCCCGTCGGACAGATTCAGTAGTATGAGTACCTGCAGTTCAAGGAGGGTGCTGTAGCTTCTGTAGACTGGAGTGATGGGTCCGTCATGCCAATGAACTTGAATGAAGTATACCTATCGACGAATGGAGAAATTAAGTTCAATTGATCATCCTGTATTATTTCAAATCAGTGAATATCAGCAAGCTGACTGAAGACATTTGTCAGGGCTCCTTTGTCAGGCTTCCTTCGCTTAGGGTCATTTGAAGGTCTCTAGGGATCCATAGTGTATCCTTCGTCAGATCCACTACATCTTCACGTTTTATTTTGTTTTAGGTTAATTCCCGGCGATAAACTGGTTTTCTGGGATCTTTTTTTGATTAGTCACCTGTCCAAAATACTGATTGAAATGAAATTCAAGACTATAGGCTATTATAACCAAAATCTTCCGATTCAAGTCGTTTCATTACAACCTCCTTCCCAGTTGGTTTTATGGCCCTTTGAAAAAAGCTTACGTAATGTTTTCTCGGCTTTGTTCTTTTGCATATGTCCTCAACCGAGACGTCTCTGACCTGTGTTAAGCTCATGGCGCTGGAATGGAAAAAAAAAAAAAAAAGTCCACTTTTTACCATTAGCACAGATCGTCCAGTGTTCCCATGGCGACGCATACCCCTATTAGCCATTCGCCTAGGCACCTATGCTTTGAAATACTGACTTCGAACGCAGTATTTATTTATTTGTTCTCCGTCAGAAATGATAAAATTTTAACGCTGTGTTTCAAAACAATAAGTCTATACATTTTTCCTTCTGATCACTGCAAAATAAATAATTTTTGCGAAAGCAATTAAGCTCAACGCCCAACGTGGGGCTCGAACCCACGACCCTGAGATTAAGAGTCTCATGCTCTACCGACTGAGCTAGCCGGGCGAATTACAATCCTCATGAAAAATCAAATGAGTTTTTTCTTTACTTTCGCCCTTTCCAGCTCTAAACGTGAGCCCAAAAGTAAATTGTGTAGACTCTTAATTAAAGTATCAAGAAGATCTTTTAATTTTATTATGTTAATAAGTTCGAAACCTTTCGTCAAACAAAACTAGTGTTTCCATTTCCGACTTTCCTGAAGCAAGATCCATTTGCAACTGACAGTTACTAAGATAGTTATCTGCCTTCGTTGTGCGACTTTTCCCTTACGTTTAGACCTTTTGGTGTTGCACAGCTGGAATAATATTAAAAATGTTGGGTATTTTTTAACGTTTGAAACTGTGATTACTTTTATAAAATGCCTGAGATGCTACGTTTACAGCACGGATGAACCCATTGAAAACTGAAATAAAGGTCGCTTTATTTAGCGTCAAGTCAAGCAATGCATTGATGTAGTTAATAATGATCGATATGGTAACTTTTTTTATCGCTCAGACCCTGAAGAGAGAACTCGAACGCTACACGCCAATTTATGCGTTCAGACTATTGGGAAGCATAACTGCATAACTTGACACAATTCATTTAAGAAACAATGCGTTCGCAACGTACTTCATAGCTATGGATCAACCCAGAATGTTTTCATATTCCTGGAATCATGAGTCATAAGAGATTTAAGTTCCTTACCGACTTCACTCAGGGAAGATCCACTCCTCTACGGTAGGAATCAAATTCTATTAGCAACACAAGATACTCCGCCCTGGAAAATCAATCATCATATTCCTGGAATCATGAGTCATAAGAGATTTAAGTTCCTTACCGACTTCACTCAGGGAAGATCCACTCCTCTACGGTAGGAATCAAATTCTATTAGCAACACAAGATACTCCGCCCTGGAAAATCAAAGGAGCAGAACTCCCAGTTGCTTCATTATATTAAAGAAAGCGAAAAATAGTGATGACTCACTGATGCCTTCGGGGACAGAAACCTCAACTGAAATTTCATTTTTCTTTGGTAGAATTAATTAGACCCTGTCTGCGTATGGAAAATTTATGTTTTTTTAAGTAAATACCCTCGATCTGGGCTACAGTTGCTTAATATCGTTTCACGCTATAGGGTAACCTTACCAGTGAATTTTTAGAAAGGCCATACCGAATTTACTAAAATAATTCCGGACCATTTCAGGTGCTTAGCCCTGAGCAAGATTTTTGCATTACTTCTAAATGCCAATGCCAAGAAAAAGTACCAATATTAGTGTATTGCGTTGAATTCATGTTTTGCAATTAGAATTTTACCAAAGGTTGAGTGAAAAAGCGTGGTGTAGAGAGAAACAGAGACTGTGGAAAGTGAGGCAGAGAATGTTCCAAATGACATCTACACTTTTAAATTGTTGCATCACAATTGTAGCGCGCCCGGCTAGCTCAGTCGGTAGAGCATGAGACTCTTAATCTCAGGGTCGTGGGTTCGAGCCCCACGTTGGGCGCTGATTGCGTATTTTTGATTCCAACTTTTGGTATCAGAACGGTGAAACGGTTTTTATCGAAGTGAATTTGAGACCAAGCAAATCGAGATGACTCATTAAAATTTTTTCAAGGCGCTGAGAGATTGGCCGAAAACAAGGTCCCATTGTTTTATCTTGTTGAAATTTATCAAAAACGGGCATGAAATGAGTGTGCAAGAAGGTAAGGTAAAAGAGGATGTATGCAGAGGGCATTCAGGTTACGAAGGTGTTTGACTGCGAAGCATCATTCAAGTGCAGTTGTAAGTGACATTTATAGTACAATATCAAAACAACGAGCTGCTCTATAGTGAAATACAAGATGAACAGAAACGTTAGAATCGTAAGAATCAAATATAAACTTACATAAGCGATTAGGACAACCTCAGATTAATTTTTGTCACTATTTCCTTCAAGAGTAACTTGTTTCACAATACAAATATGGTAAGGAAAATATGCATTCACTTCTGACAGTTTGTCACTGGTAAGTGACTCAGTCTAGACTCAGGCACGTGAATACATAATGTTAATATGATCTTCCTTAGAGATAAATGATTATATAATTGGATATATCCAGTTAAACATTTGACCGAGAGAGAGGGTAAAATAAAGACGAGTTATTTAAATTATCTGAGCTAAAAAAACTGCTCTGAAATTTAGCGGAAAAAGTAGGAACTTCAGAAAAGGAACAAACAAAGGAAAACTGAAAGAACCAGGTTAGCTTACGTCAGTCATAAACTACACCAGGAAAGTCGGCTGACGAGAATTTCGAGCAATGACGCACAAAGACAAAATCTTATGAAATCTTTGTGGAAGTTCAATAACTGCCCTACGAACTACAGGAAGTCTTTATTTGAGACTAACAGAATTGTGTCCTTAGTGATACAAGTTAGCACTGACTTAGCTGACTGACCCGGTTAAGTAAATTCTTGGTGACAATACAACTAAATAAAAGTTTTGCAATTAGAATTTTACTAGAGGCTAAGTGAAAAAGCGTGGCGTAGAGAGAAACAGAGACTGTGAAAAGTGAGGTGGAGAATGTTCTAAACGACATGTACATTTTTAAATCCTTACATCACTATTATAGCGCGCCCGGCTAGCTCAGTCGGTAGAGCATGAGACTCTTAATCTCAGGGTCGTGGGTTCGAGCCCCACGTTGGGCGCTAATTATATCTTTTTGATTCCAACTTTTGGTATCAGAATGGTGAATATAAACTTACATAAGCGATTAGGACAACCTCAGATTAATTTTTGTCACTATTTCCTTCAAGAGTAACTTGTTTCACAATACAAATATGGTAAGGAAAATATGCATTCACTTCTGACAGTTTGTCACTGGTAAGTGACTCAGTCTAGACTCAGGCACGTGAATACATAATGTTAATATGATCTTCCTTAGAGATAAATGATCATATAATTGGATATATCCAGTTAAACATTTGACCGAGAGAGAGGGTAAAACAAAGACTAACAGAATTGTGTCCCTAATGATACAGGCTAGCACTGACTATAGCTGACTGACCCGGTTAAGTAAATTCTTGGTGACAATACAACTAAATAAAAGTCCAACGTATATCCATGACAGCAAGTATAAAGGTGGATTTTTGTTATGATATCTGATTGCTGAAAAAAGCGTCAACTGTAACACAAGAGACTCGTAAAACAGGTACAACAGAACAGGAATTAGGAAAGGCTCGACTACAATCCACTTCTCATGCAATCAAAGTGAATTCTGCCAAAACTAGTCTGTTGGCGTGGCTACACTGAATGCCTAAAATTTTCTTTTCTTTGTACATAAATGCTTGTATATCATGATTAGTAGCGTTACTCTCAGATTGTACATACAATATGAGGGAAAGGTAATCAACAATACCAGTATTAGAATCTTAGCAATTAGATATAACTTACCCAAGCGATTATGACAAACTCAAATTCAGTTTCTTTTACAATTTTCTTCGATGGAAGCTTTTCTTTACGCGATTCAAATGCGAGATTAAGGAAAATATGTATTTAAGGCCGACAGTTTGTTTTTTTAGGTGACACAGACATCATACGAGGTGCCATAATCATCAGATTAAATCAATCATCTTCCTTACAAATCAATAATTAGCTATATCCGGTCATTAAACATATGGCTTCTAGAGAAAAATTTTCTAATTGACTAAGCTTAAAAAGTTGCCCTAACTTCTAAACAGGTCTGTTCATTAAGCTTATTCCTTCCTTATTCGCTAATACCGTTTAATGCAAAAAGCGCAGTGAGTTTCAGGCATGCAGTGACGCACAAAAAAAAAAAACTGACAAGGAACTATAAAAATTACGTTACGAACTACAGGAAGTCTTAATTTACTCGGAGAAGAAAAAAACTTGTTCCCGGAGTGATTCAAGCTAGTCCTGACTAACCTGGTTAACAAAATTTTTTGAGACAACGCGACCAAATGAAAGTCAGATGTACATTTATAATAGATATGTATCGTAAAGGTGATAGTGTTTTTTGGTTCCAGCTGTTTGCGAGTCCTAGATTTATGGACGCGATTCACTCAGTCCAGACGTCAAAAAGATAGAAAGAATTCCTATGATTCATCAGAAATAAATTGCGTGCACAATCAAATTGCTCAAGAGGAAAAGGTGTAAATAATTATAAGACAAATGTGCCGCACGGAAAATCGGAACTTCTGTGAATGACAACCATGTTCGACAAATTACTGATCTCTAACGAGTTGGAGCTAATACAGACCTTTAATGGAGCTACTTGTGCAACTTAAAAACATTATACACGCTTACTTCACGGTATATTTTCTGATAAATATCGATTGCACGGCGCAAGGGTAAATTCTAATGTTGACCTTGCCATTTTGTTCAGTTACATGGAAAACTAACAAATTTCAAGGGTGTTTTGTACAAGTTTATGTAATATACCGAATTCGTCGGTGTCTGGGATTTAAGAAATCTTTGATAAACAAGTATTCTCCAGGTTTTGTCCGCCGACGTAATAGAATCTCAGAAGACAAATAATATCTTACCTGAGAGTAAAAACTGACGTGACTTTAAATCAGAATCCCTAGTCGCTGCAACATTGTAGTTGCATCGATATGTCGTAAGAACTATTCCCAACTTTAGATTGAAACTTGAAAACACTGTCCCGGCAACGAGCTGGTCACTTCAAGTGAGAGCGATTTAATAATTTTTCAAAGTAAACAGATCATTGTTCTCAACATTTAAATCACGCCAAATGTCTGAAAGTTTTTTGTTTGCAGTGCGTGGTAGATGTTTTCGAATTTGAAACGATTACAAAATTGACAGGCGATTTTTTTCACTTTTAAGCTCATAGGATTTTATTATTGTTATGCTAGACTAAGGTTTCAATATTGGTTGCTTCTAAAAGTTTCTCGGATCCATTATCGTGCCTTTTTCACATGAAGAAAACGCCACCATTTTGTTACATTCCTTAGTAACTAACAAACCGAAGAAACTATGGAGGAACCTGTGTACAATAATTAAAAGTTGTTGTCATTTACTCAGTATACCTATAACTGTTTGCAGTAGAATTCGTGTAGGGTAGGGAGAGTGTGGGCTCATTTCACAATCAGCGGCTGACAATCGGGCCAAACCGGTATTGCAATAATAGATTACCCTCCAACAGCACCGAGAACAAGGGGGAATGGGTCACATCAAATGTTACTGTTTTCTCTCTCCAATCCCTTTACACTTATTGTTAAATTATCAATCAAATGATCAGATAGGTAACATTTCCTTACACAAAATAAAGATTGTTTGAGATTTCATTACCTTCTCCACAAATTGATAATTACAATGCAAATAATTTTTTGATTGACGCAGGAGTGCATTTGGACTGAGTGTCAGAAACTTTGACCAGAGTTATAACAATGGCTGATCAATGCAAATAAACATATCACTCTCCACATTTAAATGTGTGTAACTCCTGATTATAGTCTATCATCTTATTCATTTGTCCAACTTCCAGATATATATACACACATATATACAAACACATATCTACAAATATATATATATATATATATGTATATATATATAAATGAATGTGGGGGTAGAGTCTACCTTGGCATAACGTGCTCAATACTGTGGTAGCAGAGCTAAGTATACATAAGTTAAAGAATTAAAGACGACGCATCAATTCTCTGTGACTCTGAGTTTACGCTCATCAGACAGAACTTTTCTTTTGTGACGAACACTTAGATGTGAAACTCAGTCACAGAGAATCAATGTGTCCTCTTTAATTCTTTAACTTATGTATACATATATATATATATATATATATATATATATACACACACACACATACATGTATATCAGTTAAGCTTTTAAGTTTGGAAGGAAGGACAGGTTGTTGAAATGTTTGGTCTTTTTTATTTTGGGCTTGTATTTGATCAATCAAAGTCAATGCCCTTATATACTACCATGAATAAAACAATAATCTAGAATTACAGAAAGGAGATAATGTTCTGGACTGAGATTTTAAAAAGCAGGCCTTACAAATCCATTTTAATAAAGATGAAATAATTATCTGATCAAAAAGGGACCAAGATATAAGAAAATGTTCATTAAGAAAACCAAAATATACAGTTCGTTATTCTAGTGGAAATGTTCTGATGTCCTGTACAAACACTGTCTTGGTGGAAAGGTGTTTCCATTGCTCATTTTGGACTTTACTTTACAGATGTCTTAATGCCAGTTGTTTACAAAAGTTCTATTTACACACTAGAGAGAATCAGCTGTTTCTTTTCTGTAATGGTTCACAAAAAATCTGAGAAGTAAGCTATCTTCTTCTCTGGAAAACATTGCCTCCTCTGCCGCCTCGAGTGGGTGCTCCTCTTCCTCTTGCTGCAGCTGTAGAAAAAAGAAAACAACACATGCACTTAGAAATAGGAGTAATCCATAACATTTAGAAATTTCTCTTGGCAACCACAAAGTGAAGAATCCTGAAACAAAAAGAAGTCTGCACTATTTGTGTATGGAAATCAATCCTGTGTTAATAAGATATAAACAAGTCTTATTTCTGTTAGGGGCAACATGACTATATTTAGTGGCAAAGTAACAGGGTGATTTGATTTGGAGAAACATTGCACAGGGGTAACATGACCTAAATTTGACCAAAATAGTGTTTCCATCCCTTCAAAAGGTTAACACCAAGTCAATCCTAAATGTGGCAATGTTACAACTCCAATTAATTTACGCACAGAAAACCAGAAACCTACTTTAAATATTTAGCTCCAGAACTAGGGTGCATGCGCAAAGGTGCAATAGACATTGGCAGACACCTTTGTGCATGGCCCAGGCTATACAGTTCTAGCCTTCTATAGGGAGAAAATTGATAGAAAAGGCTGTTACTTTATCGATATAATATAATAAATAAACAGTAATACTGTACCTTGTGCCCTCAATATAGCTGATTTTCCTCTTCCCGCCGCTCCGCTGCCTCCCGAGCCTTTCTGTGTCATTTTCTTGAACATTGGAGCATTTTTCAACATATCTGGGAGAATCAGAAACCGAATCTTGCTTCCACGAATAAAGACCTGTTCTAGCTGTGAAACTCGCCCATCCCTTGCGGTTACCGTGATGTTTGACATCTGGCAATTCATGTTGTCTTCAGCCTCGACGAGCTTTCCTCTGTATACTTCACCAGTCATCGTTTCGAGCGTGACAACATGTCCTTCTGCTTCGTGCAGAATCTTAATTGGCACTCCTATCGACATCTTCGATTAAAATAAATATTAACCTCTTCCTGTGGCTGCTTTTCAGCGAAGATGAAGTTGTGAAAACGCGTAGATGTATTGGATTGAAGTACGTTCTTCGCTAGCATTCACAGCCTCGTTATTCCAAACGTTTGCAAACGTTACAATCCGAGGAGTATTGGGAGAGAATCAGGCTTAGTGACCAAGCCTGAGAAGCTGTGAAAAGAACAAAAAATACCTTTCCTAAACTAATCGATACATTTATGTCAATCTGGTCGATTAATCGAGGCAGAGTCCTAAGATATGCTTTATTCAAAGTCTGATTGTGCTAATTTAAGATATAACAGTTTGGGAGACCTTAACTGAAGGCTGGAGTTTAAAAATGCCGGGGTACAAAATTTCGAGACAACGAAAGAGGAAAGGCACAAAATTCAAGGTAAGCATATTGGCTGTCGACTTGTATGTATAATTTATTAGTTTCTCGTTGGTTTTGGGCAATTTTGAACAAATTAACTGTGATCCACAAAAAATTGTGGAAAACAATCAAAAGATTTCGCAATTTCTAGCGGTTTCTAACATATTTCTAGTATGTTGAACTTAGTGCTTATCAGTTATAGGCTGTGTAGTTTAGTTCAAAGACCTTAATTCTATGATCACACACTGTGTTTGGATCCCAAACTTTTGATAGGCATTGTAGTAATTTTCTCTTGAAACATTTAGTTGTCCTATGAGAAATTTAAAACAACCCTTTCGCGAAACTTCGGGGAGCAAACAAAGGTTATTATGTTAGATAAGAAAAAGGCAGATTGGAAATTAAATGCATTTACATTAACTTTCAATTCAAAATTTTTGTTTGCCCAAAATGTTTGCATAGGCATTTTTTTAGTTTGTAAGAGTTTGGGAACATCTATTTGTCCAAAGATGTATGTACAACAATCCAGACGCGAAATCAACAGCGGCAAGCTTAGTGTTCTACGAAAGATGTGAAAGTGGGGAATTGTGATTACATATATTTCAGTTTAAACCTAAGATGCCTGTAATGTCTCTTAAAAAATAGCCTGGGAAGACTTTTTTGAGAATTTTATTGAACCAAACGAATAAACTTTGCTGAAAAAGTGAATGGCTAAAGGCAGAAGCTTATATTTAGGCTGTATACTTCTGCTCAAGGATATATGATTTTGATCAACAGTATCGGAATACCCATATCTCCATATCCATTCTTGCTTAAGGTTTCGTTACCTATTTCCTCTTTAGTTTGCTTATCATTTGATAAACTGAAAAGAGAATATTTAGTTATGAGTCCATTACATCAAGACATGAGCCCTTAGTGTGTGAGTCGCGTGACGTCCTGCGTGACTTTTCCTTCGTAGCATATTTTCTACCGTAGGGCTGGGGGTTGGGATGTTTGTACGTAAACATCACGTTCAAACCGGACCAACTCGCTGACGCGCTTCCCGCTCTTCCGGATAAATATGTTTTGTTTCTATTCCTCTGTAGTACTATTTCACAAACAGGCAGGGACATCACAAGGAGACCACACATAGGCAAGGAAGGGCTCATATTTTTCTCTCAAATGTTTCGTCTACAGATCGAGTTGCCTCACGTAAAACAGAAAACAGACTGGGATTGTGGATTGGCATGTTCGTTGATGGTTTTACAGAAGGTTTTGGGAAATAAGTTCGATAACTCGGAATACGAAGAAATTTGCGCGAAAAAGAATTTTGGAAGCAGTGTTTGGACCATAGACATTGCTAGTATTTTCACTGAGTACAGGGTTGATTACATTTTCTGCACGAAAACTTTGGGAGTAGATCCAAGTTACGGGCAAAACTCGTTTTACGAAGGAACCTTCACCTTGGACGAAACAAGAGTAAATCGCCTGTTCTCTCTCGCACCACAGTTAGAATTAAAGGTTGATAAAAGGTAAGTTGTCATTAAAAAAACCCAAAATTTTTCCACTATGGTTTTTGGCCTAAGCTTAATAGTAATTTTATTTAACGAAACAAAATTATTATTTGCGTGACATGCATGACGTAGCATAAATTAGTTAGTTTGCCCCTCAACCCGTTTGACGTCTATTGACGCAATGTGAACTCTTAATGGCTCTTGTATATTCCAGCCCAAATGATTTAATTCGTATATTCAGTTTCTTCGTTGATGGTGACATATTCCTGCTGAAAACATTAATTAAAAGAAGAGAGAGAGACGCCTTTGCCTGTACACTTTGTACGTGATGCAATCAACGTCAGTTATCACTCATATGACCTTCTGGTGAACACGTTTATTTTGTAAACAAACCCGCGTAAATCCCGATATCATCCTTATCTTTGCGTACACTGATGGGCCTTTAACTTTCAGGTTTTACAGTTGGAACCTTAAAAATTATTACTAAACTCTTGAGGTCATGTTTGATCCATTAGAAGATAATTTCTATGTTTACAATTCCGGAATTATCAATTTTTTATTTACTTTTAAAATTGCGGGATTGATTTCCAGACTAAATTTTAGTTGAGTGGTGTAAAATGAAAAATCAAAGCAATTGCAGGTAGAAATTAATAATGAAACACTTTTAAGGAAAGACTAGGTCTCAAATTGTTTTTTTGGTTCAAAAGAATGATTGTGAGACATCACCAATTACATAAGCTAACACGACAAATCAATAAGATTTAAGTTGAACGATATTGTTAATCCCTGCCGTAATCACCAAATAGATTCCATGTTGTTGTTTGTCTGTTCATCAGTAGATCATGGGTGACGTCGAAATTTTTGAGAACAAAACAGTGACACACAAGGTGCAGCTGAGTGTGTCTCTGATTTTCTTACCTTATTTATGTTTACTTATGTACAGACCCACAGCCGCATGGATTCTATTTGTTTTATATAAGAACAAAATAAAAATTTGTTCATGGTGAAGTCATCTGTCTGTCCTCCAATAGATCATTAGTAAGAACTAAACAAAGTGCCTTATGATTCATCTTATCATACAAATACAAGTAACCAATGATTAGTATAATATGTAATTGTAACATAGAGCATTATGATGAAAGCTACTTTTAAATGCTTGTAATTGGCTGAGAAAATATTGGCTGATCTGTAATTTTACTATTTCATTTCAGGAGTGTGTCATTGGAAGAAATTATTTTAAGATTGCTGAAGGGTTATGTTGCCATTGTTCTGGTGAACTCAAATGTTTTGATTTGCCACTGGTGTGAAATATTTTCTCCAAATAAACTAAGGATGCTCACATCCTGTATATGTGCGTCAAATCAGAGTGACTATTGTGGCCATTACATAGTATTATGTGGATTTGATGCAGATAAGAGATATGTGTATTACAAGAATCCATCATTTAACGAAGTTCTTTGCTGTGCAAGATATGACATGTTTGAATCAGCACGATGCAGTTATGGAACAGATGAAGACATTGTGTTTGTCAAAGTAGAGGAACCTGAACTTTTGAAGGACACATTTATTAATACTAAAAACAAAATATAATTGATGAAAGATTTCAAACTGCATAGCTATTCTTATGGCAAGAATCACATTCAATTTTTTCTGAAGGAACATTACTTTTATGCCCAATAGTAAAATCTTTTCCCTTCATATCCCCTACTTTATCTTCTTTCCCATTTACTTGTTTAACCTTTCACTCCCAAGATCCCATGAGTAATACTGCCTGTCATACAATTCTTATGATGTTACTTCAGAGAATTTAGAATTGGATCAACTAATAATCCCCAAATTGATATTTTTCTTTTTTTCCCATCACTCGTCTACTTGATCTTGTAAGGAGAAACTTTTGTCTTGGTCACTCATGGGAGTTTAAAGGTTAACCCTTTAAACTATGAGAGTGACTAGCATCTAATCTCTCCCTACAGTATCACCCCTGAATCACATGTTAAGGTCATGAGAATAAAGGAAATGATCAATGAAAGAAGCTTTTGATTGGTTAACAAATTCTCCCCATCAGCACCTTAGGAAATGTACAAAGAGCAGTATGGAGAATATACATACTGATCTTAAAGGGTTAACATGGTTTTTCACAGGCCTTGTAAAGGTTTGAATGAAATTTGCTAGAAACAAGCCAACGTGGAAACATAGCAAAATCCAAGAATGTTTCTTTAAATGATTCTAGTCATTACCGTTGAGTGTAAACATGGTTTACACATTGCAATAAAATAGGTCTGTTTTGAAAAAACCATTATCAGCTATATTTGAAACTGCTCCTTTCAACAAAGAACAAAAATATTTTTAAATTTTGTCAAACCTGTATTAGTTAATTTTAATCTTTTTTTTTTTTAATTTTTCATAAAAATTAGCCAATAACAAAAACAGTGTAATACCAAAGAAGGGTATTCTTGAAACCTTAAAATACTGGTCACCAGTACAGTTTTGTTTGAAATAACTGCAATGGTTTATTCAGTAACATCAATGCTGTAATGACTCATCCTTTTGCAAATACATGATCAATTTATATATTGAATGTTGCTCAATAAATCCTCATGTAACTTTCCAATTAAGATGTTCCCCAGATTAGAAGATGGGTAGATAATAATGATGTCCTTATATGTAAAATAATTTGTAAAAAAGTTAGGATTTTAATTAAGGAGATGAGTGTAAGGAGAGAGTGTAAGAAAAGTAAAGTTGAGATAGAGGTCATAAAAACTGAATCCTGTAAATAACATTTATGGATTGTTGACATTTCAGTACTGACTTATTTGTATTTGCCACAAATATTTAAGAAACTTCTGTAATAAATTTCTATGATATTTTATACACTTTTCTCTTAGTTGCATTGTGTAAGTTTGAGTTTGTACTACAAGCAAGTTGTCTGTATGTGACAGTGCAAAATTTTGTCATCTTTTGGTTAAGGAGTTACAGGCATCTTATGTGTTCCAAAGATCTTTGAAAGGTGTCCATAATGGTTGTAGGTGTTACATCTTACAGTGAGAAAGGGAGGGTGAAGGGAAAAGTGTGTTAAAAAATGAAAATGGTTTCCAAGCAAAGTCTTTTTTTTAATTGGTAAACTATCACTACATCGTCTTTGAACTTGATTATTACATCCAAATTTTTAGTCAAAAACCAATACCTTTACCAGCCTCAAGTTTCTAGAACAACAGACTTCTCATGGTAACAACATTTTGTCCATCAAAAACCACAAAATTATCACTTACAAGAGTTCATCTTAAATAAATGCAAACTTGTTGCACAGACAATGGTTGTTAGCGACATTGGTGAATTTCTGGACAACTATACACCATGTTAAACCCAATACAGCAATTAATAACATTCATGCTGTAGGATAAAGCTTGATAACTGAAAATCTACAGCTTGGCTGAGGGGTTGTCAAGAAGTTCATATGCTGGCAATGTCAAAAACTCTTCAAACTCTTCAGAGAGTACCAACTTATCCAAAAGGTGAGATGCCTGTGCCAAACGGCTTTTGGATGGACCTCCAAGCTTCTCAAGCTCTTCTTTGTGCAAAGTTTTGTAAAACTCTGGGGTGAAGGGACGTCCATCCTCAAGTCGCACACCATGACGCAACCATTGCCATAGTTGTGCTCGTGAAATTTCTGCAGTGGCTGCATCTTCCATCAAATTGTGTATGGCAACAGCTCCAATTCCCTGTTAAAGGAAAGATAGAAATGAGCCCTACTAACAACAAGACTTTCTGGATAACACTTAATTTGAACAAGTATAACAGTCCTACATAAAAGGTGACTGTTTAGAATACATATTCTTGTGACCTTTATGTTTGAATCAGGGGTGATATTGTTAGGAGAAATTAGATGACAGTCACTTTAAGGGGTTAAAAGGGTTACGGTTTCTTTCATGTCAGTGCTAATTCATCTCAAGAGTTGTTCAAATCGTTCTTTTTAAATGCGAAAAGTGAAAATTATAGATCAATAAAGATACCAGTAAATTTGTATATAAGAAGTATATAAAGGATATGGGACTGTCAAAGAATCCAAAAAAAAAGAAACAAGAAACATTACCGACAGCCAGCTGCTCAGATACTGAAGAGCAACACCGATATTAACTCGCACTCCTTCCTCAGTGATCTTTCCTCCTGGCACAGAAACTGACAAGATCTCTTCAACCTTGACATTTACTTCCTCTCGAAGGCGATGTTTTTGATGGGAGGCACCATGCAAGCCCTACAAACAAAAAAAAAATGTGCTATAAAGTTGAGTGTCAAAGAATGGACAAACTACCTAGGCATGGAAGTATTTAATGCTGGAGATTATATTTTTGAAAGGAAATTCAAAATAAAATATTGTGAACACTTTTTACAGCCTGAGCAGAGCTCAAAGTTTTTTAGATGATCACTACTCTTTTGCCAACTTTTAAGACTTGATACATCTCTGGGAAATAATCTTGTCGACTAGCTCAAAAAAAGCTTCACTAATTAAGTCCTATGTATTGTTTGTCTGATGATGCTTTTGGTTCTGATGTGGATGATGATGTTTCAAGTGCATAATGATAGTCCTCTTTAAGCAATGAGGTTAATGGGTCAAGTGTCACCTTTTGAATCAATATGCTCTGGTGTGATTGAACCATCTCGATGACCAGTTCCCTCTTACAGAAAGCTTGCAGGTAAATAAATAGTTCTCACTTAAACTTAGGAGATTTCAAATTTTCCAGCTATAAAACGAAACTTCAAATCAATTCCCACCTTCATAAAGATCCCCTTTGCAAAAGGCACAAGGTCAGGATGTGCAACCCAGGTGCCATCAAATCCATCAGCCACTTCTCGTTCCTTATCCTGACGGACCTTTTCAAATGCCATCTTATTGACATTTTCATCTCTTCTACTTGGAATAAAAGCTGCCATTCCACCCATGGCGTGAGCTCCACGCTGATGACACACCTGAACAAGGCGCTCTGTGTATGCTTGCATGAATGGTACTGTCATTGATATCTGCAAATCAAAAACAATTGTGTATCTACTTGCTAGACTTACATTATCATGTCAAGCTATTTACCCTTCAACTCTCCTGAATGACCAAGACAAAATATCTCCTTACAATATCAATGCAACATTAACCAGACAAGTGATGAGAATAACGAAAAATATCACTTGGGGATTATCAGTTGATCCAATACCAATATCTGAACTAACATCATAAGAATTGTACCCCAGACAGCAAGGAGAAGTAATGATGAGATCTTGAATGAAAGGGCTAATTACCTCTTGTAAGAACTTTGTGCAATGCTCTTAAAGAAATTATCTAGATTGCAATTCTGGTGAACCTCTAATACTTGTTGCAAGAAAGATGCAGGTGTAATTGACTTTTTTGGGGGTGGGGCGTGGGGGTGTTTGACCATGAGGACATCAACACTAACAGAAAGTTTAACAAGATGTAAATATCATAGTTTAAAACAATGACTAATTCTGATAGATGTAACTCAAACAGGGAAGAATGCAAATAAATCTAGAATAAAATCATCATGACCTGAAATCTACTCCCAACTGAGCATGTCTACATAATCAATTGAAGTAACACTTATCTACTACTTTCTTAAAAAATAAAAACCCTTGCAAAACATATATTCCGTCATATCTACTATATACAATGCAAGTTTGATTTTTTGTATGTTTTACCTGCTTACGATCTGGTAGTACACAATCAGGTTTTCTGGAGAATCTTTTAATTGCTGAAAAAATGTAGTCCCACCTTCCAGCATTCATGGCACAGCAGTGCTCTCTTATCTCATAAAGCATTTCTTCCATGTTCACTCCTGCTAACAGAGTCTCTAACATAACAGTTGCTCGTATGGTTCCTGGTGAACAGGAAAGAATATCACAGATTCAGTTAGTTGTCTGTGACACAAACTCTATCACTGAAAAATGACAGCAGTTACATTGCAGTTTGTACATTACTAAAATCTTTGAAAAAAATTTCCCCATTACATTAGTAGCAATTTGTAAATAATCTTCCCTATCTTTCAAGACCTTTGATCCTCCTTGGCTGATTAATTCTTGATTGGTATTTCTCTGTCTTGCTGATCATAACCAAACTCTCCGCACAATTCAACAAAGAAAAGTGTTGTCTACAATTAGGAGAGTTAGCTTCCAGGTCTAACCTTGAGGAACTTTCATGTAATCCTGAGCAGATTTAAACACATCATTCCAAAGCCTTGTTTCCAAATGAGTCTCCATTTTAGGAAGATAATAGTATGGAGCAGAGCCATTGGCAAGCCTTATGTGGACATTGTGAAAAAAGTAAAGTCCAAAATCTACCAGTGCACCACTCATGGGTTCTCCATCACAAAGGATGTGTTTCTCATCTAGGTGCAAGCCACGGGTACGAACCAACAAGCAGGCTGTTTTGTCCTTCAAACGCCGCTCTGATCCTAATAGTTTGATAATGGTAATAAAAGCATCTGTTAGTTGAAGCAGCAAAAATGATTGTAAAAATGATTTAAGTGCATTGTGGTGATCATTTCCAATTTTCTCATGACCTTTTGATTTAAGGTTAATACCATAAGAAAAAATAGGAAGCCAGTCACTCTAGGGGGTAAGTAAATATGTATTCAAACCTACCATCTGCATTGATGAAATTAATGGTCCCCCTGTTTGCATTTAAGAGGTTTATTTGTCCTTCAACAATATTTTTCCAGGAGGGAGTCAGCGAGTCTTCAAAATCAGCCATGTACATGTCTGCCCCACTGTTCAGGGCATTAATTACCATCTTACAGTCTGTTGGTCCTGTGATCTCCACATGTCGCATCTGCAGATCATGTGGGACAGGTGCCACTTTCCAATCCTTCTCATGGTGAGCTTCAGGATATTTAATTTGCTTCCCACTGTTTATTTCTGCTTGGATTTCCTGTCGTTTTCTAAGCAGCTTTTTCCTCTGGTAGTTAAAACTGCGATGCAAATCAGCAAGAAACTCCAGGGCTTCATGTGATAGAATTTCACTGTATTCTGGCTTGATTTCACCAGTTATTTCAACACCTAGTTAGGGAGAGTAAAAAGAGATTAAATGATTTCAAAGGCAGAATTAAGTAAACTTTTTGCTCTTATCCTCGGATAAACATATGAAAAGTCCTCTTATAAAATTTTGTTGTTTGCCTTGGTTAACCCAATGCAAATATAATGCCAACAAAATGTACGTGTTGATTTGCATAAATTTCTTTATCAAAATCAAGTCATAAACAAAGTTACTATTTTTAACTTTTATTTCCTTTTCCCTTAACCCTTTTACTCCCATAAGTGACCAAGACAGAATTTCTCCTTACAGTATCAGTACAATATCAAGCAGACAAGTGATGAGAATAAAGAAAAATATCAATTAGGGATTATAAGTTGATCCAATACCAAATTCTCCAAACTAACCTCACAAGAACTGAATGGCAGACAGTTAGAAGAATTACTGAGGAGATCTTGGGAGTTAATGGGTTAAACAGACAAACAACAATAAAACAAGCACCTATCCCTCAAACTCCCAAGATCCAATCAGTAAATATTTCCATATCCTCCTGTACTTTATATGACAAGATAAACTCACCCTTTGGACACCACATGGCTTTGTTTTCAGGAACCTATAACGAAAAAACAACATCAATCAGTCTTTAGAACAAGATGCTAAGCATAACCTTCTTCATGGGAAAGTTTCCAACAAGTAGGCCATCCTGTTTATTTTCCTGTTCAAGAAGGAGAATTTCTAGAGTAGCTGATGTCAAAAGAACAAATACCTAAGAAAACCTGTGATCTTCCATGATTTGCGACCCTCAGCAAGAAAATGAATATCCCCTTCCCATGACATCCCTGAGAACTGGATTAGTGTTGTTTTAACAGTAGGGGAGGGTTTTAAGAGACAAAGATCACAGCTGTGAGAGCTATTTATTATTTTTGTTATTGTTTAACAAAATCTGTTTATTAGAAACAAGACAGATGCAATATGAATCAAAATGTTTGAGTCACGTCTGAATGTATTTTAAATAGGTAAGGAGGTTGGGCAACCAATATCCCATACAAATCTTCCGAATGATCTCGCTGAAATAGCCTACTCACGATTACAGCCTGAAAGAGAGAAGGAGACTGACAGAATTTATCTCTGATCGACCTTGCCTTGCAATCAATGGGTCCAAAGTAACAATTAAAGAATAAAGTAGTTTACAATCAGGGGGGTACGTTATTACGTTTCGTGACGGTCAGTGACCTGAAGTTAAGTTTATTCACGTAGATATAATAAGAACTTCCTTAAATTTCTCAGTTTCATTCTGGAGAAGTTTATTAGTTGATTAAATTGTCAGAAGTTTGAGGTTCTAGTTTACCTGAATGAAATGCAAGTAAAATTACACAGCCGAAGTAGATGACACGTGACAGTTTGTGACCCGTGGAACAAAGTGATAGTGAAGAAGTTTAAGATGCCTCAAAATGTGAAAAAATTTGAACCGTCTCTCATACTTACAGATGGATTAAGAGTTCGGATTAGGAGAAAACTCGCGTTCAAACCCAGTTTTTGGCCGGACAGCACACCGATAGACTTTTCGTGAATAATGTCTCGCCCTCGTCTCGTCCTTAGATCCCATTAGCCTCAGCGCACAGTACAAGGTCCAACGTGGGGTGACGAGGGGGGCGGGGACAAAGGACATCAGGAGGTGTGCCGTGGGTTTTCCTAGTAATGTCAGGGGGTTGGGAAGGGGGTAAGTAACACATAGTATTTTCATCTGGTATGTCGTTGTTTTCTTCATTTAAGCCTGCAAAAATACTCTATACTGGTACTATATGTAATATTCGTATTGATTTCTATCGATTTGCGAGTTGTTTCGTATTTATAGTCCTTAGCAACACGAGAATTGCAATCCTTGGAAATATTGCGTCAGACCCACGATAAACACAGTCACGAAATTGACTGCGATCATGGCAATGAATCTTTGTCTTTTCCGATGTAGAATTGTCGTACGACTTGAAAAAGGTAACTCTGAACATAAATACAGAAGTGAAAGTATGAAAGATAAGTATGAAAGATAAGTATGAAAGATAAGTATGAAAATACTTATGCAATTTACAATCCGTTTGGTCATGCCCACATGACTTTTTATCCTAGCGTGAGGCGTCTCTCATTATGCCTCCACCAATCAAATCCCCCAGTGAGACAATAGAGAAATTTTTTACCAATGATGACGTCCGTAAGAAAATCGATCAAAGTTCATGTATAATTTTACTACAAAACGCTCGAAAAATTGGCCAAGATTCTCACTTAGTAAATTTACGGAGAAGCTTCTCTTGAAGTAAAGATATCCCAGTTGATCAGAGCCCAGTGTTAAGTTTCAACCGTCCTGCTCACAATGTTTTCCAAACATCAGCGATTTCAAGGAATCAAGAGAAACTACAGCCAAGAGACTGTAGAAAAGCTTCGCGGTTCGTTCAAAATCGATTACTCTTTGTCGAAGCGAGGAGCCATAAAACTCTGGGAACTTTTGACTCGCGGAGGGAATTCTTACGTGAATGCTTTAGGAGCTCTCACGGGTAAGTAACCGTTCTGTACGAAGTTGTATGTGAAACAGAACATTTTCAGCTAACTATTTTAATGTTAGACTTTGTCTCCACGTGCAAGACACTCTTTTCCCAAATATGGTAGATAAGGATTTTACAAATATGGTGAATATAATACGTGGCGGGCAATTCGCCTGACACTTGGCTGACAATCATTTCGATATGAATCTACACTCCTAAAAGTTTCTTTTTGTCAAATTAGTTTAAAGAGACGCAAAAAAATTCGGATCTGACTTATTCTTGGCCACGTCAACCCAAGAAATTCTAATGACGTGGAAATTTGGCGGAACGCGAACTTTGGACTCTGACATGAATGAGCGACTGAGAACTGTGACTTGACAATTTTCCATTCGATTTCCGTTTAAAAGTCAAGAACTAACGTAACACTAAAACCGCGAAACAATATTCCTAATGTAGCGTACAAAGATCGTCTTCCTGGGAGGCGAATGACGCAGTACAACCCAGTTTTTACGTCGCATCAAGGCATCGACGTCAATTGATGTACCCGGAAAATTTACTAACGCAAAATTTACTGACACTCGGATATCCCTCAAGAAAAACATTTCACCAGCGTTTTTATTTTTAAATCGAGACCAAAAAAAATATAAAATGAGACAAACGGAGAATATGTTAGCATTCTATTGTTTTTTCTTGAATAGTACTTTCTTATCATGTATTTATTTTAAATCTGTTCGTGATTTCAGGTGGACAGGCCGTTCAGATGGCCAAGGCCGGTTTAAAAGCCATCTATCTAAGTGGATGGCAAGTTGCCGGTGATAACAATTTAGCTGGGCAGACTTATCCTGATCAAAGCCTGTATCCTGCAAACTCTGCTCCAAAACTTGTAGAGCGTATTAATAATGCGTTTATCAGGGCAGACCAGATTGCGCACATGGAAGGCACAGACAAACACATTGACTACTTTTTGCCAATCGTTGCTGATTGTGAAGCTGGATTTGGAGGCCCATTGAATGCATTTGAACTCACCAAGTCCATGGTAATTTTCTGAGTTGCATGTTAAGAACTTGTAGATAATTTTAATCCAATGTTTCCCTTCTGTTTCAACACACTGCCCACTCAAGGCCACTGTTGTGAAGTAAAACAAAGAAGTTGATAAGCTAGAGGTCAGAAGAAGGCTAACCTTGGAGCTATTGTTTATGTAACACACCACAGTCTAAGATAATTTGGAGATCATGAGTATTAAATAATTTTCTGTGTGTCAACTATTTTGACATGAAAATATTAATGTTTGGATAAAATGTAGGCTAAATTGGAGATGGATTAGATTGCTGTTTTGATAAAGCAAAGGTTAATTTTGTTTCGACAAATGACCTCAAGGGTTTCACAAGGGCCCCAGGTACCAAATGAATATCACATTGTTGAAAAGGTCAGTGGTAGTCAAGGAAACTTTTTTTTTCAAACTGATGAAAAACCAAAATACATCAGGTGAAAAAAGTGAGAAATAGTTTTCCAAAATAATACCCTGAGAGACTTCTTGTTGCTATTTCAACATTTACTTCTCCCTCTGTTTCTGAAGGGAATGTAGGAAAATTTGGAAAGGGAATATAGCAATTCATCAGAGGTCACTTTAAGCTCTTCTCCAGGTACTTGTGAGTTGATTCAATACCAAATTCTCAGAACTAATGTCATAGGAAATGTATGATAAATAGTACAGAGAATTGCTGCTAAGATCTTGGGAGTGAAGGGCTTAAGTAGAATTTTGGTGTTAATGCTGATGTTTAATGGCTTCTTTCCTGACTAGATTGCAGCAGGTGCAGCTGCTGTTCATTTTGAAGACCAGTTGGCTTCGGAAAAGAAATGTGGTCACATGGGAGGAAAAGTGTTAGTACCCACACAACAATTTGTGAAGGTCCTCAATGCTGCACGATTGGCTGCTGATGTTCTGGATGTCCCTATAGTGATTGTTGGTAGGACTGATGCCAACTCTGCTGCTCTTGTCACCTCAGATATTGACCCATATGACAGGCCTTTCCTGACTGGAGAACGAACACCAGAAGGATTCTTCCGTGCCAAGACAGGCTTAGACCAAGCCATTGCAAGGGGCTTAGCTTATGCACCATACTGTGATGTCCTGTGGTGTGAAACTGGAAAGCCAAACCTTCAAGAGGCAAGAAGATTTGCTGAAGCCATTCATGCACGCTATCCTGGAAAAATTCTGGCATATAACTGTTCACCTTCATTCAACTGGAGGGCCAACCTCAGTGATGCAGAAATTGCTGTCTTCCAAAGGGAATTGGGTAAAATGGGATACCGCTTTCAGTTTGTAACCTTAGCTGGCTTTCACTCTCTCAATCATGCCATGTTCAAGCTTGCACGAGACTACAGAGACAATGGCATGGCTGCCTACACCAAGATCCAAGAAGATGAGTTTGCACAGGCCAAGAATGGTTTCACTGCTCACAAACATCAGAGAGAAGTTGGAACAGGGTATTTTGATCAAGTTTCCATGGCAATCAGTGGAGGAACCAGCTCAACAACAGCTCTCAAAGGCTCCACGGAAGAAGAACAATTTACTCAAAAATCAACATATATAGTGGCCAAACTTTAAGCCACTCTTGACATTAGAATCAATCTTTGATCTTTTAAGCTACTGCCGGAACTTTAAATTTCACTTAGTTTAATTTGATTTGATTATGGTTTATGAGTGTAGACATATTTTACCCTTTACACCCTGGCATCAGTATGTATATTCTCAATATTCTTCTCTGCACAAATCTTAAGGAGCTGATAAGGAGAATTTGTTTAACAATCAAGAGCTTTGTAATAGGTGGTGATAATTTCCCTTATTCTTGTGACCTTAATGTTTGATTCAAGGGTGATCTTGTAAGGAGAATTTAAATGCTTGTCACTCTTAGAGCTTAAAGGGTTGAGTGTATTTGAATACTGTTTTGTGCTACTTTGTCACCCCATCTGATATTAACTTGTGTTCTTGTAAAAACAAGGAATGACTTTTATGTGTTGGATGTAAAAAATTTACCTTAAGCTTAACTGAAATTAGAAAAAAAACATCAATTCTTGTCATAAAATTCCTCAATATAAATAGGACTATTTTACAATTATTTATTTTGCAAGTTTTTATGGGCAACTTATTATAATTTTAAGTAGAAAGACATTACCATAACTTAATTTGGAAATGTAACTTGCCCTTCCCACCAGTTACTGCCTTTCATGAGGAGGTTAATGCGATTGTTTATTTGTAAATTGAGGTGAGCCATTTGGGATTTAGACATTTGCAAATTTGCTATTACTGGTGTTGTTTGTCACATGAAGACTATTTCGTCAACAATACTTTAGGGTCATTGTGCCACACTTTAGACTCATTTCAGTTGGTGGCCATTTAGCCAAACCCAAGCTAGTTTTTTTTCTAATAAGTTAATGGAGCAGGTTACAGAGCAATAGCTGTTTTTCCCAAATCATTGATCACTGATATACTCATTTGGTGTCCAGTTTTTATCATTCAATCACGAGTACTTCAAACATGTCAAATAAACTCCAAAGTCTTTTTTTGAAGAAAAACAAACCAAATTGTGCATTTTAGCAGATCTCAGTTATTCATAGTGCAGGTTTCACTTGAAATTGAGATAAGTGAAGGAATGATATGACAACAAGTGAGAGATGAGATTTGTCAGAAATTAAAAAACAAAACAAAACAAGCAATCAAGGAAAGAGGTAACATTTACCAAAACATTGCTAAAATAATTCACTCTTGGTTACCTTTTCCCTAGTCTAATACACTATAGTTTAGCAAGTACCAGTAGTCTTTATATATTGTTGATTATAGAAATCTCTAACCTTGCTATGTTTAGAATGGAATGAGGGAAAATAAAGTTGCTTTACATATAGAAACAAATCACTGTCTTTGTCAAATGGTTCTATAAATACTGGAAAATCCTCTTATCATAGATGGAAAACATTGAATAATTAATTCCATTCCATTATCATCACATTTTTGCGACTTTATTAAAATGAAGGAAGTTGAAAATAAATAAAAATTGAGTCAAAAATGTTCCAGGTCTTTTAAGAGAAAGTTAATCCTTTCACACCCAAGATCTCATTGACAATTCTCCTTACTGTCTGCCATACAATTCTCATGATGTTGTTTGGAGAATTTGGTATTGGATCAACTGATAATTACCTAATTGATATTTTCTTTATTCTCATCACTAATCTGCTTTAATGTTGTTTCAAAATTGTAAGGAGAAATTCAGTCTTGGTCACCCATGGGAGTTAGAGGGTTAAGACGCATATCACTTCCCATGTTCAGTTCTTGAAAAGAACAAACTCTAACATTTTTAGATTTTAGGTACTCTTTAAGGGTTGGGCTCTTGAGTGTGTTCAATTCATGCTCCCTATCATCAGAACATGCAAACAAATCTGGTCCCTCACCACAACCACCACATCCTAAAATACTCTTATACCCAGGATGTACCATGAGCTCACAAACTGTTTCAGAGTCCTCTGCGAAGACATTTTCTATGGCCTGTTTGAGCCTGGAGACTGTCATATCTTTCCCCATGGTGCTGAATCCAATAAAATGACTTGAAAACCTACAAGATAAGCATAAGTTAAACAATAGAACTGTCACTTGACACTTGCAGACAGAGAACCATACTTACAACTGACTAGATAAATCCATGTCTAAGCTTTTGATTACAAACTCAGTATTTGACACATTTCCCTCACTGGAAATTCCCATACAAATCGGTCTAGACATCTCATTAAAATATGATTGAAGTAATTACTTTGTTTTAAAGATTCAAGTATGGCAGGCTCCCAAAAGAAAACCTTTCTAGCCCCCTAAATCAACTATTATCCCATCTCAGTTCATCACACTGATCTCACAGTTGCAGATTTCCATGTTGTGATGATGTCTTACACATTCTGTTGCATTTTAATAGACCACTTGTAGGTATGCTTTGCATCTGCTAAACCTTCTTTAAGCAATGGGAAAGGTCCATAATGAGTTTTCTTGAAAATTTGACATCTTATTCAACATTGTTTTAAACAGTTACCTTATTCCATAGTTAGATAAAATTGACTTGGAATTTTCTGCATCTGCCATAACAGATTTGTTGAAATTGTTCACAGGTTCTTTGATCCATACACAATCCTCAAGGTTTATTTCCACTGGTACTCTTGTCCAACAAATTCCAAACTCTTTTATCACCTCGCACATAACTTTGCACACTTGAGGCAATACATGAACATGTTGATGTCCATCGATATGCGTTGGTAATGATCCTATATTGTCAATAAACCACTGCAGTTGGCACTCTATTTCTTCTTTGATCTGCCTTGTCAAGAAAAAAAAATTCATGTCTGCTAACCCTTTAACTCCCATGGGTGACCAAAAAAGAATTTTTCCTTACAATATCAATACAATATCAAGCAGAAAAGTGATGAGAATAAAGATTCTCCAAACCATCCTCAAAAAAATTGTACATCAGACAGTAAGGTGAATTACCAATTGGATCTTGAAAGGGAAAGGGTTTAGTCAGGGTTTTCATTTACTTTTGAAGTAGAAGGGCACTGCCTTGTGAGTAGGCCGGTACACTGTATAATTTAGGGCCGAAGGCCTGAACCTCTAGGGGGGGTCTGGGGGCATGCTTCCCCCAGAAACTTTTAAAACTTAAGTCTCCCAGAAACGCACTTTTCTGCAATCTGGTGAAGAAATCTTCCTGGAATGACGCATACTTAATCTGATTATAGTAAAAATAATGGTACTCTGAGAGAGTTTGTTTGTTTCTCTACACAGCTATAGCTACATCAAGCTTCCTTTCTTCTTCTTCTTCTTCTAAAGAGTGAAACTGACAACACTCTTTGTAGTTTATGAAAACTCAAAGTCAGAGCCGTAATCATTTACGTTAATTCCTTTCGTCACCATATATCACCCAGCAGTTAAGAATTTAAAACAAATGTTGATGGAACACAGGAGTCTGATACACAATCAGCCTTGCTGAAAACAATTTTTCCAAAACCTCCGATGGGCTTTATCTTCAATGAAAATTAAATTGGATCAAAGTTTCTTTCAATTGCTCGGAATATTTGAGCTTAAAAGCCAGCTAAATGTTGGCTTACTAAGAAGCCGTGTCAGCTGATAAGCATATTTTACGGCGACATTCGTCTCCTGATGTTTATTTTATCTTCTGATAATACATAATTTTTTGGAAAGCCTTTTCACTGGCTATAATCCAACTAAAACCGGAAAACATAACTTTAATTTTTTAGGTCATCCCTCTTGACTTTTCATGTGCAAACGAGTGCTTGCGTGAGTTTTACTTTTGCTTGCCATGATCACTCCGCAGAATGCACTTGCTTTTATGACACGTCACGTTTAAGAGTTATGTAATAGCCAATTAGGCACTTTAGAAAGAGACAGTTCTAAGAACGCTATTTGGGACCTAAAGCAGTCAGGACGGCAACGCCAAGGAAGACTTCCTTTAAAAAACGAATTTCTGCCTATAATTTGAATTTCAAAAATGGCTGCATGTGTTTACCGTCTCATACAGCGCCACACCTCAACTTCAGCATAACGTATCAAAGAAGTGTTGAGTTACAACTAGAAATTAAAATAAATTGCCGTCGCAATTTCGGTTCGAAGACGACGCAAATTGTGGGGATTTCACATTGTTGTTTTGCATAGTACGGCTCAGAAATGTACAAATGCACGTGCTGAGCTATTGTTCTGCCTATTATATCTTTTGTTTTTCCATGTCCTCGTTGCCGTCGCGTGGTTTCCTTAAGGTCTCTCTTATCGCGCAGCGCCTTTCTCGTCAGAGTAAATTTTATTTCCACAATCTGATGGCAAGTAATTGATAAAGAAGTGCAGAAAAAATGTTTTAAACTTATAGGAAAGAGTCAAAATTTAGTTGTAGTTGATAGTTTTTTTCATAACGATTTTCTTTTTTTAATTTCGTGCTTTAAGTAGCCGGGAACTCTGTTTAAAGTAGACGGGTGCCAGCGTCCCAGTTGATTTGGACGGGAAAATGGGCAAGAATTTAGTTTAATGTCTAGAGAGAGGTCATTTTTGAACCTTTTCCGCGATAGTCGAACACCGCTAGATTCAATAAGAGACAAAGTTGTGACACTAATTTATTTTGTCATTGTTCAATGCCCGAGTGTTGGGACGACATGGTACAGTGCGAGTTGTGCGAGGGAAGGTTACACATGAGCTGCGAGGGATTTAAGACTGCCCCGGAGGGCGAGTGGCTCTGCATTGTCTGCAGATTGCCAGACTCTAGACGTCTTCGTAATTGTTAAGGTGTTGTTTCGGATCCCTCAACAGTTCATAATCGTTAAAATTAGAAAATAAGATTGATTTCGATGTAATAGTCTCCACTCTTGTTAAGACGTTGACATAAATGTTGATTTGCATCTGAAAATAAGCTGAGAGTTCCAGTAGTTCAGAACAGAAACATTTTTACTTATCATAGGCTTTACGAACGACTTGTAATACGTGTAGTTTCTTCGTTCTTCTTCAAAAACTGTTTAATGTTATTATTTTAGAAAATCAGACTGAGTTATTTTTGTGACTGGACGCAATAGTCTCCACTATTGTTATGGCGTTTCGTATCAATGTTGATTCGCATCAGAAGAAGCAAATATTTATTGTAACAATTTCAATAGTTCAAATGCAGTAGTTTGTTCACATCTAATTCTTGCGTATACTGTACGACTCGCTATAATGAATGCGGTAGAATTGGAACGAAATGGCTGTTTTTTTATAACCTTTATTGAGGAAATGTTGTGTTGTGATTGAAAAGAACATCGACCAAAAAGCTTGCAAATAGAATTAGTAAATATCATACAAAGGATGCTTAAAAGGAAAGTTTGCTAGGGGGGTCCAAATCTGCGAAGGGGGGTCCATATCCGCTAGCGGATTTGGACCGGGGGGGTCCAAATCCGCTGTGACAGTTTAAGACGTTAAAAAAAGTGAGCTTGTCCAATGTTCATGATCCATCCTATCGTAAGTCTAACACAAGGTGACATATTGAGCTGTTTTTCCAAAGTTCAGTGTAAGCTGTGAACAATGACTATGCCTCAAACAGCATTAGAATTTAAGGGCTTCAGTTTAGTATATGTAATCACATGAGGCCAAGTACTATTAAGGATTAATTGCACGAGAGTTTTCAAAATTTTCCAAAATTTTGAAAACTCAAGTGCAATTAATCCTTAATAGTACGAGGTCTCATGGGATTACTTGTTTATCAATAAAGGGCAAAATTTATACGAAGGAAAATCACGCGCGCAGTCTATTTTTATCTGGGAAGCCTGTTTAGCGCTACGGCAAATCATCAATCAAATTGAACTGACCAATCGATTCAATGAAATTTTATTCTCCAAAACTGTGTCGTGATACACTGCCAAAAGTCTAGAAAACAAAGCTCATTTCAACAGAGCGTTTCTGCCAACAGAAAAACAACAAAGTGCTTTTAACCGAACAAGGTAATCATGCCCTCTCTTGATTACTAAAAATGCCCTCGATTAAGAAAAAATGCCCTCTCTCTCAACCAATCAGCGCTCAGTAATTTTGCCCTTTATTGATAACAGTGGTAATCATTCTAACGCGCCCGGGCAGGTACTTTTATATCCCTTCCACGCTATTTGTCATAAACACTGTTCTCACCTCATTTAAATCTATTTCTCCATTTCCCAGTGCCTTTCTGAATCCAAACTTACCCCTCATGTAACCGTTCTCCAACGTGAGGGAACTGAGTCGCGATTTCATTGTTCGACCCTCAGTCAGGTTGAGGTGCAATCCTAGCGGTATTGAATATTCCCTGGCTAATTTTACTGCTTCTAGGGCCTTGTCAGCGTTTACAAGGAGACTAGTACTCGAAACTACTCCAGATTGGACTGATTCTACTATACCACGGTTTCTTTGTTCACAATATCCAAAGTCATCGGCGTTTATCACAAGGAAACGGGTGGCATCCTTCTTCAAATTATTCGCCATTCTGTTTTGTTATTGTTTTTGGCCAACGATAACAGCTGGTCAGCAGAACATACAACACTAGTGCCAAGCCTCTGACCGAGAATGCAAGATGGCGAATGCGGAGAGTGATAGTCGGGGTGAGTGTGTTTGTTGAATCTCATCTGTTTCTTTCATTTAGGTCAGGAGAAACTTATTTCCTCATTTTGTTTATCACTGATATTCCAGCTATCTCTGAGAAGAGGACACAAGCGTTTGTCTCACTGAGTGTGGGAGTTATTTTCATCTGTATTGGACTTCCACTCTGGTGGAATACTACAAAAGTTTACAGAGCAGCGCTTCCATATGATGAAATTGAACAGCTTAATCAACTTAAGGTAAGCTGCATTAATAGAAAATCTAGCAATGCTGGAGAGTGAAAAGGAGGTGGGAAACTTGAGTGTTTAAAATCACTACAAGAAGGTGTAATTTTAACGAACGTATTAGTGGATTGTTTCAAAAAAAATGTTAATAGTACTTCTAGTACTTGTCTAATACTTGATAAACATTTATGAAAACGCAATAATTTTATGTTTGGCCAGATTTTAGTCTAAATCACTGGAACAGCTGCTGATTTCGATCATATTTCAGGCCGATGATGAAGGATCTGAGATCTGAGAGTTCTCCGATCTGTTTACTTGCAGAATTCCACGGCTAAATTTCTATGGCCTGGGCTTCCTTATCCAGACATAAAGAGCACTCCCCTGTTACTTTACACCATCCTCTGCGACTACATTTCCTACTGAAAAGTTTGACATTTTTATACTTCTTTTAGGTTAGGTATGTAGTAAGCCTCAAAGTAGTTGTGTTTGGTCCACAAGACCCCGTTGCTTTGAAAGAAGAGATCGAGAAGAAGCTCAATGAAGAAAAAGGTATTGTTGATTAACACTCACATGACTGAATATGTTAAAAAAAAAAGTCATAGTGTGTAATAACGCTTGTGTTTAAATTTTTTTTGTTCTGTCCAGGTGATACTTTGATGTCAGCTGAGTACAGGCTGACAGTTGTAAGGAAAGAAATCACTGATTCTTCAATGTCAACAGAATTAAAAACCAAACCCATGCAAGGTAAGCCTTTCCTTGTTTTGTTGTTTAATTCAGCCATCTTATTTTTAAGACAACAAGAATGACTTTTCCTAACTACTGTACCTGCCTTGATTTCAGACAAGTTAAAAGTCTCCATGTTTAACCCTTTGACCCCTGAGAGTGATTAGCATCTAATTTCTCCTTACAGTATCATCCCAGAATCACACATTAAGGTCATGAGAATAAAGGGAATGATCATCAAGTAAAGAAGCTCATGATTGTAAAACAAATTCTCCTAATCAGCACCTTGAGAAATGTATAGAGAATAGTATGGAGAATATGCATACTGATGTTAGAGTGTAAAGGTTTAGGAGATTGATATAATATTCTCTGAAAGACATATATCACTCATTTCAAGCTTATGTTAGCAAAAAGTGCAAATTCTCTAGAAATTAAACTAGAGAAAGAATTAATCAATCTCACAGGGCTCCTACCAATCAGACAATTTCATTACTCATTCACTCAATCAATCACAGATGCACAAGTAGTCAGTCTATAAGTGAGTAAAAAAACCATACATTTTTTTATACAGTCAACAATTTTCTGCACAGGGTTCTTATGCAAATAGTGTTTCTTGTCAACAGATTTGGATGACTACTTTCTACAACAAAACAGCTTGGAAAATGCACGAAGCCAACATTATTCCTTTTTTGTTCTACCTCATGAACCTCCAGAGTCAAACACTATCAGTGGATATATTGGCAAACATTTTCACTGCATTTTATTCAATGATAAAGGTAAGAGTACAAAAAAGAGAAATTGTCAGTTTTCACCAAAAAGACAAAAGAGATGTTACTTTTTTGAAGTTCATACTTGTAAAACTTAGATGAAATGAAAGACATAATGAAATGGTTGAATTTGAATGAGATTTAGATACATATATACTTAATCCTACTTGCAGTATGATAACAAAATATTTTTTTGCATTTCTTTAGATCCAGCTAAGCTTGCTTCAGTTATTACTGAGATTGTTGGAAGTGTTTTTGTTAACGAAGAAGAAGTAAACAGGCCATTTAGCTTGGCTTCAAAAAGGCAATTTGCAAAGGTATAGAAGATCAGTTTCTTGTGCATACTTGTGATTTGATAAGACTAGTATTTTTGAAGGATGCACAGAATACAGCCCTTGTTACAGGTGGTATAACATAACCCTTTGACCCATAAGAGTGACTAGCCTCTAATTTCTTGGTAAAATATCACTCCTGAATCAAATATAAGGTCACGGGAATAAAGGAAATGATCACCAACTAATAAAGCACTTGATTTTTAAACAAATTTGATTATTTTCTTTTAAGGACTCTGTGGAAAGTATGCGAGCACAGAAGTCAACAACAGGTTGGAAGTTACTTTAATTTATACAATAATAGCCCACTGTAATGAAAATATCTCTAATGGTTATAAGCATTGTCTCTAAATTTATTCTAAAATAAGCTATTTCCAGTTTTTGCTCTTTAGCAAGTAGCACCACAAATTAAGGAAAGTTACCACTCCTATCAAACATAATTTTATTTGTTCAAAGTATCATAACTTATACAGCATCTGATAACAGGCACTTGTTTATTGAAAGGTTTTCAGGTTTCCTTCACACTTTTGAACTCTGATCCAGACTTAGTCCTGGCTGAATGGGATATAGAGTCTGCCGTTCAAAGTGAGTAATATATAAAAAAGAAACCTTTTGTATATGCAATTTCTTTTTCTCTCTGTCTCTCTCATTTGTTTTGTTTCTTGGAACTACAAGGGTACTCTCAATTAATTTCTCTCTTTTCTCTTTTATTATCCAGAGTATTTGGATCCCTTCCTGTTGAATTTTCCACATTTGGATATAACTGTAGATTCTCAGGTGGACAGAAACAGGGCCCAGTTGTTCAAAGGGTTATAACACTTTCCAATGGATAAATTGCTATCAGGCTGATAAGTGTTGAAAAAATATTCTGGGCTGTCCATTAGGAAGAGATCTATCCAGTGGTTAGTGTTATTCACCCTTTGAAGAATGGGGGCTAGTCCTTTCCAAAATAATTAATCATGGAATTTGTCTTTTGTCGTTTGAATTTTAGTTGTGGTTATTAGCATACACTAATTCAGTGAATGTTGCCATTTCAGGTTTTGCATTATAGTAGCCTTCAAATTAATCCCAAAAAGGATGGTGAAGTTTTCTATCTTCACTATGACGACTTACCTCATATGATAAATCCCATAGAAGGCAAACTTGGTATGAGTTACATTTGTTGACACATTTTTAAAGATTTATTGCCAATTTTAATTGCTCTAAGGCTGTGGACCGCTAGACAGAGGCTGGTTTTATATTCAGAGCAATTTGTAATTATTTTCATTGATATTTTTCATGTCATATTTGCAGGTTCACATATTTCTTTATATCCCAGTTTAAACTTTGTGGTGTATGTCCCGTCTAAGAAGCACTCACCAATTTACATGAAAAATAAGGATGGTAAGACCACATACATATTAGTTCTTTGTTCTTTTAAATCATTTATTTCCAAGGAGTGATCAGCAAATAATTTCTCCTTATGATATCAATGCATTGTTGAGCAGTAAGGTGCTGAGAAGTGAGAAAAATGTCAGATCAAGGTTGTTGTTTGATCCTACATCAAGTTCACAGAGCTTGTGTCAAAAAATGTGTGTGGTACACATCAGGGAGAATTCTATTGAAAACGTGGGTGTGAAAAGTTTCTCATAAAAGAATCTTACTAACTTAGATTTAAAGGTTTAGTTTGACTGTTATTTTCTTTTGTCATCTCAGGATGTATTTTTTTTTAGATGAATCTAGTTAGCCAGGAGCTTTACCTGAAAAACTTCTAGATTGTTAATGAAAACAAAAATGTGTTTCAATAGGACTCAACAACTGCTTGTTGCCTGCTACTTGTTGAAATCACAGGTGGCTCAAGCATATTGAGCAAGTTGGAGGGATTTCTAGAATAAGCACACGATAGTTTCATATTGATAAGCCTAGGTCGTCACATAGGCAGTCTTATTAGGAATCATCTCCTAAATTCCTGGATGGTAAGAATTTTTTCGACACTTTTTCTGCAGGCGAGCTGAGCAGTAGCAATGCATTCATGAGTCCACAGTGGGGAGGCATCATGATTTACAATCTGCCACGGACCACGTCGACGAATAACACCAAACCACAACAGATGACTGTGGAGATGAAGCCAGTCATGAAAGTCTTCCTATCACAACTTAAATTGTTACTGGGAATGATGCCTGTGGTAAGAAGTAGTGGAACTTTTAACTGAGGTATTTTAGAGTACGAATCTAGGAATGCTTCCAATATGATTGTGAACGAGTAATTTACCCATGTGGTACGGCTGCAGAACGTTTCGTAGAACAAAGAGATACGACTGCGGTCCTATTAAGGAAGTTGGAAGTCTTACGGTATTGTCTTAAAATAGACGCAGGTGTCTGAAGTCGGGCGGTACTGTTCGAAAACGGACGCAAGTTTCCGAAATCAGACAGGACTATCCGAAAATTGACGCAAGTTTCTGAAGTCGGACAGTATTGTCCAAAAACGGACGCAGTTTTCGAAGTCGGGCGGTACCGTCCGAAAATAAACGCAAATTTCCAAAACCGGATAGTACCGTCCGAGAATGAACACAGGTTTCCGAAATCGGACGGTACCGTCTGATACGCACCCATGTGATTATAATTCAGAGACACTGCAGACAAGTTAGCACCTGAGGTTTACGATACGGTTAGATCTTTTTCCGGCAGCATGATTGCCGTATGATCATCGACACTTAACTAAGGCTTTTCTTACTATTATGATGTTCTCTCGATTCTTCTCTTTGTTTAGAATCCTCCCGGTGGTATCGAAATGAGAATCACTGATGATGCTGGGGTCGCAAAATGGGTAAAGTTGTTGCTTAATTTGTTCTTTTTTCCTCTTGTACTCGAAAATTACATGGAGACACTTTTGGAGTGTTGGAGAATGTGAAGTTTCTTTATTAGGGTGCTAACTTTAATTCTGAAGAACACCTTTTTTTGCTGTAAGTACTGTCGGCAAAGGTTTTCAGTTTAGCTGTTACCTTATATAGAAACGGGAGAAGCGCGTGCAGTGCGTGGGCGCGCAAGACATGGAGATAGGCCACGCTCCGTTTTCGCTTCTCCCTCTTGAGTGGAAGGAACCAAGAAGGCCTGCAACACAGGCCAGGTCTAAAAATTGTTTGGGTTGTAAAAGAGTACTTAGGACTTTTGAGAACATGTCTATCATTTACTATGATAGCCTCATTAGCAGACCTAAGATAAACCATTTTCGTTAATTACAGGAACAAGAGTCGCTGATGAGGCTGAAGACAATGGAATATTTAGCAACTTCTACGATCACGTTGACATCACTCGCACAGCTCCTCGGGAAAATCAGCAACATGGTGATCAATGATCACATTCAGCAACAAATCGAGCAGGCCCTGGGTTCCATTCATCAGGTATCGCAATCTACTTGAATGAGAGAACTTGAACTTTGACAACTTTTTTAAAATTTATAGATTATGTCGACCTAGATAAAAAAGGTTCTAGAGCAGAGTAAGAATCTGATATGCTAAGTCCTGGACTGAATTGGAATTGACCCAGTTCCGTACGTTTTTCAGTCTACAACAGCTCTTCAAGAGGGAAACGTGACTGCAGCAGTCTTTGCAGCCAAAAGTGCTATTAGATCTTCAGGTTAGTACATTTTCCGAAACGTCCTTAGTTTCTTTTCTCTTAAATCGTTCGTGGAAAGTTCCACGAGATATCCTTAGCCGTTCACTTTATTTCCCAGTAATCAATATATTTCGGTGTTCCTGAACGTTACATCATGCTTTCTCTTTCAGAGGAAGCATTTTTTGAACCATCAATACTGGAGCTGTTGTACTTTCCAGACGATCAGAAGTAAGCCTGACCTTTCAACAATTTGTCACTAGTATGTTATGTTAGGGAGATCGCCTTGTGCGGCATGGGAATCTATTACTGCTTCGGTAACATTCTAGACGTATTTTCACAGTTGTTCAATTTTCCTTACGATTTCGATAGACTCAGTCAGAGATTTGATGTCGGAGAATGAAAAGAAAAGAAATGAAGAAAAAATTGTCAGGACTAATCAACAGAGGACATCACATTTAACTTTGATAATCATCTTTTAGGCCTGGGGAGAGGGTTTTGATGGAGCACGGTGATTTAAAGAATGGGGGGGGGGGGCTTTTTTTTCATTGAGCTGTATTCTATAAATAGTCTGTTTTGTAATTTTCCCTCAGGTACGCCATATATATTCCGCTGTTTCTACCCATCAGTCTGCCTATTTTCCTGTCGTTGAGGCAGGCAGTGAAATGGTACAGAGGACAAGACAATGAAGACAAGAAAGACGAAGACAAGGATAAGCAAGATTGAAAACAGCTCTGAACTAAAAGAATAACGAAGATGACGGGCTGGGACGAGATAACGTGGAGTCGTGTCAACCGAGTACATGCGCAGTCTCACTTAATGAGACGGGAGTTACAGGAAACCATTCCACAACGACATAATTTTGAATATCAAATAATGCAGAGATACGAGTTATTAGTGAGGACTACAGGAAAAAACATGCAGGTTAGAATACGCGACCACATGTATCTGTAATACAAGCGAGGAAACGTGCAATAAAACACCGGGCAAAGTTCCAAGCGTACACTGGAGTTAACTCGCTTGGAACTGCGACAAAGTGGCAAACTGTCGACGACGAGAGAAACTCCCTCCTTAAAATTTTTAGAGCGGTAGCTCATACCAGAATATAACATATGCAAACCCAGCAAGATGAAACACAAAGCTTCAGGAAGTTCCAGTTCTTTTGTAACAAAGAATTCCATATTAGGAATATGCCGTTAATTAACTAAATATCAATTTAAGTAGCAGGATTAAATTAGAATTCCATCTTTTTATTGCGAATGAGTATTTTGGTTGTCTAAGATAAATTTTACTCCAGCGTAGGTCACGTTCATCCTAAAATAAAGTAGAAGTACTTGTTCAAAACAAAGTCTTTGTACTTTGTAAAATATTGCTTTGTTAAATATGTTATATTCTAAACTGGTCCGCTCTATATGATAGAATAGTAGGCTGTGAAAGGATCTACATCGAGAATCTACTGAATAAAATAGCTAAGCATACAATTTTTTACGAAAGGAATAAAAAACGCGCCGAATGCATTGTTGAGTTATATAAGCACTTGGGAAATTTTAAGGCGAGTGCTTCTTCGCACTTCTCTCCTGTTCTTAAAAATTCCCGCGTGCTTATGTAACTCAACAATGCTCGAGGAACAAGTTTTTTTTTCTTTTCATAAAATGTATCGTGAATTGCGCGCGCTCGTACCGATGACGTAGGCTGCGTGCATTATGGAAATATTATGAACTCGTTCTGACCAATCACAGCGCGCGCATTTCTCTTAACATTTTATAATCCCAAATAGAAAATACGATTACAGCTATCACCTGTCCGTAGTAGTATGTACATAGAAGGTTGCATGATTTTACAAGTAATTTTAAAAAAACAAATCACTAAAAGAGGAGTGCCTTATTTTTTTTATGTAGCTAAAAGTTATTGTTTTTAAAATCGTCGTGTGATATTTGCTAGTCAACTTCAACTTTTGTCTCTGACATTGCACGGACGTCTTCGTGTCTTTAAAGACCAGCCCTGTATTAAAGAGAGTATAGAGTCGATTGTTTCTTGAGAGAAAAAGAGCGCTGATTACTTGCACTCTAAGCTCCCTTACCTAAATAGTTAGGTTTGTTATGAGGGAGAGGTGGGTAATGGTTCGTTTGACCGTTTAGCCGCTGCATTTACCAATGTTTGACCGATTACTAGGCTTTTACTTGCTTTTTGCACTTCAGCTTTGTTCGTGACCTATGGGTATAGTTTCGCAGGCTAGTAAAGGTGAAAAGTTACCTAAAACAAACCCGATCTATATTTCTCCCTTTCTCGGTGATGGCATTTAACCGACGCTTTCAAAGCTCCTGTATAACTGTTATGGGATACGCATACCAAGTGGGGTAATGGACAGCGAGGTACACCTACAAGCAGCAGGTCTGGCTTTAGGCCTTGGCCGAGTCGTTTACTGTACTCTTGGGCAGGGTTAGGGCTTTCTCTACTTAGCGATAATAATCTCAGCAACTTGACTTGCGAGAAACCTATCACTATAATACCTCGAGCAGTTTTTCCTGAAGTTCACTGACCTGATCTCTGATGCAGAACGCATTTTCCCCTCAAACATTTCGTCGGCTGCCTTTGCGGCTGCATTCCCAGGTCCCATGGTTGCTACAGCAAGAATTTTATCCCCTCTGGAAGTGAATTAGAGAACAAGGAAAATAAAAGGCAATGACTAGTGGAACAACAAGGATTAAAAAAATAAATAAATATAATAATAATAATAATAATCAAGATAAAAAAGGAGAAAACTTTAAACGACACCTTCCCACGCTTTAACAAACGTCACTTGTACTCTGTTTAGAGTTTTTACTTCCTGAAGTAATTTGGCTTTTATGTTTGCTCAACTCACTTGGCAAAGTAGGCGGTGAATTTTTGTTCATCAACGCTACCGTCAATAAGCACATCATCAAATGAATGGGCGTGACCTGGGGACAAATTTAACAGCAAAGAGGTAACAAAGGTAATCACTGATCGACCCGTGAGATTGCTCGGTTTCCCTCGGCTTAGTCCTGTTATTTTGGTTTACAACACGCCTAGGGGTGAGGGTAGAGGGGAGTGGGGAGAGTCGGAGGATTTGAGGGATCACGTGGTTTTCAGGGGAAACGGAGTGGGGATCGGCCTAGTCCTGTTATTTTGGTTTACAGCACGCTTTACAATTAAGAACCAGTTATTCATTATCGCCTGGGGAGAGGGGAGGGTCAGAGGATTTTGAAGGATCGCATGGGTTTCAGGGGAAATGGAGAGGGGATCAGCCGTCACCGACAGAGGATAAAGGGAGACTTGAGGAAATTGACCTCTGATTAAATGCCAATGAAGTGGATCATAAGAATATTAGAAAGCCTTAAGGGGGATCAGGTTAATTTTATCTTGACATAAACAAAATCCTCCGATCCCCTTTCCCCAGGTTAGAACTTCAGGCTAAGTTTGCAAGGATTTACTCGGAGGAAATTAATTCTAATTCTGCATGTCTGTTACGATAGAAATCGGACGGTAGGAAGCAGCTAGACTCAGCTACTCGGAGACACCTACCACAGTATCTGATGCTTTTACCATACTGAGAAGTCCAGAAGAATGGTATTGTGTCGACCTCTTCGTTTCCTCCAAGCATATTACGCGCAGCAGTCAGTCCTACAATATGAAAGTACAATGGACTGAGCACGACAATTTCCAGGACTTCAAAAACCAACCTAGAGCAGAACTACCTGGTCCCCTGTGGGGAGAGTTAGACAACAGGTTTGCCCTCCAGATCTTCTAGGTATTCCTCTACTCATGCAAATCTTCTTTTTTCAGGGACCCTCGACTGGGTTTCGTAAAGAATCTCAATTTTCAAAGAAACACTTCATTACAACAAAAATAAGATAAGACTACATTTTGATCGGGATCGTTTTGCCTCGAAGCGAGAGGAATGTTTATTGGACCATTTCAACGATATCACCCATAAAAACATACCATGCTTGTGCGAAATCTGCCAATGACCAATAGTCACCCTTTCCCAATCTAACATCTTCAGAGGGAAGTGAGCGATATCTCCAGCGGCAAAAACTCCTTCACAAGCATTCATGTACTGCAACATGAAGAGACGATAGGTTGGTAAAATAGAAGCAGGCCATACTAATTTGGCCATAACCGTATTTATACAACAAGAGAGCCTAAAGCAAGCGCGAGAAAAAGAGTGGGGCACGAGGGCAGGAGAAAAAAAAAAGACCATACATGATGAGCGTGAATTGCCACTGAGCACGTTTGTCACAGTTTTAGCCACTAAACAATGCACCATCTCGTGCATTTTCCAGATCAGTTCATTGATATTTCAACTACACGTCAAAAACTGTTGCTGATGAACGTGGGCGTCCGAAATCAGACGGTACCGTCCAAAAACGGATACAGGTGTCCGAAATCCGACAATAGTGAAAGAAATCAAAGACAGGTGTTGGATACTAGTCGTCTTAAATGGCTTGAGAAGTCAACATGATAACTTGGTTAATCCAAGAAAAGATGGTCATCGCCGAAATGGCCTGAATGGGAGTCACCTCAAGGCTAACTTTAAAACCTGCATATCGCAAAAGTATTCTAACCTTATCAACAATTACATCTCCGCGGCTGGTCTGAGGCACGCTACTGTTTTTTAAGAAGTCCGTGGATGGTGATACACCTAGGAAAGGCAGTAAATAGTGGTTTGCGTAGACTCCAGAACTAGAGAAATGTTTTGTTCTTAGGCATCACACTTCCCTCACATAATGTCTCTTTTCACACGAGACTCAATGGATGCCAGCAAATTGTGTGGGAGACTTAGTAGTTTTGCTTGGTTATACCCTGGCTCTCCATCCTTGAATAAAAATTAAATGGCTGGCCTCGCGATTGACTTAGCTCAGGGTTAGGGTAAATTTTTGAAAGTACTAGTTCAGCTTTACGAAGAAGTCTCCTAGTAGGACATTTTATGGCGTTCAGTTTTGCCTTGTACATACGCTTGCAAAGAACAGAATCAAACCGAAAGTTAATTTTTGCACTCTCAATTGGCGCTGAAGTTAGTGGTGTACTAAAGGAACCTTACCTACTCCCTGGATACAGATATCAGCAGGAACTTCTGTTCCATTGTTAAAACACACAGCTGTTAACTGAAAGCAATATACCAGACACCTCGTATTACAGACGAACCGAAAAAACTGACAATTCAATCAGTTAACTTTTAAGTTGCACTCAATTCTTAGAGTAAATGTTTGTCTCTTCGGGTTTATGAATTTTGGATATTAATTATCATTTTTAATGATTCGCAATACACGTTTATCCTCTCAAGCGTGAACCACCCTTGTCAGTTCTCTCTTAATTTTTCAAGTATCAATAGGTGGTTGCAATTTTACTGTTGCTTTACGGTTTCTTTAGGTTAAAAGGCATTTGTGTATGTCTTAAAACTCCTGATGTGTAGCTCCATCCAATAACAGGATGACAAAAATTAACTTCGTTAGTTAAACTGAGAAAAATCCTCACTTTTCCGCTGTCGCCTTTGAAACTACTGGCAGCAGCATCGGTGATGAATTTTACTCCTTTGCTTTCGTGAGTCTAGAAGAAGAGGAAATAGAGTTTCAGAGTGCGTATAATCATTCTTCACAATAGGAAAAAAGAATGATTAAAGACTGTTTGGGTAAATAGGCTGTTTGCCTTTTGATCAGCCTTGAGTGTTCATGCCCAACTCCTAAACATCCCTGAGCCGTCCCCTGTTCTCTACGTCTACACAGACACGAGGTTGCGAGGGACTAGCACCTCCCGCTTCCTCGTTGAAAATCGACTGGGTACGAGTCAGTAAAGTATCCCATTACCTTTTTCAGCATGGCGCCAATCTTCTCGCCCAGCACGTTCGCAAAAGGAATACTGCTTCTTCCAACACATGTCACAGACGCAGCTTTGTCTGCAAAGTTCGACGCCAGTTCCATACCTTACGGATCAAGGTGAAATGGTGGAGCAAGTTAACAGCAATATTCTTCCCTCATAAGTAGTAATACTTAAGCTTTTTCCAGGCGTTCAGTTAGTAAAACAGAGCGCGATAGTTGTGGCTGAGCGAAAAACGAGGAAAGCTTGGGTCGGGTTGCATGACCCAACCCAAACTAAAAAAATGAATAAAGAGGGTGAGTTTCTAGAGAAATGTGGATTTTATTCAGGTTTGGCATGGTGCACTGTTCTGAAAGCTGTGGATTTAAAAATGCTAAGACAAGAATTTGTGATTGTAGCGATTAAACGACAAATGAAGTTTACTTTTTTCAAAAGAAACTGTGGTGCTGCAAACTCGAAAAAGTTTGTCAAACACTCCCCTTTGGTTCGTGATTCATAAACTTTTCTCGTTTTCTCCCAGAATCTCAAGTTGGAGATATTACGCCGGAAAACGAATGGAAAGCGCAACTATTGCTAAACTAACAGATGCAAAATAAATTAAAGAGTCTGGCATTTGAAACCACGGGCTAGTAACCAATTAAATTGTAAAAAAATTCTAATGAGACATAACAACATTAATGATTTACCTATAAACGAAGTCCCCATGATGACCACGTTCTTTCCAGGGACGAAGGAGGCTACATAAAATATAAACACACATGGTTTTACTGAGCTTACCAAAAATGACGTTGTAGCTGACAGCTATAAAAGGCCCAAAGTAAAAGATGATAATGGCGGCTAACAACAACAACAAAGTTAAATAAAACAAGGAAATAACGAAAACTCAAAGCCAACACCGACATGTTCAATTCCTTTAGTGCAACAAAACGTGAGTGCAGAATGAAGTAAGACTGGTTCTGCAAAACCTACGCTTAAAGGTGAATTTCTTCTAACACTTGACAACTAATTGCTCTTAAATGTACACACCAATCTGGTTAGCATCCTCAGGACTCCTCAGTAAGAAGATGTTCTCCAGATCACTTCCAGGTATACTTAAACTTCTCGGTCTAAATGCAAGTAAAATCAGACGACATAACTCGATGAAATAGTAGGCTTGTAGCATACAAATTGAATGTACTACACTAAAATTGAACCGAGCAATGAAAGCCAATTTTTTAGAGGTGGACAGTTTAACAAATGGATGAAAGAGTAAAGTAAAAAGTAAAAAAATGAATGAAGAATGGATGGATGGAAGGGTAGAGAGAAAAAAGGATATATAAAAAAAAAAGTAAGTATGGATGCATGAAATGGGAGAAATTACAGATAGGAAGAAGAAAGGTGATATCAAATGAAGGGTTCTAGGGATGTAAAGAGAGAAGAAAAGAATCACTGGGTGAGTGATGGGAAAGGGAGAAGGACAATTGAAGTAACAATGCTTACACAATGAATGTGGTCAAATAAATCATAACAGATCGATAGTTAACAAAAACCCACATCAACAAATACATGAAAAAGTACAAGTAGGAATAAGTGCAATGGACATGAACATGAACTGTAACAGAAATTAACTCACTTTCCTCCTGTAGCAATCAATACACTATCATAGTTAAGAACTGTGCCATTACTCAAAGTGACAGTTTTTTTGTTATTGTCCAGTGCAGTGGCCTGAATGAGAAAAATAACAAAATGCTATATCATTAACACTTGCAGTATAAAAAAAACAGAAAATAACAAAATGCTATATCATTAAACACTTGCAATATTAAAAAAAAAAACAGAAAAATAACAAAATGCTATTTCATTTAACACTTGCAATAAAAAAAAACAGAAAAAAAAAAATTATACATTAAACACTTGCAATATAAAAAAAAAACAGAATAACAAAATGCTATATCATTAAACACTTGCAAAGAAATAATGCTATGCCAAGTGCAATAACCACATTTTTCTTTCTTTCCAAACTTTAATACACAGCTATGCAAAATACAACTGAATGATAAGTTTCTGTTTCATCTCTCCATGAGGGCTCCATGACCATATTGACATACCTCAGTATTTGTCATGAGCTCAATGTCATGATCCTTGAGAAATTCCATTGAACGTAACTTTAAAGAATCAGCCGTGGCAGCTAATTTCTAAATTGAAAGAAACAACCAATTCATGACAACACACTTATATTAAAAAGACCAATTATTATAAACAACAAAACAGTTTATAAGAAGTAACTCAATGAAATATAAGCTAACCCATTCTGCTAAATATTTTGGTTAGAACTCTGGGGTACAACTTAACCTTGATACAATTCAGAGCCACTTCCAAAGAACTTACAGTTTTAATATTTACAAAAGTATTGGAAGATTTTTTGGGATCAAAACACAACAACTCTGACAAATGGAAAGCTGTTCCAACAAATTATGAAAAGCTTTCCAGTGAAGCTTTGATTGGAATAGATTTAGATCAACTGCAGCAATGAAGATGAATCTCATGATGACTATGGAATCCAATTCTGTTGGACAAGTAGGGCAGTATTCAAATCAACCTTTAAATTCACACCAATCTCATGACAAATCAGACCAAACTCTCTGAGAAGCTACAACAATAACAACCTTCAGATGATCAGTTAAGTCTCCAAGGAAATTATAGCTGAACACATATTAGGATGACTTACCAAAAGCAAATAGCATGAGCATAACACTAACCTTACTTAAAATTGGTCTATCATAGGGCAAGTGAGCCTCTTTTGTAATCATGATAACATGCCCTGTGAGGAACAGAAGCTCAATTACCTGTAAGCTAACACTCAGGTGTTTGAAAAAAAATAAAAAATCTTAGCTGGTAACAGGTTGTAGTAAATATTATTTAGTCAACAGGTTCAAAGCATTTGTTATAACCATTCTTAGTCAAACAATTATCAATGATTAAAAGTAACCATTGCTTGACTCCCAGCAGAACTTCCTGACATTATGATCAGTAAAAATTTGCTCCCACATTTAAAAATAAAGTATTCCCAATCTTCAGAAGAAAACTACTGCAATATTCATGTATCATATAATAAGTATCAGTCCTGGTACCTCTGAATTCCTCTTCTCTCAATGTCTCAGCAGCTTTCATGGCTGCTCCACCTGCATAGTGTAAAAACATCCACTCTCAATTTCCACATGGAACCTCCTGCTTCTACAAGGACCCTTTTTTAAGTTCCACCCCTAGTTTGTGTATCACTAAGATAATTTAAGGCTAAATAACTGTCTAATACCCTTTTAGTACCTTGGAACTTCAGGTTTCTATGAGAAAATACTTTCCGTTGAGACTCTTGTCTGACATAAATCATCCTTATTATCTGACAGCATAAACTATCTTTAACCCTTTAAATCCTGACATCAGTATGCATATTCTCCATACTGTTCCCTATAAATTTCCTAATGTGCCAACAAGGAGAATTTGTTGAACAATCAAGAGCTCTTTTATCAATCAGATTGAGCAATCATTTCCTTTATTCTTATGGCATTAATGTATGATTTGGGGCTGATATGGTAACCTTTGACTCCTAAGGGTTCAAGGGTTCACAGTTAATGGCTGAGCACACTTTCTTTTCATTGTGACTGGGAGCTTGGAGGAGAGAGGTAGTACTTGTTCAAGGGTAACTATGGTTTCATACCTTCTTGACTACCTTTGAATCTTAAACTTTGACAACCCACATGACAAACCAACTATTTCAACAGCTTGCATGTACACTATGAACAAACTCACCTCCCCCAATGATAACAAATACTCGTTTGTCACAACTTGTGTCTTCTTTAACCATTGTTTTGACTCTTTTATGAGATGTAAATTGCTAAAACACAGATGACACAAATTTAAAAGTAAACAAATATATTTTGACATCATGGCTTTTATCAGATAAAGAATCATGAAATAAATATTACTAATAATATTATTACGACAGACATTTCAATTTTAATTCTCCTTTACCTCTGGGTGTGCTCTAACAATAACATTATCATTCTTAATGACCACCTGAAAAGAAAAATAACTAATTTTCAGACTATTAAGAAATTTGCCATGAACATCTATGGAGAAATCATAGATTCTAAATGTTATAGAGATAACCCAGTAGTAATTTTCCCACTGCAAGTTGAGCACCAGCACAACCTTACTCTGGGTATATTTAAATGCTTCCTGATCGATACACCAGTCAATTTTTACTTTCTTCCTTTTTACAATCTCTTCCAAAAGTGTATCCTCTTTCAAGTTTTCCATGTGTCTCACAACACTCCACCCTATCTTTCATATTTCTTTCTCTGATTCCCAGATTATTCAACTCTGTCAAAGTTTTTATACCTTTGTTACTGTATAAAAACCCAACTGACCTCAAATTTGGGTAAACTGTCCAGCCCAGGAAAGTCTTCAATATCACCAGTCTTGACATTAAAGCAGGCTCCATGCCAGGGACAGCGTACTCGTCCATTAGAGAGATGACCAGTGGATAAAGGAGCCCCATAGTGAGTACACTTGTGGCCAACTGCAGAATACTCCCCATTCTCACGTACCAGCAGTGCTTTACCTTCTCCAATGTCAATTGTTCTCATACTGCATTTAAAGGAGACAAGGTTGAAACATAGGTATGTTATGCATGCAAGTTATTTTTTTAGATGGGTGGGTTGAAGTGAACACTTTGAGTGACTGATTTTTCCAATTTTGAAACATAAAAATAGCCTAAACTTTCAAAGTTTCCAACAAAAATACCTTTCAGTAGAGGGCAAATAAGTTCCTTCCAATTTATATAAAATAAACCCTGACATAGGTAGTTTGTGGTCTGTCATTACTGTTGTCTGAACAATTTTAAGCATAAATAAACTGCATTTGTACCATGCTTACTGTAGTCTCCTTTACAGCCATTGTTTGGTCTTGTCACACAACATCTCCCCTGCCTCTGTTGCATGACAAGACCAAACAGTGAATGCAAATGAGACTTCGTTAGCTTGCTTGTGATAAAATGCAGGTTGTTTACAAGGATATGACATGTGATAGGGTGAAATCCAAGACAGTATAAGATAGAAAATGTCAAAGAGCACGAGAGTTGCATGGAAAATTTACTACTAATAGCATTTAGTTTCATGTGAACTTTGTTAAGTGTGGTAGGATTATGTTGTAAAATTTAGGCTGTAACTGAAAAATGTCATTTTATCAAGGTAAACCTAATCACTAGTGACAACTAAATGCACAATTGTGCTAGGAAAATACCATTTAAACACAAGATGCAATTCATGTAGAACTTCTAAAGGCAAAGAAATAGATATTTACAGGGCACTTGACACAGAAAGTAAATATGACTTGATGATCTTTTCAACCTGAGCCTGAAGAAGGGCAACCACAAGGCAAAAACAAGGTTATTGATCAAATATGATTAATGCAAATGCTTTGTGCAAATTTTACAGCAGTCAGCAAAACTAGCCCTTACAAAACAAACGTTCCAGTGAGAACTTCATTAATTGTAGGCTTTTCACTAATGGCATGTGTGTTGTAAGTGAAGGAGCATTACACAAAACATGCTTCAACTTCTAAATGGCAGAAATTTTCCCAGCCAATTTTTGTCATCCCAAGATATCATAGTGATCAGGTCCATATGAAGGAAATTTAGGAACTCTTTCTCTGGATTGATGAGCTCACAAAAAAATTATTCTTTGTTGATATTCTTCCTATTGTGCACTAATGTTGGGTTGATTCCATTGCAACATTTTGTGATACCCTAATTCCAGGACATAATTGACAGGAGGGACAGTACCCTGATGCTTGGATTGGTGCAAACATTATAACACTGTAATTTCATTGGCGCTAAACACACACCCTAATGTGGCAATCTGATTGGTGCTGGCAACATAACACTCAATACCCTAACATAGTTATTATTTTTATTAATGATAAAAAAATAATTCAAACTGATACCTTTAATTATCTAATTTAACAATTAGCAGAAGTCTTTGTAACTAGTTACAAATAAAATATTGCAGACAAAGAAATTGGAGTGCATTACGTTCCATCTTGCAGACAGTCATCATATTGGCCTACATTGACTTCAATCATGGTGGAGCTTTCTACAGATGTTCCTATAGATTTGGAAAAAGGAATAATAAGTCAGTTTATAATTCATGAACTTCTTCACTAAATTAGCTTTGCAGGAATCAAAGAAAAACAGCACGCTAAACTGATGCTGTACGAAACAGAATGGTGTGTTGTAATTTGAAGAGGAATTATGAAATCTGAGCTAATACGAGAAAAGAGGTAACAAGATCAGAGTAAGAATTGCAACAAATGAATAATGGGGTTATGTTCCAAGGGAAACTTTGATGCTGCATGACTGGGTGTATGACAGCTACAGCAGCTCGGTTCTATCAAATGCGATGGTGATGTACATAAGTCACCACAAGGAGTTTATAAAGCTGACATTTCGATTGTTAGCCCTTTGCCTGCGCAAATAGAGACAAGTGAAGGCCTGTAGTTAAAGATCAATTTTCCAGGTAACAATCCACTCTTTGAGTTCCTTACAGGTTTTCCTTATCCACATGTCAGCGAGCGGTCGTATGCTTTTGTTAACTGGTAGCCAAAACGAGCAATCGAGTTATAATGTCATACAACATACTAGAAAATTATCTGCTGTAGAAAAGGAAATCTCAACTATCTGATTACATAAATAACCTCGGGCAGGTAAAACAATTCTAAGAGAAATCTGATTTTTTGAGGAGAAGCGCCGAATAATTTACTTGAACACATACAAGAAATTTTCGACATAATATTTTAAGTTGAATTTCTCTCTAACAACAATATATTTGATAATCTTGGTTTAAACAGGAAGGTTAAACTTGTCATATCAGTACGCGGTTTCCCTTTCTATCTACCAAAACGGTGAAACTACTCCAAAAACATGTTGTTAAATAAACGCTTAACACGACCGACAGTTCGAGAAAATATTCACCAAATGCTCAATAAACAAATTTTAGTAATTTCATGTGAAGAGTAGCCAATATCCTCGAGTAAAGAGATCTCGAATTTGATAAAACTTGCTTCAAGTAAGTTCGCACTGCGAGAGTCTTGTTGTATTTCTGTCAAACTCAACGCATTCATGAGCATTATCTTATTGTTTTTCCAACAAGATAACACATCCCTTCTTCCTTTTGCATTCAGATGTAATCACAATTAAGCACTGACCTTTAAATTTGTCACCTACCAAAGGCACACATTCTGAATAAATTAGGCATGGAAATTCAACACAGTTGTTTATGTTCCAACTTAGGCTGATCTACAAAGCTTACCTTCTCCTGTATCTGTGGTCAGTGTCCCTGTTGTGGAAAAACTGGCAAATGATGGCTGAGGGACACTTTTTCTACTTAAAAAAACCTTCTTCTCTCTGTTAGAAGATACCGTGACTCCCATGACAGGTAAATTGCGGTATGGTAATTTTGTGTGAAAGTTGTATTTACGCACGAATTGACGCAACAAGGGTCCAAAAACATCGGGTCGGAATACAACTTTAACCGCCTTACAGAACATCTAGAACCACTTGGCGGGTGGACAATCGAAACGGAAGTCACTTTTCAAAGCAGATGATGGGCGAAATAGCTGTGGCGGCTTACCTGTCTAGTAAATGTCACCAGCTGCAGAATCTTCCAAAACATATTCTATCATCCAAAGGGGTGTGATGCCGATAGGAATTGTTTCATCAAGTAAACTCAACTGTAATGTCCATCTAATTAGACGATAGGCATGCAAGGCGTATTAAATAAACATTTAGTGGGAGTGACGGAGCTAATGAGTGAATCTTTGAATAAAATATTTAATTTACTTCCTTGTAAGTAGCAATTCTGGTGCACAGCACTTGGAAACATTTACTATTGAAATTAATTCTCCTTGTGGTTTAGAATCACCAAATTTAGTTCCAAGGAGATACAATTATCACCCCTAACAACATTATTTTAAGTCTCTTCTCAACCAAGGATGGAGAATCTGATTTGAGAACATGTGCAGGTGGGACATAATCAATCGCATGTAAACAAAAACATATCTTCAATACCGTTATGGAGTCTAATCCTTTATCCTCAATTTTATCAAGGTGCTCTCATGGTCAGGGAAATTACTATTCACTGATTTTTATTTCAATAGTGAGGAAAAGATTAGATTGTCAGGGGGTGGGTAAGGAATTGCCAGAGTCGAAGTAAGGGCAGGACTACTTGATTGTCAGGGATACTTACACAGGTAGTGGCTTTGCTAACTCTCTCAGCTTTGAAAATGGTTTGCAATCCAATGGAATGCTTGCCCTAAAAATGTCTTGCTTACTTAAATAAATTAAGAGGTGCAGTTGAGGGATCATGGATTGATGGCTAAAACGTCTAGGTAGTAAAATGAGTAAAAAATGAGATGGAATAAATGTCAGTTCTTATTTATCCCCTTTTACTTTTACAGTTGAAGAATTTTCAGATTTCTTTTTTGACATAAACAAGGTCATACCCTGATGTTTGAATACCAAACCAGTAGCTCTCGCATCCAAGGGTTGGCTGAATCACCGAGCTGCAAAAACTCCCCATTGAGGAATGCCAATATACTGTACGTCTAATCCCCCTGTACTTTATCATATTTTCACAAGCACCTCTCACACTGATTAAAATCAGACTTTTTCAATCGCTGGAGAACCAACAAAAATGTCTCTCTCCCAGCAAGTATGAAGACAATGTTGCCCTCAAGATGACTTTTCAGGCAATCAGGTTATTTAAGTAAACAGTTGACAGAAACCCAGACAATCAGATCCAGACTTCAGTGCCAACATTGTGATTACCAAGGTCAGTTAAAAATAAATTTAACCTGTGACATAATATGATACAAATAATGACATGATCAATCTGGGAGTCAAAGAAACATCATTTTTGACAAGCCTTTTTTTTTTAAGAGAAAATAAAAGCTTTTGACCCTTAACCAAGGGGTTGAAATTTTACTCTGTACACAACATGTTTGCAATTAACTATCAAGGAGGGGAGAAAAGTCCACAAGTCAATGTCTAAGAGCAAGAAGAGGGTGTTTTTTAAGCACAATTTTACATTCACATTGACTGAATAAAACAGACTTGGAAATTTTAGACTTTATTCACCATCATTATATAATTTTTCCATTAGCACACAGGTAATGACATTATCATAATTGAAAGAAAAACATTCCTTGAAGCGACTTTGCCATCAGAAACAAGCCTCCAAAACAGTAGTAATCAGCACAAGCAAGCAGGAATAGGTCACACTTAATGTTCCATTTCATCTTCATAGCCATCAGGCAGAGCATTCACGTGCGAATTGTGAAATAATGAGTGGTTGCCATCACCCCATGGGAAGAGCTGAAACAAAACAGATCTCTTCTTGAGACAAATGAGACAGTAATAAAATTTAACAGCAGAAGGAATGTTACAATTTTCCTACAGGAGAAAAAGATAACTCACTGATATCAATACTAATATGATGCCCTATTAGCTGACTGGCCATATCATATATCTCACCCAGTTGTTTTCAAGGATGGATTATGGCAAATAAATGATCATCTTTAGAAGTAATATGTAAATAGAGAATAATAGATGGGCGTGTGTAGATATGGAATTTCTCTTCAAGTGTTTACTCGATACCTCATGAGTGAGATGTCGAGTTGAACACAAGAAGAGAAATTCCATATCTACAAGCAACCATGTATTATTTTGTTTATCATATAAACACAATAGCCCTTTACTGAGAAGAAAAGCCGACTTCATTAATGAATGAAGTGTGTTGGCACTAACTCTTATAATGGAAAAATGCGTTGAATCATGATTACAAAAACAACAATGGTTGTAATTTTCAATTTACAAAATTCTCATTTATTGACTTTGTCCTTACCGACAGAAGAAGTCTTTCAGGTAAACAGCCAAAATCGGCCAGTGACAAATCTTCCAGTTGTTGATTTTCATTCTCAGCCGAGAGAAATGCTAACACTAAAGCCACCAAATACATAACTTTTGGTTTTTCTTTTAGTATGTTGGTTTCCTTCCCCTTCTAGAAAAGTTTGAACCTCACTGTCTGTAAGCAATACAGATTTTTTAGTGTTTTAGCCGCCATAATTTGAGCAAGCTTAGACAACAACTTGTATCAAGAATCGTGAAGGCTTTGCTGTTCATTCATCAACCTGACCGAGTAGTGCCAAAGACGAGTGATGTGTCAGCAGCTGATTGGCTATATCAACACGTGAAAAAATATGATTTTTTTTCACGTGTGTTGTTACGGCTTTTCTCAGGGCCGGAAATCCTTGTATAACACCGATAAAAATTACATAAAATGGCCATTACAATTCTTTTTTTACATTTCAGAAGATGTCAAAACAGTATGAAACAGTTTTCACCAGAGAAATGGAAATATGCTTCCTCTAAAAACATAACACCAATAAAAACCTGTATGTCACACAATAACCTTCTCGAACATGGACATTTTGATTACTCTTTAATTTTACAGTTTTGCATCAGTTTTGTTGTCGACGAAGGAAATTGAGTCATTCCAATCTGTTTCTTTCACCCCTTTCACTTGCAGAAATGACAGTACACTACCCTTACATTACCAATACATTTTTCAGCAAAATGCAATGAGAACAGAAAGAACATATTTTATATGACTTAGGACTACATTCTCAAATCTGAAATGATAAGAATTGTATGAAAGACAGTGTGAAGAAATTATATTTCAATCTAGGGAGTGATTGGGTTCATACTGCTTTCAAGAGTTTGGAATGTATTCAAAAACTATGTCAGCTGTTAGACCACTGTTTGAAGAAAGGTTTAGTCAGTACTTGAGCCTAATAGCCAACCCAGCTAGAGTTTATCCCAATTTCCTTAGCATTGGGCAACTGGGAGTATTACAACTTCTCCCCTGGATGGGATGCTTGTCCATCACAAGGACAGTCCCCCAGAATTTCATCAGGCTTCCCTCAGGCTTCCCTGAACACAACATATTAATTCCGCCAGTGCTTGAACCCACCCTCTTGACCCAGAGTCCAATGCACTGATCATTGAGCCACTGCACCTTCACACACAATTTGAAGAAATGACACTGTTCACCAACCTTAGATCTAATCCTGAGGTGAGAGTATGGTACAAACTCTGCCCTTGGATGTTCATGATGCTCTTTCTCTTTAAGATACATATTGTAAGTACAGATAAGAATGCCAGGAATGGCAACAAAATATGAAATCAACTTCCAGGTCTTCATAGTTGCTAAAGAGAGAGAGAAGAAGAGAGAGGAAAAAAATTGGAATTTGACTAAACAATTGAAATTAGAATGCTGAAAGATAACCTGTCCTGTTTTGACGGAAGACAGTACAGGGACCCTATTTTCCTATTAACCATTTTAAAAAAGAAAAGCAAATAGCATTAGAAAAATCTTTTACTACCAAAAACAAATTACATGTACCTGACAAACAAAGTAAAAAACCCAAAAATTGAAGACAGAGATTTTCACAAAAATTGAACCATGGACATGCACCTATGTAGAAAATCTCTTTTGTTTTAAAATTCAAATAACAATTTTTTTACCCTCCTCTCCCCCCTCTTCATTCTTTTTGTATTCACAAGCTGTACCCATGGTTTCACAAACTAGCCAGTCATATCAAAGAACTCTAGCCTCGACATTCAAAACAAACAAGGAAATTTTTTTTTAACTTTTGTTGTTTGTTTTATGGAGTTTTGATGAATTCTCGTTTAACTTTCATTTGCACAAATTTGTTACCTCTTTGTTTGGGATTTTAAGAAGTTTATTTTGGCCTAATGTTGTGGTTCATTTAACTACTTAAATATATATTTTCTACAGAGTTTGGACTATTGTAGATGGATTTTTACAATCTTTGCCCTACTATGGGATTTGGTTCTGCACGTCTCATTTTCTTTAATAAGATAAAATAATAAAAATAAATGGGAATTCAACAATGGACATCCAACTAGATGGCTCTTCTTGCCCACTGTTTCCAGGTCAAATTGGAATTTGGAGTGTTGATTTTTGTGGAGGGAGGAAAACTAAAAGGACCCAGAGAAGAACTCTTTGAGCAAGGAAAAGAACCAACAAGAAACTCAACCCACATGTGATGCCATATTGGGTCATAGTAGTGGTAGGCGAGTGCTCTCACCACTGCGCCATTCCTTCTCCCCTTCTCTGGCCTTATTTGTATACTTCCAATTTTTTTTCAGCTAAATTTTGACGACTTGGTTTGGAAATAGCAGAAAAGCTTTAGGGTTCTCACTTACAAGGTAAATGCCAATAGCATGTAAATGAAATCACAGGGCATGATTTCAGCACCCACATCATGGCCGTAAACATTCGTCATAATAGTTTGCGCAAATACGAGTGAGGCTCTAGCTTCAGAATTTAGTGTTGGCCATACGGTTACCAATATAAAACAAGATCTCTCCATTTCATCAACAGCCGTAAAACAAATCTTATCTACTAATCTCAACTGGCCAATTTCGTATGTGCGACTTCACGAGCTCATCCCTCGATAGTAATAGTTAATAGTTATAGGTTAATCTGGCATTTACCCTTTCTAGACACTCGTCATACTTCATATTTTCATTTTTGAACTAACGCTGTAAGTTTACATTTAAACTTCGGAGGTAACTTCAGTACAATATTGAACTAAATGCGTTAAGAGCAAGCGTATTAAAATAACACGCAATGCCAGTTAATGGGGCATCGTTTTGGAGCAGTAACAAGATAAGATCGAGTCTACTGACTTACATTCAGCATGTTTCGCTTCTGCAAGTTCTTTCTCTGCCAAAGAAGCTTCTGGAGAAGCCGTAGCTGCGAAAAATCGCTTTGAAACCAAGTTCACTCGCGAAAATATACGTGCCGCCATCTTGTAACTCCTCGAACTAAGAAAACGTAATTAATGGACTTCTGGGACACCTTATCGACAAACCAATCAGAATTCGTCTTATATTGCACCACCAAAATCTAAAATGGCGGCCTGACCTTTTTTCTTCTTTTACATAAATTTTATTTTATTTTCCATACATACTCATGTCTGAGATGGATTTTTTAGAAGAGCAAAGAGAAGAGATCGAGAGCCTTAAAGCCATATTTCCTGATGAATTCTCCGAACTCAGTTCTTTCCCTCCGACGTTTATGATCAGAATTGATGAGCTAAACATCCCTTCTTCCGTCACGTCGCTTCAACTGAAGATTTCCCTTCCATTGAAATATCCAGAAGAAATTCCTTTGATCGAGATCCCAAATCGCTCTAATGTAATGCCAAAAGAGTTCATAGAAGAACTGATCTCCTTCTTGAAATGTTCGTGTGAGGAATCTATGGGAATGCCTATGGTGTTTGGCTTAGTAGATTCAGCAAAAGAATGGGTTGAGGAAAATGCAATGAGATTCAACGGCTTTCAAGGAGACCAAGCAGCAGAAATTGAATCAGATGAGGAAACAGATGGTCAAGATTCTATTTACTTGGAAAATTTCAAAGACAAATTGGAAATGATCAATGCAAAAGGTGGAAGATGGGACTTCGTCATTGGCCTAATTGGTAATAATTAGACATCATATATAATTATTTAGGTAAAGTTAAAATATTAATAAAATAAATACTCAGCAGTTTTAGCTACTAAGGCTTGATTTCTGTTGTTCTCACGATTGTGGTCATTGTTCCTCCCAGAGAAGAATTCCTGTGGTGAAGGAGTGATTTTCAGATGAACAGCTGGTTCATTATCAAGCTTACTGGACTGTTAGAGTATTTTTCTAAATTAACCTGGATTGTATTGGTTGTGCTAAACTACATTTGAAGCACCATTCACTGGTTTGCAAAACTCGTGCTATTGTCCTTAACAGTCAGATGTGAAACTTAATCAATTTCTAGTGTGTCCCTGGTGTTTTCCTACAGTTTTAACTCTCAGTTATTTATCTGTCTTTGTTATGATGAGGAGAATGATGAATAGGAACAATGTGTACATCATAAGAAGCTAAGGAGAACTTATTTGTAAATAAGTCAATAAATACAAGCTAAATGCCTGGGGGTTGTGGTTGGAGCTGTTTGTAAGCCTCGTGAGATAAATATTAATAGAAATAAATTTTAGTTGTTAAATTTTCATTGAGAGGACTTAAATTTATTTTTCAGGGAAACCCTCAGCTGGAAAATCCACTTTCTTTAATGCTGCTACGCACCAAAATATGGCAAAGATAGGTGCGCATCCCTTCACCACAATTGAACCAAATATTGGGCAGGCATTTTATGCAATACCTTGCCCTTGTGTTCAGTGGAATAAACAATGTCATGCTCGATATGGCCACAGTGCACAAGGTGAAAGGTTTGTTCCAGTCTTGCTCAAAGATGTGGCTGGTTTGGTGCCAGGTGCATGCGAAGGAAGGGGACGGGGAAACAAATTTTTGAATGATCTCTTGGATGCTGATGTACTCATTCATGTTATTGATCTGTCAGGGCAGACAGATGAGAATGGAAAACCTACCACCGGTAAGTACTGGAGATTAAAATTTGATTTATTGGTTTTCTTCATAAAAACATTTTTAGTCATAATTAACCTTTTTACCCCCTTAGAAGTGACTAGCATCTAATTTCTCCTTACAATATCACTTCAGAATCACACATTTAGGTCACAGGAATATAGGAAATGATCACCACCTAAATAAGCTCTTGATTGTTTAACAAATTCTCCTTGTCAGGGCCTTAAGAAATCTGAGATAACTACAGAGAAAAAGGCAAACTGGTGTTAGGGTATAAAGGGTCTTGTCTTCTCTAGGGTGGCCTATTCATGTCATATTTTTCTTTTTATGGTGAGCTTTTGATTGTTCTTTTTTGTTATCAGATTATGACCCTACAAGAGATGTGGGATGGATCCAGCAAGAACTTCACAGCTGGATTTATGACAATATTATGGACAAATGGGACTCAATTGTGAAGAAACCAGCCAAACTATTTGACATGTTCACTGGATACCATGCATCTCAAGCATTGATTCACTTAGCATTTGAGTCAGCAGGAATCACAGATAAAAACCTCCTTACTATTCCTAAGACAGAAAAAGCAAATGCTGAACTTTTGGTGCACAAATTAGTTGATAAATTCTTGTGCTTGCGCTTTCCAATTCTCTTAGCTCTTAACAAAGTTGACTTTCCTGATGCTGTTCAAAATTTGAAGAAATTTCAAGAGCAGTTTGTGGACATGACAATGGTCCCTGTTAGTGCAAGGAGTGAGTGTATTCTACAAAAGGCATCCAAGGATGGTGTGTTGACCTACCAAAGTGGTGCATCATATTTTGAAATTAACCATCAAACTCAGGATCTAAGTGAACAGTCCAAGAAAGAGTTGATACAAGTAAAAACCAGTGTCCTTGATGTCTTTGGTGACACTGGTGTCCTGCAAGCTTTGTCGCAAGCTGTGAGTCTCCGATCACCAGTTTATGCATTTCCAGTTAACTGCCTTGATACTTGTCAATCGATCAATGTGATCACAAAAGAGAAACCCCAGATATTCAGAGACTGTATTGTGTTGAAACCAGGCACAACAGTAGAAAAACTCTTTAACATCTTGCTTTATCCACCAGTTTCTCTCCTTGCTGGAGAGTATGTGAGAGCAGAAGGAGTCAGTTCCAAAGGAGTGAAAAGTGTATTACATAAACATGACATCGTGAATGAGACAAACCAGATTTTGAAAATTATGAGCACCAGGAAAGCTTCACACTCAACTAAGACTAGAAAATAAGTATCACTTTCAGATATTAGAACAGATATAATTTAAGTACCTTCTATGTTTATTGATTAAATATTCTTAAACATTTGTAAACCAAATAAGGAGGTGCGGATTGGGTTGCAAAAACCTCCTGTCTCCCTCCTCCCCAGCACCCAGCTTTGTAACTCATATCCAGCTTTCTTTTGAATCCTTTTCTCAAATTTACAAATTCTTGAAAATTTAAGAAAATAATATCCTGTAGGTTTCTTCACAACTTTTTTGGTATTTTTCTAAAAAATTCAAAAGTGGGTTAGGGCTTGTATTCAAATAAAGTTTAATTTTCCATATCAAATTTGTAAAATTCATGACAACAGTTTAGAGAATTTAGTGGGTTAATTGTCCCCAAATTGATAATTTTCTTTATTCATATTGTTTGATATTGCAGAATAAATGTCTGTCACTTGGAGCTTTTTTGTCTAAATTTTTAAAATAGAAAAAAGTTTCTCTTAAATATTTTGATTAATCAACAATAAACTATTTTACATAATGAGCAAAATATTAAATATAAAAATTGTACATATTCCCACAGGTATGGAAACCCTATTCAATCTCTTTGCTCTTCAATGCATCCTTCATGAAGAATTCATCTTCAGTGTAAAATGTCAGTCCACAATTTGCTGCATATTCTTTATCACTTGCTCCATGGTCTTTGGCCCGTCCAGCAGCATCACCAACAAAGAAACTCTTCTCCTTATTGACTTTCATGTCACCATTACATTTTTGACAGAAGAATTCCCACATCCCTGTGTTGGGTTTACAGTAGCAATCCTTTGATGTAGCTACAAAGATCTGAAAGGGTAGAGCTACCTGAAAAAAAACAGAAATAAACAATACATTGACCATGAAGCCATGTGTCTCTGGATAAAATTAAAAGGGAGAGATGAAAGGGAAAAGTTCACTCAATGCAAGCCAAGTGGCTTTTCCAGCAAGAGCTTATTCCTGTTTCTGTTGAATGAAGAGAATGCAAGTATTGCCACTCCCCCTGAATGGGATGGTAGTTCAAGTTACACCCCTCTCCACCCCCCTGGGTTCCCTGCCAGTTTGCTACTACCCATTTATACACCAGGGTGGAGAGAGACACCTCAACAGTAAAGTTTCCTGCCCACGAAAACAACTCAGTGATCCAGTCAGGCCTTGTACACAGGCCTCACCATCCCAAGATCAAGGTGTAACCATTGGGCTGGCATATCTCCTCTAGAGGAAGAAGGATTAGGGTTGATAACCAGCTGCCTCTCTCTTGACCCTCTATAGCCGAGCATGAGTGACTAGCATCTAATTTGTCCTTAATATATTAATACTATCGAATAATTCAACAAGATCATAAGAATAACCAAAATGATCATCAACCTAAGGAGCTTTAATTGTTAAACAAATTGACTACTTGTCAGTACTGAAGGACATGTATAGAGAACAGTAAGGAGAATATGCATATTGATGTTAGGGTGTTAAGGGTAAAGGGTCTCCTCAAGAGGTAAACAAGCAGATGCTTAACCATACACCTTTCATCTCTATTGTGTATAAACCACCGCAGAACAAAAAGAGTAACACTTGTACACGCACCCTGAGTTTACACAGTAAGTAAGGGCATCCTAAAGTTATGACTTATAGTTACTTTTCCCAGCATAATTCCATTCAACCTTTGTGGAGATCCACAACACTTACTGGCTCATGCTTCTAATTTTGTTTAGGAAACAACGGAATTTAGACCCTTGGTTGGAACATGCTTATATATGAAAGAAATTTGTCTTTGGGAGCTGTTAGTACCTTCTTAACAAAACCAATGAGCCTGCCTTTCTTCTCATCCATAACTTTTTGTTTTGAGGCCTTTGCTTTGCCAATAGCAGCCTGGTTAGTGAAGATTACAAGTTTATATCCATCCCTGTGAAGGGTTGTTAGTTTCTGTACACAGGAGGGGTATAGTAAGGACCAAGCATCTGGTCCATGTTTGAATAAAGATGTTTTTGCCAAAGTGCCATCAAAGTCAAAGGCTGCAATTTGTTGTGAAGGTTGGATTTTCTGTGACACATAATAAAGTAATGTTCCTTTCCACTTCCAAGTGGGGGGCAAATTGCCATGTGACTGAGAAACATCGCTGCTTGTTATGTCCTTACCTAGAAATATAATTTTTCAATTAATCCTTTGGTCCCTGAGAGTGGTTAACATCTAGTTTCCCCTTACAATATCATCTCCGAATCTCTCATCAAGGTCACGCGTCAGAATAAAGGAAGTGATCACCATGAAACAAAAGAAGTTCTTGATTTTTAAAAAGTATACTATTCTCATTTCCTGCACTTTAGGAAATGTATGGAGAACAGTATGGAGAATATACTTATTGATGTTAGGGTGTAAAGGGTTAAGACTAAGAAATCTGTTCAAATATGTTCCTAGAATATTACAATAGTCTAGTGATAATCTTATTATATATTAACCGAATCGAGTGCAACAGTTGATGACAGAAGTTCCAAAACATTGCAAAAGATCAGAATTAAAGCATGAGAAAATACGGGAACAATTCAAGGGGCTGATCAGCATTATACAACCCCTCTTCTACCAGAATTATAATATGGTCTGATCAGGTTTTTGACCAGGATAATCTTGACAATGTAATAAATAGCTATATTTTCGGCAAGGAACTGAAGACATTTACATTGTTTTTTGGTTGAATACAACAATTTAAAGAAAATGTTAATTGCTAGGTATTAGGAAAATATGTCGGAAGTTTCTGAGTGATATCAAAATTTAAATAATTTGTTGACACTGCACTGTAATTTCTTTGGAAGAAAAGACCCACAACTCGTTCGGAAAGTAATTAGAATTAATTCCTCTAATATATTTACCATACGAAACAAACATCCTGACTCACTGGAAAATCTCCTACCTTTTCTGGGTGCCCTTAAAAATCTTTTGATGCCCAACGATTTTTCATCGCTGGCATCGGCATCGACTTCCTCGATTTTTCTCTTCACAGATTTTGAACTACCCTCCATTCTGACATCCCCGTTATCGGTTAGGTATGTGGTGTATGTTGTTGAGATTCCTCTAAATGTCAGGACATTACATTTCCCATACACCACCTACTTACTGTAAAACAAAAACACGTGCAAACTTTCAAGATGGCGGATTACTGTTCTGTTCAAGCAGTACTCTGCAATTGTAAAGTACTCGTCTTTCTCGTGAGAATCCACATAATTGGATCATGTCAAGGCTTATTGTTAGGAACTTACCAAAGAACATAAAGGAAGAAAGGATCCGTTCTGTTTTTGAGGCAAAAGGAGAATTAACGGATGTCAAATTATGTTATACAAAGGATGGCAAGTTTCGACGATTTGGGTTCATTGGGTATAAAACTGAAGAAGAAGCGAAATCTGCTCTGAACCACTTTAATAAATCGTTTATAGATACCTCAAAGATATTCGTAGATGTTGCTAAAAACCTTGGAGATGAAACACTTCCACGGCCTTGGAGCAAATATTCGCAGGGCAGTTCTGCGAATGAGAGACTGAAGAAGAACCTCGAAGAAAAGAACGAGAAGTTAATAACCCAGAACTCAGAAGGCATCAAAATAGAAAATTGTGAATCGGATGGGTTAGAGAAGAAAAAAGATAAGAAAAAGAAAAAGAGAGCGAAAATTTTAGGTGATCTGGAGGATGATGTTGAATTTCAGGAATTCTTAAATGTGCATAAAAACCGTGGCTCAAAGCAAACCTGGAGCAATGATAACATAGAACGTGGAGAGCCAGAATCAAGTTTAAATCAGATATGCGAGGGAAGAGAGGAGATTTCAGTACAGAATAAGGTACGTAGCTAATGACGTATATATTGGGACGGCTAAGCTGCAGAATACCCTGCCACTCATTTACATGTCATTGAATATGAATAACGTTTATTGTGTTATGCCTTGTTCTTCAAAGCTTCCCGACACATGTGGTGGGCCAAAGTGGCAAGGGTATTCTGCAGTTACTCCTATTGGGACTAAACCAAAGATCTCCATGGCTTATTTCAGCTAATGTAGGTCACATTTGGATTGGCACAAGTCTTCCAAGACCCTCTTGCTTTTTTGCTCAGCTTGGGCCAACTTTTAAAAGAATGGATGATACTCTTCTCCAGATGAATCGTCATTCAGTCTGAAGTGTCAACTGTTTCGTTCAATTGATACACTTCTTGATGAAGGTTTTTCTTGTCATTCACATTATTTATTCTCTTAATGACTGGACAATGGTTTAACCTAACTTTGCATTTTTTCAATTTTTAGCATTCTGAGGAACAATTAAAATATGATTATTCTGATGGAAGTGAAAATGAAGATGAAGTCTATGATGTAGCAGGTACATGTGTTTTGAAAGGAAAACCAGGCTTCGTTGGCCTGCAATCTTCTTTTACCTTTCTTTGTTCTTCCTCCACAGGAAGCAAACTAAAGCAAGAGATGACCTTAGAATTGATTTACCATAGATTTTTCAGCATGAAAATAGCTGTAAATAGCAACTATTTGTTATCGATACAAACTTGGCAATTCTATCCGTCTTAAAAAGTATCAACTGAACCCTTTCTCCACAAGGTTCTGAAAATGAATTCTGTATTTTGTCTGCTATACATTTCCAATAATTTAACCTTAAGAACTTGGCATTTGACAAAATATTTTCCTCTAGATGATAGTGTTTCTTCTTTTTACCTTTCTGCATGACAATGTATTGCTCTTTGTAGGAGATAATTATATTTTGTGACTGTAGGGAGAGAAAGAATCAGCTAGAGTTTGTTTCATTGGAAAATCTGTGTTGTTGCAGGAGTTAAAGGAGTTACAGAGGAAGAGAATTATTCAAAACACAATGAGGAAGATGATGAGGAAGCCAAAATGGCCAAGGATTCTAAACTGTCTGATATGGATTACTTAAAATCAAAGGTTGTTTCAAACACACAGAATCCTCTCAAAACTGAGAAAGGCAAAAAATCTCAGAAGAGGAAAAGAGTTGATGGAAAGGATGAAGAGGAGAGAAATAAAGAAAACTTTGGTGAGGAATCTTTGGATACTAGAAGAAGCGAAAATGAGGAAGACAGTAATGATGGTGATGATGACAAGGATAATAATGATGGTAGTGATGATGATGATGATGGTAGTGGTGGCAGTGACACAAATAATAATGATAAGGACAGTTCAGATACTGTTGGTAATGTAGAAAAAATCAAGACTGCTAGTCCAATAGATGCTGTATTTGGAACAATAAAAATGAAAGGGTTACCCTTCAAAGCCAAAAAGAAACACATCAGAGACTTTTTTGCGCCGCTGAAAGTGCTGGATATAAGAATAATTAAAAATCACCAAGGAAAGCCCACAGGCTGCGGTTTTGTAGATTTTTCAAATGAGAAGGATATTAAAGAGGCACTCAAGAGAGATCGGGATTTTATCCAGGGTAGGTACATTGAGTTGTCTAGAGTCAAAGAAGAACAGCAATTGAACCAGGAGACAGAGAAGAATAAACCTTGGATGAAGAAACTGGCAGCTCAAGGAGAAGAGGGTGAATTTGAAAGCATTGCAGAGGTGAGAGATGGTGAAGATGGTTGTTAGCTAAAAGAGAGATTACCTCCAAAAACGGAAGGGCTGGTTATTTAAACAAAGGTTAATTGTTGTTTAACAAAAATGTTTTCTAAGCCATCTTCAGTTTAGCTGAACCTTTTATTAGAACACAGAATTGTTTTAGTGAACAGTGTCAGGAGGGACAAAAGCAAATAGTGGAAGGACAGTTATTTGATTAAATCAACCCTCTTATAGAGAATCCCTGAGACCCGCTGCTTGCATAAAACTGCAGTTTGGGTTAGACCTCATGTGAATAACTGGCCCTAAATCATTACATGCAATGATGTTGGATGCCTGTGTGGCAAGTTAAGGACTAAGTTTTCCCTTTTGTTTTTTTGGCCCAAAGTTTCTTTCATCTAGAAAAGTCGAGAACAATCAGTAAAAAATAACGAGATTTTGGCAAAAGAACCAGCTTTAAGTTTGTTAGAGGTGTATTTTACTGTACAGCCACCCCCCTCCTCTCCCTGAATAAACCAGACATTCCTAGTTACTTTCATTCGGATGTGAGAAGCTAATTTACAGTTGTGTGTACCATAGTGGACTCCCAAGATATTCATATTGTATTGATATCGTAAGGAGAAATTCTGTCTTGATCATACTCATGGGAATTAAAGGGTTGATACAGACACCTAAGGGTACATGCTCTAGAGTTTTTATTACTGGGGTGTCTTTGTCAAGCTAGGTGTCCATGGCAGCTAGCTTGTTACACTCCATAAAATGATACCATTGTATTTTGTGTTTAGTCTGGCCGTCTCTTTCTCCGCAACTTGGCCTTTAGTTGTTCAGAGGAAGACTTGCAAAACCTGTTTGACAAGTTTGGTCCTCTAACAGAGACATATCTACCCCTGGACAAGACTACAAATAAACCCATAGGAATTGGGTTTGTCACATTTGTTATGCCAGAGCATGCTGTGAAGGCTTTCAATGAACTTGATGGCAAAGTATTTCAAGGAAGACTGCTCCACATATTACCATCCAAGGCCAAGGAAACTAAAGAAGACGAAAAAACAGGTTTGTTGTTTAGCAAGTGAGATAAACTTGGTAGTAAATAATTGTACTACGTCTCTGCAAACTGCTCTGTATGTACTGCTCTAAAGTCAAGGTGCTGCAGCTCGTGTTGCAATCATACACACAGAGGCACTTCCTTTTCACAGGTGCTTTGGGTGTGGGGGTGTCTGACTAATAATTTATATTACAGTGTTGGCAAGGGTACCTTATAAGGAATAGTTTTGTGGAATATCTTCACAGATGCAGCAACATCCTTCAAGTCGAAGCGTGATGCAAAAAAGAAAACTCTCAGTGGTCATGACCACAATTGGAACACATTATTTTTGGGAATGAATGCTGTTGCTGATGTGATGGCTGATCAGTATCACACCACTAAGGGTAGCATTCTAGATGATGCTTCTTCCAGAAGTCTGGCTGTACGCATGGCTCTTGGGGAGACACAAGTTGTTACAGAGACAAGGAAGTTTCTCATGTCTCAAGGTGTCAAGCTTGATGTTTTTGGACAGGTGTGTGGTTAGCATTTGAATTTTTGTTACTTGTACTCTCTTTTATTCACAAATTTTGTCTGAAAATGTTGGACATGAAAATATTTCTCTTATTTTTTTCTAACAAAGTGACTGGTTGCATCCAGATACTTGAGATAGAAGAGTTATAGAGAATTTTTTTTACAAGTTAAAATGGTTGACAATGGATCATAACAGTACCTTGAGAAAATTGTGGGGTTTAACCCTTAAACTCCCAAGATCTCATCTGTAATTCTCCTTACTGTCTGCCATACAGTTCTTGTGATTTCAGTCTGGAGAATTTGGTATTGGATCAACTCATATTCCCCTAATTGGTATTTCTGAGAAATTCTGTCTTGGTCACTCTTTGGAGTTAAAGGGTTGATTTATTGGTAGTGGGAAAGTGTAAAGGGTATCAATGATTTTAAATTTCCTCATACAAAAGAAACTAGACTGAGGTTCTTGATTAAAAACCTATGTTTAAACATTTTAGACAAGTTTGTTTTTACACTACAAAGACTCCATTTGTAAAAGATTATACTGTAAGGATAAATTACAGATAATCTTGTTTGTTTCTTGTGTTAAATATAGCCTGCGGCAAAAAGAAGTAAGACTGTCATGTTGGTGAAAAATCTCCCTTTCAACACATCAAGTGAAGAGCTGATGAACATTTTTTCACCGTTTGGAAAAGTGGCAAGGCTTGTGTTGCCACCATCAGGAATCACAGCTCTTGTAGAGTTCTTTGAGCCAAGCCTAGCAAAGAAGGCCTTTCAAAAGTTGGCATATAGTAAAGTAAGTTCATAACTAAAGCCTTTGATTGTTATTGCTTTATTGAAGAGCCCTTTTTTGTTTTACATCATCGTGAGACATTGAGGGATGTAGCCTGCATAATCAGGCATGATATTGGGCTCAAGGCTTTCTTGGTGAAAATTATAGCTGCCATCGTTTGATTTATCGAGCAGTGGTAGGCTAGGGTGAGGAAGAAATTTGTACCAAGGGGGTGAGTGAGGGTCAAAAGGAAAGAGAGGGGAGGTGCTAGGGGTCTATTTCTCATGGGATTCCAGGTCAAAAAGGTGGAAGTGTAAAGCACTGATGAGAGTCATTGTGTTGTGTTTGTGGACAAGACACTTAAATGTCACAGTGCACATCCCCTCTCAGGAGTGTAGATGGGTGCCAGCAAATGAACGGGGAAAGAGACAAATTGTTACGTTAGGGGGATCTATTGCAGACCAGCATTCCTTTCAAGGGGAGTGGCAATATTCTTAACTGTATCCTGCTTCAGAAACAGGGACATATGCCATTTGTCCTCTGTTAAGACTTTTTTTTCAATAGATCGCTGATGACATTTTTTTTCTCTTAATAGTTTAAACATGTTCCATTGTACTTGGAGTGGGCTCCTTTGGGTGTTTTCTCGGAAAAACCTGAAGAAAAGAAAGAAGAAGAGATAAAAACGGAGAAAAAAATGACTATTGACGAGGTGATATTCATAGCTAAGCTTTTGAGTTTCTTTTCTACCTATAAAATACACCATAGCTCAGAGATTTTAAAGACTAGTGGAAAATAACTCGACGACTTCTGTTTGTTTATTCAGCAGGGAAAAGAAGCAGCAGAGGATAAAGGAACAGATGTTGACGGCGAGGATGTTGATGATTCAGAAAATGCGGAAGGCACAACTGTTTTTGTAAAAAACTTGAACTTTGAAACATCAGAAGAAACGCTGAAAGAGGTAAGGTTACTCTCAGTTCGTTCAAACAAAAACACATATTATCTTTTGTCTTAAGTTATAAAACTTAAAACAGTTAAGACTACACAACTTTAATCGTGATGCTTTTGTGTTAGGCATTTTCCAAGATCGGCCCACTTCTTACGGCAACAATCGCCAAGAAAAAGGATCCTAAAAAGCCTGGTCTGTATATTGCACATTTGTCTTCATTTAGAATAAATAAGATCTTCCATTCGTTGTGGATTTCCTCAAACAGAGGGTAAAATAATAACTTTATATACTTTTTAGTTCCCCAAGATCATGGAAACAAGGAATAAATCTAACTCACTCGGGTGTGATAATTGTGATAACCTTATTGGTCTAGACCAATCTGTATTTTGGTAGCTTTCTTGGTTGGAGCGAGGCTCTGTGGGTGTAACTAGATGTCGTACCTGGGAACACAACACAACGCCTCGGCCAGGGCTTGAGCCCAGACCTCTTGATTCAGCCTGCCGACCGTTAAGCCCTTATGTCTCCCACAAGAACAAATTTCAATTGAGTGTCGAAAGTCCCCTGAAACTACTTTGGTTTTGCTTTTCTTTCTATTTTGATTGGTTCAGGAAACTCGCCACACTTTTTCAACCAATCAGATTCAAAACTAAACCCAATTGTGTCTTGATTAACCCCGTTTTCCTGTGTTTCACTGAAACAGATTTCTTATTTTTACTTTGAGTTTTTTTTTATTGGCTCCATATGTTATGTCTCTCAATTCTGATTGGCCTTTATATTTTATGTCCCTCAATTCTGATTGGTTCCATATGTTATGTCCCTCAATTCTAATTGGCCGTTCTTTTACTTGAACTTATAGTTTCTCCTCGCTTGCTTTCCCAAAAATGATCCCCGCCTGCCTACGTACTCACTTGTCTCTTTATTTGCAGGAAATTTGCTTTCCATGGGTTACGGATTTGTAGAATACAAGAAAAGATCGGACGCTTTACGTGCAATTACAGAACTCCAGGTTTGTTAGATTCATCGTGGAGTTTCTGAGAAAGGTATTACAAATGATGAAATGACGCGGCTGGCTTCGCATGCCGGGAGTTGAATCGGCAAGAAGCACGACCAAGAAACTCTCTGATCAGAAGAATTTAACCCAAGTACCTCTTATTTTCTAGGAGATAGTATTTCTTGAATCGTAATTGACACTAGTCTGAAACAACTCATTGTTTCATTTATTACATTTCCTGGTTTATCTTTGTTAATCGGAAACCTTTGGATGAATTTTTTAAAAACATTTTGTGGTGAAGTTTTCTGTGAAATAGGAGAGTAAATGTAGAAGGTTTTGTTTTAAGTTGAGCTGGAAAATTTGATTGTAACAATATTGTTTTCGTTTTTGTCAGAAATCTCTTCTGGAAGGCCATACTTTGGAGCTCAAAATGTCACACAGAAAACCAAGGTAGGTGAACTCCCACGAATGGCCAGAAAGCAATGACTCCTTAAAAAGTTGATTACATTGTGAAGAAGAAAGCTGACGAGATCAGGAAAGACTGTCGAATAAGGGATTTTTCCTGATTTAGACGCAAATTCACAGGCCTGAAGTTCTAAGGAATGAATGGCAGATAGAGTAGAGATTTTGGGTGTTAAAAGTTATCCACGAGTGGTTATCGATCTAGAGTCGTCAAACCTAACTTAGAGCAATTGCATCGGATAGACGCAACAAATGTTAACAGCCGAACGATCCAATGAGAAGCTTAAGCAAATTCACGTGACTGGCCTGAAGCCCCCTGAAAAACGGCTCTGACCGAGTCACGTGTAGTTCGGGCTGATTGGTTGTATTTGTGGCACGATAATTTTGAACGAATCTTAGCGCGAATGTCAAAACCAATGGAAGGCGAATATGAATTGTCAGAGACGATATTGAAATACAATTTGATGTAACACAGAGCAAAAGTATCTCCACAGAAAAGTTCGACGGTCATGCCTCAACTTCCATTTCGTCTGTATATTGGTATTACTATTATTATTTTTTTTTTTTCAGTGAGAAGGTAGCACAGCGTAAATCTGCTTCGACCAAGAAACAAACCAGTTCGAAAATTCTGGTGCGAAATGTTCCTTTTGAAGCGTCAAAGAAAGAAATCAAAGAACTTTTTGGGTACGTATAATGGTTTTTCTGGGTGATTAGTCGGTTACTCTGCTGAACTCTAAACTATCGACAATGTCAGGGTTCTTGCCAGCTCATCATGTTGTGGTGTTGGGTAAGGCACTGTACTCTCACAGCGACTCTCTCCACCTTGGAGAAGAAATGGACACTGGAGAACTGTCAGCGAAGCCTGACAAAATGTGAAGGGAGGGGAGGGGAGGGGGGTAAACCTGCGATCCTTTGCTCTCCTATGCCCCCCTATGCCTTCCTATGCTTCTGTGCTGTGTTTTAGCTTCGGTTTTACATGGAAGCAATAAAGCACTTTTCTCTCGGCACCTCGGCACTCGTGTCATGAGTTAATTAGTCCAGAGTTAAATAATCCAAGTGTTTATTAGGAGATTCATTAAACAATTAAGCTCCGGGTCATTCTTTTCTGAGCTGTGTATTTTGTTTTTATGATAGCACTTTTGGGGAGATAAAAACGTTGAGGCTTCCTCAGAAGCAAGCTGGAACTGGTTCTCACAGAGGATTTGCTTTTGTTGATTTTCTCACCAAACAAGATGCTAAAGTAAGTACTTGTTACGTTACCCAGTACAGAAAGTAGATATTCGCCTGTCAGTCTGTTCTTGAAGTATCTGTGGGTTTGTGCGTGTTATCCGAGGAGCACAACAAACCCCTTTGTGGTGAGAACGAGCATGATCAAGTTGATGTGTTAGCAGTGATTTCAATTTCCTGTCTGCAAACCTGATCCTGACTCAGAGATCAGTAACACGCTCTAAGAAAGACTGCAATGTTACCTTGCAGTCCTTTTTACTGTTCACAGTCGTTTGCTTTATCGAGTATGTCTCGATCGAGGGATGCTTGAAGCTTTTAGAACATGATACAAATGTCAGTATTAAAGAATCACGAAATGAAAATGAAACTGTCCGAACTTGAATTCGTGATCGCCTCTTCCTGAGCTTAAAGTTCGGGTTACACGGTTTCTGAAACATAAGTACGTTTTCTCCTCTCGTCTGATGGAGAGCATTAAGCAGAGATGGATCTGTTTTGTAGCGCGCGTTTGAGTCCCTTTGTAGCAGTACCCATTTGTATGGGCGAAGACTGGTACTGGAATGGGCCGAAGACGAAGACAGTGTGGATGCTTTGCGAAAGAGAACCGCTGAACACTTTCATGGCAGTATCCTTTGTAAATAAAGTTGGTATTTCTTCAATCAATGGATTTGTAGAGCTATACATTCAAGTGAAACAGTAACTCGATTAAGAGGAATGCATTTGTTTAGCAGCGGTTTCTAGTAAAACTATCTTGTCAGAGGGTGTTCTTTGTTTTTGTTGTTTGCTGTTCTTTTATTTCTTCCCTTAACTTTGTCTTCAGCTCCAAAAACCGCTAAGAAAAAGAAAGATATTCTGGACGATCTTCTAGACTCAGAAATGCACCAATAACTGAGCAGTATTCTGTAGCAGGCAGTCGTTACTCTACGGTTTGCTGTTGTTATCCGCCGTAATTACCAAGTTACGATCCAACGAGGGAGTAAACATACATTTTGAGCGAGGGCCTTTCTCAAGGAACGCATATTCATGTATCGCAGACAGTAACTCGCCATGAATTTGCATTTGTACCGTCGACATCCGTGGCTTTAATGAAGAATCCGCTTTTATTCTCGTCAGCTTAATACTGGAAGAGGACAAGACTTGAAAGTCACTGCAATCACCTCTCTGTGATTTGGTGAGGATAAGCATTAAAAATTCTCGACAGCTATTGAGTGAAATAATTGAAAATTGGTTTTAAGAATTTACTTATATCTACGAGAACTTGGTGGAAGTCGATGTAATCCTTTCCGCGGAAAGAAAAATTAACGGAAGGTAAATATAATGGCTTTTAATGAGACAATTGATAATTACTTCTTTCTCCTGACACCTATTTTGTGCTAGTTTGTCAGAAATAAAGCTAAAGACTAGTTAGTTGCAAGGGTAATGTGTTAAAAATGATAAAAACAGACAAATATTAAAACCAAAATGTTTGGGTTGGACAAAGAGTAGTCTGAATTGAGTTATAACACCTATGAAGGCGTCACCTCGCTGATTGAACTTACTATGCTGGTCGTGGAACCTTTCCAACTTTGACGCAATTGCTGGCATTCTCCCTCCTGAAATAGGAGGGATTCATCTGCCATTTGCAATTCGCCGAGCCTGTTTCTAGTGATCCACCCCGATAGTTATAAGGGTATCCATCTAGGATAGGCACTGACCTTTGTCTCAGACCTTCCCAGGGGCGTGAGCAGGAATTGAATTTCCTCGGTAGTAGCCCCTTTAGCGAGCATTTCACCCAACCCACTCTTTTACGATACTAATTAATTAATTTATATGAACACAATTCCTTCTTGGCCTAGTTGTGGGACGCCTCTTTTTACTCAACCGTTGGCACCTTGAGTCGAAGCTTATTATACTCCTACTTGCTCTCTGCAAGCGTCTTCAAGACATCCCATTTTAGAGATTCGTTACCAAGGGCCAAATTAACTTAAAGAGTATTTTGCGCATGCGCAATGAATGGAAACCTCATAAATGAATTGATTAGAGTAGAATTTGTGTAATACTAACGCGTTCCTGTTTCATCCAGTTCCAATTTTTTGCAGCATTTTTCATCAAAAGTCACGTTCGTACTCTTTCTTTTGTAAAAAAGTAAACATTTGTCAATGATGACCGACAGTATGTAAAATTTTCTCGTCAAATTAATGTACAAACCGTTTAGCAATATTGACCTAACAACAGCGGTGTTTTATCAGCTGGGAATTGGCGACACAACAAATTGAACGGAATCGTGTCGGAAGTGTTTTCTAGAATCAACAGTTTTGACCATGAAAACGGATTTCTTGGCTGGAAAAAAAAATCCCAGAAACCTTGACCTTCTTAGATAAGATCACTGATGTTTAGTATTTATTGATTGTTTTATGAAAAGGGAAAAAAAGCCAATTTTCCTTGCAATAAAATGGTAGAATTTTTACCCAATATTTGATAATTTCATGAAACTTCTAAATAACGTCCTCCTTTTATCAATTGTTCGAGAAGCATTTTCCTCTGACGATAAAGAAATACAATTTTCCCTTGGTTGAAAACAGTTGCAGTTGTTTCTCTCAATTAAAGGAATCACTGGAAAAGAAATTAGCCAGAAGCTATTCTGTGCGAATACGCAAACTTCTTTGAAAATAAACATTTACAATTTTTTTGCTTTGTCGAATGTTTGAAAGTTTGTAAATGGATTTTAAGCTTTTCAATATACAAATATGTTTTTTCAATTTTTGAAATAAAATGATTGGAAGTTCAGCCGTCTCAAATTGAACGATTTTGTTTTCGACTTTTTCTTGACAATCTTTTTTCTCCGTCGACGTTTTACAAGGACAAAAGGCTTTGATGAGGCTAGAGACGTACAGTCAGTTTTGGCAATCGAAAATTCTGGAGAATCATTGTTTTTATTGCAGATAAAGGTTTTAGGAGGATTTCTAAAGTCCTGGGGCTTTTAAAGTTTGTTATCAAATCACCAAGGGTCTTGGATAACAATGTCGACTGAGAAATCCAAGCAACAAGGCTGATATCTTGTTCCGTTAAACCGCCAATTCGACAGCTCAGTTTTCTTTCGACTAAGGCAAAAGCTATTTTTTTTAGCGGGTATTTAATCGTGTTCTCTGGGACGAACCAAAAAGAGAGTTAAAAATGTTATCTCTATTTGGGATTTGTTGAAAAATAGCAACAACTGTCCTTAGCTTTAAGAGATAATCTTCAAATAAGATAAATCTAAGAAGCGACATCAGCTGCTAATGGTATATTACCATCAGTGGGGCAATTCAGTACAAAACAGAAAGGCTATTCCCCCTTTTCTTTTCTACTTTTTAGCTGTTCTCAAGGTGTAAAAATTTGCCATTCTCTCATGAGAAATAAATGAGAACAGCGTTGTTAAGAACGAGCAAGAGTTGCATGTGAAAAAAAACGTTCCTGCAAACTTGTCTCTTTGCATAAGCTGCTGTTCGAGTCTTAGACATAAAGCTCATTTGGTTGTATTGCAGCAAAACTACTTGCGACTGTATTAGGTGTTTACGATCAAACTTAACCTCTTAAAGGTCGGAAAACACAATAAACCTTTCCCTATTGTTTCATCGCTTTTTTTAGCGTTAGAATATTCTTAAATGAACTTGAAGACACAAACAATATCCGATTTGTCTCGACATCAAATGATTTCTTTACATTATTTTTAAAACCGGGCAACTCTCTGAGGTGTAAAAACACTGGAGTTTTGTTTGTCTTCCTTGTTAAATCCCTCTAGTAACGGTTCAAGGTATTATTTATGACAAGACAATACCTATTGAACGTTTAACAGCTTAACTAAAAGCTATTGCGGCGTTTTTGTGATGTCGACAAAACACAACGAAAACTGAAAAGGCGTGTTTGTAGTCAAAGCATGTTGCCAAGGGTAACCTCCCTTTGTTAAACCTCAAGTTGATTTTATATTAACAAAACCAACAATTGTTCTTTTTAATTCCTTTAGCTGTCTTTGTTCCTGGCGGCAATATTTTACAATAATATTGTCTGAGAAAAATGTTCTCAAAATAGCTCAGAACGCTCAAAGTTATTCCGTTGGCTGAAATCAAAAGTTAGTACATTTTAACGTAGATTTAAAAATAATTTATACTTGAGCTGTACCGTTTGGTTCCTCGATGCCAAGTTATAGAAAAAGCTTTTTCTACAGGTTATTTTTGTAGATGCGTGGGTTTGTCAAAATGATTTGAGAGCTTTTATGACTGCCTCCAGATTCTTTTATCTCAGCTTTCACTCAGTTAGACACCTGTAAGTGAATAGATTGAATGATATAACAACTTCACTTTTATGTATTTCTGTTTTTGCGATGAAAAGTGAACTAAAGATTTCCAGTTGCATAGTTTCGTGGTTTATTATTGTCCAAAACAGAAGACGCATTTGTTTAAGTAAGGTTAAGAATAGTTGACGGCTTGTGGGGAACATGAAAACTGGCTTCGCCTGCGGGAAGATATACTGAACATTTTTTGCCAGACACAATACTATGTCAGAGCTCTTCCAATTTTGTGCGGGATATGTATGATTTTGCTTAAAAGAATATGCCTAGGTCGAAGATCTTTTAAACTCTAGTTTCGTTTACGATCAATTTATCCTATACAATTTCTTTTCCTGTCAATATCACTTTGTAGATAAAATGTAAAACATTGTTAGAGGTCAGGATGAAATTTCAGAGCTGGAAGTATTTTGCTAGGTAATTCACACTGTAATTTAGTCTCGGGCAAAATCTGCTGGGCTTGACATTTGCTTGTAATTTTTGAATCAGCTCTTTTGAAACCGTAAAACTTGGAGCAGAAATAGGGTTTTAAATAGATTATAATTCCCAGCGTTCGGACTTTTTTGCCGAGCCTAAAACGAAGAAAGCTTGAAATTACATCGTTAAGGGTTTTTTTAGTGAGGGTGATGTCGCTTAAAACTTTTAAGCATAAAAGGAAGTATTAATAACGTCCCTTGAGAGCTTTTTATTAGAGAACACTTAAACTTATTCGAGACAACCAAACAAACCGCCTCGCTTTAAGAACTTTTTAATATTTACCCTGTTCTTTTGCAATTAAAGGGAGAAAGAGTGTTTACCCGAGCTGTAATTGCCCGTCAACAGTAAAAATGAGTTTTAACGCCAACGGAAATTTCATAAATGATTCAGTAAATTCAATATTCGCTAAGAGAGCCGCGCTCGCTTATAACCTTGAGTAATTTGAATTTGCAAGGTGTTCCTTATACTTAGCTTACAAGTGCACTTTACCTCTCGATTGAACATTAGTGGGTTTTTGTTGTTAAAATGTGGTCGATGTGACTCAAATGAGACAAAAACCGGATGTCCACGTAGAAGGTCAAATCTTGCTTCAGGCACTCCTTGTTATTTATTTGCACGCGATTAAAACGAGAGAAAATAGGAAAAGGCAAAAGCCTGTTGAATTAATTTTGTCATTGGCGAGACAAATTTTCCCAACATTTTCACCTGTCTTCAAACACGGACTAAAACATTTCTGACGGTATAGATTTAATTGAAGTTAAGTGCATGCTCTCTCACGTACAGCGAGAACTGTCCATTTGCAAAGTAAATGCTATTTATACTCGTAAGAATGGAAGATTCTGCTTGGGGGCAAGCTAAATATGTACATAAATTCGTCGATGCGTTTTTGAAAAATTACAATCAATTAGAACAGAATTATTAAATTTCCTGTTCATTCACGTAGTTAAACCCACACCTTTCAAATGGTTTTACCTTTTAGAGCTAATTTTTTTTTGAGGAATTTTGTACAAGGGAGTGTGCGAAAACCTCGCTCGACGAGCGCGTTGTTTTTTCGTTGGTGCTTTGATTGAGGCGGGACTTAGTCGTCAGCAAACAAAAGCTGGCTACTACATGGCTGTGCTACGGAAATGTAGTCATCTACCTCCCGCTGATTGTGCTCAACTCAAGTGTTCTGGTTTAAAAAGCCTCGCTTGACACTCGTACATAAAACATGAGCTAACTTTGCCTTTTAAAAGATCGACCGGAGAGTGTTTTGCAAAACATTGGGTGGTCTTTTAGAAAGTTCCATGTGTTTGGCCTTTTCTGACGCCCGCCCGCCAGGGTCTTTTTAAAAGGAGTTCCGTCTTGAAGGCTTGTTTTGGCGTTCTTGTTTTGCAATCACTCGTGCAGGAAAATTCACGAATTTTTATCCGTACGAACTTACGTACCGCATTCCTGTGACTCCTAAGGTGCCCTTGATGAAAGCTTTCAAGAGGACTCCGTAATAATGATTCTGTAATAAAAACACGAAAAGACGAACTAAACAAAGGGAATTTTAACATTGCTAAGTTTTTATCAGTGCGCGAAAAAGAGATGATGAGTTCGTGACTAGCGCCTCATCGCATCTGCGCGAATTCGTTTAAACGTTGCAGGCGATACAATGAAAATTTCGTTGCTTCTCGAGCGAGTTTTTTTTAACTAGAGAAGCACTTTGGTTTGGCAGAAATTTTTTAGAGTTGTGTAAAACAGTTATACTGAAACACGGGACATTGATAAACACATGACTTACACCTGTTGACTAACAGTCTTTATTTCGTCTGAATTCAACTCACAAGTTTTTAGAACAAACAGTATGTTGCATAATAATTTCATTTTTATTATTATTATTATCTATGTCTCAGAAAAGTGATTAAATTCCTCTTTCTAACACTGTAACTATCTCGGTATGTTTTATGCTTAGTGTTTGGCATGGGATGTTAACTTTATATGTACCTCAGCATCTGAGGTCGGTCGGTTGAATTAGCTCACACTTAAATTATAAAATAGCTTTGTAAAACATTCACAATTTCATACACAAGTTCCTCAAGGGAACAATCTCTTATGTTACATTTTTTTCGTCTCTCAAATCGCTTTATATTACAACATATTTCAACTGATAACTCGTGATAAAATTTCATGTATATTTGGCCTTTTTCCTTGCAGCCTGTGTGTGTTTCTAGTTGAGTAGATAACATGGTTGTTGCTGAATGCCCCAAGGCAATAAACTGTTTTATTTACTTAATCTTTCCTAATGGCTTGGCGAACTCTCGAGCGGCATTTTTAATTGATCAAACGATAACTGGGTGTTCTGCTCGGTCTGGTTTGCCAGATTGAATAAAAATAGTACGCCACTTAGACTAGAGGTGGTTTGTTCCTTTTTGTTTTCAGCAGATTACACGGATTCCCGGTAACTCGAAGCAGACTATCAAAGAGAAAGCAAGCTTTGTTCCTATGCATTAAATAACTCTTTCTTTTTCTCTCTATACAATACATTGGCAGCTTTACAATTCGGGAATGAATCCTTTGAATCACTGATGCTTTCACCAAACCTCGGCTGTAGAAGGTATTGTGTTTTGTTGCCTTGTGGCAGAAGTGTCGTAAAGTCCACCATTCGGGCTCTGACCTACACCACAATGGTTCATTTGTATTCCCGTGCTGTTATCCAGACTGACAGAATTAACCGGAATCATTCCTTGGTTGTTAAATCCAGGATTCTGAATCATTTGAGAATTATCCATTGTCGTGGGAACTTCACTCGCTAACCCAGCATCACCCTTCATGTAAAACTCATCAAAGGCCGTCGCCGGAAAGTGTGCACTTTGAGAAGCTAAACGTAGGAAAGAAATAAATAAAACGTGAGAAAAGTCAAACAAATAAGCTTATCCTGTGATAAAACCAAACCTTAAATTCGCATTAAAAACGCCTTATCTGTAGAATGAAACACGGAATACCTCACAAAGTTCTCTTAATCTACATTTCTGTTGAATTATATTTAAAAACAAACTCATTGTGGTTTTGAAGAGATAGCACGAGCCAAACCAAAGTGGGCTTAAACTCAGGATTCCTTTTCCATTAGATGAGAAAAGAAGGCGGCATTTTATCGGATATGCTTTAATATTGTGCCTCTTCAACCGCCTTAAAAGCCACTTAACGTGTACAAAGATATTTTTTCAAAAAAAAGCGAACCTTACAACACTCCAAAATATGCAGATATGAATGTATATTTTGACGTATTTGTCAAATATTAAAACAATATAGAAACCAGAATTTTCCCAATTTTAATGCGAGCTTTTATATTGAGACGTAACGATATTTGACGGAGAATATTCCACTGATATCGGTTCTCGTGATTATTGTGGAAAAGAAAAAGTGAACGAAACATCACAGGAAAATTATAGCATATACGTAAAATGAATTCATACTAAAGTCGCTTTGGTGGTAAAAAGTCAAATGTCGATATTCATCGGTGAATTATAAAGTCCTTCCTTAATTTCCTTTGGTTTTCATCCATAAAAATTTCCTTTTTTATCCGATAGGTATTCCAAAATTCTGTCTTCTCCAACACCGACATTACTTTTTGTCTTGGATAATTTATACTCGCGAATCTATCGAGTAATATTCAGCTCAGTCCAGACAGTCGGATTTCAGTTTTGGGATCGTTGTTGAAATTTAATGGTCTGACCTCCACTTGAGTCGAATTATTAACAAAACAAGCGCTACCTCGCTGCCCTTAGAAAATTTTCGTTAAAGTATGGTTTGAAAAATCTGTTCTCGCTCCCGCAGAAAAACGAATTAAAATTGTCCCCTAGAGATTTCGTTTGATTGGAAAGATGGGGCTTTTTGATGGGAATATCTTTTGACTTCCAAAAGCTTAATGCCAAACCATCTGAATTATTAAAGAATGGAAGGTTTTAACAGTGGGGAGTTTGTTTTACAAGTAACCCGAAATCTTTAGAAAATCATCGTACAGCGCAAATTTTCGCGAATTGTGAAAGGCCCAATTCATATGAAACACCATACGAAGGCTTGTGAAATCTTGTAATGCCTCAACTGAGTTAGTACATACAAAATCAGTTTTAGAAAGAAGGGATGCACAATTTTTTTTTCAGTAGATCCCTTATCACTAAACAAAACTTGAGATAAATAACATTTCCATTTCGCCATTTCCTGCCAACTTGCGTTGGATGTGAGGCTTTCCATGTTGCATGTTGAACGCTATTTTTAGCTGAGCGCATTTTGTGTCAAAGCTTCGTTGTTTCTGCACGAAATTTGTTGCTGCAGCTGTCGGTTCTCATAAATGTGCTAAAAATGTAAGACAGGCAAAATGGTTGAATAATACCTTTTAGAACAATGGGAGGTTGATATGCTGGTTTCGAGTTATTCAAATTCGTGATTTTTAGTATCTTTTGATCACTTGCCAAAATTTGAGGAAACATTTTTTAGTTTCAGTTGTACGACGCTCGGTTAATGGTTTGCCCCTGAGTTATCTGCAACAATGACTAAGCAATCAGGAAGCTTTCTTGGGGACACGATCTTGGAGCGCTGATTAAAACGTTCTTGAGAAATTTCTCCATCGCTAAGGGCAACTGAGCAAGTTTTTTCACATCAGTTCACAAGGGTAGATTGTCATGTGATCTTTAGCTGGTTATCAGGTTGAAGAGGTTTCGAGTGCTTTCTAAATACAAACTCGAGAGCGCTATCCATTTAAATTTCAGCGATATTTTCCGCCACGTCGCCTGTCAGGTGAAAGCGTACCGTGTCCAAAACACGATCAAACGTGTAGTGCAATATAGGAACCGCAAGATTATTTTTCTTTCCTGAAAGAAAACTGCAACACGGAAGAAGAGTAAACATAGTTAGTTCCAAGCCTACCTGCGTAATTTATATGTGATGTGGTGATTGACTGTTCGTTGTTTGGGGCAGGTTCGTTTCCAAGGTTTTCACCTCTAGATCTTCTTGATCGCCGGCCTGATCGTACAGCGCGCGTCGCGTTTGGTTGCGCGACTCCTTGCTGCTTGAGCCTTCTCTCTTTCGATCGTCGATTTTGAAACCAGACTTGAATGACTCGCATGTTTAAACCCGTCTCTTGCGCAAGTTTTTCGCGGATGTTCCGCGATGGTTTCGGAGTTGCGGCAAAGGTTGCTTTGAGTGCCTCTAGCTGCTTAGCTTTGATAGTCGTTCGCGGACCGCGGCGTTTGGTGCCTAGCGCCACATCTAGGTCTTCGTCTAAACCGTAACTTAAATCTTTCTCTTCGGAATCCGAGTCTGTGGATGATACAACACAACGTACACATGCACACAAAAATTAGATCTATTAAGATTAAATAACCGTTTGTATATTAATAAACAAACCAATTCCCTTTGCACTCACCGGATTGCTTCGACTGGAAGTGTGATTGGTAGTAGTCCTCTTTACAAACGAATTTACTTTCTCCGACATAATACAATTCATCACCGGTCAAAATTTGCCGGTTACAGCTGGAACAATTGAAACATTTCACGTGAAAGACCAAGTGTTTAGCTCTGCGGACCATGTCGTTCGGCGAGATCCCTAGACAACATCCAGCGCATTTTGTCCCGTAGCGCCTAAAGATTTGAAAGTAAGAACAGGGTAGTTAGACCGTTCAATTCACTATGATCGAATTAATCGTCTGGCTGCTTACCACAGAGCTCGCGAAAACTAAAGCTCAGCTGCCGGACGTGAAATTTCGACCGATTGTGAGCAACGTACCTGTAAAAATCATTCTTACAAAACAGCTTTCCTTCACGGGAAAAGCATTTATTTGTGAGTGCACATTTGCAGTCGTAGCAATGGACACACTGTACATGCCAGACACGATCCAGAACCTTCAAAAGGAATTTATCCGAGATGGGCAGTTCACATCCCGCGCACTGTTGAACCATGTTGCAGATCTGTGCCTTCATCAAGCCAAGAAGAGTCAGTCGCTTCTTTCGTTTCCTCTTCTTGTCCGGGTGTATGTACGTTTATGTAAAGTGCGGTGCTGTGTGCGTGAAATTTATGCAAGTAACTCTTCTACGTGCCCGGTGGGTGGTGCTTTGCACTGTACCAGCTGCTTAACGGGACGGTAAAAAGCGATGCAAGAGGGAGTATTGCGGATTTTCTAAAAACCGACGCTGAAGTTTATTCCGCGGTCAAAATTTGCATAAAGTTTGGCACACGGAATTGTAAAGTGGACGGATGAAAGCGCGCGGCATAGAACCACTTAGGCCGCCATGCTAGATGTCAATTAGCTTGTTGAAAGACAACACATTTACGCGCTCTCCTTTTGATATAATTTGACTCCGCCTGTCAAAAGGAATTGACAGTTCAAATTTGACAGCACTCTGACAAAAGCCAATGACATTGAGAGCCTTTGTGGGCGCGAGCCAAACTTTCAACACACCATTGTTTGACTAGGATTATGTAAACTCGAAAAAATCGCACAATTTGAACATCTTTTGTCTGGCTATTGTTCCCTTTGACTGCTATCATGAGCTCAAAAGCGCCTCCTAGTCTCCGAACGATTCAACCACGAACGTATCGTCGCTGAACTGAACAACCCGTGAACGGTGACATTGAAAAGGAAGTCGTGGCATCCTTGAAATACCGCAGTGCGCTTAAATATTGGATTTCAGATGTTTCCGACGGCCAAAACATTTTTTACGTCGAATTCGATCAGTATCACGGCTATCAGTAAAGCAGGCGGCTGTAAGACTCCGATCGAAACGGAAAAGCTTTTGTTGCCGAGATTTACTTTATCTCGTGATAAACCTTATGTTGTTGTCACTAAAACATGTCAAAACACTCCCATTTGCAAGTGTTTATTTACATACGGATTTTCAAAACAAAGGCCCTACAGTTAGCGCATGTTAATGAGAATTTTGTATTCTCCTGCACTTAGTGGCATGTTCTAGACAAACGTAGAACATAACGCCGCAATCACAGTGAAAAGCCGGTGCAAAGAAAAATTCACTTTCTTCTGCCATCTGCCTCTAAGAGGCTCTCCAAGCGCGAAAATGGGCAACCACAGATTTTGATCATTCGAATTGGCTCCTTACTGTCGGACACAAACCCGCATAACACAGCGATTTACTAACGTGTCGGTTCAGATTTTGGCAAAAGGCATTCTCCGCAACAGTTTAATTTCCAAAAGTGAATTATTCAACAAAACCGACAGAAGTTTCTATTTTCGTCGATATTCTGATGACAAAACCTCGAATGTTAATGAAAATTTGTCTGAAGCTCTTCCTTCGCAAAAAGACGCGAAAAACGCTAAAATTATATTAACAACCCCCATGTTAATCGTTTTAGTTTAAAGGATTTCTTAATCTGGGAAATAGATTTTGCCGATTCAGAATCTTAAATCGTTTTTCAGCGAGAAAACCTTCCTCTAATGATAAAGGCCTTACACTTCTTGGACGCATTTCAAACGAATACTTGTGTTTTTGTGTCAGTTTTTAAGCCGTGTTAAACCTCTCTCTGCCAGCTTTGGTTGAACATGCTAATTTGTCAAATCACCTGTTTCAGATCAACACCTGCTTCTGCAACCGCGTTCAACAAAGAACGCGGGCGATGAACTTGTTCAAAGAACATAAGTTCCCCTCAAATTTAAGTTAGTAATTTATTTCTTTAGCTGCAAAGCAGATTGCCTTTGTCTGACCCCAATAAAGTATTCTTCAAAGTATTCGTGTAGAGACTTATCTCCGAGAAGATCCCGCGCTTCGGTGGAAGCGTTTCTTTGGCCGCGGGAAAGAACGAGGCTGCAATGCAAGACGGTGAGAGCTCTGCAAGGGGTCTGGCATTGGTAATGAGGCTGGGGCCTTCTCGCAGGTTATGTAGCGACTCATCGGATTAATGCCTCGATTAGTATTGTATACATTATTTCCAAGAAATTTATAGTCAAGAGGCTCAGTAAATTATTTCTTTAATTATTTAGCAAATTGCTTTTAATTAAAAGAGAACTTAAGGTAACGATTTGTGGAAGAAGTCAAATACCAAAAATATCTGAATGAACCTTGAGGAAATAAGTATGGAAAGGGATGAAGTACTTAAAACGGATTGGAGATGAATAGCTCGAAAGAGTCAGTTTTTATGACTCGCCAACTTTATTTTGCACACCTTGCGTGCCTATGTAAGTTTCTCACAGCCTCCATGGCATGTAAAAGCCAGACTGATTCAACATTGGAACATGAAGAACTTTCTCATGTTGATGTAAAAAGATTTTGTATTTCCTTCATTCCTAGTTAAGCTATTTTACAACAATAAAAATATGGAGAAGTGGAGAGAAAATTTGACAGATTATCCCTGAAAAGCTTTTTAAGAAAGCGATTGCGTGCTGAAAAGAAAAGCGTCTCCGCTTTACGTGACGAACCAGGCGCTTGTCAATGTACAGTCACGAATTTAGTTATGGTAAACCTCGTTCGCCCTGCATGAATTCTGGCGCCTACTGTCACCCTCGAAACGAAGTCGCTTCTAATCGTGCAGCGACATGTACGCGCCATTCACATTTGCCACTCACACGAGGATCTTTCAAGTCGAGAAAGGCGAATACCGCTGCCCCTTCCCCCTTCTCTACCCCGGCTTGCTCTGAGGTGTCCACAGAGTCAACGCCAACATCAAACAACCTTTTCTTCGGTGTTTTCTAACTTTTGCTGTTCTCTGAGCAATTAAAAACTGCATGCAATTCTACAATTTTCATTTTCCTTTATGGCCGGGCAATGCCGGGTCGTGTAAACTGACTTAATCTAACTTCCAACTCACCCTTAGTTTCCCACATCCATTGAAGAGAAGAACTGCTCTGCTGAAACTTAAGTTGTTCAAATTCCTTCAGTTCGCTTTTTATTTAAGAGGAGTAATGTCAATACACCGTTACACTTTTTCAATCTACTCCGAAACCAAATAATCGACAACCGAAGATCATTATTTTTGTTTGTTTTGACTGTTTTGTTTTGCCTTTTTTTTTTCGTTATGTCGTTATTTCTCAAAAAAAAAAAAATGGGAGTCAGCAATGGCCGGGACTTCATGCCAGATTTCCACATGCTTGGCCTCAGCATTTTTTCTCCTGCGCGGACCCATTTGTGATGCGATTTTCGGATCAATGTCCGTCAGCAACTGCGCACATACCCCTCCCATAGCTCATCAACGGTCATTTCAATCTAAGATAGGTTTACCACTACGGTTGGTCTAGGGGAGGGGTAGGCGCGCAGTTGGTCAGATACTAACATAGATCCAGATTTTCATGCTTTCCTCTCTACAACTAAGCAATGGGTTCACTATCAGGGCGAGGTTTTATCGAGTCGTTTTCGATTGGATTCACGTTAATTTTGTGCAGGTCAGTTACTGCTCAAACACTTTTGGTCTTGAAATCATTTCAACCCACGTCGATTTCGAGCATCATTTAAAACGAGTTTGCGTTGAAGGTGACCTTGTGCACGCTCGATGACAAAGGAGCAAGCCACGATGGCGCTGACATTCAAGATTATCTGAACCCATAACCACCTTATCAAGAGCTTCAACCTGAGATTTTATTACAATCGTTTTTTGATTGCGATAAAATATGGCGGTTCCGGAATTCATTAGTCTGGGGGCGATAAAGATCCAGTCGGCAGACATTCCATTAGACGGCGATGATTGACGAGATAAAGCTTTGCTTTGAACTTGGAGTAATAACACTTGACATGATTAGAAGGAATGCGATGTTAAAATGCACTTAAGATCAGTTTTATAAGATGCTCTTGAAAATATTAAATGTTTCTCAACCATCTACGGATACAAGATTACTGGCGCGCGACTTAAAGCTGAGTCACGCGTTAAGTTCGGGTGGAAGGGAGGGATCATTCTGTAAAGCTTTGTACGGGGAGTCGTCGTCCATAGTCCCATACCTGCCAGCGGTTTTAAACGGCTAGAGGTTAACGTAAAATAAAATATTTTTTGGCCAAGGTGGCCCATTCTGCCATTTACCCTTTACTGGTCATTTCCTTATAAATTTGAGCCCGTGGTTCCTATATCAGTCTGGTCAGTTGTGAATGAGAGTCAAGACACTCATTCTTTCTGAGCTCTTCCTGGAAAGAAGAGACGCATTGGAAACTAGTTTTGATCCTGATCCCTTTCAGGACAACAGTCAAGCTGACTGAGCACTGTCCAAGAATGTTTTAAGTCTACAACACATCAAAAAGAAGCATTTACTTCATCAAAGAATTCTTGCAAAATCAAAACTCCGTTTATGTAAGAAAGTCTCGGTTTTCGGAGCTACCTGCAAACAAAAGAAAAGGTGCATTGCAGTAAAGATGTATCGTGCCACATGTTCAGATGACAGAAATTCGTCGGTGTTTCCACAAGGACACTGAACTGTGACTGGTTCTCCAATTGGAAATCACCACGCCTATAGTGAGGTAGAAGATAGGTTTTTCAGGTTGACTGTGGGAAGATGGTAGGAATAAGCCTCTGGTAGCGAAACATCACGCTCTGAATCAGCATTATAGTACAATTCTTAAGGACGGAGCCTTTTGTAGAGACAGTCAAAGTCTGTGCCAAACTCTTGGTATTTGGAGGAGGTCTAGGAAGGAGTGACGAGAGGGGCAAGGAGGCGAGTGTAACCTCCTTACAAGGGTCCTCTTTCTTAGTAAATCCCTCTCCTTATTCCCCTCTGTTTTTTTTTCTCGTGCTCGCTCCCGGACTAAAACATCCACAGGTGTAAACAATCTTTAGAATGTCTCCATCAGCAAAGTAGATTCATGTTGGACTTATGACACAATTTGGAATAAAGGTAGCTTCGGTAACTCAGATGGTTCAAAAGGAAAATTTTTCGCCGTCATTCAACCGGACCTGAGCAAATTGAAGTCAAAGAAACACTCTTGCACTGAGGAGAACGATACTTTGTATGTAGTCTTTAACACATTGACTCTTCACTGATTCGTACTGACTCAAAGAGGAGTTTTTTAAGAATTGCTTTGCAAGAGTTATGTAATCGCTACCAAAAGGGGGCTGCAAATCGTCAGCAGTTAAATCTCTCTGAGATAAAATGTTCTTAGTTTTGCAACTTTAACTACGGGACAGTGTCCAAAGAAGAAAATGCAAGTTCTGTCAGAAGCCCTACATCTCTATACTGTCGTATGGCACGCTCAGTTTAATATTGTAGTTGTACCCACTGGTGTCGTCATAATTTGAAGAGCAAATCTCCGGGATTCCCTCTGTGGCATTGCTCGCCGAGAAGTCAAACGTGCGAATGACTCCTCGATGACGTCGATGAAGAATCAAATCATCTGCATACCAAAGATTATCACGTGGTGTTCTATCCAATGGAATGTTCGCCGTGATCATCCGGGGACCTTGAAATTTACAGAGTCTCACAGGGTGACGCGCATGAGTCGTCCATAAAGTTGACGTCATCCGCTGGTCCCAGACCACCAACGTTCCATCCTCTGCACCGCTGACCACTTTCCAATCGTCCATTTGCACCGCAGTTACAGCTCTTTTGTGTCCCAAGTGAAATGAAAGCGCCATCTTTTCACTGCGCAGGTCAAACACGCGTACCCTGCAATCGTAGCTGCCTGTCACGAGACGATGTGGAGGGCAATTGGCTAGATCAAGACAAGTGATCTCGCGATAGTGAGATCCCAATATGGAAATCATTTTCGAGGTTTCCAGACTATAAAGGCGCACCTAAAAATTACAGAAAAATAAATTAAAGTCGGTTTGCTGACAACATCGTGACAAAATACACACGCACAGAACCTTCTTTTGTTTTTTTCAACACAAAATTCTTATTGATTGTGAAAGTCTGGCGGTCAGATGTTCAGGCTGAGATGGGCCACAACTGGACCAGGCAAAAAAAAGCTAGTTAAGAACTGGACAAAACAGAGAAGGAAAAGCTTTGATGGTCTATGCTCCTGGAAGAGCTGAGGGTATAACTAACTAACTAACTTATTCTGAGTTTCAGGTGACACTGTTACTAAACTTGAGGTACACAATAAGAAATAAAAACAATTTTTTTCTTTCACAAATTTCACAGTCACTAGGAGGGAAATTTGATAATTCAAAAGGCTGCACTCTCTGTTCATGAGGTAGACCATCACCAAAGGTGTATGCCAAACTTACAAATTCATAAAACTGTAGCCGCAAACAATTGCTATCTTAAAATGGGAATTGTTAACAATTTTATACCCAAGCTAATTGTGTTGTTGTCCAAGGTTTTGAACATTTTGAAGGATTTCAACTTATTGTTAGTTTTTTTAGCTCTTTTTCTCCTTTTTGTGCTTGTAATAAACAACTCTTTGATTTGGTTTTGCCTTAGTAATTACTATCCATGAACCACTTTGGTAGGCTTTGCCCATTTGCTTACAAGTAAGCTACATTGTGATCTAGATAAACCAACAAAATTACTTTGTTTCCGAGGGTTCCATATCCATATGAACCCACACCAATTGCAAGCTGATCTGGAGTACAGTCCATGCAAGTTAACTTTCCACCAATCACATGATCCATTGTTGATAGAAGACCTTTGCCAGGTGCCAGGATTGACACAGTATCTTGAGTTGCTATGGCAACATGTTCAGGTAATGAGTGTGAAGCAGAGTTTGGGATAAACATGGCGTTGCCAATCTGTGTAAGAAATTATAAAAGTCATCTGAGTTGAGTATCTCTCCATACAAGATACTTTCAGTACTGGGGAAAGTTTTAATAGTTTTGAGGTTGTTTTACCTTGTCCTCATAATTCCTTGATTCTACACATGACCACTGTCCATTGACATCACTGGTATGTACCTTGAGTACATGATCTGACAGGGCTACAAATGCTAGTGGACCACTTGTGGCCAATGAAACACCCTTAACAGATTCGTGACAGTGAAAATGGTACAGCGGTGAGGAACTCAAGTTATGGGACCATACACAAACATCACCTACGAGTTCAAAGTGTCAGTAATTTAGTACTGTGGGAAACAGTACCAGTATTTAATTCAGTTGTTTGATAGAAATTAGCTGAGTGTTGTATAGTTGCAAATCTTTCCTTGTCATGAAATATTATGTACTCATAAATTCCAAGGGGGCCCCCCTCTCCCCCCAACCTGGGCAACCCAGAGGCATTTGGCTGTGATCCACACCCAGGGATGGAGAATTTGAACTTTGCCTATGTGGGGTAGGGAATTTGAACCTGAAATGACAAATCTTTCCAGCATAACACACATTTTATCTTTTACTATAGAGGTGATTAAAGGTAAAGAATTTGCTTTGGCTTCAAATTGATGGACACATTCGCTTTGAGTACAAGTCCTTTTGGGTGACATCAAAGGTAATACAGAAACAGATGAACAAATTTGCTAAGGGAGGAAGAGCTGTCCTTCATTCAACCTAATTACAAGTAATGAATGAGCGATAATGGCAATGAATGAATGAATGAATGAATGGTAATGAATGAGAACTGAAAAAATTAGTACATGTAACTCAAAGATACTGACTCAATACAACACAAAATTCTCTTAAGATGTGATACCATTGTAAAACCCAGCTACACACAACTTCTGGTTGATGGTAGTTGATGTGACATGCACTCTCTGTCTTTGTGAATTCACTGAATCGGATGAGATCAGTTCTCTGTAACTTGACACATTTTCAGCATCTCCTTCCCATACAACGACTGCACCACTTGAGTATCCTGAACAAATGAAATTTCCATGGACAGAAACAGCACAGAGACCTCCACCTGTGGGGATAAAAACCATCAAGGATGAGGATTGGTTGGTTAGAAATGATTCTGAATTACAGCATAATATCTGGTAAGCAGTTTTCTGGTGGACTAAGAAAATGCTTGCTTATGATAAGTGTCTACTTATGAAACTATAAAGATGCCAGGATCTTGAGTGAATGAGGCTGAAATATGATGTCCACCAGAAAGAACTGCCTGCATGTATGACATGTCCACTTGTGGAAGTTTTGTTGTGTAATTATAATTTTGAGTCCTGGTAATATCATCTGTTAATATACATGTGATTGTTGTGCACTGCTAGTCTAATAATAGAGATAGGGTTTGTAGAATGACCAAAACCAAAAACAGATGGTTAATTTTCTTGCTAAATGGAATAGATTTTAGTTATAGGACAATTCCAGAGTGCACAGCCAATTCTCTTGATTTATGTTGACAATATTGCATAACTAAAGAATGGAGCTACAATCAGCATCAAAATTAGTTGACATGTTGTGTTTGAAGAGTTTTATTTATAGGTGGAATAACACACCTGTTTCTACCACACTCAAAATCATTAACAAGACCCCCTTCCCCATTAAATGTTGGCTAAAAGTTCATGGAATTATGATAGGACATTGTTTTGTGTCAAAGGAGGCCAAAGGGATAACTTATCAAGGGCAAAAGAGAAAGACTGAAGTAAAAGGGGGTTGAAAAGATCAATGTGTCAACAGTTTTGTGGCTGATTGGATATTTTTGCATTCATTTCTTCATAAAAAGTTTGGCCACCATCTTGGTTTTTTTAAGATGAGGAAGTTTAAGGAGGGAAAAAATATCTAATAAGGGGGGTGGGATAGTGGGCCAGAGAAAAGTGGGGGGGGGGGGAGAGAGAGGGGGTAGGTACAAGCTGAAATATTTTATTCCTCTTTACCTACCCCATCTCCTATCCACACATTCCTGGCAAGAGAGAAATGTTGATGAGGAAGGGGGACAAGAAAGATGATTCCTTCACTCTGTCCACTGCAATGAAGAGGAAAAAGGGAGAAGAGAAGGGAAAATAAAACAATTTGTTCTTTTCTCATCCTTCTTGTCTTGTTCAAATTTGGACAAAAGGAATAAGGGGGAGGGGGAATGAAGAGGAAAAACATTTTCATCTATCCCTGTCCCACCCCTCCCCTCCCCTCCCCTCTCCATCCACTTTGATCCCACCCAAATCAAACATTGAATCCTAGCACTAACTAACTCTCCCTAAAAGATGGGAGACAAGAAAAAGAGTTTTACTCTTTCCAAGAAAGAAAGCTATTCATCAGCAAACCTCTCTCAAATTCCAAACTGGACAATCTGCATATTCTTTCCTTCCAGTTCCTTCTCAATTCTCTTTCCTCTAAAATGCTATCTCGTACAAAACTTTTCCAGTTTTCTCTGTCTATAGTGGAAGAGTGTCTCTTTTGAACATAACCTAGTTTACAACCTACATGGTACCATATCAGTTCATCCTCTGCCAGAATTTTCCAGGCCTTGCTAACCTGAGCGCAAGCACAAAGGTCTTTGATTCCCAAGTCAGTGAAAATCTGTAATCCCACTTCTTTGGGTAAGCTCAAATCAAAGAAAGGAATACTTGTAATTTCATCAATGTCTTCTATCAGTTGATCTAGAAGACTCTTCTTTCTTTTATCAAGTTTTTCAGAGAACAATTTTTGTTGTACTTTTGAGTCACTCGGTGTGTCATTGTTAACCTCTCCAGTTTGAGGTTGCGGTAAATTCAAAAGAACAATATCATCATTTACATTGACAGATGATTTTTCTTCTGTCGTCTTAGGAAATTTTACAGAGCACGATTTATCCGTGGAGCATCCTACAGGATGAAAATGACGTACTTCCTCTTTGAAATCAACAAACGCTCTCTCAATGTCGCCTTGTTTGAAATTTTGACATTTTTCCAGATTCCCCTTGTGAACTTGTATATCTTGTTTTGTTTTGCTGAGTTCTTGCATCCATTCGCGACGGAAACATTTCAACTCCTCATTATCTCCTGCTGAATACATTTGAAAATAAATTCCTGTTTTTCAAAATCTCTTCAAATTGTAATTTCCGGAGAAATTCTTTGTCGCTAAACAGAAGAATTCGCAGGGCCCATATTGGTTTTCTAGAAAACCGCTGATCGAAATTAGGAATTTGCGCATGCTCAGTACAATCGGCTTGGGTATTCTTCAAAAAATAATTCATGGATCAGGGCCGAGAAAAGGGAACGAAGAAAATGTCCCGTTCTCGGCCTTGCAAGAAGTTTTCTTCTCAACAAATTCCACTGCTATGTGCAGCATTGCTCCTCATTGGAACCTCAACTATGTTCTTCGTGTTCGTGTAAGAATTGAAGGTTTCTGAGTTCGTGTTTCGAGTGCTTTTGCTATGATCATGCCCACGCGAAGCGCCCAGCCTTGGAGGATTTCAGTTGATGACAAGTTTTATTTATTCCTTTTTAGCTGCCCCCATTTGGCAAATGAATATTCCATTGCTATCCCTGTCTACGATGGAATCCTTACTTTGATAGTTTTGGCCAGTTTCGCCAATGCTTCACTAAGAGACCCTGGCGTAATTCCCAGAGGTAAGTTTGCTGTAAATAGTGAATTTTTAACTTAACTTACAATCAGGAGCCTCTCAAGACGGCCACGGTAGAACGTTATAATTATTGTTTATTTACCCTTGCTTGTGAACGGCTCTTTTTCATAGCGTTATTTATAATAAAGGTTGAAACTCAACTATAACCGATTTTAGAGTAAATTTCCGAAAGACGGGAAAAATAAACGCTCCCTGCAGCTGCTTTCTACAATGTATGTTATTTCCCGTTCCTTCGTTTTATAGACGGAGAAAGGCTTGACACAATTGTCTAGAAAAGCCTAACGTTATTTTAAATGATTAAGAAAAACAGTGGACGCAATTTCTTGGAAACCTCAATATTGAGACGAAAAAACACGTTAACGTTACCGACAAGCGCAACGCACATACGCCATGGCCTTTTAAAGTTTTAACCATTTAATCTCGCTTAGTTATTTATTGCTAAATTCTCATGTTATTGTTAGAACAAACTCAATTAAGCAGGTCACACGAACAAGAAATGTGATACTTCGATGAATTCGAATTCCTCCCAAATAGACATCTGCTGCAAGGAAGTGAAATGTTATACTGAATCATTTATAAAGACGAAAATTTACTTTTATTTTGGAATAATGACATGTATCAACGGATCATGCTATATCTCTGGACTGAGACAGATATTGATACTTAAAACATTGTGTTATATTGTTTACAGATTTAGTGTCAGACATGATGTAATTGTTTTAACTACCAAAAAAAATACTTAAAAATAAATTAAAAACTCATGATAGTACTTTTTAAAGACATGTTTGGGCATGACTCATGCAGTCATCAGTTAATAATTTTGTATCCATTTACTTTGTGTATATTTTCAATATACCTGTCTGTTTATGGTTTTTTCTTCATGATTGTGTAATGAAAGTTTTTTTTTTTCCTCAACATGAAATTTATGGCATTGAAATTTGCTGCTCCTAGGTAATTAAGCAAACAATCTTTTGCTCTGATATGCAAGCACTATTAAGTGAATATAGGTGTCTTTCTATAAGTGAGTGAATAGTTAAGTCATATAGACTTGTTTCAATAAAATCTGTGACCAAAAAGAAAGACAGTTGTAAGGTTTTTTATTTATTGATTGATTTATTTGCCACACTACAATAAAAATTTCTAAGGAAGCATGATAAGCTAAGATGTAACGTAAGGAAACCTATATGAAACCGCAAGAGTTATATGATGTTACATTTCCCCTGAAAAGAACAAAAATTTGCATTGATATGGAACATCAAACAAGATGTAGAGGTGTGAAGCCAGATTCAGATCAAGGGGAAAAGAATAAAAAAAAAAAAGGAAGAAGTAAATAATTATTGATTGAGAATTTTGCTGTATATTATCAAAAGGATACTAGAATTGAAGTGTTTATAATTTTGCAACTTAGGGTACTGAAATACTTGGGACCTTAAAAGGAAACAGAAAACTGTGTTATCTTTTTCCTTGAAAGGTTAAGGGTAAAACTAATAAAATTTTTGTTGCAATAAATAATTAGGTTAACTACTGGTGTAGCATATCTGTAGCCTACATGTGATATTTGCTTTGCAGAAGAAACATCAACTTCTGAGCAAGAGGATGACTTCAGAGCTCCTCTATACAAGAATGTTGATATCAATGGCATTACAGTTCGCATGAAATGGTGTGATACCTGCAAGTTTTACAGACCACCACGATGTTCACATTGTAGCATTTGTAACAATTGTATTGAGGTAAGGGTTTATTATCATCAACATTACTACTACTATTATCTCTACCAGTCTATGCAACAAGCTTTCATGAAATTACTCGCTCAACTTCAAGTTTGAACTGTTAAAAGCACCACAGTTTTGTTGTAGCTAATACTGAAAGGAGGAAAGTGAAATCTAGTTGTGTATTGAGCAGAAATGTTTCAACAACATTGCTGGTGGAGTTAGTCATTCTCCAAAAGTTGTTATATTATCTTCACTTTGGTTAACCTTTTACTTCCATGAGTGACCAAAACAGAATTTCTCTCCACAATATCAATACAATATCAAGCAGGCAAGTGATAAGAATAAAACAAGATATCAATTAGAGGATTGTTAGTTGATCCAATAAATATCACAAGCACTGTATACCATCCAGCAAGGAGAATTACTAATGAGATCTTGAGAGTGTTAGGGTTAAAGAATAATTTCCAGTGACCTTGTTCCAGGTCTGGCAACAATTCCAGTGAAATACTTTATTGATAAGACATATTTTCCTTTTTCTCTTTGCAGAATTTTGATCATCATTGTCCTTGGGTAGATAACTGCATTGGCAGAAGAAATTATAGATATTTCTTTTTCTTTGTGTTTTCTCTGTCTGTTCACATTATATCTGTATTTGCCTTCTCTTTGATATTTATTCTTGAGAAAAAGGATGAATTGAGGGAAGCAGCAGTGGCGTATCCTTACCTTGATATAAAATTCTTACTGATATCTTTTACGTCAATGGAGGCATGCACAACACATTTACAGTGTATGTTTCGAACAAAATTTGGCTGCTCTTTATTCCTGTGGCTTTCTCTCAAGGACCAGGTACTGTCAATTGTAATTCTTTCTTTTTGACTGACATACAGACTTTAAATTGTCAAGTGTGAAACTTAAGACCTGGTCAGGTCAATATAACCAGGCATTAACTTTCATGTTTTAATCAGTCATCTTGGAGATTTGATTTGTCAATTAAATATAGGAAGATTGATCATTCCTGGGTATCAAATGAGAAATACAAAAATGTTTTGTGTATTGATATACATGTATACTTAGCCGAGGAAATGCTTTAAAGGAAATGTTATCAACAATAAATGATACAGCACACAGTACTCGGGGAGAAAAAAGTAACAAAATGTCTGTAAGTCTTATGGCCAGCGCAATGGCATAGGATGAGAGTGATGAAGCAAAGGGATACACAGGGGAAGGGATATGGAAGGAAAACTTCAGATAAAAAGAAATTTAGTAGGCCTGCTACACTGAAGGCAGGTCACAATTTTGACAGAGATGATTAAAAATTCATTCCTATGAGATTTTTTTTTTTTTTGAGAATTGTTTTAATTTCTTTACATTTCACTTGAATGAGGAGGTTATTCACTTATTAGCAGTGTTTTAACCTTTTTTCTGTAATTGTATAAATCAGTTAAGTTAACCAATAATTACATAAAATCAACATTTTGCTGTGTTCAAATCATCCCTATGTTTGTGGGTGTCGTGTATGTTTGCCACCTTAACTTCTGACACAGAATAGCTATTATGGTGGTGTGTGGTCTGACGTCTATTCCAGTGATTGGATTAACTGTGTTCCACATTGGACTGGTGGCCATGGGACGCACAACTAATGAACAGGTGATAACTAAGGCAATTTAAAGAGTCTAATGATGTATTAACATGTATAAACAAGTAATGACATTTTACATTAATTTTTTCTTATTATTTCTAATGATTTATTGAGCATCAAATTTGAGGATTATTTCTGATTTCATCAATAGAGGCATGAACCATGTGATTTTCTTTAAATATCCTGAATCTACAATCACACTCAAAATTATGGGTTTTTGTCATCAGAATGGAAAGGTTTGAAGCATATATATTTTGGATAAAGTTCACAATTTTCTAAATATTTCAATAGAACCCCATTTGGAATTCATACTGTTGTTTTGTTTAAAAAGTTAAATTTAGATGCTGAAAGTACTTGAAAAAAGTTACAACCAACCCACTAGAAATGTTACAAAATTAGGTTTTAATCAAGGCCATTTCTTCCCCAGGAGCAGTAACATGGGCAAAGTCCAGATAACTTAGTAAATAGCAGTGGCTGTTTTTCAAACAAACTATTCATTTATAATTTATTTCATAAGAAATTGAAGTAACCTCCAATTGTCTATTACATCTTTTCCAAGGTGACGGGAAAGTTCCGCAGTGGTCATAATCCTTTTGATAAAGGCTGTAAGAACAACTGCTTGGTGACACTTTGTTCTTCTCAATATGCAAAGTAAGGAGTTTTGGGTTCAATTTTTCATAAGCATACTGATCTCCATACTGAGGAGCTTTTATATTTTCTTAAGTCAATGATGTGCAGTTAAATGATGTTTCGCCCTTTATCCTGTGATCTCATCAGGAATTTTGCCATACTGTCTACTATACAATTCTTATGATGTTAAATCAGAGAATTTGGTATTGGATAGACTAGTAATATAGACAACAGTATGGAGAATGTGCACATTGATGTTAGGGTGTAGAGGATAAATCAATAGCAGCTACTGGGTTAGAGTTAATTACTGGATTTCCAGGGAATTGGGAATGGTTCTCTATCTAATGGCTGGTTGCAACAGGGTTGTAGCTAGTACATTGCTCAAATTATTATCAAAGGAAAATTCTGAGTCATCATTATTATTCTTTCTTCCTCTCTTGTTGGAATGAAAGGCCTCTTCCTTTCCCTCTCTCTCTCACTCTCCAGGCTGTTCTATCCTTTTCAGTTGTGGAAAGAAGTCAAAGCACGAAAAATTACACATATTTTAAAGATTTTCACAACCATTAATATTTTTAAAATTTTTGTTTGTGTAGATATATTGGCTATATGGAAAATGTAGCCAAGGAGTCCACTAAGAACAAAAAGAGAATAGAGAAGAAAAAGGAGAAAGAAAAGGATGCAAACAAATCTGTTGATGTTGAGTTAACTGAAGTTAAAGTTGAGGTGACAAGTAATCACTCCAATCAAAAGTCACAGGTATACCACCACAGTGAACTGCACAGGCTACTTATTATTTGAATTCCTGCATTTTAGTTCTCACTACAGGTTAACCCTAAGACCTTCCGAATGATTAGCATCTAATTTTTCCTTACATTGTTACTACTGAATCAAATACTAAGGTCATCAGAATACAGGAAATGATCACCAGCTGAAGAAGCTTTCAATCGTTTTATTAAACAAATTCTCCTTTTCAGTACCATGAGAAATGTAAAGAGAACAGCATGGAAATTATGCATAGTGATGTTTGGGTGTAAAGGGGTAAGGTACTGTCAAGAATGTAGGTACATCTTATGCAGGGCTCTTGCTGGAGTCTGGCCTTTGATGTATTAGAGCCTTACATGGAAAACAAACACACTTCCGAAAATCACCCCACTATTCATTACAGACTAGAGCTTATCTTATGTTAATATGCATGATTCTCCTAGAAACTTACAATGCAGTAGAAATGTAAACATGTCACATGAGTATTCTGTAGGATGATGCAGGATGTTAGGGATTGTGTGGTTTTGATTGAATTCTGCCACACACTCTGTTTAGAATCCCTTTAGTCATTGGAAGCAGGAAAATTTTCAATTAATCCTTTAACCCCTAGAAGTTACAAGCATCTAATTTCTCCCCACAGTACTGCTGCTAAACTTGAACTGTAAGGTCATGAGAATAAACAAAATGAATTGCCAACAAAAGAAGCTCTCAATACTCCTTGTTAATTTCATGGGATATCCATAGAAAACAGTACAGAGAATAAGCATACTGAAGTTTGGATGTAAAGGTTGAAAGGATTTTCTTGAATTTAAAACTAAATTCTCAGGAGAAGCCAGCAAAGATATATGTGGATGTCTGAAAATTTCCTTTCATATTTTGGAGTTGAATGGGTTAAATCTAGTGTGACTTAAGTTGAGATTAAGCTCACTAAACACTAGGTTGATGTCATTTTATTATATTGAATTATGTTTTAGAACATTATGATTAATATTTTCAGGATGATAGCAGAGATGGTAGAGATAGAAATAGTCATCAGATGAGGTCTCAAGATGGCAGATCTTCTGTCCCAGTAACTACTGCTCCTCCACGAGTTTCAGCAACTTATGTGAAGTCAAGTGTAAATGGAAGAACAATAAGTGGTAGCCGTGAAGTCACAGTTTAATATCATGTTTGTATGCTATACAAGATAATAACCTCTATTGCTACTGCAGTCCAAGGTGCTGAGTACAAACCTTGAATTTCATGGAAGCAGTTGATGGATGAATTTGCTGCTTTTCACCAGGATTAGCCAGTGCTCACCTGTAAATTTAACAAGGCATGTCTTCGGAAGCAAGTGGTACAATCAATGGGAAGAGAGGCAGAAATGTTGGATACACAAGATTTGCTGTGCATAAATTTACCCCTAATTAAGATTGTAATCGTAAGGACTGACTTTTTTTTAAGGAAGTGAATTTGTCAGATCTAAGCAGGTTGCAAATGTGAGGGTAACTACGCTTCATATCTGCCTGCAGTGCTGAATTAATAGTTAACTCATATCTTTTCATGTCAAAGTACATGCAAAATATACTGTGTATTCAATCTACCTTAAAAGGACTGTAATGAAGAGTATAAAGAATCAGTGATTGCTGCACATGGTTTCAAACACAAACAGTTGGGGTAAAAATCGTTGCTGTTAAAACAGTTGATGGCAGTAGTATACTGTAAATAATCTGAAAAAAGCGTTGTATATTATCTGATGCCTATAGTACCAATTAAAAGAAGTCGTTTGATTTTTAATTTTTGTGTTGCTATCCTGTTCACGTGAAATTCACGACTGTGCTATTACAACGATTGTTATAATAATAAATTAAATATTTTTTAGTGCTTTTGTTAGTTACCATGATAATGATGAATTGGTGCTTTGTATAGTAAGTAATTACAGAGTTAGGTTATTTAGAAATATTTCCGTTTTGGCAGCTATCATTCAAACAAAGGATATAATATGTTCTTCGATTTGTAAACTGCATTAATTTGAAGAAGTTTTCATGGTGAGAGTTATAAATGGCAGTGAGTGCTGTTGTAAGAAAACAGTATATTTTTGTGCAATGTAATAAATTGCATGGGGAGGAAAATTATGTTAGCCATTGGAAAGCGGAAAAATATAGAGACAAGAGGTAAAATGTTGAATATTACTTTAAGGGATCTTTAGACTGGTTAGCATCTTTTGTACCATAAAGTGGGAAGAGGCGTTAATTAACAATAATTTAACGTAGTGTAGAAATGCACTAAATTTCTGTTAGATCATTATTTACTCACACAGATCTATCAATACCACATGGTTCCTTTACTGTACAAGTAGCTTACTGTATTTATCTCAACTTGCATTTTATTTTCATTTTACTTCAGGAATAAATTACTCATATTTTGACAAATTGTCAAAATGTCATTTGATTGTAGACTCAGATAATAATTCCTCAAATCAACTGAAACTGCAGTTTCCAGTCCTGTGATTGGTAGGAGACATTTTGAAAAGCTCTCTGTGGCTGATCTGTTCTTTGTGTGCTTCTTATTTTGTGGTTTCCATTGACCTTCAACATGGCTAAAAAATGAGTAGGGGATCCAGTCATTAATTTGCTTCTAGAGTTCATTGACACCCACCTTATAGGCATACTTGAAACAACAGATAAGCAATTGTTTGATATCCTTTTGCAGGCTTTGGCATAGTGGTCATCTGTAAAATATTTTAACTTCAGGTGTTAAGTATATAAACACATTTCAGAATGCCCCATTTGGTCAAAGAGAATATGAATGTAAATCAAACGCATTGGCAGGGTTTAAAAAAAAAACATAATTGTGCAATTATTTCAAGTTAGTCAAACATTTCCCCCTAACTTGTAAAACTTCATACAGCTAAGCGATAGACATTGATAATTCAAGTGTTCTTTTTGTTCATCTTGCACAAATATTTTTGAAGCCTCCTTCACAGTTATTTTCCTGAAGAAGTCTAACATTTGCTATGATTCTGTACCGAATCATGAAAATACAATATGATATTTAGTTATGGCAATTAATTGGTTTTTAATTATAATTCGCTCAACATTTATGTTAAAGATATAAAAAATAAATATCAAAGTCAATCACCTTTGTTTTTCTTTTCCTTTTACATGCTAAATTATGAGATTGGCCCATTAAGAGAATATGTAGGCTTTTAAGTAGTTCTTACTGGCTGGGTTATCCCTTTCGCTCCCAGATTTCACTAGGTATTCTCCTTACTGTCTGCCAAATTCTTATGACATTAGTTCACAGAATTTGGTATTGGATCAAGTAATGATCCCTTAAGTAATATGTTTCTTCAGTGGCATCACTTGTCTGCCTGATACTACAGAAAAGAACTATTTGTCAATCCTCCTGCCAATCAAAGTCACTTAAAAATTTCAAAACACAAGTCCGTGAGTTTCTTGAGCTAATTTCAGACATTAAGTCTTTGACTCTGCCTTCCTGAAAACTTTACCTCCAGGAAACACTTCATTTAAACAATTATTTATGAAATAAAATTTTACCTTCACCGATGTGTGGAAGGTAGCGTGGCCGAGTGGTCTAAGGCGCTGGTTTTAGGCACCAGTCATTTCGATGGCGTGGGTTCGAATCCCACCGCTGCCAATATTTTTTTCTTTTCTCCTTTTTTTTTTTGCTCTCTCTTTTGAATTCAGTCGGCTGATTAAGTTCGGTTCTCTTTTGACTTTACGTGTTGAAAAAAATTTGACAGGATTTTGATCAAAAACCGCCATGCTCTCGCATACGTTGAAAATCGTGTGAACATAAAGTAGAAGAAAAAAAACTTGATACATTGCTGGTGCAGTTAGTCGAAATACTGTGTACAACTCGAATTATTATCTACACAAGCAATCGCTGTTTTTCAGACTACTAAATTTCTAAGGCGACTCTGACCTTCGTGTTTAATAGTACCAAAAAATTTCAACTATCTCCACTGAAAATTCTTTCGATTTTGAATGATTGACTATCCCAGTCGATCCGTCGACAATTCGTCAGGGCGCCAGGACCGAGTAGAGATTTTTTTTTGCGTCTCTTTACTTGATAGGTAACCTTTTAAGACATTTTAAGTCCTTACATTATAAGACTCTCAGCACACATATCAGAGTTGACGAAGAAGAAAATTATGGCGGTCAACTTTTAGGGTGGTGGGGTAGGTGGGATAAAATGATAAGACAGGTGGGGGTGGGTGGAAGTAGTTTCGTGGAAGCCATACACATGTAAATAAAGGATGTCAAAATATGGCCCTTTCTGGTAAAACGACATTGACTCTAGGCTGATCACTTCACAAATATGACTCCTCATCCCCTCTTTCATCAACAGTCTCAACATTTCACTGGTAAAAGGTTCAATGATATTCTATCCATCACAAGTGATCAATTCTTGTTTTATACTAGTATTAATAATGTATTCTTGAATCAATTTTCCCATGAAATTCCACAAAAATTAATCACCACAAACAGTAGAACCTAAACATATTAATCTACTGATGGGATTCTTAAGAAAAAAAAACAATTTAAAAGTGTAAATTTATTTATTAAATATCTGTTAATGCTATCATTTTCAAGAATACACTGTTTTTCAAAGTAACAATTTGTCCACTAAGACATTTCCTCATCATCTTCCTGTGTTTCCTCTACCACTGTCTCTTCATTAGGATCAGGAAGCTTTGTAGCAATCACATTCAAAAGTTCCTCAATCTCTTGATCAGTTTTCAAACGCTCTTCACTATCTTCAATGATCTAAACAAAGCATAGAGGCACTAATTACATATTCTATAAAACAAAACATTATGGCTCCCTACAAAAAAAAAAACAGTTATAAAAAAATTACAAAATTATGCAGTAAAGTAACCCTATGAAAAAGCTACAAGATATGAGAGAGAACCAAAAGGCTTGGCCACTAAACTCTATGCCAAAACTGATTTCTAAGCAATCAAATGCAGAAGTTACAAACCAAATCATAGCTAAATGATCACATTCCAATGAAACAAGACAAAACACTAAAAAACTTACCAGCTGAATTTCAACTGGTGTAGTAGGTCTCAGGTTCAACAGTTGAAGCTTCTCTGCTCTGTTTAAAATATAGTAAAATATATTTAACACATTAGCTCATAACTTGATGATGTTAGTACACATTGTGTTAATGCATGAAGTAACAGCAGGAAACCTTGTTAAGTTGAATGGCTGCATAGCTTTGACAAATTCTTCTATTACTTCTGGACTCTACAAAAAATAAAATTTGCATTTCAGAAAAAGTCAATTATGTTCAGGCTTACGTGACCTAGAACTAGTCCTGTAATTTACAATATTTGTCATGGCTTCAAAACTCTAGCCATTGGTATACCACCTTGAAACCATCTTTAATGCGAACACTGCTTCTAAATTACCATCATATATTAGTCCAGTTGATATCTATCCACCTAAGGGATTCTTGAGGAAACACAAATAATTCAAAAGTTTAAAATTTATTTATTAAATATGCAAAGTCTAACCTGGTGTTTACAAGGAGTTTTCTCTAAATGCTTCCGAGCCTAAGAGTGAAAAACACTGTATCTTAGGACAAAAGTCAGAATTTGGTATAATTTTGAATTAGAAGCAATCTTCAACAAACGTTGCTCAACCTTTTATAATATTACTGACCTCATAGCAAATTGTTGACAAGTTAACAAGGTGTTTCTGCCTCTTCTTAGCCTTATCAACTTTGTTTTGGTTTTCTGTCTCAAGCAAAAGTTGATAAACCTGAAGAAAACAGGAAATAAATAGAGTTAGAATCCCTAGACTATAGTTGCTGGTGTGCAATTAATGTAAATGCATCATGTAAAACACTTGCTTCCAGTGTGAGATGTTTGTTGCAAAGAAACAAATTTGTTTGTTCATAAAATTTGTTTGTTTATTTGTTCATTTTTAACAGTCAGCTGTTTGATGTTGTTTTGGTCCCTGTGCTGCAGATTGAAGTAATGTTAACACAACAACTCTAAGTCAGCTTAAAAATATACTCATATATTTAATTTTTCCTAGGAAATTATTTGTTCCCCTACAAGAGCATTTTAGCAGTGTTCACTAGATGTTTGTTTACAAACTGACTTTAAATCAGAGTAGTGTAAATAATTTCATCACTTCAGAATTTCTTTTCTAAAATCATGATGAAGATCAAAGCTATGGAGAATTTTAAAATGAAGAGTCAACTTATGTGATAAACCCACAAGATTATGGAAGATAGGCCAGAAGATAATAAAAGATCAGCCCACAACATCATAGAAGATCAGCCAACATGATCATACCAATAGTGCCCTTGTCCAGTCATGTGTGACTAATGCTTTTATGTGCAACAACTCATATCTCTTTTCACGGCGTACTTGGGGAGATGGTTGAAAGCAACGTGAATTTGAGTTTGAATTCTCAAGATATATGTAATATTGATAACAATTGACAAAATTAACAGCTAGATGACGCTACATCTTTTTTATCTCCCATACTAAGAAATAGGCTAAGGAAATTTCTACAACAACTTTACCTCGTAATTGCTCAACAAAGCCGCCTTGTCATTAAGACTGAAAAATTCAAAATTCAAATTGAAGACTTCACATAATTTAGTTCCTGTATTTATAGTTAAACTGGTTCCTATTTTAAACTATTTAAACGCCTGAATAATTGAATAAGGTAAGATTACGAGACTTCCTCTTACACTTCCATGTCGACAGCTTTCAGAAATTGTTTCAAACAAGGTCATAGAGATTGAAATGTTTTGATGCCGCCATTTTTAACTCGTTTTATGAGGTGGTTACCAAGTTCATTCTTGTCTTTTCGCCCCAGACTCCAAGCGCCCAGTTAGAGCAGATGAATTTTACCCCGCAAGTTTCCCTGCAACGGATACTTTTAGTTTGCTTGTGATCTCCAGGTTTTATTGATCTATTTACCTATTTTTGGTTTAATCAGTTCATTTATCCTCCATTTAAAATATTTTTTTTAATAATCAGGTTGTTCACCCCTTTTCATTCCACATGTGATCGTTTACACTCGTTTAGTGGGCTACTTTTCCCGCATTAAGGTGTTTCTACACGATAACGAAGACTTGCATGAGTAACTTCAGGAGTGGATACCTGTCTTCGTTTATGTTGAAACTCTCACTGATGGGACCCTATCAACTCAAATATTCCAAAAGAGCGGATATGAACCCGATTTTGTATTTCAAAAACTACCTTAGACCTAGCGGGCACCTATTTAGAGGGCGTAGATTTTAAGAAAAAGCAAAAAAAATTGGTTTTATCAAGTAAATTAATTAGCCACCGTTAAAAGTCTCAAAACTTGATGAAGGGCTAACTCTCGAAAAGGCAGCTTAAGAACTTCTTTCATTACGGTGGCCAATTTACATTATTAACTCAGTTAATAAAACCAACTTATTTTGAAGTACCCCCACCGACGCAGCACCACAGTTTCTTCAGAAACTTAATCCCTTCATCTGAGATAAAGCGCTATGAGGACCCTAGCCTGACTTAAGTCGACCCTTCAAGTGGTTTTACTAAAGATTCCTTATGACATGAAGTTATTCAGTTCACGGTATATTAAGTGATGGAAGCGCGGGCAAACGCAAGTAACCAAGTCACAGTTGGCTTTAATTTTGAATAATATTTGTTTGAAAGAGTTACATAAGTTTCCGCAACTGAAAGCAGAGCGTGGCGAGGCTAAATCAATAAAATCCCAGATTATTAATGATACACAATTGAAAAGTGTTAAGAAAAGCATGAGTGTCGTAAAGTAACGGATCGCTAAGGGGACAATCTTGAAATGAACCAATTACGTGGCTCAGCCGTAATTAACTGCTTTTTCTTTTCTTTGTTATTTCAACTCGTAGATCCTTATGATGATCTCCCAAATTAATACTTTGTTCACACTCTTCCTCCTGTTCCGTAATAGTTGTCTCGTTGATATGACGCGTGAGGCTTGATGCTTCACCCTTGAATCTCTTGGCCGTCAGCTCTTTACGATCACTGATCACTTTGTCTTCGCTCTGTAGCTCTTCCATCATTGTTCTCTTGTTTCTTTGTTGCGTTGTTGTTGGGCACAACCACGAGTCATCGAAGACTTGATGCGGATGTGTGTTTGGTCCTCTTTCCATCCTTTTCTCAAGTTTGTTATGAGAGGTTACCGTTTGATCTGGATTCTCCTCCGTCCAGGTCTCCTGCTGTTTCCGTTCGTCTGAGATCACAACAACAACATAGCAGTAGAATAAGTAAGATGACGTAATTTAAGCTCAGTCTTAAGATTGAGAAAGATATTATTTATTTAGTCTCGAGCATGGGACGTAGAAAATATTTGTGTTTCCTTGACAAATCGAGCCTCAGACATTTTTGTTAGAGCATCGGAATGCGGAATGCATTTAAGCTCGATCCCTACTCCTACTGCGCAGCTCTTACAAGGCTTAAGTCGAACTGTTGTTAACACTTTTTTGGCAATTACTCAAGAAAAGACTCTTACCGTAAACAGCGCTGTGACATTTGGCAACGAGGTCATTACACTGTTTTTCCCAGTTGTACTCTTTTCTGTAACAGGTACGCAAGTAGTCACTTTCTTGACGCCGCGTTTTCCAGTCTTTCCTCCAAACCTCTTTTATGGCGTTGGCCCACACACTGGGATCTTGGGAATTGATTACATAAAATGAACCGAATGCAATCTTGCTGAGGGCCTCTCCAAATCCCGTGTTCCCACTCACAAGAACAGGCAGGCCAGTAGATAGAGCTTCAAGTGCTGTAAGTCCAAAGCCGTCCGTCCGAGAAGGCATGAGTGTAAGATCCACCTCACAAAATAACCTGATTAGATCATGTTTATTCTCGAGGAAACTTCTTACATCAAGGTTTTCTGGAGAAATGTTGCACTCCAAAAATCTATCAGTAACCTGTTGAAGGTCTTCCTTGCGAGCACCGGCGAAGATAAGTATTGTGTCACTTAGCCCGGCTACCGCTTTAGCTGCGATGTCAAATCCTTTCAGTTTGAAATCTTCCTCATCTCCACGGCCAAATGTTAAAACTCGGCACTTTTTGCCATCTCTTGGTGAGTGTTTTATGTCCGAGTATTCATTGAAAATTCCCGGAGTAAGAGTTACAACATCTTCAGGATTTTTACACCAGCTAAGATAACTTTGGAACGATTCACTTAGCTTTGGCTCAACTCCAACGACAAAGTCAGCATTTTCACATAGTTCAACTTCAATCTTGTGCTTTGCTTCACTTCTCGCGATAGAATCCTCGTAGTCTTTCCACATACCCAGTTCCTTTGGCGCTGTGTGAGTGACTTGTACCCACTTGCACTTGCGACTGTCTCTAATAATCTTTGCTTGTGCGCCAAGGACAGCCCCATGGCCAATAACTATGTCAATCTGGAGATCATTTGGTGGAAAGCAAAGCCAAACTTTCTCCTCCAACCCAAGCTGCCTTTTGGCTTCAACAACCTTGATGTTGTGTGATAAAATTTATCAGTGAAGCCAATGAACTACAGCCAAATATCACAATTTGAAGAGGTACTAGGCTCAGGGATAGCAGACCTTAGAGAATGGTGGAAACTTATCGAAATATGCGGTTTCAGTCACGTTGGAGTTTTTCGTAACTTATTTATCACCTTCACGTTTTCATTCTTCAGTGGTAACTTTTCAAATCGCTCTGAACTATTCGGGAAAAATGGCAAGGCAAAAATAATTTGCAACTAAGGGTGTCAACCGCCGTGACAGACGTAGGAATATTATCAGTGACTGGAGACCCATTCAATTTAAGAACAGGACTTTGACGGCTAAAAATATTCAGGTTTAAATGCATGAATGAAATGAATGAAATGAATGAAATGAATGAAATGAATGAAATGAATGAAATGAATGAAATGAATGAAATGAATGAAATGAATGAAATGAATGAATGAAATGCATTATTAATCTGACGGTTGTTTCCTAACTTGTATATTAAAATTCTAGAAAGTTTCGTCTCTGGCTGTTGAATCGAAAGAGTTTATTTACTAAGAAACAGCATTTCAAATCTTCGTTTGCGACTCAGAAAAAAACGATCTATTTACGTTGTGTTTGCCGACTTCTTCATTATTCACCCTAAATTGGCGTGTGGTTCCAGTACACTGTCCTTACATGGCTCAATTACGTACCCCGGCATCCGAGTATCAAAACAGCAGAAAATTCTCGAAGATCATCAGTATTACTCATTAACCATCGCAATGGCGACATCAATTTCATTTCGCAACTGCGAATGATCAGGGCTATGGGAAAAATTCTGTATTCTCGGCTAGAAACTGATAGATTGTTGGAAAAGATCCAATATGTGTCAGATTTCAAAGCACATAGTTTGTTGAAACACGGAAAGCGCGCTGACAGATATAGGTTCAAAAATACAAAACATGTCTCGCTCCAGGGGACGATGGTTGTTGCGTACCGACCAGTTTCATTCTGTTCTGTACACCGGTCGGGCTCAACTTGTCATAAATGCAAAAGTAGTATTGTTGTTCACGGCAAACCTAAAATTTGGCAGTTGCTGCCCTGAAATGTATGGAAATATATCCAGGGACTATCTTGCTAGTCGCGAGACGGAAATCGGTTGTAGCTTTTCCACAACTACCAAGAACAGAACGAGAGAATCCTTGTCACTGTGACTGGATAGGGAAGAAATTGCGAAAAAAAAAAAAAAGCAACAACAAAAACAAAAAAACCGCCAATGACAACCAGCTTCAAAATTCTGCCTACACTTGTCTGAGTGGAAAGTGTACTTCAACAACGCAATAAAAACAGTGCAAGGCGAAAGTTGTTTGCGAAAGTTGTTTGCGAAAGTTGTTTGCGAAAGTTGTTTATGTAAGTTTAAAGATCAGAAGATACCTTCCTTGCCCAGTTTCAGTTTCCCAGCTTCAGCTTTTCACTTCTACTGGGCAGTCTGGTCTGCTTTCGGGGAATAAAGGAAAATAAACTTAAGACGCTAACACTGATCAGGTTTTTCTTGTCGCTACAACGCCACTGTTATTTGCCCTCTTCGTCCCTGGCGTCCAAAGTTCCCTGCGGCCGAGGGAAATCTGGGAGAGAGAATCGCAATTTGTGTCCAGTGTTCACACGTCCAACCCTTTTTTTCAGAGACAATATCAGTCGCATATCAGTGAAAATATATATTTATGATACATAATCGACACGGGCAGAGGCGCCTTTTTGAAAAAAGGCCTCTGAAGGTTAACCGCTGGATGATACATGAACATACTGAGCCGGTTATTAAACAAATTTTAGCCGTTGTTTAATAAAGCCGCGTTCTAAACTATCTTGAATTTAGCCAAATCTTTTATCTGAACATTTACTTTGGTACACAGTGTCAAGAGCGTCGAAAGCTAACCGTGGAAGGACATTTATTTGATAAAAACAACCCTCTTGTAGAGAATCCCTAATGCCCTCTACTTGCGTAAAACCGCAGTTTAGGTTAGACCTTGTGTAAATAATCGGCCCAACATCTTTAAGTTAACGTTCGCCTCGTACAGGCGAATTTAGTATCACATGGGCGTATGTGCTCCCTAAGATCAATTACAATCAAAATCAACACTGAGGAGATAATAGTTTACGTTTTACGGTTCACTTTATCATTGTAAGGAAGATATTTCGTCAATATAAACTGAACAAGCGATGTATATGCATTTCGTGCATAACACTTCATTTCATTTTCTTTATAATTTTCATCGCTTCAAAAAATTGCTAGGATATATGAAACAATGTTGTAACGCTTATTTGTTCGTGTGTAGTTTGCTTCACTGCACCATAACAAAAACATTGATGGATATCCAAATCTTTCTGTGTGTCGTACATCTTGTCACAATTCATACAAACAAACACGTTCATGGGCGTGTACCGTGTTGAGGCAGGGCTCGTGCGTCCAATTTCACGCTCAACCCTCCCCTCACGGGCTGTTACGTCCAGAGTGGGGGCAGGAGAACGTTCCCATTCGTGTTTCTGTGTGTGTCCTTCTGTTAGTCTTCCCAAAATGCCTGTTGTATGTTTCCCACTAACAGCAAGTTTCGCACTCAATGAAACACTTTGTTTAGTCTCGGCAAATTGTAAGGTTCTTGCCTTTGTACTTATCTTAGCGGAATGGGCTTTAGGTTTCTCAGGTGGGCGGGGCTGTATTTGGTTTGACATGTAGTGGTCTGAGTTCGACCGCTGTCCTTCTCTTATGGCAGAGGCAGGGCGCTTGTGGGAAACATTTGGGTTTTCGTCATAAAAATTCCGCGCAGGAGACCTGCAAATGAGAAAAGACATTCAAGGGAAAAAGGTGTATCAGTTACAAAATGGGTTTACTCTAAAGATAACCTAAATCTTTTTGAAAAAAAGAACGGTAAAATGTGATGGTAAGAGCTGCTATTACAAAGTATCAAAAAGAAGAATTTAACATGGAAAGAAACAATCAGTTCGTCACAATAATTCCAATCTTAATATTGTCGTGAACTTGCTTTTGAGATCTGTAATAGTACTCAAAAGCAGCCAAAAAACTGAAAGACAAATAAAAAATTACAGAACCTTTTAAGTAAGTGTCTCTGTTCTTCCATTAATCCAGGTTGTGTTGTTTTCACAAGGGAACAGGTTCTTGTACCTAAAAAATATTACGAGGTTTTGACGGTTTTAAATGAAAATTTAAAACACTTATAGAGAACGAGAGAAAGTGGCAAGTCTCTTGAAAGTTACTGGGCCTATCCAGTAGGAGCACGTGTCATAAATGAGGGACACAGTACTAAGGCATTTACAATAGTCTATCAGAACGAAGACGACTGTGCGATGAACCAATAGAAACTTAAGGAAAATTCACATGACCGATGCAAAGCGCGGGAAAACAAGACGCGTGTGACCAAGAAACGAGTGGATTGATTTGTAAAGGCCGGGATGATTTAGTTGAGTAAGTTGACGACAGTTTTAAACGATAAAGGAAGAATGTCTTGATTATCCACTTTTCAAACGAACAAATACTCCATCAGTTTTGATCGTCAAGTTGCGACAACAGCTGCCAAGAAAAGATAAGTGACAAAACATGTGCAACCACAAGGGGAAGGTGAGGGTATTTTCGGATATGATAAATTAATCGGATGCGACATTCTTCATAAGTCATTTTAACAAAGCCATTCGCTCTGTCGGAAACACTGAGAGAGAACGAGGGCTGACGCTCAAAACACCAGCTTTAGAAACTATTTATGGTGGCCAACTTACATTATCAACTCTGTTGACATGACCAAATTATCTCATTTACACGAAATTCAAGAAAAATCTTTGGGAGTTTGCGTTGAGGGAGATGGAAACTGTTTAATATTGTCTTTTACTGACCTTCTTCTGACGAGTAAGATTTCTGCTGTTTGGCATCAATGGTTGTAAATTCTACCACGAGTTGAAGTTTTTCTTCCCTTTCTCTAAGCTGCTGTTCAAGGTCGTTCGTCTTTGTCACAAATTGTTTCACTTCTCGCTGAATTTTTTCCTTTTCAAGTCTAAGTTCCTCCAGAAGGTTCTGTGTAGAAACAGAAAGGAAGTACTTAGTGTTGTGTTCCAAGTTTTCAGATTTTAACCGAGACCAACAGTTTAGTGTAGAAAGAGGTGCATTGTTGATTAATTTTGTAGATGACCACGAATAGACAACCCTCCCTTTCTTTATTTCACGTTTCACCCATGGCCACACCCTGAAGCCTATGAAAAGTGCCTGCTGCAGACAACTGGCTATTTACGGAGAATTGACCTTAACACCCAGCACAAAGTGACAAAACAATTTTAACCAAAGCCACTAACACAAAAGACAAAATACCACAAATTACCTGCTTGGAATCAAGTTGTTCAAAGAGCTTGGTCTTTTCAGTTTGCGAATCTTTAATATCTCCCTGCAATTTATCTTTCTCTCTTTCTGCCTCTAGCACTCTGTCCCGCAGCTCCTCACATTCATTGTCCAGATTATCAATTCTTTTAAGAAGTGCATCATTTTTGCTTTGTAAAACCTGAGGAGGCAAATGAAATTAATATTTGCACAAAAGAATCACTAAAGTAGCTGGCTGCAACAGCCTTATCCCCGTTTCTACATCATCAGAGTGCAGTTTTGTTACTGCTTCTAAATCACAGTTTATCCTTTCAGTATTTAATCATGCTTTCCTGATCTTTTGCTGCTATTCCTTCACTCTTCTCAATGGAGAGGGCATTGTAAAGTGCCTAGCCCATGAAACCAGCATATTGCGCATAAAACCAACCAAGGGTAAAAACCAGGAACTGTTAATATAGAGCTCTCAACTTAAAGAACTGAGCCAGCACTTCTCCAATGCAGCAGTTTAAGCTATGGCCTTTGTTGTACTCTGTGGCACACATCCAACCAAGGACTAAGAGAGCTGTCCCCAACCTCCCCCCCCCCTCCCAAGAAGGCTATGCCTTAGCAAGAATAGAAACATATAGGATCTTGTCATCATCTAACAGCCTTGATTTTTAATAGCATTCTTGCATGAAATCCAAGCTATAAGTTTCTAAGCTTCTAGTTTTGGGGTTAATCTAATCACCTCCACTAACAACGGAAACTTGCATATCTAACCTGTTCGTGTTTCTTCAAGGTCTTATTTCTGGCCTGTGTTTTTTTCAATTCAATAGAAGTGTTTTTTAGTTTGACATGTAAGTCATCCATTTCCTCCTTCGGCTGTTGTTCTTCAGACTTTACCATACTCCTCTGGTTAATGCAACTCAGAGACGGTATGACATCTCTCATCGACGGGCGTTCGTCTGGGTTGTGTGAAACGCACTGCTGAATAAGTCTTCGAATTGCACCGCTTGATACCTTGAGAATCTGGTCATGGCGCTTTTCGACAAGTGGAAGTTCACGAACGCACATCTCCAACAGCAGGACACCTAAACTGTACACGTCAACCTGGTCAGAGATGAGCGATAGCGTCAGTGTCTCTTTGCAGTTAACGATCTCTTTTAATATTTTACATGTCTTACTGGCCGATCAAAGTTCAGGGAAATTTATATCCTCAAGAACCCATACTCTTTTCTTGTCCCACGTAACCGGCCGATTACGTGGGACAAGATAAGAGTATGGTCTAGAGTTGTAGGATCCCCGAGATGATTTCAGTAATGTTCTTTAAGTACAATATAGACACTTAAGTCGTGCGAGTTGCTTTAGTGTTCATTTTAATAACTTTCAGTAAGTCGGTTGATATTTCGTCGGACGAAGTCGATGTTTTTGCATAATAGTTATCTACGACAACAAAAAGGAAACTAGCGAGCCTGAGGCTATTACGCATAACTTTTTGTAATGTTTACTATTCCACTGAGAGTGAAAGGAAGTTAAGCTAAGGTTCAGTCAATCCGCAATGTCTTATGTCGAAAGCCGTAACGTTAAACAACAACAAACGTTGTTGCATCAAGAGTCTTCCGTATGATTCTTCCTTAAGCTTTTTCTTCGCGATTTCTTGCGTTCAACCGATAAGCAAAACGAGTAGGAAGCGATTTTACCTTTGTTGTCTGTTTGTCAGTGAAAGTCTCTGGTGCTGAATAAATCGGTGATCCCGGTGCCATTGTCATACAACTGCGCATTAAAGTTGCCGCTCCAAAGTCACCCAGCTTAGCTCTCCAGCTTTCATCTCTCCTCCAAAGCAAGACGTTGGCGCTGCTGACATCTCGATGTAAGATGGGAAAAGGCTTAAGATGAAGGTAGTTTAAGCCTTTAGCAACATCCAAAGCAATGGTTGCTGTATCTTTTAGTAGTAATGGTCGTTCCTCTAAAACCCGTCTTAAAGAAGTATCGAGTAATTCAGTGACAAATAAAGGAGTGCCATCGTCAAATGTAGCGCCAATAAACTGCAAAAGGTTGGGATGGTGACAGGTAGATAGAATCTTCATTTCTCGTGCAAACAAAGCACGATTGTGATCCGATAAAATCACTTCGTGTACTTGCTTAACGGCAACCTGGCAACCGCGAAACGTTCCCATTCGAACAGTGCCCCAGCCTCCTACACCTAAAATCTCCTCACTCAGGACAATTTCCTCTCGCTGAATTTTCCAGTCGTCTACTTGAAAGTTCCATTCTCTTGACCCAGAGACGTACCTTTCACTTTCAATTTGCTGTTTAAGCATGACACAGCGTTGCTTTGCGTGAGACAATTCTTTTTTCCACGAAAGCTTTGCGTGTTGCATCTCGTCTAACGATTCCAGCAGTTTAGTTACAAGAGTTTGCTCTTCTCTCATCTCTTTCTCTCTCAAACTGTTAAAATAACCTTCTGCCACCATCAGTGCTTCACATACCTGTTCAAGAGAATCGAATCTCTCTTGCAAGTCAGTATATGCTTTTCGCAGTTGTATAAGTTCATCAGCTTCTATTTTAGCTCGCGCTTCCTGCTCCACTACTAACATCTCTTGTGAGCTACGTAAGTTCTCACTGTCGTTTCGTTCCAGTTCTTTCAGCATGTGTGCAAAATTATTAGACTGAGAGGTGAGACACACTTGCACAAGTTCATTAATTGTTTTTTTCATCTCGGCACACAGAGTTTTTATTTGGCTTAATTCCTCCTCCACTCTTGCTCCCGGCTGTTGCTCCTCTTCTAAACTTTTCTTCAATTCGTTTTTTTGAAGCACCTTGAGCAATTCATTTTCCAGTCTCTCTGATCTTCCTACCAGTTTGTTAAGAAAACATTCTTCATCGACCATGACACTTGATTTTTTAAACTGATCTTTTGAGTCACCTAGGAAAGACTCCAGCTCTGTCGTCAGTGTCTCTTGTCCTGCAGAATCAGCTGATTGCATTCCTTTAGGGCTCACGCTTCTATTGATGTTTCCTTTTGCTTTAGCTTGTTCAAACTTTGGTCCATCCTCCAATCTAGGTTCCAGAACAGATTCTTCTACCTGAAGTGAATGTTCTGCTGCAACTTCCATTTGCTGTTTTGTTGTGCGGCATAAGGCTGCTTGATCAATATATCTTTGCCAAAGGGTGCTAAGTTCACTTTCCATTCTCTCTTGCATGGGACTGTGGCAGATTCCCCTTCGGTTTGAATACACATCCGCGCCAGTCGTTTCTTGTTCCTGCTTATCTGAGAAAATTTAATAAAAAATATGTGAACTAATTGTGAGGCTCAAAATATTGCCGGGTGGATGGTTATGATTTCCTTTATGTCTATGGGTTTATCTTTGTCACGACGAATTATAGTCGATAAATCCCCACAAGCGTGCTCTAGTGATCGGTTCTTTAACAACTGAGCTCAATGGATGTACTGACATCCGCCCGTTTTATGCAAGCCATATTTGAATCAGAGGAGACAAATGGCCACGGAGTTGAGTAAGAAAGGTCTCTACACTTAGATAATTTCTTTATGATGTGGGGGAAATCACGTGCGAAGTGAATGGCTCAACTGAGCGGCCATGTAGTTTCATAGAACATCCTCAGTTAATACTGTGAATACATTCAGCTGGAGCTAATTTGAAAAGAAGGAAAACTCGAATCTTAATGACTATTTTTTTTCGCAGCCCGCAGCTCTTCTGATGTTCGGTAAAAGTTATATGGGTGGTAGACAAGGCTGATTATAACTCTTTGTTTGAGTAGGAAGTTTGTCTGCTTCTTAACAGATCATGAAATGGAGTCTCATACTTCTTACTCTTACCAGTGTCCATGGTGAAGAGTATTTCAACCAAGTCGTAGCACTGTCTCTCCCAGTTGTACTTTTGTCCATAAAAAGTACGCAGATTTTCAGTTTCTTGAAGTCGTGTTGCCCTGTCTTTCTTCCAGACTCGTTTTATGGCGCTGGCCCACACACTGGGATCTTCAGAGTTGATTACATAAAATTCACCGAATGGGACCTTGCTGAGGGCTTCTCCAAATCCTGTGTTCTGACTCACAAGTACAGGCAGGCCAGCAGATAAAGCTTCAAGTGCTGTAAGTCCAAAGCCGTCAGATCGTGACGGCAGGAGGGCGAGATCCACTTCACAAAATAACTGGATGAACTCTTGTGTACTCTCAAGAAAGCCTCTCACCTCCAGATTTTGTGGAGAAATACCGCACTCCAAAAACCTGTCAGCAACCTTCTCAAAGCTTTCATTGCATGCACCGGCGAAGATAAGTGTTGTGTTAGGTAACGAAGCTACGGCTTTAGCTGTGATATCAAACCCCTTCAGTGCGAAATCTTCCTCATCGTCACGGCCAAATACCAAAACTCGACGCTTTTCCTCAGCTTGGAGTGCATGTTGTATGCATGAGTATTCGTTGAAAATCCCAGGAGTTAGATTGATGACATCATCAGGATCCTTTTTACACCAGCGAAGATAACGACGGAAAGTTCCGCTCAACTTTGGCCCAACTCCAACGACTAAATCAGCTTTTTCGCCAAGTTCAACTGCAACTTTATGCTTCATCTCACTCTTAATAATGGAATTGTCATAAGTTTTGAACATGGCTAGTTCTTTTGGAATGGTATGAACAATTTGAACCCATCTGCATCGGCGACTGTCTCTGATAAGTTTGGCTGGTGGCCCGAGTTTTTCTCCGTGACCAATAACTATGTCAATCTGGAGATCACTTGGTGGAAAGCAAAGCCAAACTTTTTCCTCCAACCCAGGTTGCCTTTTGGCTTTAACAACCTTGATGTTGTACGAGAAGGCGTCTTTCTTTTCCTCTTCATTGCATTCAAGAAGGAAGACTGTAACCGCAACCAACGGATGTTTCGCTAACTGAATGGCAAGTATTCTATTTATGGTCGATATTCCTCCCTTCCTGGACCACCACTCAGATGACAAAAGCAAGACATTTAATTTTTCTTTAGATGAACTTGATGTTCGTAAGGTAGACAGCATGTCAGCACACAGATGTAAACCTCCCTACGAAGAAAAAAAGGCCAAAACAATTACAGTTGAAATGTGTACTTGCCAGTTGAAGAATTTTTAATGCAATGCATAGGGTAATCGCCTGGGAGAAAAATGCCTAAGGGTAAAGCTGATATTGTAAATTATCATAATTTCCCGAGATATGACTTAGAAGATTCAGACTCAAATATAAGCTGACAGATAGGGATTTGAAGGAAGATCACGAGAGTTAACATTGTGAGGGCGGAACGTTACTCACTGGACGATAGTTAATCCCACGTTGAAAACAAAAACTTTTTTTAACACGTTTTAAGAAACGGTAGATACAATGATGATGTTCACGACGATAAAAATTTACTCAAAGTTTATAAGGCGAAGCGATGAGACGTTAACAGTGTCGAGTTATCAAAACTAAGCAAGAAGACTACAACGTGTTCAGTTAACAACCATGTTTAATCCTCTAACTATTACCACTGCGCATGCCCCAATATGCGCGTGACACAAACCGAAAGTACAAAGTGAAAGCAAGCGGAGTAAGCGATGTATAAAAACGGTATAAATCGGTTTAGAGCGTCATGAAGCAGTATGAAGCAGCATGAAGCAGTATGAGTTCGAGCAGAAATTAAGTAAAGGTAAATAGGCCTCACCTCCAATCTCAGGGCTAGGTATTGACATTGCAGAGTTTATAGTTTTAAATATGAGTTAATGAAAGTCGAGAAAAAAATTTTTCTTGGTTGTTTTATAACTCATGAAACCTTGAAATCGCCCCATGTAAGGTAATTTAGGACAGTATTAGATTCTGGATTCCACGCTGTGGAATCCGGATTCCAGGTGCTGGGTTCCGGATTCTACCTGTACAGATTCCGGATTCCAAAACACAAAATATTCCAGATTTTACTTTCTGGTTTGCTCCTGATTTTTGAATTTCGTCTTCTAGGAATGACTTCAATGGCGAATTTCGTTATTGAAGGAAATGTTGTATGAATGCATGTTTGTATAGTCATTTTTCCATAACAGCATTTGGTAATTACAAGAAATATATTACAGCAAATCAAGGGATTAATTTTTCTTCTAAGATTACCTATTGAGACTGTCCGTTTCTTAAGTCCAATGTCCACTCATTCTACATCTTTTTAGCAACTCTGAAGAGGCGTACCATATTTTTTTTCATTCAGGTTCCTCCAGGTTCTCTAAGTGATTTAGCGGTATCAAAAGAACTAATAGTTAAAATCATTGCTTATCATTTTTAATTTGTAAATAACTGTTGGACTAAAAAGTTGTTTTAGTCCAACATAATATTTTTTTGTCAGGGAAAAGGTGACCAATTTTTGTAATCCAGAATTGATTTTGTGGAGAACTGCAAACAAAACAGCTCGAAAATATTTCCTTATTATCTCAAATTATTTTTTTAACTTTCCTTTTAAACAAAAACCATAGTATTGACGAAAAATTTAAACTGAAATATAATTTTAATAACACCCTGTGTATGTCGCAAATAAATCGCAGACTATGACTAAGAAAAGCTGGTTTTCCTATTTGTAATTGGCGATGATGTTCGACGTTATCAGATTGCGCATAAAACGGTGTTCAACCGACTCAACTATACTTGAACCTCTGCAAAATCGCAAAAGATCTACATTTACGCGGTAATTTTCCAAGAATAAGAGATTCTCTTTTCTACACTTCCTTTTTTCCTTTATAAGGTTAGCCAAGTCAAATCACATTACGTCGGCTATGAATTCTCCAGAGCAACGACTCTAAAGGTTTAAGATGGCCCGCCGATATTTTCCTGTTTGACCCTAAAATCTGGTTATATCTTACTTTATTTGCACAAAGATATGGTGCCTTATAAAATCTTAAATTTTGTTATTCCAAATGCCAAATATCAAAGAAAGCGGTTTATGTTTAAATGCCGAAATTTTGCCCTAGAAATAGACCCCCAACAGTGGGATTTGAATGCTGTTGTTATGTAAACAATCTCTTTAATCCCTCTAAATTTACACACCCATCGACCACGTGAGTGACCTGCACTCTACAGTGGTTGCATCGGTCATGATAAAACGCAGACTGCAGACCATGCAGACTGTGCAGCTTTTTTGTTTTCTTTTTCAAAACTGTGATTTACATATGATTAAGGCGCATACACCTTTTTCTAACTCTTTTGGTAACGTTGGGACAGTTTCCAATTTTTGGACACCACAGGAGGAAATTTTACGAGGTTCTTTCGAGCTCGCGTTATCTAGCAAGACAAAATCGCGGGGTCAAGTTTCTCGAGCTCATGCAGATTAGCCCCACGCGGCAAGATGTAATTTGTGTGAACCGTGACGCTGACTTAGAGGTAAGGAATGTGCTCTGTGAACGAAGCAAATGATTACCTGGATCTTCACAAGACAGCCCAAAGAACTTTACGGTAAAGAAAGTGCTGCAAGCTAAAATCTGACTTTACTAGGAAAATGTTTGAATCGGAGTAGATGACTGATCGATAGTTACTGAGTAGGGAACTTTGGCCATGTCAGTATTGAAGTCGATTGGGTAATAGGTCATTAATGAATTTGTCAGTGTCTTGCGAGCTGTAACGGTCGAAATTCTCCAGCGAACAAAGCGCGGTCTGCATGGTCTGCAGTCTGCATCTTAGCATGACCGTGGATGCATGGATGCGCGTGAAAGCCGTCTATACGATTTTGATGGATTCTGGATTCATTCTTTAGCGGGATTCTGGATTCCAAAAGCTGGATTTTGGATTCCAATGCGCAGTATTCCGGATTCCACGAGCAAAAATTTCCCGGATTCCGGAATCCGGATTACCTTACATGGGGCGATTGAAATGAAACCCTATAGTAGCGCCTTAATTCCTTCATTGTGCGTGACACGAATATAATGATTTCTGTTTACTGAATATTAAGGTTATTTTGGTAACCATGATAATTTTTGACGCTCGAGTTGTAGTACATTAGCTTTGTATAGCTCTGATATTAACCCATCTGAGCGTAAAAAAGCGGGAATAATCAAGACTTTCATGAGCAACACTTACGTTCAATCATCGCCTTGGTGATATATTGACGTCAATAGTCATTCCCCTCGAAAATACGCACAATTCAGGGCTGTATTCCCAGCCATTTAATGGTTGATTCGTTTGGAAAAGTCGAATATGATTCATGTTATGATGGACAGTTTCATAAAGTACGTACGAAATACAAATTGCCAGATACGAGTTTAAAATCACAAGACGTTTCTTATCCTCGATAGTTGTTGCGATCAATCTGTTTTAGATTGAACTTGCAACTGTTTACCAATCGTTACCGATGGAACTCGAATCTTAATTAATGTAGATTACATTAAAAATTTTAGTTAGCCTGAAATTTACCACCTGGCTTGAGCAAAACTATATGGGAATATATCCTCCAGGGAACCAAACTACTGTAAACGCAAAATATAGTGAGCTAAAGGGTTTGTCATGAAACTGAAAGCGAAAGTAACCTTCGTACAGGTATCGTCACTAAAATGTAAGAGATTTTCTTCCCTCGAGAACAGTAAAAAAGCAATACGGAAAACCCACCGGTTACTGCTAAAAAAAAGCTTTAAAATTCTAAAGCAACAACTGCATTACTACACTTATTTGAGTGGATGGTATATTACAAACACCATAGCAAAAATGCTAGACGGATGTTGTTGAGATCAAAGCAAAGGGAAACAAAAAGAGGGTACCTTTCAATCTCACTTTGCCCGGCTTTATCCACTCACTTTTACAAATCAGAGCAGTCGGACGTTAATCTCGTGGAGTGAAGAAAGATGAACTAAAAGCTTGTATGGATGTAGTTGCCATTTGCTCCTTGAATTCGCTGCTACCGAGGTATTTGTTACATGACCGAGGA